TTGAATTCTGCTCACTATAAATGATGTCTTTGATTTTCTCGAATACGTGCTCTCCCCATCTCGAAGTCGAAGTCATGTTTTGGCACTCGTAAGTTTGAACAGATGATGTGATGTGTCTGAGACAATTAACCTGAAATAAGAAATGAAAGGCCTATGACCACAGAACGCACCAACATCTGTACTTCATCCTATCTACTCGACCTTTAATACATAACCTATTTAACCTTCTAAGTTTTCCCAAATGTGCCTGAGTTTAACACCTCGTATTATTGACACAGATTTTTTGTTTTGAGGACATGTGGTTGGGTTGGGTTTAGTCATGTAAACAGCGCTTTACGTGTAAATGGGTTCCAGAGCATTGAGAAAGTCCAAACAGGAGAGCTGGATGCTCTATAAGTAACCTCTTGACAGAAGATATGTAAAATATTCAGGGCTTCACCATGACACAGTTATACAACCATCTCTGTCCTGACCTCTTTACCCGTAAAGGAACACTATGTACAAACAGCGCTGGAGTTCTTCTTTTAAATATGAATAAACTGACCTGACAGGCTTTTGTTGGCCAATGTGTGCAACTATGCAATACATGGTGGGATCAGCTCCATCAAGCCTCCAGCACGAACAGGATATAAATAATCAGTGAAAACCAGTAAATGTTTGAGAATATGCATCTTCACCTCCTTTCCATGAACTGATACAACCCTGGTGACATTTTTGAAGACGGAGCCTGCGCACGTGATTGGCTGGTGATGCAGTGATCTGCTGACCGAAACACACGTTTAAAGGTCAAGTAGAAGAAGAACAAGCAACAGATTCTTGAAGCTGAAACTCGTGGCTTTGAAGAGTTCAATGACTCATGTAGTTAATTTCGTTTAATCTCTTTATTCCCTCTTTATTCTGATAATCTGATGTACAGGGCGCCCCAGGACCTACTTTTCTCAACTGAGCTCTTAAAACAAAAAAAAATAAAAATAATAAACTTGATTTATTGGGAACATTTTTCCAAAACCGGGTTGCAGAGTCCTCAAAATCAGTCACAGCATTATATTCGTTTCCATCACAAAACAAATCAGATGAAACTTTTAGAGAATTGAACTGATTAAAGATGATCGAAATGAATCAAAAAAGATATATGGAAATATGTTTGATAAAAATTTGTTTGGCTTATACTTGGATTTTATAATTGACCCATGTCCCATCTATGAACACATCGATAATGAGCAGAGCTGACTGAATTTGTAAAGAGTCTACAGGGCTTGACACTAACTTTTTTCACAAGGAGCACATGTACTCTTAAATTGAAAAAGTGAGGAGCACACAAAGAACTTTAGAGGCACAATGAAAATTGATTAGATAATGTGTGTCTTATTGGTCGACATAAGAACTATTATTTAAAATCAATTTTAGGTCAATTGGTCACATGACATGGAAGCTATTGAAGAAAAACAGCCTTTTTTGAGAACGTCAACCAGTAATTTATTGATGGTCCCTTATTTAACACCCGACGTTGATAACGAGGAGTAGATTTAACTGCGCTGCTGTTGCTATTTCCGGTTATGGAGAGTGAGAAGACACCGATAAATCAGCGGTGAATGTCCGTTGAATATCCAACCTAAACCAACTTCACCGCAGTATTTACGTGAAAAAACATTTGTTGCCTCGGCTGATTTTTTTTATACGCACATGTGCCCCTTAAATACATTTTACAATTCGCACATATCTATTTTTAGTTGCAAATGTGAGTGAAATGGTCGCACTGTTGAGCCCTGGTCTATGGTGAAGATAATTTCAAAGAAAAATTAAATATGGGATGTTATTTAGGAAGACTGTTCTTGAACTATTTGTTTTTTTCTGGTGTTTTTATCAGGTCTTACGAGGGGATCCTGTACAAACGAGGAGCGCTGCTGAAAGGGTGGAAACCTCGCTGGTTCGTTTTGGACATTACCAAACACCAGGTGAGCGAGCCGCTCCACATTCATGTCGTAGAAACACATCTGATGACACGGCTGCTCGCTAACCTTCATTTCCTTCCAGCTGAGGTACTACGACACTGGAGAGGACACCAACTGCAGAGGCCACATTGACCTGGCGGAGGTGGAGTCGGTGATGATCGCCGCCCCTACGATAGGAGCTCCCAAACACATCAGTGAAAAGGCTTTCTTTGACGTGAGTGCATGTGAACAGCTGTGTCACGTTTCATAAACAACTCTGATATCTGCAGGCCTCCTTAATGCTCATGTTTGGGTTGGAATTGGTTTTGATTCATAAAATGTGTCAAAAGTAAGTGAGAAGGAAATCATCTTAGGCTGCATGTCACAGTTTTCATGCAAATAGATTATAGTGTTGGCCCCCGAGTACATCATCTGCTCCTCTGATGCCATACTTCAAGGTTCAAGTTATTTTGTTTAAGTTTCTGCTTCCCAAGCTGATTGAGAACACATTTATTACTCATTATAATCATGGGGGACCTCCGGCTGTGTCTGTTTTTTCTATAATGTTTGTTTACCTTGTACTGTCCGGACCTCAGAGGGGAAGAAACACAACAAGACAAACTAGCCAATTAGTGATTAATTAATGTCAGTTTACAATTAAGAAGGAGATTAACAGAGGATTAAGAAAAAGACGTGTTAGTTTTAGACAATGAACTTGTCAAGCTTGCAGTCGAATCACAGACTTCTCTCTTTAAAGCTGCTTTAATGATCTTTGCACAGTCCCAAATGTTCCCCTGTAGATCGGCAGTGAGAGCCAGTTTATCGACAGGGAGGTCAAGTGAGCATCTCCTTACACTAGTGTCTTGCCTTTCCTCAGGTTAGGAAGGCCACACACCTCAAACCTCATGAAACCTCTGATTTTCTTTCCTTATTTTCTCATGAGGGAGGGGAGAGAAAATGAAGAGACTGTCCAAAAATGTTAGAAAGAAGGACACAGAAGGTAGAGTTCAGGGCAAGAAGCTAATCTGGCTCCTAGTCGGTTGGTCTGTTCGCTCTACCTTCCCCCTACGTCTCCCTTTAAATGGAGGACGCAAGGAAAGAGGAGAGGAAATAATAATAACTAATAATGTCAGGGACGGCAGAGCATAAAGGAGGTATCTGTCAGGGCCAGAGCTAACGTCTGTTGGTTTAGGTTGTAGTTAGTTAGTTATAGTTTATTTCGGCTTTGAAACAAGGTACATTCCATTCCATAACATTTGTTTCAGTAATCATACTGTTTGGCCGAAAGAGTATAAGCTGAAGCTAGGAGCTTATAGTGCCTACCCCATTTAAATGTGAGACAAAAGGAAAGACAAAAAAAAAACAAAGAACAAACAGATAGTACGACACATGGTTTCATGTTTTTTAACTAGAACAACAAACTAACTAACAAACTAATATTTGCTGGAATTCTGTGCTAGTCTAAGTCAAAAACAATAAAGAAGTGCTCTCTCCGTAGAGCTGTTGTATGCTCTAAGGGAGAGAGGAGAGAGTAAGTAATGAGAAGATAAATGTAAAAGATCTTTTTATTCATTTCTGTTTTCTGATTTCCTTTTAGCTGAAGACCAGCAAGCGAGTCTACAACTTCTGTGCTTCAGACGCACCCAGCGCCCAGCTGTGGATGGACAAGATCCAGAACTGCATCTCTGATGCCTGAACACTGAGACCGGCGTGGTGAACGTCAGAGGAGGCGTTTGGGAAGTTGAGAGCAGAGATGGAGAGGTGTTTGACTGGGCTCCGATGTCTTAAATTGTGGGACCACAGTGAACAAAGTGCCTGGTCGTGGAGGATGGATGATGTTCATTCACCTCTCTGCCTGATACTAAGTAAGCAGCTAGCCAGGCTGCCTTCACTCTCCTCCAGCCTGAGTCAAACACACTCGTCTGTGCCTCCTCTGCACCTCCAACAAGGATGAAGTGGAGATAAGCTGACGTTTGAGGGGAATGCACTACCAAGGAAATGTTATCCTTTTTAAGCTGTAAATAGATCAAAGCAATATCACTGGCCATTCAAACTGTGGGTTCAATTTTAGACGTCAAAGAAATAGAAAATAGCCTATAAAGAATTTCTATTAGATATTTTACGAAGAGGTTATTGCTGCTCAAAGAAACGGAAGAACCGCCAAAAACTCAGAGGTTTTAATGCACAACATTAAAAAAAGCAATGTGTTTGCACTTATCTCTAAAGTATGCACTCCTTATCAATATAGATTTTCTATCAGATGCAGACAGCGAGGCTAAAGGCATTACTTTACATACATGTACATAAGACGTTTCAACAAGACGGATTTAATGATTTAATTTGCACAGAGTTCAAAAGAGCGACCTGACATTTTTCTATTTAAATACGTGATGTTTTCTCTGTACTGTCAAGTGTTGATGAATCTGGATAACACGTTTGTCTCATGTAATGTAAATTATTATTTTTATTAAAAAGTGTAACTGTGTCAGTGTGGTGGCTTCCTGTATTTTCTGTACATACCCGTGTGGCATTTCATTTTATATACTGTATGTAATGAACATAAGTATACTTTTCTAACCTTAACTCCAATGTGACCAACAAGTTGTTTTTAATGTGTTGTTACTGGTTCAAAAAAAACAAAAAAACCTGAGTGGCCTGTTCCTGTTTGTGAAACATTGTTCTGATAATTCATGAAGACCCTTTTTGTTGTTGTTCAGACTGTCCAGGCATGTTTCTGTGTCTGTGTCTTTTAAGGGCTTTTTTTTTAAAGAAGTAAACGATTATATCATGTAAGATGTTGTGGTTTTCAAAGATCCTCACCAGTTGTTTGTGCAACTTTTACAGTTTCAGTGAAAAAAACTCTTTAAAGATGTCAGATACTTTTTTTTTGTTATTGTATCTTTTCACCACGTTTGAAGGTGACACTAATTTTTTGGAGAATAAACCAAACATACTTGAAACTATCTGTCACTTGTGTTCTTGTACTGAGTTGATATCATACACGAATGGTCTTGTGAATTATTCACATTCAAGAATCAGTATAGTTTAATCTCGATCTATAAAGCTGACAGAAGTCATTTTGATCATACTGAGGTATAACATTTTCAGGTTTGTCGTTCACAAGTCCGTTCATCCAAGCTTCAGTGTGTGAACGGTGGGAGGACACCTTGACGCTACTGTCTTCATGTTTCACAAAAACATAGTATGGTATGATTCAAATTTCAAAAGTTTTCATATCATAGTAAAGTATGTTTAAAGAAATGTCATAGAATAGTATGTTAAAAAATATCATGATATAGTATGATAACAATTTCAAATTTTAATGTAACAAAGATAGTAATGTATGGTAAAAATAAAAAATTTTGAATGAAAAAAATGTCATGATATAGTGTGTTAAAAAATATGTCAGTATAGAAGGAAAAAATTGAAATTTTAGTACGTTAAAACTATCAGAGTATAGTATGATACAAATTTAAAATTTTAGTATGATAAAAATGTCATAGTTTAGTATGATAAAATGTCAATGTATACTATGATAAAATTGTCCAAGTATAATATGTTAAAAATTGTCATAGAGTAGTATGATAAAATTTTCAAACTTTTCTAAGGAAAAATGTCATAGTATAGTATGATAAATGTTAAAAGTTTAATTATGAAAAAAAAGTTAACACAGAGTTGTTTGTTGATAAAATGTCATTGTATAGTATGATAAAAAATTTTAATTTTAGTATGAAAAAATATCCTAGTATAGTACATTAAAAATGTCATGGTATAGTATGTAAAATAATGTCATGGTATAGTATGTTAAAAAAAAGAATGGAAAAGTATGTTAGAAAACTGTTATAGTATGGTATGACAAAATTTTAAATTTTAATATGAGAAAAATATATTATGGTACATTATAAATGTCATAGTATAGTTTGATTAAAAATGTCGTAGTATAGTATGTAAAAAAAGAATGAGAAGTATGTTAGAAAAATATCATGGTACAGCATGAGAAAAATTTGTCATGTTTTGTCATTTTAAAAAATGTCATAGTAAAGTATGATAAATGTTTAAAGTTTTAGTATGAAAAAAATCTCACAGTGTAGTTTGTTAATAAAATGTCATCGAATCGTATGATAAAAATTTCATATTTTATATATATCATAGTGTAGTACATTAAAAAAAATGTCATAGTATAGTATGTAAAATATGTCATGGAATAGTATGTTAAAAAATGTAATTGAATAGAATGTTTAAAAAATGGCATTGTATAGTATGTTTTAAAGGTGTCATACTATAGTATGTTAAAAATGTCATAGTATAGTATGTTAAAAAATGTCATTGTATAGTATGTTTTAAAAATGTCATAGTATAGTATGTTAAAAAATGTCATGGTATAGTATGTTAAAAAAATGTCATTGTATAGTATGTTTTAAAAATGTCATAGTATAGTATGTTAAAAAATGTCATGGTATAGTATGTTAAAAAAAGAATGGAAAAGTATGTTAGAAAACTGTTATAGTATATTATGACAAAATTTCAAATTTTAGAATAAAAAACATGTCATAGTAGAGTACTGTATAGTATGATAAAAATTTAAATTTTAGTACAAAAAATGTCATAGAATAGTATGACAATAATTTCAAATTTTAGTATGAAAATATTTTTTAGTATAAAGTTTCAGTATGAAAAAAATGTCACAGTCTTGTTTGTTAAATTTTAGTATGAAACTTTAAATTTCCGTAAGAAAAAATATCATAGTATAGTACCAAAAAAATGTCATAGCATAGTATGTAAAAAATGAATGGAAAATATGTTAGAATTTGTCATGGTATAGTATGACAAAAAATTTTGTCATGTATTGTATGTTAAAAAATGTCATACAGTAGTATGATAAATGTTTTGAAAATGTATGAAAAAGTTTAAGTATAAAAAAAATCTCACAGTGTGTTTGTTAATAAAATGTCATCCTATGGTATGATAAAACTTTCTAATTTAACTATGAAAATATTTTATAGTATAGTACATTAAAAATGTCATCGTATAGTATGTAAAAAATGTCATAGTATAGTATGTTAAAAAATGTCATGGTATAGTATGTTAAAAAATGTCATTGTATAGTATGTTAAAAAAATGGAAAAGTATGTTAGAAAACTGTTATAGTATAGTATGACAAAATTTTAAATTTTAATATGAAAAAATGTCATAGTATGGTACATTAAAAAATTTGATAGTATAGTATGTTTTTAAAATGTCATAGTATAGTATGTTAAAAAAAAGAATGGAAAAGTATGGTAGAAAACTGTTATAGTATAGAAAGACATTTTAAATTTTAATATGAAAAAATGTCATAGTATGATCTAAAAATAAAAATTTTAATTTTAAAACAAAAAATGTTATAGTATAGTATGAAAAAAATGTGTGGAAAAAAAGGTTATAGTATTCATATTCAAATTTAGGTATAAAAAACGTCATAGTATAGTATGATAAAAACTTTAAACTTTAGCATGAAAAAAAAGTATGGCACGGGGTATGTTAAAAAAGTCATATTATAGTATGATAAAAAAATTCTAATTTTAGTATGAAAAAAATATCATAGTATAGTATGATAAAAATTTCAAATTTAAAAAAAAAAGTAGTGAGGATTTTAGAATAACGTGTCTGACCAGATCGCCATCTTGCTACGATCCTGTTTTTGCTTTGAATTTGTATAATGACAGAAGGCGAAAGCTTATATAGGCTAATTATTCTTCTTGAGTATTGCTTTACGAAGCTTTGAGAGCAACTGTAGACTCAAGGTTTTGTTGCGATGAGTCAAAGGATACAGGAAGAAGAGTAAGACCATCTGAAACCGCCACGTTTCTGTTTTTTTACTGAATGCTTTGTCCCCCACTCTGTCAATGAAAGGTTATCAGATAGGCTTGCAACTTTTTTTTTCTCTGAGCCAACAAAACAGCCTGGAAAGGATGATGATGGGTGCAGCACTTGCCAACAATGAATCTGTGACTGGGCTCTCTGGCGCCGGGAGGTGCAGGACTCCTCAGGTCCTAGAGAAGCTTGTCTCCCTCTTGTCTGTAAACTGAGCTTAGAAGGGGGGGTTGGAGGAGGGGATGTTTGTTCCCCAGTATGATCTCCCAGCTGGCTTGTTCTGGCAGCAGGTGCAGAGCTGCAGCAGGCTAACATCTGGGCAGAGCCTCTGGCAGTCTTCTCCATATTTAGCCTCTTACTTTGGGTATGGGGATTAGGACCTCTGCCCCCAAAAGGAGACTGAAGCGGAAGTTATCCAGCAGGACTGTGTGGAATGGCATGATAGGAATCATTTCCTGCTAAGGCGGGATTGGCTTCACTTTCAACAGTCGTTTTATTGAGTCCACATAGCTGCTTTCCTGAGACTGGATCTGACCACATCATGCAAATTGGTTGTATAAAGCTTTAAAGACATGAAAGACTGTTACATAACCATGTCGTGAATGAGGCCACAGTTCTGCCCACGCAACTATTTATTCTGTGGACTAAGACAATTGATGAAAGCTTCTACCCCTCTCAGTAAAAACCTTATTTAATCTATAACAGCGACTTGTAATTGATCTTGTGCAACTTGGCAAATTGTTTCCATTGAATTCATAGAGATGGGCTTGGAGGAATGCTGCTGCTGTCCTAAATAAAGACAAATCAAAAGCAGTACAAAAAACTTACATTTGCACGTATCTGCTGGTTCTGGATCCCATAGTCTTGCACTCCAAGAATCTGGTTTACAGGAAAAAAAAAAAAATCTCAGAGAATAAGCTGGTTGGCCTTTCAGTTGCCCCCAAGTGACAGATGATTCTCATTTATTTTATTGGTCCTCCAAATCCTATCCTGACCCTGTCCATGTAGCCTCACGGTTTCTATGAATGCAGGCTGTGTAGCAGTTTCCAGTCCTTGGGTGCCTCCGTAGTGTGGGAGCTGAGTCACCGCTATTTGGGGCCCTTTTGCTTTTAATCCCCGTGATCCCTCATTGAGCACCTGTTCTGAAATTCATCGCAGTAACTCCAAATGCAGATTTCACCGGCTCGACTTACATTTTCAAGTCCCACCTCAGGGGTCAAGAGGATGTCAGCTGTTATGTTATGTAGGTCTTGCTGGGGTTGCAGATGGTTGTATCTGGACAATAGGCATAAATACATCTTTGACTGAAAGCTTAAAAGGGTTTACATCAGGAAGTCTGTCATTGGCCCACTTAGCCTTGTTTGTCGAAAGCCCTGATGTTTTTCACTCAAGACCCACAGTCCTTGAACCCCGAGACCATGTGAAATGTGCTGGGCTGTGAGGTCACTGTGGGAAGTCATCTAACCCAGAAAACCCGGCATCTGCCAGACATTTTTGCACCAGGAGACAACCCCAAAAAATGTCAGTGTTTCAAATCGGTTTGGATGAGGATATTTTAGAGAGGAATCATATTCATTGGTCATGGGCGTTCGGGCAGTTTTTCGAACACATGTGGCGAGGCTGAGGCTGCCAGAGATGTCCTTATTTTTGGTATGTCGAGGGGCTTGTGCAGTTTAGCTTCAGAGATTAGAAACCCCCAATTCTGAGAAAAGTCTTTGCACAAATAAAGGCACCACATTTTTCTCAGATTCTGGGATATAAATATCTCCTCTAGAAGAAATGTGAACAGCAAATCTATTTATCACACAACAGATTATTGACTCAAGACAAACACGGCTAATACTGAGAACCCTTAAGTCTCTCAGTCACGGGCAGATTATTCTAATCTTTTTGTGATAATTAAGAATTTTATCTATTGTTTCACTTTTTGTGAGCACAAATAAAGAGACAGTAAATCATTGTAACAAAAATGTCCTAAAAAGGCAAAGCAGTGTAGATGACATGTCGTGTTTTGGTGTTTTACAGAATTCCTGGTTGTAGCATGAGCTCAGAGGTTTGGGCAATCGGTCTCTACACCTGATCTTATCAGAGACCCACCAGTATAAAGAGCTGTAAGTATGAATGCAGGTACTTGTCTTATCTCCTGCTCTGACGTCTTTGAACTCAACATGAACTGTCACCAGAAGAGCAAATAAAGATGCTTTTAGAGAAAGTGAAAACTAAAGACAGTCTTTGTGTCAGCAGGCTGGCAGACTCCAGACAGACGAGCACCCACAGCTGATGGTTTCACCTGTTCCTGTCGCTTTGTCTCATCTTACAGGGTAACGTGGGGTAAGACAAAGGTGAGGTATTCATGTGAGGACAGTGGTCCTTTGTTGCAATTCTGATTTGTTTTGATACCAGGATGCAGCCTTTCTGCTAAACGAAGATAAAGAGTGATTCATCTGCTTCATGATTTCTGGAAAATGATGTCAAACCGAACAACAAACACATACCTGTCATCCAAACAGGTTGGTAACTAGGGATGAAGAGGCCAACGTTTTCTCTTCAAACCCTGACTCTGAATCTGCACGACTGAGAGACATGTGACACTACCTCCAGCTCTTACTAAAAACATAATTAAACAATACAATATAATCAAACATCCATGTATCAGCGTGTTTAGTATTTATTGCAATCTCATCGATGTGAAGAGGTGGAGAAGGGAACTTCAAGATTAATCCGATGCTTTCAGTGGCTTTATGAATGTAACCCACTTTAATGTGACACGATATGATACGATATGATAGGATACGATAGGATACGATAGGATATGTTGTGGTTTCATACCATACAGTAATCCACTCCATGCCCCATTTAAGGGAGTTTTAATTGCTCAACAATCTCTACAGTCGCACCAATTAATAAAAACCCCACAAATAGCAAACATTCACACACAATCCGACATTACAGATCCTTCATTTCATGAGTTAAAGCAAATATTTCAGAGTGTATCAGTCATGTAAAAGCAGACACTGATGTGTTTCAGAATCAGGGCTGATACAAATCTATCTTATCAAATCAATACATCCCTTCCAATGAGAAAAAGGATTTCTAAATAGTATGAACTGAATTATTCTTACTATATGGATTCGGCTGGAAAACTGAATATGTTTTTTATTGTCAACAACTTCTAAAAAAAGGCCAGAACCAAAATGAGGTTCAGATTCGATTTGATGGCCTCAGTTTATGACTGAAGGCTGTTGAACATTAATTTTCAAACTGTCGCTGTAAACAAATACATTGACATGTTTGACCTCCTGTTTTTGATTTTATTCTGGGTCAGATGTTTAAGAGTAATGCTTCAAACCTGGTTATTCATACATGCCGATGACAGCGTTCATGTTTATGACTACCTGTGTTTCTGTGTTCTTTACAGTTTAAGTTCACGAGTTTCTTACCCCTGTCGTATGTATCGTCAATGATGTCACCCTGCCTTGGCTTTCCATGCATGCTGCAGACTTTGGCAGGCCACACAAGCACGTGGAAGAGCAGGAGGGCTCCCAGAACGCAGCTATTATTTCAAGTATTCTTATTGCATGCAAGCGATTAATTCTAGTCCTGGGTGAAAAATAAAGTTCAGAAATGTTGGTGAGGTGTTAACAAGACCACGTGCTCTGGAGTGCTTACATCTGCAGGTTTTTGAAACAAGCACGGTATAGTTACATGATTATACATACTTTTTGTATGTTGTTGAAAACCTCATAATTACCTGGAGGTGTGCACGTCAACCAGATCAAAGATTTGAAACAGATTTGCCATCAAACTAACCTGTTGTTTGTCAAAACCAGAATATCATCATCTTATTTTGAGGGTAATACGCAGGAGCAGCGTGCAACCATCACTCTGCACGTGAAGCCTAAAGGCTGAAGGTAACATCAGCCCATGGTGGAGGTGCTCTGAGTCTCCTGGAACATCTTAAAAATGTTGTGTTTCTTCCTCGCATGTAAACAGGAGAAAAATGTGTTTGTAAGTTTTGTGGGATTTTGCTGATGACAGCTGCCACATGTGTTTACAAATCACCAGCAGTCCTAATCGGTTTGGAGCCGATTTAGGATCCTGTTCATACGCTGACACCTGGTGGTAATCACAAGGAGGACAGGTCCTTCATCCCAAGAAGGGAAGTAACTGAAAACATATCTTTGTCCTCAAACACAAACATGTTGAAACAGACATCTCAAAAAATAGATAGCTTTATTCAAATTTTTAACATCCAGGTTATAACTGTTACATTTCACTCAATTTTTGCCAATAAACTGAACAACATCGAGCTTTTGTAGCTTTTCCTCTGCGCTTTCCTCATCTGCACATCTTCTCGAAGTTAAAAAAACATGAAAAAATGAGTAAAAATTAAAAAAGCACACATTATTTAAAAAAGGACAACCTTATTTAAGATTATTCAGAATATTAACCTCTGACGTTTCATTAGGAGTAACAATTTAAGTGTCATAAATCTGATCCTGCTGATGAAGGCTCTGCCTCAGATTAAGTCAGTAAAGTGGATGTCAAATAAAGATAATTTTATCATTTTAAAAAACAAAAAAACTGAACTTTTCCTGCTGAAATTCCACGTCAAGCTACAGCAAATCAAATCAGTGAAAGTATTCTTGGCAGCTATTTTAAGGCTCCGTTAGTTCATGATATCAAACCTCTTCAAGGCCTTGAATATGACAGTTTTGGCTCCGGTGTAAATCTACGGCGGGATCTGTCTCATCAGCGAGTGTCCCGGCTGTCATTTTCACTGAGCCTGAGCACCTTGGTTCTTGCTCTCCTGCCACAACTTCTTCCTCAGCTCCAATTCAATGTCAGTAAATGAAGCCGGACCCCAGTTAGTGATCCTCTGCGGTGCTTTGTCACCTGAAAGAGTATAAATTCAATAATCATAACTGACAAAAATCATATATACATACCTTCACATTACATCCTTGTGTGACTGAAGACAGGCATTACACTGCTGCTAGGACAGCTCCCTCACTCTGTGCCATCATGTGTAAAGTTTTACATATGATGGCACAGAGGAGCAAAATCAGGTGTAGTCAACCGTTAATCAGATCAGTTCAATGTTAGATGGGGATTTCCACAATAAAGAAACCACCCAGGAGGGGTTACCACAAAGCAAAGTGGGTCTGTTGAGTCTAAAGTCAGAGTTTTCCGCCTATTTTAACCTGCCAAGATCACCATGGTAACGTCCTCTAAACTCATTAACTGGCTGGGACCAGGTTATGTTCAGAGTTACAGCTTGGAGTCAAATGCTAAGTGCCGTCATTTTGTAAGTAAAGGAGTAAAGGAGCTTTCTAATAACACAGAACAAAGATACGCCGTTATATTAACACAGACTGAATGTAGTTCACAGTGGAGGCCGACATTCAGGCTCATATATTTCCTGGATCATGAAAATCCTCCTCCCTCCTCAGGAGTTTTTCCAGTTTGCTTTAGATTTAATCTTAAACTCGTTGGTTCATTTATCATCTTTACAGCTTTTATTGCTTTGATTATTTCTCTGTTTCCTCTCTTTACTTCCTCTTAGTCTTCCTCTTAGAAATTAACAGCTGCTCTCGGTGTGTCATGTGGTTTCACCAGTTCATTATTCTATGAAGTAACAACACGATTCATCTCTTTCCCTAATTGCTGCAGTCGTGACGTTTTTTTATTTATTACTGTTGACGTTCATCATTTCTTCTCATCATATGAGTCTGACTGCAGCAGACGGATGATGGTTGTTCCTTTCTATGTGGAAGAAACATCAAAAAATGGGATGAACTCTCCCTTTTCTGCATGAAGCATCACAATACCTGATATCTCCTCTGACCACAGTTTTAGCTCTTGTTGAGCCAACTTGCCCAAACAAAGTCAGAGTGGCTGTTTTGTTTCCGTGCCAAAGATCTCAAACCTACCTGGTTGGATGAGACGCACCAGCCCCTCGTGTTTCTCCACCTTGTCTTTCCAGGTCTTCGTCTTGTGAGTTGCACGCTCAAGCTTCCTTGTCACCTTCTGTGTGACGTTAAGAGAAAGTCAGAGAGAGATTGATAGAGTCAGCTTGGGAGAGTGAAACTAAATGACAGCTAAACTGACAACTTCAGACATTTCAGCCGACAGTGGAAGCAGCTGCTGCTTTTGTTATTCATTATGTTGATACTTTTACTTTCATAAAAGTCTTAAAAACAATGAAGATTAGATTCTTTGTTTGAACAAAAGAAAAAGAAATGAACAAAACAGATTTTTGGGCCAAGACATTTTTTTCCACTCCAGTAGATTTACGGATTAATTTCTGTTTCAGATTGGCAGAAACATCCACACGTGCTTCCTGACCTCATAGTCCTCCAGAGCTCCTCGTCGCTCCTTCTCCAGTTGATCCAGCTGCAGCATGGCCGCCTGCAGGTCTCTCTCCTTAGCCAGCTGCTCGGCCACCAGCTCCTGTTTCTCAGCCTCGGTCTGGGACAGCGCCCTCTGTTGCTGCAAGTGAATCTGCTCCAGCTCAGCTCTCTTTGCAGCCTCGTCCTCCAAGAGCCTGTGATGGAAAAAAAAAACATAATGACGCTGCAAGTTCCAACTTATTCGCTTTGTACCAACTTAACCCTCTGATTATTTGAGTGTAATTTGGTGTAACTCTAGTTGGAAGTGTTTTCAGCTCCTTTCTTCACTGTTTACTGACATCTGCAGTGAGAATAGAAACCATAAACAGGCCCACCTCTGAGATAAAAGACAAGTCCTCTGATTTTGTCAAAATTAAACCCTGCATATCTCTCACTGTTTTACTGAGCAGATGTTCATAGAACTGTATTTACTCTTCTCATTTACCCGTGTACTGTCCAGTGAGTGTGTTTATGTGTCATGTGTGTATCAGTGACCTGGCCTGCAGTTTGCGCATGTCCTCTTCATCCTGCTTGGCCTGCCTCTCGTCCTCTAATGCCTCCTCCAGCCGGTGGTACATGTCCTCCAGCTCCCGGACGCGCTGCAGGTGCTGCTCCAGCTCACTGGACTTCTGAGCCACCTGCTCCTCCATCTGCTGACGTATCTGATTCAACACACACACACACGCACGCACGCACACACACACACACACACACACATTATTATGCACACCAAGCTCTGCAAACCAAATAACAATTTACAAACAGACAGTACATCTTTATATCTAAAGCTATATGCAGACATTTGCTAAAATCTACTTTAGCTATAGATGATAGAAAGATGATCTATCTATCTATCTATCTATCTATCTATCTATCTATGATTCATCAGTCGGTGCAAATGACATTCAGACAAAAGATGACTCAGCATCATGTGATTCATCATTTTAACTTTTTTTTTAAGCATGTATTTAATGGAAAGATGGAGCCACAGAGGGCTAATGGGAACTTTACCCAAACATTAAAATAGGCCAGAATAGACATTCTTGCTTTGACACAACAAATGCGTCACCACTACATTTGCAGGTACACTCCTTTATCCACAAATGTTAAGGACAGAACACCATGGCTGTGGGAGGAAGATGAGGCCCTACTGGTTACCATTTTCTCTCTCTCCAGGTCCAGTTTGTAGCGATCCTGCAGGTCTGACTGAGTCTGCATCCTCCTGTGCTCCTCGACCGATGCTTTAGCTACAGCTTCTTCCATTTCCTGACATGAACCAAAGAGAAAAGAGCGATCACTTTACTGCTTTCCTGCTAAAACAGGTTAAAAGTGGAAATAATTTGGAAGTTTTGGATTCAGAAACTTGGGCTCGTAGGAAAGAAAAGACATTTCTGATTGAGTAAATGTAAAATGATCTTCTTCTCAGTTGCATAATTTTGCTTTAAATGATCCAACATTAAATTTTTTTATTTTGGTTACTAGACATGTAAATCTAAATGAGTTACTAACATCAAACATCTCCTGACCTAAAAAGAGAAGTGAGCAGCCATCATTATCAGCCACAGCTCTGAAACACGTCTGCAGTCACGCCTTTCAAAGACTGCAGGTGTCCATGACTGATACATACAACAGTTTGCATAGTGAGTTTTGCTTCCTTTTTCAACATTGTTATCCTGCTGAATCATGTATTTTCTTTTTTCTTGACATTTACATTCAAGTGTTTCAAGTTAGTGTAAACTGAGTTTACGAAAATGAGGAGAAGTGAACAAACACTTGGACTGTTTTCAGTCAGTTATTAACAAGTTGAGCCAGTCATTCACTGAACTTGAACAAATATTAAAAATAAAGACTGTGTCAGAAATTGTAATCACAGTGATTTTAAGTTGTTTTATTGAATTACTTCCTTAATATCAATAAAAAATATTTAATGGTTTTAACAGGCTATTAAATTAGACTGAGGTTTCATGTTTGCTCTCATGCGATTAAAACCAAATCATTAGTGGTCGCTGGAGACTCATTTAGAAACAGAACCTTCTTATCAGTACCTTCCTCATGGCCTCCAGCTGCATCTGTTTGTTCTCGTTTGCTGCCTGGAGCTCCTTCATCCTCTCTGCGAGGTCTTCCCCGTCATCTTGCTGCCTCTGACGCAGCTCCCTGCGCCTCAGCCGCGCCTCACGATGAGGGGACAGCAGCCCCAGCCTCAGCACCTGGATGCACGACTGGATTGCTGACATGACAGAGGGAGAGGGGAGTCACTGTTTGATGGATTGCCTCAACTGTTTTGGATGTATTGTTGAAATTACAAACATGGAGCATGGAAACAGTCTTTCTGACGGCTGTTTAATACCTTGAATCCATTCCTGTTTCTTCTTTTTATCCGATGCACTGATCTCAAAGGTTTTGTCGGCGCACTTTATGATAAACAAACATTTCTTCCCTTCTTTATCTGGCAGAGACTAAAAGAGAGAAGCATATAATGGCACATTAAACTAAACACACAAAACCATGTGTGTTTATAAAAATATTGACAGTGGCAGCGATCCAGATAAAGGTCATGAGGTTTCTGAACTAAAACAAACACAGGAAGTGTCACTTACAAAGACTGCGATGCAGTGATTTAGAAAAAACAAAGCCCTCCACAACATAAACTGAGTTAAACCTCACAACCAACCTCCACACAGCAGTTTTGGTCCAGAATGATTTCTCCTTTCAGCTCCACCAGATCTTCACAGACGTAGTACGACAGCGAGCTGGGTCGAAGGACAAACCAACGCTCGGTCCAGTTCTTTCTTTTGTGGCCTTTTTTCATCATGTATCCCTATAAAACACCGAAACACAAAACAGAGGCAAAGAGACACCCTATTACTCACCTATAAACCCTCTGATTTCCTCAATTTAGAAAGAAAACCAAAGACAAATCAAGTTTTTGAGCTAATTTGCACTATTTTTCAGGTTTAGGGCGACATGTACAACACAGATCTTTTCAGTCTGCGCTTATTTCTGTTGCAGTGAACCAAATTTTCGGACCATGGGGTTATTGTAAGCAGTTCAGGAGAAATCCTTGTCCAATCTCACCTGTTTGAGCACGTCCAATATGAGCTCCTGGAAGACCTCGTTGATGCCCATGGACAGGGTTTGGCGGTTCACTTGCCAGAAGTGACTTATCCCCACCACTTCAATCAGCTCCCAGACAGTCAGGCAGTTGTTCTTCGCATGCAGCTGCAGCTTGTAATCAGTAAACTTCTCCACATTCCACCCACTCGCCATGGCCTCCGTGAGCTTTAGGAGGAAATACTCGATCTATGGGATGAACAGACAATGTTTGTTGGAGGACAGGGCAGGTTAAATTCACTCTTTAATTCTTTACATAAAAATGCAAAGATCCCTCTCACCTCTTCCAGAATGATAACCAGTGGGTATTTGTCCTCTGATAGAAAGTTGAAAATGCACCAGACTTTGAAAGCGTCATCATCAAAGATGAGTAGATTTTTCGTGCAGATGTTTTTCTTGTAACACAGAGTCCAACACATCTTGTTGAACTCTACCACATCGAAATCTTTGGGTACCTGTGAACAGAAATGCAGGATCCAGTGAGTCTCCAACTTGTCAGGACTATCATTTGTATTTAGACTGGAGTTTGTCTCTATTCAGAACATCCAGTCTGCAGGATGTGAGCTACAAACATGATGTCATTTAAATGCCTCATTTTCATTCAAGTCAGAACCTCCAGGGGAAAGGAAAAAATACAGCTTCCAAGTGCAAAGAGTGAAACTCAGGCAGTTTGTGAGCTGACATGAGTTTGAGATGCAACACATACAGTTTATCAGTGTGCTCTCCACAGTACCAAGCAGAGACCTGCGTCAATATTCAAAACTGAAAAAACAATGTGAAAAGTACAGCTTAATATTTCACTTTTAAAAGCGTTAACTACACCAGATTGAAATTAAGGTGATGGCTATTTTTTTGAATAATTTAGGCACCATAAGAATTAAAAAATGTCAATGATCATCGTGGAATATATCATAAATAAGTTTGGGATTATTCATAGCATTGTTGGCCCCACCTTGTCCAGTATAAATGTGTTCAGGTAAGGCATGTAGCCCTGGTTGGCCAGCGGTCCGTCATCATCATCTTTGAATTGTTCCTCAAGGGCCACAGGGTCATGAGGGATCTTCATCACTGTACACAGGTTGTGAGACAGCACCTAAACAAACACAACTTCAGTGTGATATAGACAATACTATAGTGCGTGAGTACTTTAGCTAAAGGCTGATATTTTAGCGCAAGACAAATCTTATCAAAAGGAAAACACATTGTTCATGGTAAGCTAGATTTGGCACTGGACCAGTCTCACAGTTGTCAGCTTCACTGGTCATGCATAACTTCTGTTTTCAAGGCGCATTTTCACTTCTCTAAAAAAAACAAAACCTCTCTTATCTACTTCAGCTTTAAGAACAATCATGTTTGGTTTTAAATGCAAAGCACCGCAACTTTAAAGGTCACGTCCAGTATCTTCCACCTGCAAACAGCCTGCTGTGTCAGTTTACTTCCTGTGGTTCTAGCGTGCTCTGCAGAGTCGAAATCAAACGTGACAGAAGAAAACCTTGCAGAATCCTTAAAGCCCAATTTTGTGTCTTTAAAGCCGGAGTTTGTGTCTTTGTCAGGCTGTGCACATTGTTATCAGACCAAGACTTAAAGCCAAGGCTCCTTCTTTCTGGTATTTGCTCCGGCAATCAAACTTCATATACACGAGTCAACTTCCTAACTTGAAAGAGCGTTAAATTATGCAGGATTGATGAATGGGTTAAATATGTGGCATGCAGACATGTTATGCCCATTATGTAGAGCAACACATGGACACCTTCTTAAAATAATGGCCGAAGTCACATGACAAAAATAACTTTTCAGTCCTTCATGATGCTGCCCATCTCTGGTAGAGTTGCCTAAATCCTCGGCTGAACAGATCATGTGATACTATCCTTGTAGTATAATAGCCCATGTAAAAAGTGTGAGTGAGGCTATTTTCTGAGAGTATTCAGAAAAATTTCTGATAAACTTAATCAGTGACTCAGGTCTTTATTTTAAAATCTTAATGAAGAGGGTGACAGCGTGTAACTCAATCAGTGAATAGGTGTGACTGTGTGAGGGGATGAATGATGTATCCAGTGTTCAGTGCTTTGAGGTCAATGACAAAAAGCACCATAAAAATCTGATGCATTATTATTATTATTGTTATTATTATTATTATATCAACAGGTAACTAATTAGCGTTTGAAACAAGTGAATGAAATCACTGCAAACCATTGAGTGTAAATCTCTTGTGAGGAAATACAGACATATGGGTCAATGACGTGACGCCTCAATATTCTGTCCGGCTGTATTTTCTTTATGTTACAAAGAGTTTTAAATGTAAAAAAATATACTATCTATTTGTAGTATCTCTCTAATATATGGAGCCACTTCAACTTTTCAAAAATCAGGAGTTTTTTGTAATTTTTTTTAACTTCAAAGGGTCAAAATATCATGTGGTGCGACCGTCCGGCCATGACTTCTGTTTTGAAAACTTCTTTGAAATTACTCTAAATCTATTACAATTTAGTTTCTGCAATATTCGGCATAATTTTGAAAGTGTTTTTTATTCGAGAGTGTCCATTTCATTAAATATCATGTGGTGCGACCATCAAAAAATGACCATTTTTGACACTTTTATGCTGAAATTTACTCAAGGACAGGATGTTGGATCATTCACCATTTTGTCGTAGAGCTATGGAAGCAGAAAGAGGGTTGGTGGTTCTCTCGTTTCTTAAAAAAAAAAAGACCTTTTCAACTGCTGTAATGGTGTTTGCACTTTTCGATGTCATGTGGTATGACCTCAAAAAAAACAATTAATTTAAGTTATTTCCACAAATAAGTATTTTAATCATAAATTTCATAGTGACCTTTTGTGGGAAGCTAGTGAGGTTTGTTTATGTGACTAATCCTGTATCAGTAAGATTTGACTGAATTTGAAATGTCATGCGGTGCGACCAGTTATCATGTGGTGCGACCACTGCAGATGGTTTTCCATCATAAATATATGCCCTCGATTGGCAGTATTTACGCTTTTTATATTCAATTGATGATTGATAAACACTAAGTACTTCATTTTTAGTATTATTTTGAATTTTTTTTGTTATTTGATGAGTCATTTTGCTAACATTTCTGAAATAATGGTTAGGTCATCTCTGTACAAAATTAAAAAAAAATATTAAAAGCATGCCATTTCACTTAAGGTATTTATGCTGTTGTTAGCAATTTATTAACTTTCATGTATCAATTTAAGTCATTTTAATTTATTTTGCCAGATGCCACTGCCGAGCAAAGTCAAAAGCGCTCGCTATAGGCAGCGTGTCAACTCTGACCCTGACCCCTCTGACCTCTGACCCTGCAGCATGTTGTTCATGCCAGGGCTGGTCAAAGATTGGGCCAAGATTGTTGACATCGTTGCGCGGATGGTGAGAGGAGCGCTTCGCCGAGAGCATTATATTCATGATCGTTCAAATCCGTTTGATTTACCTGATGACATTCTCTATGAACGTTACAGGTTTTCCTCGGACGGCCTCAATAGTCAGGTAACATGAAGTCGAAGCAATACACTAATATTTTCCAAGCTCCAAGTTCAAGTTTCATACGGCATATCAGTTATCATTCAGAATTTATTGAAGCAGATTAGAAAACTCCTCTTAACCCCAAATGTGTCTGCAGATGACATGTGACCATCAGATGATGGAGAAAAAAGAAAAAAGGCAGAGTGAGGAAATCACTGTTTACGCGTTGAAATATGTACAAATAAAATCTTCCAGTAAACCAGCTAACCACTTTGACGGATGTTTTTTGATTTATTTTTATTTGCTCCCACCTACTCTTTTCCCCACTGCTGTTGTATCTGAAATAATGAGGTCAATGATGGAGGTGATCACACACGCTGCATGACAACATATTAGGGGGCCATAAATTTATCAACGCACAAATGAAATTTACACAATCGATGATTTTTTTTGGCCAGCAGTCCCTTCGGCTTTTAGCGGCTGTAGCTGTCCTGCTCCTCAATGTTATAACGTTGCGGTACTCCTCGTATTAGCGTAAAACGATGCTCTGTTCCTCGGCTGTGAAATATGACGTGCAGCCTTCTTCATTGTGGAGATTGGTCCGGTGGCACTGACCCCGCCCCCTTTACGTGTGCGCGCACAGATCTAGACTGACCACAACTGAATTTAGTTAGCGAGTTGATATCCTGCCTCGTAGTACAGCTGATCGGGGTTACGGAGATCTGGTGAAGTTGAGCGAGTTGTGGCAGAGTTATCCTGGGTGTGTTAATCCAGCTTCAAAGTGCAGGCCTCTGGACCACATACACAAACACACACAGAGTTAAATTTTTGTAAAAAAAGGGAAATAAAATGTTCGCGTTCATGTTTGAAATGTTAATAAAATTTGGTTTTAATATAAAATTTGCATGAAATTAATTGTTCATAGGTCTCTTTAAATTGATTTTTAATGATACAAGGTCTTCAAGTCATTTGGCGCGACCACCAATCATGTGGTGCGACCAATAATAACATTAGCTATATCAAATACAAACTAAAATATCTCATTTCTGTAACCGAGACATTAATACCTGATACAATATGCTTACATGAAAGGTAGTGTCAAAACATTTTTATCAGTATTATGCAATTTAAAGAAAAAAATAATCAGTGAACTACATTTGATATAGCGACTGTGACATTATAGAGCGAATATATGAGATCATTATTTACAAAAACTCAAATAAAATGCAAAGGTGTTCCTATGTACTTGATATTACTGACAATTTGTAAAAAAACTATAGAGTATGTTGAAAAAATGTAATAATTTTGAGATAAATGATGGTCGCACCACATGACATTTTTTAAGGCCACGGGCAATCTATATGAAAAAACACTAAAATTGCCTAATTTAAAAATTAAACTTTAGTTTTTGTATACATAACATCCTGAGTGTTTGAACTGTTGCGAAAGATATTCTTATTTTTGGTATTTTAAAATTGGCATGTTGAAAAACCTTATACGTCATTGACCCATATAATAAAAAGATCGTCATTAAGATAATGTAAACACAAACGTTTAAATAAATGATGAAATAACGTTTAGAGTCTTTTCATGCTTTCGATGGCGTCTAGACTTATAAAACACACAGAAACAAGAAAAGGAACCAGAACTGAAACGCACCTTTAACTGAGACTTGGAAACTTTTCCACGGTGGTCCTCGTCCAGTGCAGTGAAAGCATGCCAAATCGACTTTAAAAGCTCACCTCGAAACCACATTTTGTCCCCCAACAGAGGTCCGTCTGTCTGTCTGTCTGCAGGTCGACGGTGTTTGAGTCAGACTGTCTGAGAGTCAAGTGTCTGAGTTTTAATCTCAGTACCACATCAAGGAAAAAGAAAGTGTGAAAATAGCGCCGCATAACGCAGGATCCGGTCAAAACCCCCGATTTTGAAACGGATACAGATGTGACTGAAATGTTAATGAAGTTTAATGTGATTTATAACAGTGAAGCAGGACAATGTTTGGACTCCACCATGAATAAAAAAGGGTTTATCTTTATTCGATCTATAAATTGGCTAATGGTATTATTGTTTTCAGGAAAAAACCAAGATACTAAGTCTTACTTTTTCACCTGTATATGATTTTAAACCAATAAATCATTTCTATATCACATCTCAGTGTGAGCTGTTAACCGGGTGTTAAACAGGTAATGTATAGTTAGCTGGTGATTATGCCAAATAGATTTGAGGTAAGGGTCTTGTCTCAAACTCATCATTTAATTTTGCAAAGTAACAGGCTAACTTACGGTGGCCGAAAACCGCCACTGCTGCAAAAAAAAAAAAAAAAAAAAAATCACAACGGAGGTTACCAAATCAAAAAATAAAAGAAACCGAAGACCGCTGCAAATAAATGCAGATAAAAAAAAGAAGTCACAATGGAAGTTAATGACACAAAAAAAAGTCACAGGGATGCAAAAAAAAAAAAAAAAAAAAAAACTGTAGACAGCAGCAAATAAAAAAAAAGAAACAGCGCAGATTAAAAAAAAAAAAAAAGGACGCAAAAAAAAGTGGCGATGGAAAAAAAATAGACAACAAATGTTACTTACTGCAAAATTAAAAGGATGCAAATATAAAAAGCCACAACGGAAGTCAACGGCCGGGGACCGTGATGATGCACCGGTGTTTTACGATCTAGACACGAGAAGACGAGAAAGGAAGTAAGTGGAAAGGTTATTGTTTAATTAGCTTCGTAATCTTTTTAATGTGTCATTTGGTTAGGCCATGTAGCGCCTGAGTCGACATGAAGTTGAACTGAAGCTAACACCATACCGGCATCCTCCAGTTCAACTTCGTATTAACTCAGGCGCTACATGGCCTAACCAAATGACACATTAAAAAGTATACGGAGCAAAATTAAACAATAACCCGTACACTAACTTCTTTACTCGTCTTCCCGCCGTCGTCTTCTGTGCCTAGATCGAGTGCATCATCATCATTGGTCCCTGGCAGCTCACTTCCGTTGTGGCTTTTTTTATTTGCATCCTTTTATTTTCGCAGTAAATAAATTGTTTTTGCATCACCACTTTTTTTCGCTTCATTAACTTCCTGTTTATTTTTCTTATCTGCGGTTTCTTTTTTTGTTTGCGGGCTTCGGTTTATTTTTTTTTGTATCAGTTACTTCCGTTTTTGCATTCTTTTTAATTTGCAGCAGTGGCGGTTCTCGGCCACTGTACTAATTAAACATATTATCCATTTGTTAGTATCTATAAATTTATCTGTTAACACGGATTCACCTGCCAACTGTGACCATGCCTACACGTCTCACTTTCTAATGGCAGACTTGCTTGTGTCTTGAGTAGTATGTAAGACTTCTCACCTAAAACACAAAGTGGCATCTAGATGACGTTACATCAAATCAGCTCACTTTTACTGGAAACAAGTTGGATTCTAGTAAAATCCCTCAAATTCAGTGGTTTCGATTATGTAGCTTTTGTTTCCACACACAGGTCTTGTTGTTCATTGTTATTCAGGGGTGTGCTGATAAAAGCGGAAATACGTATATGGTCGTCATCAGACTCTTTTGCACATTTGTATCGGTCTGTTGGGTCCAGTGTCTGCTCCGTCCATCTACACGCTGACAGGATGACTCCTTGGTGTTATGATTGTTGCAGAAATGCTGTTGCACGGGGCGTTGAGATTACAACCAAGATTTACAAATGAACGCAGTTTATGAAAATGTCAAAAACAAAACAATCTGCAAAAGTCAGGGTTATATTCATGCACAAATGACTTAAAATGTTTCCATAAAACAGAAGAAGACATTAAATCCCTTAGCTTTTTTTTTTAATATGTTGTTGTATATATAGATGGTTCATCCATACACCAACCAAAAGCTTGAGACCTTCACGATAAGTCCAATTGTACATGCTTCAATGATGTATTCAATTGTACTTTCAGTGCTCAAAAACACATGTCCTGCAGCCATACTGAACACCAAGAGCATTCTCTTTTTCCTGAAATCAATGTTTCTGAGTTGCCCACTGATCGACTCTGTAACCAGATGCGTGACAACCAGCCGTTACACAAGTTGCTTGCAAAGTAACAAAGTTACAGCTGTTTTCATTTTAAATAGTTTTTCAATTTAAAAAATTTGCAGTCTGATACAGAAGGCTAGGAGACCTGAACAATATGAAAGTGCTAGTCATTAATTTACAGAGATCAGGCATCACATAGTGCTATGAAGTATCCAATATGCTACATATGAATACAGCTGTTAACACCTTACAAATGCCTCTGGTTGTTTTTCAAGGCTACTTGAAAAATTAATAACCTTGGCTTGTATTTACATAAACATGTTTGTTTATGCAGAAAATAACATAGATATCACCACTACCAGAGGTATAATCATATTACGGCCATTTGGCCACAACAGTGATAATGAAATATTAAGTCCCATTATCAATTTCTAAACTGTTAAATCCCCCAATTTTGTTTAAGTGGGAAAAAAACAAAAGAGTTGCCGTCATGGTATCCCCTCTACACTGGGCTCCGGAAGACAACGTTGTTCAGAGCTTCTTCTCCTGCATCGTGCTCAAGTTCTTGGTTTGTTTTCCCCAGCCATTGGTTGCATTTTGGTTGCTTTCCCACATCTTCTGGTGCTTATTTCCCCGTTTGACAGATTGAAGAATGACTGAGAAGAACCAGTTCTGGAACCACTACTTAAGGGAACAACACAAGCTTTTTTTCACTTCACTACAATCAGTCACAGAGTAATAAAAAGTAGAACGGATGACTCAATTCATTCCTGGAGCAGTGCCTCCAAAGTTGAAAGTAGATGGCACCACTGGTGCTGTGAACTTGTACCCGCCGTGTTTCTCGATCATCTTGGATTCTGTAATCAGACAATGAGGAATGAAGGTTAAAAACAAAAACTTGAAGGAAGATTGTTTTCATTACATTTTTTAACTTCTCAATGTTGAACTACTGAGAAGCAGCCAAAGTTTCTCTTTTTATAAGTTAGTGATGAAGTCCAAAAATATTTGGGTTAGGAGAACAAGGACACACAGGAACAAGACCAGTTTTTAATAATTGTACAACCGTTTTGTTTTTGTTTTTACTCAGTGTCCCCATTACGCACACTTTGCATGTGGTCTATTATGTTCAGCTCCAAACATTGGTTCATCATCAGTCCCTATACCCAAAGGCCAACACTATGTCCCAAGCAGAGTCATGCACCATGCAAGCAGAGCTTTAACACATTATCACTCTTTAATAGAGGAAAAAACAAGATTAATCTCAGACTCAAGTTCTACTTTTTATTTTCAATCTAAGCTTCTTTTTGAACGCAAGACTTGTATGAGGCAACATTGACTTGAGTTAAAAAGCCACTTGTAAAAATGTTAGATGTTCCTTAAACCGATGAAAAAAAACAGCAGCAATAACAAGGAGGAGAGATGGCATGTAGAAAAAAATGCTTTATTGTTAGACATGCAGCTTCAGAGTTTAATGGGAAAATTGAGGTTGGTTCTCAGCAGGAGCTCACCATGTGCTGCCCGTCTCTGGTCTGCAAGTGTGCCTATGTCCTGAAGGTGTTTGCCCTGCTCCTCGTCGAGGGCCTGTGTTAGTGCCTGATACCACGCCGGATCACGGGTCTGGATATCTGTAACGGTACAGTCACATCAGTGATTGTTACAAAGCATTCGCATTCTTATCTTAAATTTTTCAATCATCTTTTAGGGGAGACAAAAAAAAAAAGGAACCAAATCTCTCTGAACAGTCGTCTTACTCTGTAGTATGGCTTTGAAGATCTGATACTCGTCCACTAAGTTGTCTTCATCATCTACAGCTGTAGTGTATCCCTCGAGTGCCGTCTCTTCAGCATCGTCCTCCTCCCAGTCTTCGTCGTCTCCGTCCTCTCCTGCCTGCTTTGCCAGCATCTCCAGGTACTCCTGCCCCTCTTCATCAATGTCATCCTCGTCACTGCCGAGCTCAGCTAGTCATGCAAAGATGTGAGGGACGCGTTATCAAACCTTTCAACTTCAAATACATTAGGAAATTCCCCTTGTGGGACTAATAAAGGAGTACCTAATCTTATCTTATTGAGGGTTTGTGGCCTTACCGTTGTCATCCTCTTCTTCCCCATCTTCGTCATCATCATCTTCGTCGTTCTCATGCTCTGCTCGGCAGGCGTACGCCCTCTTGAGGCCGTTGAACAGTAGGATGGCTGCTGGGAGAAGCTGACCAGCCACCTGGTTGACAGCCTGAGGTCTGTGCTCCAGGTCGATGAGGGCACAAAGTCCCAGAATGCACATCTTCCTGTCGTGAAGGCTGTAAGGTAAGCAGAACTTTAGTGTGACTGGATCTCTTTCCTTCCACATAAATCTGAACTTCACAAGAGTTTTCAGGTATTTTGAAACAGCCCACACTCTGGCTGTCACAAACTCTTACCCCAAGAAGCAATCGACATCTTTGAGCCACTGGGTAATAAAGTGGTTAGTGATGGGCTCAGTGTTGTTTGGGAAGCGTAGATTCTCCAAAGTGTTGAGGAGGAGAGGGGGGCTGTAATAAAGGGCTGCGATGGCCACCTGTAAGCACATAGTCCTCAGCTCGCTGGTCTTCACCTCCCGCGTCAAACGCTCCAGTGCAGCGGCCACAAACAGAGGGACAACCTGCAGCAAAGGCAAGATATTGACTCGACAAAGCAAAGGTTTGCAATATGAAAATATGGAAAAATGTATGTGGATGAATTGTGCTTGTAGTTCACTAAATTTTTATGTCCAAAGCTTGAAAACAGACAAAAAGAAAGCACTCACTTGATCAATTCCACGACCTTTGCACTGCAGAATGATCACCTCCAGTAGTTTGGCTGCATGGCACTCTGGGTCTTCTCCTGGATCTCCTGTCAGAACCTGAGTGAAATGAAGGATTTTGGTGAGCTTCCCACTTAACACAAATATCAGGGTTATACAGAACACATTTTTGAGTGCAGCATTTTTACCTTCTTGCACATGCTATAGATTATTTCCAGATATTTGGTGTCAGACAGGAGGGTATCTGTGTCGACTGTGACATAGTTGTGAAGGAGGGGCATCATATCTGCAAAAAAGACACACATGTTGTGAGTTGGTCTTATTGAAACTAGAAAATCTTCTAGAAAAGCTCTTGCATTCTCTCTTCAGCATCTTTTTACTTTAAGAGGATAACTAAAACATTTTAACATTCAACATTTACCTGTGAAGTAGTCAAATCCATCCTGCTGGAAGACTTCATACACCAGTGGAAGGAGCTGCCACATCTGTGGCGACACCTGCTGGCAGGTCAGGCTATGAGCCAGAGACAGGATCTCCTCATAGAACTCTGGAAAAAAACAGGTGAGTCACAGGAGGTAAACATAGTTTATTATCAATAGGTCATGTCTTAGACAGCAAGACAGGGAAGGTATTAAAGTAACACGCAGGTGGAATGTGGAGGCGCAACAAGAACCGGTCCTGCTTACCTAATACATGTTGCTGCAGCACAGTGCCGATCACCTGGAGACAGATGCCCTCCAGCTGCTGGGTGATCTGAGAAAAACAAAACAAAAACATGAGGAATACAGGAAATGAGAATTTTACCAGATATAAAAAAAACTCAAGAGGAGGAGGAGATCATGTTTTAGAAGTGGTGTATGATTTTATCTGGACAGCAAATTCTTTTCCCTGAAAAACTGTGAATCATCCAACATGAGGCTAACTGTAAAAGCTTTAGTCACACAGCTAATACAGTTTGTTTTGCATTTACCAATGTGTTATATATACACAGGGTAATACTGCTGAGAAACCGCTCGAGAAGGTAAAGAGTCAAGTAAAACAGGGTCAGTCTCGAACAAATGTTAAATAAAGGATTACAATGGATTAAATTCTAGGTCTAGTTTCTTTAAAAGCAGATTTATGACTCAATGATTGACTATTAATCCTCTCCACATGAAATCATAATCACACATTACTTCAAGATATGAAACACCGGGTGAATTTACTGGGCGAATATTCAAATTAAGTAGCAGCAATAAAAGATATCACCACAGTAACATTACCTCTCTTCTAACACACCGACATTAATTTAACAGCGGACGTCAAACTTAATGCCAAGTGTAGTCATTAATTAAAAAAAAGAGGCAAAGACACTTTGGTTAACCCAAAGAACTGAGCTGTTATACAATTAAGAATTCTCAAGCAACACTTGGTCAAATCTGTTGGCTTCTTGGCTTTCAGCACCGCCAGCCCCATTTTTTGGGCAGACACGGTGGCAGCGAGCCCCGGCACTATTTCTAGCGTCTGCCTCAGCCTCTGAGTCATTTTGAACATGGTGAGAACAGAACGTGTTCCCAGGAGTTGGTGGGTGGCTGAAGTGTGTTGGCAGGAAGGCTACAGCAGACCAGAGCTGCTTCTACCCATGGAGTGGCTCCGAGATGAGTGATCAGCCAGGAGAGTGTGTGTGTGTGTGTGTGTGTGTGTGGGCAGTGTGCTTAGTGGCTGGGCTGCTCACCTCTTTGTGGTCCTCCACCACACTTAGCAATGTGTCGATGGTGTTGAGGATGCCCATGGCTGTCACAGCCTTGTCATCGCCTCCCTCCTCATCAGGCCCCGTCTGAATCACCTGGTTGAACGTCATCGCCTGTCAGAGAGCCAACAAAGAGACCATTATGATCGCCACAGAGGAGTTTTTCTGTCCGCACATCAGGCTGACTCATTTCTATCCCGACATGATTACACATCAAACTTATATACATCTTCAGAAGCTTTCCCTGACATCACCAAATATCTGTGTTTGATTTTAATGCAGTTACCTGAGAAAAGAATAAAAAAACTCTAATGGCATTGTCAAAGGGTTTGCAGCTAATTGGAGGTTTTTAAAACTTTGAATGACCAATGAGAAGGAAGCATCTTGTTCTGGCTATCGAGAAATTTATAATCCTTGTGCCTTGGTGAGCGAGCAAGAATTTTCACCTGTCCGAATTTATATTTCTGGGTCAAAAGAAAAAGTAGATCATTGACTTTTTGTGAGAACACTGATTGAAATCTCCTTTTTATGCCTGCATAACGACGTGCACATTTCTCATGACTTCCTGATATGCATCTCTGGAGGTTCACGGAGAGTTCAGTAGGCCTCATGGTTAGGAGGATGGTATGTAAATGAAGACACCGACAAGTCGCCTCCTCTGTTCTGTCTGCGCTTACCAAGTGCTGTGTCATCTCCACTGCGATGGGAGTGACCTCCTCGCTGTATTCACAGATCATCTTCTGTATGACATTGGTGAGGTCATCGTTCTCCGTCTCCCTGACGATATGCAGGAGTGCCTGCATCACTGGCCGGATGAATGGGGTGATGTACTCTTTGGCTGGAAGAAAAACGGCAAACAGGCATTTCAGAACAATCTCCTCAGAAGACAAAGAGTTCAGCCGTTGAGGGACCTTCTGGGCTTTGCTGCTCACCTTTCTCCTGGTTGCTGATGAGGACCTGCAGTGCGATGGCAGCCTCCACTTTGACTGGCATCTCGTTGTCATTGATTAGACAGAGGCGTGTGAGCTCAAGAGCTGTCTGCAGGTTCTGGTCACTCTTGAACTTCACCTCACAGAAGTAATGCAGAACCCAGCAGGCCTATGTGAAAATGTGACGGCACATACTTGAGATCATTTCATGAGATCTGAGAAAATAAGCATGTTTCTATTCCATCAAAACCATTTCGTTCTTAAGTGCACGGTTCCTACACAGTATGGAAATAAATTTGATTAATTTCTGAGTCTTAAAAAGTTTGGAAAAATATTTATGTTTCCGGACTATTACCACAGTCTAAAATACTGTTTTTCAAAGTAGGTATTTCCAAAGATAATTCCAAAAAGTAGGGTATCGAAATGTATGGATATTCTAACTGTGTAGGAACCCTGTAAATGTCACGACACTAGTGCAGGAAAGATCATTCACCCTGGCTCTCATGTAGCCCAGTTCACTGCGGAACAGGGGGAAGACGTGATTCTGCAGCATGAACTCCATCTGGTCCTTGTAGATTTTTTTCTGTGAAGAGGAAAAAAAGAGAAATGGTTTATGACAGTCCGACTCGACTTATCAAACTAACCTTTCACTTAGTCCACACTCTCTAGACAGATAATCTGAGTTTTCGCTGCCATCTTACCAGTATCATAACCATAATATTTTATCAACAGCTTCACAATTTTATGGTAATATCAACAGAATCAAGGACAAAACCACATTAAAGTCAGCATATATGTATTTTCTAACATCCCTGTTTTACTATAACTAAACCCCACTCTGAAAAACCATCATTCATGAGAGTAACCACATAAAAAAAAAACAGGGCAGTGGATGAAATTTGGTTTCCTGTGCCTCAGTACAAACGCTGATCACCATTCACCCTTTAATACAGATATCAGGGACTTCTGAAGCTAGCTGAGGTGAGTTTACCTTCAGCAGGATTTCAGCCAGAGAGCCGATCATGTGGAGAGCACCGTCCTTTTTCCTGGGGTCAGAGGCCGGATCAGTGAGAATCTGGTAGCAGAAGCCCATCGTCTTTTGCAGAACCTAAATGGAAAAAGAATGGATTAGCCTTCAAGCCCCATCAAGCACTGATTTTGATAAATGAAGCATTATCGGTTTGTATTTTCTTTTGTTTAGTTAGAAACAAAAAGTTCAGATTTAACAAACTCCATTTTAACTCACCTCTTTCCTCTTGTTGCAGGCGGTGAAAAGGAGTGTCTGAGCTGCTGTTGTAGGAGAGATGAAGTCCTCAAATACATCTAAAAAAGGTACAGCAGAGATCAGATACATGGTTAGTCATCGATGATGCACCGGCTTCTTTTTGGACCACAGGCACACCGGCTCTCTGTGCTCACCAAACTTCATGCGGATATACTCGTACGGATCCTCCTGCCACAGCTCCTCATCACTGTCTGTGTAGCACATGAGGGGGAAAACGACATCCTGAATGATGCCCTGGAAACAAAATTCAAGAGTCATAATCAGGGACAAGAATCAACTGTGCAATTCAGGTACCAAACTTCAGACCATTTGTTGCTTAAACTCAAAAAATAAAAACTCTAAAACAGTTTTCGAAAGTACGACTGAACTACTCGTACAGATTAAAAGACATTTTAAAACAAGTTTCTAGTGGCAACACACAGTATGAAAACTGATTGTAACTACATGCTTTATTCTACTTTATTTGATACCTGGATATGTGGTTTGAGGTTCCTCCACGTCAGAGCGTGTGCTATGCCCTGGTTGATGTAGTTGAGTGTCTGCTGGAGTACTCTGGGGGCCACATATTGCTTTTCCTTGTACTGGTATAACACTTTAAGCAGCACCTGGTAAACAAAAGTCCTTCCTTAGATATGTGACGTGAAGCACAAAGACACGCAGCTTATCTTTATGCCTTATGAAGTGATTTTACCTGCTGAGCAGGAACTGCATATTCCTTGAGGAAAAGTTCAGCAAACTCTGTGTACTCTTTGGTTGTGTTGCCTGGACTGCCATACCTACAGGTTTACAGATGGTGTGTTAATTTCAGCACTTTTGTGTGTTTAATTTCATGGAATTAAATATTGGAGCTGTACCTCTCAAACAGCCGAGCTAAGATATGAAGGGCCCACTTCTTACACTTCCACCACGGTAGCTCGGGCCGCTCGTCTTCGTCTACTTGCATGGTGTCCTGTAATAATCAAAGACAGAGCCGGCAAAGTGAGCCTGTGGAAAACTTTTACAAAAACTCAAAACAAAAAAAAGGAATTGGCTTCAGCAGTACAAAAAAAACGTGGATCTCCTTACCGGCGGCACATCTCTGTCCACCACTGTCTTCAGGATCTCCATCCACTCTGTAAGGTTCTGTCTGTTGATGAGTTCCAAGGGGAGGTTGTACTGCAGAAATGAGACAACTCCAATTACAGATCTTTTCCAACATTAATGTTTGAAATGGACGTAACAGATGTAGTATTAACAAAAAAAGATATCCCAGTTGGCCAAAAAATTATTTTCCCCACTTGGACAACATTTAACATTTTTGTTCATCCGGAGATTGAAAAAAAAAATTGTCCAAGTGTTGTTACTGTGGATTGATTTTTGTCTAAAAGAAAATCTGGAACCATAAACCAAACCCATCTAACTCAAACCGACTGATTTTTCATTAACCTGTGTGTGTGTGTGTGTGTGTGTGTGTGTAAAAATTACCTGGAAAAGGGCATAGAGGATTTTGAAGATCTGTTTCTGTATGAGGACAGAGTCACCGGAGTGCTCAGGGAGCAGCTGGATGAATCGTTCTTTTAGCATGGGCATGAAGATGTGCATGGCGGCCACCAGAGGCTGACGCTCTTCTGGTTTCTTATATCTGTTTCAAACACAGTTAACATTAGTATGACATGTCCAATATTAACCAAAATTCATTCAAAATAAAAAACACAATATACAATAAAACTGACTCACTCATAGTTTTTGACGAGCTGGTAAAGGCAGAGCAAGATACCCAGCCACCCTGCGCTGTTGTCTGACTGCAGGTAGAAGCCAATCTTGTCAACGATGGTCGTCCACTTGCCCGGGTAGTCGTGTTTGATCATGTGGTGGATACATGTCGTCAGCTGAACCCTGTCAGGTTTAAAGGGGACAGTTAAAGATTGGCTTCAGCAGCCTACAAGTGACTCGGATGAAGAAAGCAGCAGAATGTATGGTTACCTGATACGCTCTGGGGAGTGGATGATGGCCTCCACTATGTTATCTCGGATGAACTGCCTGTCCTCATCTGGGATGTTATTGACAGGTGTCTCTGTGCCGGAGCCGTCTCCATCACTCCAGTGCTGGGTTATCATGTTCTTAAGGTAAATCACACCTAGGCAACAAGGCGGGAGACAAGAGTCAGCATTGAAGGCACTGCTAACATTTTAGTTTCCCTCATACATGGTGTGTACATGTGTGCAGTCAAGTAATTTATAAATTAAAGTGTCTGGCTTCACAAGAAAAAAAAAAAAGTCACATTTTAGTGTGTCTGATCCATTTAAAAGACTAAAACTTTAATCTTAGTTTGACATATTTGAGAGTTCAATATTTTTGCTGTATTAAATCACATTTATTTTGTTTGACAGTCCCTAAAAACTAGACCTTCCTGTTTTTAAATTTACTGCCTATAAGAGATGTTGAGCTCTTTGAAAGCTGACCATGAGATCCAAACTGATAACGTTGACTACTTTTATATCTTTGACTGTTTATGGCACTGGAGTGCAAATGGAGAACCAAGCAGAGTATAAGCTGCTGGAATAAACTCTTCCATCTGATGTTCAATAGTTTTGAATGTAGCACCAAGGTGACAGCTGGGCTCACATCTCAATGAGGGGGCCCCAGTCTGAGTTCTGTGGCTCACAGGGAGAATCATCTGAGGGAACAGAGGAGTGAGGGCCGGGAGGCTGACGTCAGACTGCTGACACAACCGTCTACACCACTAGCAAGGCAATCAAAATCCGGCCTATCAATGCTGACAGGGCATAAACCCCCTTCCCTCAACCACCAAACCATACCATCATCACCCAGCACTGCAAAGCCACTTGCAAATCTTTCATATCGATCAGATTCTGAAAATCACTTCTTGGCATTGCCTAACTGAAAGAAAATCCATCAAGATTAATAAGTGACTACTGTTTTATAAACTCGATAGTGCCAGTAAACACAGATTTTCCTGCACAGTCAGATAACACACCCCAGCGCAGGAACATGAATACAAAACACAAGAAATAAACCAGTTTATTACTTATGTTTGGCTTTATGGAAAAGTTGCTGCCGTTTCTGATAAAAAAAGGACAACAGCTTTTCAATCTATTTGTGTTTGTTAAATCCATTATCTGTCTTAAAGGTGACGAATAAAAACTTTTGAGACTTGGACTGTTGTGTTATCATTTTTTATAACTTTCTGTCTGAGCCAATAAATAATTCCTTGTCACATTTTAGTCATGAACATGCTGGCTTTTGCTGCAAAAATAAGGAATCCAGAAATTGGTGAGATTTAGGAAGTATATAAACACCCATACAGTGTGCGCCTAATGTTGACTTTTTCTGCTCAAACTGCCATTAATTGATATGGTACAGATTTTTTGTGAGTTCTTTAGAGAAAAAAGAAAACTCTCACAAACAAAATAATAACACGGCAAAACAGAATTTAGTATAGGTCCGACAACCACAAAAGAAGTATCGTTTCCCTTCTTGGTATCTGATAGGCAGAAGAAATCTGAGGAAGCAGAAGTATCAAAACACAAACCCCACACTGAACATGCTGCCGATATTAACTTTATATACCCTTAACCTTTTATATTAACCTAGCCAACATCAATCGTACTGTCTAAAGAGAGAAAGAAAATCACTTATATCAAGAAGAGTATTTTGTAATTCCTTTAAATTAAATAGCTGTCAAACAAAATAAACATGAGCACCAGGGTGACATTTTTTAAAGGTTGGCTGCTTTCCAGCCCGGGCCAGATAGCTAAGAGACTGACTACCTGCCAACACAACAAATAAAGACAACTGACGTTACAGCTCAGCGTGTGATCGTATTCAGACCGCTTCTGTGCAGTCTCTCTCTAGGAGCTGCTCCCTCTATGTTGCTCAACCCTGTCGGATATTTTTCATACAGCTGGAAAAGCAATCCATCGCACCGAAGAACATCTTACAACAGTTAAATGTCCTTGTACAGTCATGAATTTTTGAGGTGGACCTGCAATGATTTGGATATCATCTGTGTGCTTTGTGTAACAACTTTGGTGAAGATTTTAACATTGATTTTCCCACCACTGACACCCTCTATGCAGAGCAGCATTTGACTAAAGCAAAACAAGCTATATTTAAAACAGCTCCACGTGTCCACTCCACTTCAGCACGGAACTTTAGCCTCACAAAAACAAAAGTGTGTGAATCATGTGTCATCCCTAAATCATCTGTTTTTAAATGATTATGTAAGTGACCTGTTTTATTTGGGTCATAGGAATATCTAGTCTATACATCATATAACACAATTTGACAAAAGTGGAGTCAGATGCATTTGTGGTTGGGTTCAAGTGCCAGGGTGTCCTTATGTGGCCCTTGTAAGTAAGAAGAGAGGAAAGGCATGTGCTTTGTCTCACGACACTGTCCTTAAGTAGTACTTTCTACCTGGTAGTGCTGTATTTCATTAAAAAGAATAAACAAAATCAGTGGTAACACTGTTGCTATGTACCATCATTCCAAATTTATACAAACATTCTTCCTTGTGTTTCAGACTTTGTCAGTTTGAGAAGTCAGATGCCTCAAATTCAGCCTCTACTACTCCCCCTTCACCAAATGATTTGTACACTCAACTTTGAAAAGTTCAAAGTAAGATATAAACATGTCAAATATCTGTGGAATAACATATGGTACATTTTAAACTATGTAATTTTTTAACATCACATTTCTCATCAAGAAATTTAGAATTTAGTCTTTTAATTCAAGGACTTTTATCAAACCACACACCACTGACTGACTGAAGAGGTCGTGGCTACTGTGCATTGAGCCAATATTGTCTCACATTTGCAGGGATAGGCTTTAACAAAACCTTACAGCCTATTTCCATTGAAAGAGTCTAACATATGACTAGTCATGTTTTGATGCTACTCAGTACTATCACAGCACAGCGACAAAAAAGGAATAAAAGACCCAAAGTCATGGATTCATCTAGCTTCACCAGCAATTGTTTAATTTTGTGAAGGAAACTCTGACTCGTGATACTTTTGGCAAGTCTATTTCATTCTGAAATGTGGATCACATCACCATTTTAACTTCACATATAACTAAAATGGAATCTTTTAGAAATATGACAAAGAGTGTATAAGCATCCAGACTAGGCTCATCATAAATGTGTCGTTATCCCCCACCCCACCCAAAAAACAATAATTCAACTTCCCCAGGGGTGCAACTGATGCTGCATCCAACCCAAGCTTTTAAATTCATCAGACACTGGGCTCAATAACACTAAATGTTAACTTTATAGGTATACTTCATGTAGGTAACCAGGGTTGTTTTCTTTTATTTTGTTGGTTGCTCTCTCAACACAGAACATTCAGATTCAACAACAAATACAGTTAACATACATTAATCTAACATAATCACCTGACTGTGTTTACAACTATTCTTACATGTCGAGGTTCACACACCTGCTTGCCTGACAGGCAAATCCAGCTGATCAGACATGGTGACTCGCAGCAGAGTGGACACGAAGTTTACCTGGGTGTGACCCTGCAAATCAGAATTCAAAACAGCTGAATGTTAATCGGTTTGTAGACATCGAAACAAAAGTTATCCGAAAGTGGAAAAAATTGATCAAATATAAATCTATTCACAATTTTTTTTTAAATGGTCAACTCTGATAGAGGCTACATTGACAATTTCCTTTTCTTCTCTGTGAATGACACCATGTTTTATGTTTGTTTGTTCTTACTAATATTTTTCTTTTAATGACTGTATGTCTTGTTTCTGTTAGGTTTAAAAAATGCAAATAAAATTTCAGTAAAAAAAAAAAAACAGTTATAAACTGTTTTCTCACCATTTTGTTAGGAGAAGGGTGCATTTCACCTGTTCGTACTCAAGTTGATTGGTGTTTTATAAAAAAAAAAAATCAACTCTTGGGAAACAATTTTACCTTTTAAATTAAATGTGAATAAGGATTTTCCCCTTAAACTCATCGTATCAATCGTTTACTTTATTCAAAAGTTCAAGAGAAGCCGAGTTAATGTCAAAATACCTTAATCTGTTGCCTTAATTAATAACATCTATTGAACTGATTGATTTAAGTTGATCAAATCATCAAATATCATAAAACAAAGTTGTTTATATTAACAGGTGGTAGTCCTAAGAAATAAAGGTGTTTTAACAAACAGCTAAAAATACCAGCTATCGTCCATGAACACCAAACCTATTTTTTAAAGACTAAGCAGGGCAGTGCATTTAGAAAGCACATCCACCTCCATTAGATATGGGTTTTGTTTAGTACACAGCATTAACAACTCTAAAAAAACATCTTAGCCTCTCTATGAGCCATTTGTATCTTAGGATGTGTGGGTGTGAAGTGCTACCCAAGTCCTTTATGCAGCCAAAATTAAGAAAGCTGGGGTTTCCTTCAGCAGAGACACAGAATAGATATGACATACTGTGGCATAAATGTAAGCTCAATAAAGTCTTTTTAATTTGTGTCATATTTTAAAAAAGGACTAGCTTTCAGTGTTCAACATTTAAATATCCATCTAAGTGACAGGTTTACGAAAACTGGTATTCAGAGTCAATGAGCTTTCATGTCTTATAATCGTTATATTTCCTTCAACAGGCTCCCTTAAAGCCTCCAAACAACATTAAAAATCATTATAAAACACATTTATACAAAACAAAGCAGCTGAGAATCCTCAAGTTTTTGTCAGTCAGGCTCGGTCCTGCTAGCTCAGTTCACGTTAGCTCACGTTCTCGCTCTCTCCTCACGTTGAACTCGACTTGAGCAAATGTTATGAAATAGTCATATATGTGTCCGCTAAAGATGTTAAGCAAGGGTTCAGAAAACAGCAGGCTGAATTTCCCCGTAATATTCTGTTTTTTTTTTTTCCCCGCAGTTGTGAAATGTCATCAGTTCGAGGTTTGTCAGTGACACGTGAGCAGCAGCAGCATCGAGGCTCCAGCACTTCATCCAACAAGTCACCAAGTTAGCTCGCTTAGATTAGCAACACGGCCAGAAACCAAAGACCTGCTGGTAAATACGCTAACTAGCATATGTCCCACGTTTTCACAGCTTTAGTCGCCGCTTTAACACACCGGCCATCATATTATTGTATCATGTCAGCTCCAAAAAACGGTGGAAACAGTTTCAGGAGTGACTGTGACGAGCTTACAATGATCAGCCAGCAGTGCATGAAGGGTTAGCCTGTTAGCATGAGCGGCACAGCTGGCTCGGAACGAAGCTAACGTTGACGTTGGTAACTGGCTAATGGTTGTCATCGAAATATAATCACCGTGATAAACTTCATTTTAAAAGTGTTCTTTGTGTTATCGGAGTAAAATGAACTATAGTTTTCGAGTTGGCGTTTTGTTTGTCAAGGTAACAACATCGTAGCCCAGCCTGCGTGATGATCGCACCATCTTGATGTTGTGAACGGCCCAGGCCCGATCCGAGACCGCGCCACAACCTCCATCACAATTAAGAGCTAATCTCAACTTTTACCTCATTCAGCTGTCTCTCCGCGGCCTCCCGCAGATTTGGGTCCATCGTACCCCGAAGGGCCTCAACCAAAGCCTCGGGATCCATCACGAAAACTCTGTTTACGGCTCGGATTTTAATATTTCAGAGGTCTATCAATTCCCAGTCACTGCGCACATGGACGCACAGCTCTCCGGTTACCCGGCGCGAAAGGAAGCAGTGAATGAAGTACCCGGATAGATCAGCGCCAAATTTGTGCAGCACTTGCTTCCGGCGAACACCGAGAAGCTATGGGAGTTGTAGTTTTTTAACTTTACTACCGCTTACGTGCAAATGCCCATGTAAATACAGCGACATGACAAAATTATTATTATTAATAATAATAATAATAATAATAATAATAATAATAATAATAATAATAATAATAATAATAATAATAATAATAATAATAATAATAATAATAATAATAATAATAATAATGATGATGATGATGATGATGATGATGATGATGATGATGATGATTATGATAATAATAATAATAATAATAATAATAATAATAATAATAATAACTTTATTTATAAAGCACTTTTAAAAACAGAAGTTTACAAAGTGCTTTGACAATAGATGCAAAGCACAGATCATCAGCACATGAAAATAAAAACAAACAAAAACAAAAGCTCAGTGAAAAACAAGGCCTCCGAATTGAAGGACAATTTCATTTTTCATAAGAACCCTACAACAACATAAAATGAGACCACGAGGACCAAAATAAAAACATAAAATAGGTAAGAAGAAGAAATGAAATAGAAAAGTGGGGGCAGAAAGCAGGAAACGGATAGTAAGTATAAAAGAGGATATTAATAATGATAATACAATCATAATAATATAATATTGATGGTAATATTAATGATAATATGGAATAATAAAAATGAGCAGGAAAAAAAAACATTAAAATCAGTAAAATAAGAAAAGATAACAAGTAAAACAAAGGCTAAAGGATAGTAAGTCGAAATAAGATGGGGTAAAAGAGATCTTTTCCATTTTCATTCTGAACTTAGACATGTACTTACAGACATTACACTTACATAACACTCATTCTACACTTCATTCATACAGTAGCTCTTATTCTCTCTTGCTTGTTGAAAAATAAACCAAAACATAAATAAGACGAAGAAAGAAAAATGAAAAGACAAAAAAGAAAAACAGAGCTTATTTTAGGGATAACAAGAAAACTTAATCCATCCATTGAAGACCTGGCTCTACAGAACCTGAACCTAGCTTTTGGAAAATGTGAATCATTTACAGAGGACAAAAATGGCGATGAAAATATGTGGATGTACTCTCATTAAGCTATCAGTCGAAACAAACAAGTGTTTTTTACATTTATTTATTTATTTTAGACTTTATTTTGCAGTTTTCCATTAACAGACATACAACTTCCAAACACGGACCCCCTCCCCCAAGGCTCTTGAACAAAAAATGAATTAAACAGAAAAATACAAAAACAAAAATAGTCAGACAATGACCTCTTCTCATAAGTTCAGAAAATTAGTGTTTTTAATGTGTGTTATTAAATGGTTCTAACTATCCAATACAACTTCAGATGTATCATTGAAAGGGAAAACCTTCTACAAATTCTATAAAGGGACTCCAGGTAAGGGTGAAGTTTCTGTGGGTTTTACACATTTTGTATCTCAGTTTCTCTAAAGGTGGAAAAGATGGAACATCCTTCAACCACCAGAGGAATGAAGAGGCCAAGTTTGCATTCCAGTTAAAACGTATAAGTCTGCGCGCAAGCAGGGAAGCAAATGCCAATATCTGTCTCCAATAGTCATTGAGGGATTTGCATGACCAAAACATACGTCCTATTGTGGCAGGCGCATAGCTGCACCTTGGACAACCAGGATCTGCGGACCATAAACTCAAACCATAAAACACTTGTTAGTCTTTCTAAATCCTGCCCTGGAGGCTGCAGCAGAAATCAGAAGCAGTGACAATGACTATAACCCTTATGAAAGAAAAATATATTTACCAATATATTATTTAAAATATATTACAGTATTTTATTTTATTTTTTTCATTATCTTCCACTTATCCGGGTTGCGGTATTTTCTAATATGTTATTTTCCAATACATGTTCCAATATATTATAGACTGAAAATACATGCAATAATATATTAATGACACATATAAAATATAATACTTATATATTGGTATAATATATTGCAATATATTAGAAAATATAATTACTAAATATCATTTATGGGAATATATTGCATGATATTTCCCATTATACTGCAATATATTTTTCTTTTATAAGGGAAAGAAATATAGTCATTTCTTTCTCTGACTTTTACACTTAAATAAAACACTTCTATGAAAAAATAATCGGTTAGAGGCTAGACTTATATAAATCAGGTAGGGGAAAATTGTTTAATCTCGTTGATGACTTCAAAAGAAATCAGGTGATCGGGATTGAGTCGATCAGTAACGGGATGGCGGTTGCTATGGAGATCCAGCTGTCCTGCAGGTGGCGCTGTGGACGGTTACGGGGTTTTTAGTTGAAGGTAAAAGGTCAACCTTTGTAACGTGTCAACAGTCGGCTGTCACCCGAACACCGGTATCACTCCGCTCCCCGTCCACTGTTTTTGTGTTCCTCACCCTCATAACCGACTAAAGCGGAGCGGACCTGAAACGTTTAGTCTTGAAAAATGGCGAAGAAGCGGAGAGAAAGACGCGAGACCGACGGTTTGTCCTCAGTACAGGAAGAGGTGAAGAGGGATGTTAGCGACTCACAAGTACCGAAAGGTTGGTTCTGACTATGGTGGCTAACCTGAATGGTTTGAGGAAAGCTAGGACTTAATAGTGGTTAAAGGTAGAGTGAGCAATATAACGACATCACCGCGTCATTTACTCTGAGGTCAGTCAGGATAGCAGGTTAAGAGCTAATGTTAGCTGTAAACTCATTGTTGTTAATGCAAAATTAGCCGGCTATGGCTAGTCTTACATTTTTAAAGCTTATGGCAATATATCCACCATAATGGTGTCGTGTTTGGGTTTTCATTCATACACTTGAACTATAAGTAAAAGTAAAAGGTGCTAAAAGACGTTTTACCTATTTAATTTGTACATGTTATGGGCTAAAAGGTGTTAAACCTACAATGATAAGTGACAAATAGTGGTGACAACGCACAAGTGGATGATTATAACGGATTTATTGATACTTATGACACATTGAAATGTTTCTGTTAAATATATTCCTATTGTAACATACATGTGAACACATTAAATGTATGGGCAAATCTTAGTTTGTACGCCCCCTATGAAATTCTCTTCCTGGACTACTAAAGGCTCCACAGACCAAACAAAATATCTGAAACCCCCTCTCTCTGAAAAATAAACACCATTTGCGTGTTAGGATGTGATCCTGATCCTTAAACATCAAATACTCATACTTTTTAAGTGCTATACACCTATTTTTTTTTTTCGTTTGGCTGTCACATAATTGTACGAGAGTAAAAATTTAATTTAAAAATGTTTAAATAAAATACAATGAGCTACAATAACAGACACAAAAAAGGCCAAAAGTCTGTCAGAAAAATACATCGTTTCTCTTTCACTGTCTCAAAGGGGCAGACATAGTTCCCAGATGAGGTTTAGACAGGTGATGCAAAACTTTAGAGAAAATTGCACATGGCTCCTCAGCAGCCAGCTTGTGTGTTGTTTTTGTCGTCACTGTAAACACGCTTAATAAATGAACGCAACCAATGTCATTTTTTAAGTACTAAATCATATTAAATTTACACAATTAGAAGGTCAAGCTGGTAGATCGTACTCTTTTATTTTATTTACTGATACCCTCATTATTCCACCAGAAGTAAAACAAATATGCAGGTAACACTTGCCTTTAAAAAGCAGAAGCTTTGAGTGCGACTAAAAGCATGTTTAGCAGCAATTTCCATGGACTGTGTTAAGAAACTTGTTTTTCTCAACAGAGGTTCAGCACACTGCGGGTGGCTCGGCACGCATGTCATTCATGATATTGATGGCTATCTTCTCCTGCTCTGCATCAGTTATGTACCTGGTCTACAGGAACTTCCCTGAGCTTCCCGAGTAAGTTGCTTCAAGGAATTTAAAACTTGATTGGGTCAAGAAGATCAAACCTCAAGAAATCTGTAATTACACAAATACTACTATTGCTTCTTGTTTAAGATTTTTATAGTAATCTCATTAATTCATTGATAGTTGTACACATTCTATAATCATATAGCCTTCAAAATAAGTTGCATTTGAACTGAGTGTTAAGCAATATTGATGCATGCAGAAATGCTATGACAGTGTACCACCACAGTTGGGGATATTTTCTAACTGTGAAATCAGCAGCCTTGCAACAGAGGCCTGGACTAGTCTGAGTCAAGAAATGGCGCCTGATCAGACCAAGACGTAACAATGGAGAAGGGGTTACTTCTAAACCTGAGGTTGCATGAGAAGCTCAAATTAGACTTATTTTCCTGAAATGGCTTTTGCATTTTTTGAGCCATGAAGGTTTGATATATGCACATAACAGTACCTGGAGCAGTAAAAAGAAATAAAGAAAATAGTTAGAAATTGAAACTTTTTCTTGAAACTGATGACATTTTTAAAGAGCACTCAAGACCAACTGAGAGAAATTTCAGCCTGCAGTGTTTTTGAAAAACTACTCTATTTACATTTTAAACACAGAAGAGAACTGGACTAATCATTAACCAAGGGTTCATGAGGAACTTTATCAGTGACCATACATGAACCTTGTCATTTTCACTCATGTACTGATTTCCAGCGGAAGCAGCACAAAGCGGTCACTTTGTCTAAATCTAAACAGAAGCTATAGTGAAGATAGTCAAAATGGTTTAGAGTTTCAGAAATGAGCATAGATTATAATTAATTTCTTTCTTTTTTTTTTTTTCAGTGACGAAATGGAAAAAATCAAGATTCCCAAAGACATGGACGATGCCAAAGCTTTGGGAACAGTACTGTCCAAGTACAAAGAGACATATTACACCCAAGTGCTGGTGGCCTACTTCGCAACATATGTCTTGTATCCTTGACGAAGAAATCTCTTCGGGAAATTAAGCTAAACTTTAGTTAAAAGCTAGGAAGAAATTTGCTGTTGCTTAAGTATAAGTCTTCTTCATCTAAGAGCTGTCTGCAGGGTCCTTCTCACACATGCACCAAGACCCTGAATTTATTCAGTCAGTACCCAGACAGAGTGTGTACAGGAATACTAATTACCTAAAAATTGAACTGGACAAAATTTCAGCCTTCCAGCCAACTCTCTAATTACATGCAATGTCCAATTAGGCCTGTTTAGAAATAGAACAGGTCATTGTGCAGAGGATTGACAGCAAGCGAGTGGGTGAGTTGATGGTATGATGATGTCACAGGGAAAGTGGCTGATTCATACTCCTTCTGCTTGTCTTCATGTAGCTTCACACTCTTTTGTATATTTGACAGATACATTTGAGTGCATAGAATATTGATACTAATGCTCAAACAATTATCTTAATTATCGAGTCCTCTTCTGCTTCCAGTGGTCTGGATGCCACCTCTCTAAACTAATCAAACATTTTCTCTGTTATATTCAACTGGAATAAAAAGAAGCATCAGCCAATATCCTAACTTGATTCCTGGGGCATTGTCTGGAGTTCACACCAGAGTCTGCAAGACAAATCTGAATGTCCTTCAATTCTCAAACTATTAATAATGTATCGGTTGAGCGGACCTGTGTATGAAAGCTGGAAAGAAGGACATTTGTATGCAGAGCTAGTTTTAGAAATGAATCCAAGTATCAAATCTGAGATTGTAGTGAAATGCCAGCAGGCTAACGTACAAACAGAAATGTATTTAATTATTTTGTTATCTGTTACATTAAGGATGTATCAGTCTGTCATTTACCTTGACGCTTTTGTCAGCCTCCAGACGTTTGCAATCCCTGGTTCCATTTTCCTCAGCATCCTGTCTGGATACCTCTACCCTTTTCCTTTAGCTCTTTTCTTGGTTTGCTTGGTAAGTAAGGAGAGAGAGTGGCACATGATTGAAAACAAATGTAAAATCTTATAGTGTTAAACTGTGCATGGAAGTGGTTTCCACCGAGCAGGCACTTCTAAACCTGAGAGTTAGGAAATGCATCTGGAAAGATGGACAGTGCCTCTTAAAATGTTTTTTTTACAGACCACCTTAAAATTGATTTAGATTTTTCACAACTACTTGCCACCAGCTATAACTGAAGCTCCTGTTATTGCCTGCTACCATAACACTGTAGTAATAGACATGTAAGGAAGTTCTAATACTAGTGGTGTTGGCTCTGCAAATGTTTGTCTCCCACTTCAAACCAGTAGTTCAATCACAGGCCCTACGATCCTGTCCTCGGCATTTTCTTTATTGAAGAGTCTTACAACAAACCACAACATTATTACAACTTGAGAGTATTTTAGTACAGGTGGAATGATTGTATAAAAGGCCCAGCTTTGATATTAGATTTGCCTTTTCCTCATCAAAATTAATTCTCATTTAGCCATCATGTACTTTTCTGTTGACAGTGCTCTGGCCTGGGTGCTTCATTTTGCTACATGCTGTCATACCTGGTGGGTAGACCTGTGGTCTACAAATACCTCTCAGAGCGAGCACAGAAATGGTCCCAGCAGGTAATAGACTACACTGTGAACGGGGGGTATATTGTTTCAGCGATTTATTTATTTACAGTATATATACAATATATATTTACAGCAAGTTTTTTGGCAAAAACTTGCAGCTGTTAAAAAAAAAGAAACACTTATTCTACACTGAAACATGCACTTGTTTTGTTGTTACTGTGTGCCAGCTATTACTTCAGCTCTATCTGCATTTAGCTGGCCTAAGTAGAAGGTTGAAGTACTTATTTGAGCAAATATTTATTATTACCTGAACTAACAAAGTTGTTTGATGCAAAACAGTAATCGTAATTATTTTCTACACAAGGCTTAAGATCATAATGTTATAACGTCTAGAGTGAATACTGTGTAAAATATACACAACATTGAAATCAGAAGCCACGTTAAGATGGCAATTCACGTGCTAGTATAATTAATGGACCATAAATCCAGGGCTTATCCCTAATCAAACCTTGTGCTCTTTACTTTCTGCTGGCAGGTTGACAAACACAGAGATCATCTGATCAATTACATCATCTTCCTGAGAATAACTCCATTTCTTCCCAACTGGTTCATCAACATCACCTCTCCTGTCATCAACTTGCCTTTGGGGGTTTTCTTTATCGGGACCTTTCTCGGTAAGACTGTCTCTCCCTTTGTATTTTAATTTGGTAAATATAAAAATGCACTGTCTTCATGATGTCAAACTGGTACCTTTGCAGGAGTGGCACCGCCATCCTTTGTAGCCATCAACGCAGGTACACAACTGTACAAACTGACCACAGCTGGCGAGGCCGTCTCCTGGAACTCTCTGGCTATACTCGGCATCCTTGCCGTGCTCTCCATCTTGCCAGTCTGCTTCCAGAAAAATCTGCAGAAGAAATTAGAGTAGAGAGTAACACTTCAGCACCTCATCTGCTGGCTCATCCCGACGTCCCTGTCCCCTCAGCTCAGGAACGTGCAGTTGTCACTCAAGTTAATATAGCTCAGAGTCTGACTGCTGGCACAAGCACTCATTGACCACGAAATGCATGCAGTGGTGGGTCGTTCCTGAAGTGAAGTACCGTGTAAAATGGCCGCTGCTTGCACAAGATTCTTTTTTTTTTATCATTGTTGTTTTCTGTGATTTATTCTTATTTTATTTTTTTTGATTGATTCTGTGAATTTGGCACATCTTGTAAAAACAGACTTCCTTTTTTTTTTTAAGCTTTACTCATTTTCATGTTAATCTTGTCAGAAAAATAAAGGTGCTACTTGTAGGATGTTAAATATGATTCTATATATTATTCTAAAAATGTTGTACAATATTGCCCAGTTTTCATTGGGCAATATTGTACAACAGTATCTCGTTGAGACCGAAATTTAATCACTGGAAAACATCTGACTACTTCATATGCCTCGACAGTGGATTATCAATAACAATCCTGTATGTAGCACCTTTAAGTTTAACTCCTTTTTAAATACTTGTTTCAAAATGTTGGCGTCAATTTGCAACTAATGAAGTGTACCAGCACAGCAATAACTGTCACTCTAATGTTAAAGTGGATCTTAATCACAGACCTGTGGAAACTGCTGGTGCCTGCCTCTGCAAACACTTGCAGTGTGATGAAAGAATGGAGCAGCAGAAAAGAAATATTTTACTACCAATCTTTGTAATTGCCTCAGTGTTGATGTGTGGGATTTCCACATTATTCTTTGAGAGGTGCCTGGATCCACTGCCACACAAGCTCTTGATTTATTCACCAGTCTCTGCTCATAGCAGTAGCGTAGCAGCTCCTTCCCTGCTACTGCAACTCTTGGAGAAAAAAAAAAAACAGACTTAACTCATGCAGTATTTCTTAACAGGACGTCTTAGCTGCAGGTTGCGCATTTCTGATGTATGTTATGAAGAAGGGAGCATATATTATGTCAACAAGGCAGACGTGTTTGTATGGTCAGATTCATACCACCCAGAAAAACCAAACAGCAAATAGAAAATGGTTTTAGTGTTAAGATAATTACAGGGTGAGATGTCTCTGAAAGTTTTGCAAATGTTGATTTTTAGGCACTTTCTGGTGTGTTATCAGATTGTTTGTGTCTAATGTCTTTTTTTTTTTTTCTTCAAGTTAAGAACTGGAGTTATTATTCCTATCTATGAAGATAAACATGGCCCTCAATAATACTGCAGATGGACAGGTTACCTAAGCCTTACTGAGATTTTTTTCTGCTTCTAGTCTCCACCTGAAGAAATGTACTAAGATGCCTAATGCTATGTCTCATTTTGTGCTTTTTAGATTGTTTTAAAAAACCTAACTTTGTTCTGTGTGATAAATTTTTTACATTTTTCTTTTCATTAAGATGTTTTTTTTGCCTGTGTACTTAACAAAGTCTTCAGCTGCTGTTTTACAACCTCATACACGGTCACTAGGAAACTTGATACAGTTCATGTACTTGTGAGTAACTTATTCAACTGATTTTTTCTGTTATCTCTTAAAATCATTCAATTACGATGGACAGATGGTTTTTTACATTCTAAGATTTCCTGTTTATACTCCAGTGTCTTACTATCCAACAGATTTACTGTATACTGCAAGATTAATTTCAGATATACATTCGAAATAGCCACAAAGGCATCTGTGTAAATGCTTTGCTAATACTGTGAATGCTTAAGTCTGATTGTTTTCACCTCTCAAATTTGTTGCAGCACATGACTCTGTCACTCTTGTTTTAAAATTGGTTTGTAAGACAACTTTTAATTGTTGTCCAGGACATGGAGAGCATATTCAGTAAAAGATCAATGCTAAAGACTTCTTTGAATTGAATTTATTTAGAGGATACTTTTTTTCTCCATGTTCTTGGTGATGTAAAATCTGCCAAGGTATAAAAAAGAGGTTATTGATTCCCACCTTTATCTTTTCAAACATTTAAACTAAAACCTATTCTTGAGCTCATACTGATCAAAAACTAAGACTTGACTTGACTAGCTGTGTTTTCCCATTTCTCTTTTCAATGTAACTTGTGTAACCCTCTGTAAACATTTCACAAAGCAGTATTATTTTATACTGAGCGGTGATGGATAGCAGCGTAAATTGTTATAGAATGAAAGTGTCTGTCCTATCTAATCATTTTCTAAAATATTTATTGAATCATTAAAGTTATCTTGAAAGAATATGACTGAGTTTTTCAAGTTTTCTTTAAGAGAGCATGTGTGGTTTCAGACTGTCGACCCTGCAAAAGCCTTTTGCAGAGTTAAAATTCCGAATTGTTTATAAATGGTGAACGCAAACTCAAAGGTATTTATTTATTTATTTTTTTAATTATTTATTTTTAAAAATGGGAACAGTACATACTGATAAACATGTGTCATGTGCTAAAGGTGTTTAAAGTGCCATTTGCTACAGTACAGCTTGTTAAAGTGACGAGTGCATAAGTGTAAGTGTATTCAAACTTTGATTACAATTGTGTAATGAAAAACGACATTTTGTAAGGAGAACAATCAGTGAAATGTTAACATGTGAGGCTTAAATGTTATCTAAGTGCATTTATACAGATTATTCTAAATGTATGTATAGACATGACATATCGAGGGTCTTAGGACCAAAGTGACCGGCATTGATTTTAACATGGAACAAGTACCACCAGGTGGTGACATAGTAACACACCTGTTTTGAATCATACAGTACTGTTGAGGATAACTTGACTTTTGCCCATTAATTCTAACAAACTATTATGTGCATGGCTTCATAGTATGCTGTTCTATATGCTCAGAAATAGGGAACATCAAGTACTTGGTCTCTAAATCAGGTGTCCAAATCATTAAAAGACATAAATATATCTGAGAGATTCTAAATTTAAAAAGAAAAACATACATGTTAAGTCAATTTCTGGTGATACTCAAGGTACTAGATATAGATCATCACAGCTGTGGATGGACCACAATGCATTTCGACTGCAAGGCTCTGATTTTTATGGATGCTGGTAAAGCTGAAAGAAGCAAGAACACTCGGAAGTAGACCTAGCGTCCTTTCATAATAAGTGCCTTCATATTAAAATACTTGAACGCAGTACTTGTTTCTCCTACTCTAGGGGTAAATAAACTACATTCATATTTTTTTTTCTTTCTGGTCTTGGTATTGTAAAAAAGTGAGAAACGCCAATTTAATGTTACATATTTTATATCAAGACAAGAGGATTATTAGCTGCCATAACAGTGCTCATTATAATCTTGAAACTCCAATGTCATACAACGTGACCTCATTTATTTACCCTTTTTATTTATTTATCTCATTTAATTTCGGCTCGATTGGCCTTGACACGGATTTAGATATTTTCAAATGCAACTCTTTCCGATTTTTCTATTTTTGGCACGGGTCTATTGTCTTTTCTTTAACATCAATAATATAAGAAAATTAATACGACATTGATGTCATTTTGATGAGGAAGCGTGTTTGTTTAACCCATTGTTTTATTTTTATTTATTTATATATTTATTTATTTATTGATTTTTTTTTTTTGTCTGAACAGTGTTGCTCAAATAAAATGTATTTGCTGCTTTTATTGTGAAGGGTCTCAACCGGATGTGTCCCGGCCGTTGCTGTTAGCTTGGTATCGATACAGTTTCGAGCTTCGCAGTAAACGTATCATCCGAGATGGCAGAGAGAAATCACTCCTCCGGGTTCCTTTAATATGCTCCCAGCCGAAGGGAAAAGGGTGCCACCGGACCAGTCTCAAAATGACCACCGGCTTCAGCTCCGGTTCTTGCCGGTTCGCAGATTATTTTGTGATCTGCGGACTCGACACCGAAAGCGGGCTGGAACCCGACGAACTGTCCGGTAAGCACATTAGCCGTCGGGGTAAATGTCGGGCTGATGCTGAGACAAACAAGGAGGGATGGGAAGAGGTGTTATAACATACGGTTATTATTGTGCTTTTATTGTGTTTTAAATAACCTGTCGTGTACTGTCAGCTTTTATTCGCTGTCGTTTAGAGAATATAAAATGAAAGACGGACAAACAGCGAACATAACGTCAGGCCTAGCTCCTCATCTCTCCGCCTGTTTATGTGAAATGTTCTGGGAGAGCGAGGGGATTACTGACCCGCTGTGTCTCTTTAAAACACTGACATGAATTTCAATTCGCCTCTCATCTTTTATATACTTATATTTACCAGGATGATTTGGTGCTGGTATTGCGCTGCTGTTGTAATAATGTATTGTGAGCGACAGTGATTCAGGTGCTGGTGATAGAGATCTAGAGATGTTGTCATAGAGGCTCTCAGCGGTCACTGCTATTATTACCAGAGGAGACCAGGTAGAAACACACATGGGTGGATTAACGTGGGGTTAGCATGTACCATCATGGACCCCTCACATCCTAGATACACGTTGTACTTGCAGACATCCTCGTCAAGTAACCTCTTTAGAGGGCACACCCTTCCCATCACAGCTGTTATATAAATAACTTAATTGTCCAGTGAGAGAGGACAATAGGCTGAGACACACCTGGATCCTACATAAATGTTGAATATACATTTTTCTGTTTAAAATGGTACCCTCCTAATCGTGGATCTGCATTTGTATCTGCATGGGAAATAGTGACCATGAGGTCCCTAGGTAGTCACTGGGCTCTATGCATGAACCATGGGGAATTTTTTGCATGGCAACAGTGTCTGTTTATTTTTTACACTGCAACCCATGATCAATTGAAGATTTTTAATTATCATGAATGTGAGATTAATGTAAGAATAAGACACACCTATACAGAAATTGTCAAACCCTGGATGTAAACTACAGATTTAAATGTGAAACCTAACCTAACATGAACAAAAATATGTTAAAAAGGGACATTTGCCACTGTGTGTGTTTAATCGCTATGGGGACTGAGGGGAGGCATAAGATACGATGTCTTTTTGGTCACATCCATTTTGTAAATCTACGATTACACCATATAACAAAACTTGAGCCGAACTAGTAGGTGATAAAGGAAAATAATTTCAGGTCACACCTTGTTTTATTTACCAATATATTATATATATATAAAATTAATGTAAGAACAGGACACACCCATACATGGTGCAATCAGTGCGGAAATTGTCAAGACCCTGGATCTAAACTACAGATTTAAATGTAAAACCTAACCTAACATGAACAAAAGCATGTTGAAATGAGGACATTAGCCACTGTGTGTGGTTAATCGCTATGAGGACTGAGGGGAGGCATGTGACAGTGTGTGTCACCATGTCTGCAGATTGCATCTCTAAAAAAAAGATCTTTTTGGTCACATCCATTTTGTTTGGGCCCAAAATGTATCAATATTTCTCTCACAATTCTCATGTGATTTTTATTATTTCTTACACAAAGTAGTGTTGTTTATTTAGCCAAAACTTGGACCAACACTCAGTCAGAGGATTTATAAATCTACAAGTACACCATATAACAAAACTAGAGCCGAACTAGTAGGTTATACCCTTGGGTACAGGAAAAAGAAAATCATTTCAGGTCACACCTTGTTTATGTATCATTACATTATATATATTTTTGTTTATTATGATGTAAACATGTTATGTGAACGCTCTGTAAATGTCTGCTTACAGTACAATGTATACATATTCTATGTATTCACAATATATGACCTTCAAATGGAGCCCTGGATACATGGGCCATGCACTCACATCATCTGGCTAATCAGATGAAGCCCCAGCTCTGGGTCAGCTAACAGCTCCACCCTAATTTGATGGTGTCAATAATGTGGTGACTAAGAGATTAGTCGGCATGATTGCTCAGGTATTATGCTGTTTGGGATTCAGGAGAAGCTATGTTGAAATAATCTAACAAAAATGACACAGTACTCAAACAGATTTGGATTGCATTTGTTATTGATCATTATAGTGTTTTTTCTAATGTCACAATGGTATCATGCTCTCATCTAGAGTGACTGCAAGTTTTTGTTAATTGTATATTTAGTTTTCAGAGGAGTTCCTGGCATTTTTAAGTAATATAGTTTAACTTGATTAGTAGTCGTAGCTGAACACACTGTTCAAGACGTGATTGTTATATGTCTCTGTTTCGCCTCCCTATCAATGTAAAAGTTGCCGAGGTGGATAAAATCACTCTGTCTCTGAGCCAGTATCAGGAGTTGAAACCGAGGCATGATGCTAGTGAAACTACAGAGCCAGTGAAACCAAACGTCCCTCCGTCTGTTTAAGGGTGACGCTCCATTTGCTAATAAGGCTTCTTTTGTTCATACAAGACTGTAATGCTTAGAAAAATAGCAATAAAAAGAGGCTATTTGAGTCAGTGTTGATACACCATGTAAAGGCAGAGTACAGAAAGCTTCATGGGGGATTTTTTTTCCTGCACAAAAGGGGGCTTTTGTGTCCCTTTGATGACATATGAGCAAAGACAGCCCTAACCTTAATTGTTTTATTATCTTCACCTAAATGTCAAAGTATCACAAAGTAAAAACCCTGCTGATTCATATCTTTGGGAAAACCCTGACTGTTAAAGTGAATGAATGGTTGAAATTTATGCAGTATTTCCCTCTAAATTCACAGAAAAACAGGTGTATCGCACGTCAATCTGAATCATTTGATATTTCCTTTGATGGTTAATTCGCCTCTGTCAAGCACAAACCTGCTAACATAATCAGATTTAGGATGCTCTTTATTGTCATCATACTGAAAGTACAACGAGATTACAGAGCTTCTCCATTTACAGAGCAATAGATAAAAAAGAAAACAGAGACAGAATTAAAAGTACAAAAATAGTTGTTGTAAGAAAAAAAAGAATCGGTACAGACTATATACAAGATAAAAATCCTCTAGTGCAGTGCAAACAGTGCAATGAAAACTATATACAAGAATAGGAAAGGGAGATAAATATTAAGAATAATATATATATTTAAATACGTTCATATGAAATATCGAGGTAGAATTCAACATAGCAGCAGTGGCAGTAGTAAGTATATTGAAACATGAACAAGCAAGCCCACAAGCTAACCTGTTGTGTGTCTGTTACTTAATATAAAGAAGTTTTGTTGAGCAGATTAGTGCTCCATGTTTTTAGGAGTCTTGTTTTTTTTATAACTTCTCTTCACAACACAGTGATTCACAGGGAGGAACTCCAGTCTGTTTTCTGTGAAACCTCTGTCTGATTTATCATGACTCAGCAGCTGGTGAGAGGACTGTACAGCTGAGAGAAAGTTACACGCTTCATGAGGCACATTCAACCAAGAAAGAAAAAAACAACAAATTTCTAAAAACGCAGCCCCTCTGCTTCCTGTTTGTACTTCCACAAACCAAGTTCCTGTTGACACGTTCAAATTTAGTGGGTTATTACTGAATTGAGTATAATTCAAGAATTCATGCAGAGCTCTGACCAGTCCTGACCCTGACCTTCATCTTCACACAAATATGATTGCAACAGTAAGCACCTTTTTTCATCTGTCTTTTCAAACTGAAGAGATTGAGAATTTGAAAGCAGTGTCAGACAATACATTAATGGTGAGGGAGAAAACTCCTATGTTTGATCCATATTATTTAATTTGGACCAAATGCTGTTTATATTGAAATGTTTGTAAGTCAGGAAGTCAATATGCAACCTACATAAAAAAGTGTAAAAAAAAATACCTCCAGGAAGCAATATGTGAGTAGTGTTACAGGAAGACAAACCCAGAGTAAAAAAAAAAGACTTGCCATTGAAGGCAGAATGACAATTGCCATAATACCCACACCTCTAATGAAAAGAAAGAAAGGTTGGTCATAGTGTTATTTTACAGCCCCCTAGATTTGACAGCTTTGTATCCGTTTGAAAGTGAAAGTGGTCTCTGTGGTCTCTGCAGATGTCCCACTTTACTGCATGTTGTTGCTGTTTACTGTAGAGGAGGTGTAGGGGATTGCCCCGTTCACTTTAAGAACTGAGCTTGTTGAAAAGAAATGGTGCGGGATTTCCAGCGTGAAAGATTATCTTTGAATCTATAACCTCAAAGTGTCTCGGTGTTACTAGTGTCAAAGTGGAGTTTCAGCTATCACTTATGTGTGTGTGTGTTTGTGTCTGTGTGTGTGTGTGTGTTAGGTTTCTGGCCACAAATGCAAATACTTGGAGTCCTGGTAGGTCGTCTAATTTGGATAAGCCAAGTTTTATAATAAAGAGGTGAAGTCAGCTCCAGCCTTCAGAGTTTGAAAAATGTAGAATCATTAATCATCAAAAAGACCCATCTCCAAGTATTTCGGTGATTAATCATCAGTTTGGGTCATTGTCACGCCCATATTTGGGCAATGACTGCCTTTGGACCACATAGAAAAGAGAATTTTGGAGATGCCACCCTGGGTTTAAGAAATAACTGAACAATTATGAATTATTTAGTGTTCAGTTGAAAGAAGGCTGTTTTTCTGTCACCGTGATTATTAATGAGTTGCTTTTCTCTTAAAAATGTGACCATTAAAAAAATAGTTAGGGCTCAGAGGTAAACCACACATCTAACATTTACACTTTTAGACCCTACGATAACTGAATTAATGAGAAAAGAGGCAAAAGACAAAATTCTAAACAAATGCCTCTAAAGCTCTTATTAAAGATCAGGTTTACACCTTGTAGACAAGCAGTATCGTGAAACAATGGCTTGGTACAGTCAGTAAATAGTAAGAATGATTACTAAGGGGCTCTCCTCCCCCACGAGTTATTGTAATTATTAAACAGATTAGTGAACAAAGTAGAGTAATTATAAACACTTGGATCGTAATATTTGATATTAAATAGGTCAGCCGTGCCTAAAACTACGTCAACAATCTCTCTGCTATTGTCCGTTACTTTGTCATGAACCAAATCTTATTCTCATTCAGATCCACAGTGTGTCCCCCATTTTCAACAAGGTGCAGATCTAATAATGCTAATATACAGTGAATTACAAAGAGAACAACCTGAACTTTTCTGTCGGCCCTGTGTTCAGCAGCCCAGTGCGAACCTGATCAGCATATGTATGACCCTGCAGCTCACTGACTACACTGGAAACACAGGGAGCTGAGAGACAAGTACACTTGCACACACAGGCTCCACTTATTCAAATGCAAAATATCCTTTTGAAATTCCCAGGCAGCCTCTCTTCCCCCCGTCCTTACTCAGCAAACAAATGAGCATGAATGGCTCGACATGAAAGCTGGCTTTAAATGCACAATGTGAGCTTTCATATTTGCATTCAGTTGTGTATTTATGGCTTGTGAAAGGTTGGGGTTTAAAAATTGGCTTGAAAATGAGTCTGAATGAAAAGTTAAGATGCAGTGTGAGGATTAATCACAGTGCTTTAAGACCTCGGGGCAAAGTGTATCTTAAATTCACAGGAAAAACATTTTTCTGCTTTATGTTCGAGGGGTAAAAGTTGCATTTATTTTCCCTGTTAACAATGATTCATGACTCACAAAAGCAGCAAACTAAAGCATTTATCAGCATGAAAATGTTCAGATTGAATCACCAGTACATGAGGTGATAAACTGTGACAGATATCTGGCTAACCACTAAAATTCCCAAGATGCAAAAATTCTGTTCTAGTCTTCTTTATCATTATCAGTGCTTACAGAGTGGCGACAAAGTGATGCCTATCAATTATGTAACGTCAGGTTTCTGAGTCACTCCTTTGGCATTGCAATCAAGGAATGGGCTTATGGGTATTGTAGTGTTTAGATACATCAACCAGAACACAATTAATTTGAAAACTAAATGTGTAATTGTGGTAAAATGGGGAAGACTATGATGAATAGTGACATATAAGCATGAATAGTTATATTTACATTCTGTCTTACACCTTCAAATGTGCACATTCATCTGAATTGAAGCTCATGACTCACTAAAATGACTACAAGTGTTTGTCATTTCACTTTAGTCTTCAGGGTCCAAGGGGAAGAAGGACTTTAGTGATGGTTTGAAGTCAGCAGCTGGTCAAAGTTAACATTCTTCACCATCATGGCTGCAGAGTAATTAAACCTGCACATTCTTGTGTTAAAGTCAGAGTAAGTTTCTCAGACGTCCAATCCCCGGGCTGCTAACAGATGTTTTTTGAACTGATTTTCTCAGCAGTAACGTTTCCTCAAAGCGGTGCTAACTTTAAAGATTTGACGTCTGCAGCTTCCTGTAAGCTGAAGATGTGGCGTTGATTGGTGCGGTTCATGTTTGTAATTTCTGTTGACCTCTTTTCTCATCATCAGGTTCATGATTGAAGTCACAACCGACTCTGTACAGTTCCTTTTTGGTACTTATTCATGCTATCTGCAGACATCAGTGATATACAAAGCTTGAAAGCAGAAAATTTAACACATTATATTGTAAATTCATAAAAGTAGGGGTAGAAATAGGATATCTGTGAGTTTATCAAGGTGGAGTTTTTAGATTTCGTGCCACATTGCTCAGGTTGCCCAGAAATTGTAGGAGCAGGTGCATGATTTACTGAGAACCCCAAATGCAGCACAGGTGTGGTTATGTAATAACACCTGTGCTGCTCCTCATATAACAAAAGGATCTCAGCTGTTTTGATAGTAAAGGAATAAGCAGTGAGAGCAGTCTTTGTAACAAATACCTGGTTGTAACATAAGATATGGTGAAGCAGTTGGTCTCCATTGTTTGGGTTTGCTTGGGGAAAGTTAGTTTTTTTCTCCACAGTCAAAATAATTCATTAATTTAAATTTTAGTCTGAGAGCTGCCTCAGCAAAACTCTGACAACGCAGTCACGTCTCAGTCACTGTAGGAGCTGACTGTCATATCTGTTGATGTCGCTTTTTAGAGTGATGAACAAAATGTGATGGATAAAGAGTTCAAACTGGAATAAAACTTTATGTCACCTGCTAAATGACAGTCATTTTATCTGATAGGGGAAAAATCTGTAACTTTTAATACTGATACTATAAAAGTTTTATTCCTAAAGCTAACGAACAAACAGGATGTTGGTTTATTTTGGCTGCTAGACTATGATAAGAATTCTGCACTGATTTCGATAAAGAAGAAGGTGATGTTTGCACGCCAGATCCCGCCAAACTAAACGATAAAACTTTCCCACACTTTGAGAAGTGCCAAGATTTTAAAAAAAAAACAAGTCAGAGAAACTATTTGTGAATTTTGATCTTATCTGTTGGGAATACACGCGGTGCAGGCTGAAGTTGAGGTTGGGAGTGAGCTATCAGGCTCATGTCAGTGCCAGGTCCTTTGGGTGAAGAAGTGTTGATGTTTTTGCTGCTGAGCTATTTCCAAGTGTCAGCAGTGGCTTCAGCACATTCTGCTGCCAGCAGTCAAGTCCAGTCACGTTTGATTGTTGCTTTTCTTGTCACAGAGGAACATCCCTTTATGCGTGGCGCCCTGTTGGGCTGTGTTACTGTACTGTAGGTAGGTGTGAGTGTGTGTGAGCACAGGAGGGGTACATGACTGTGGGTGGTCCTTGGCTCGAAGGATGAGAGAAAAAGACAAGGAGTTAGAGCTACGTGACGCTCTCCACTCACTGCATCTGGTCCGCTCTCTATGGCGTCATCATCATGGTCTGTTTGTTAGAGAAGTCATCCGGGAAATGTTAAAGGGATATTCCAGTGTAAAATTAAGTAAGGATCAAACACACTGTAACACAGAGTCAGACACCCCGCCGAGAGATGAATGTTGCCGACTGTTTGCTTCTCTAGTTATACCAACTTCAGCAACGACCGCACCATAGCAATACACAGCGGTCTATGTCTTCACATGCAAACCTCGACCAAAAAGCCACAAATAATGCTCATAGCAGCACCTAACTTCATCAACAGTACATATAGGGTCCCAGCCATAGTACTAGCCACCAAACAACTTTTTAACTTTGCCTGATTTCTTTAGCAAAGAGACCAAACACAACTCACCTACTCTCTTCCAGCAGCCGCTTGTTTGTACAGAGACCTCCGGGTGAGTCCATTACCGCAGCGGAGTTTCGCAGCTCAAGGAAGAACATTTATGATAATTTCTTCATGGAAATGCAATCAGTCTGAGATGCTAAGGCAGAAGAACTACCACGTCTGCAGTGCAAAATGATTAATATGGTGATTATTACTTTAAGGTAATGAGAAAGTAATGATCATAAATGTTCTTCCTTGAGCTGTGTCACCCTGCTGCAGTTGATAGACTCGCCCGAGGTCTCCGTACAAACAGGCAGCTGCTGGAAGAGAGTAGGTGAGTTGTGTTTGGTCTCTTTGCTAAAGAAATTAGGCAAAGTTAAAAAGATGTTTGGTGGCTAGTGCTATGGCTGGGACCCTCTATGTACTGTTGATGAAGTTAGGTGCTGTTCTGAGCATTATTTGTGGCTATAGTGTGGCGTTTTGGTTGAGCCTGTGGCTCCTCAGACTGCTGTGTATTGCTATCACGTGATCGTTACTTAAGTTAGTTTAACTAGAGAAGCAAGCAGTCGGCAACATTCATTTCTTGAGGGGGCGTCTAACTTGGTGTTATGGTGTGTTTGACCCTGAATTAATTTTACGCCAGAGTATCCCTTTAAAGCTGTAGAGTTTGTGAGTTTCTCTAGTCATGGGCGACTTCCCATCAGTGCTAATTATCAGGTGATGATGGGGCTTGAAAGGAACACCTGGGCTCTGTCTGCACACTGCACTTGAACAGTCTGTTGTCCTGTGTGAAAAACTAAAGTACACTATCAGCACTGCGGTCTCAGACTCAGCTATTTTCATTTTCCTCGGTCTTGGAAACACATTCTGTTTTGCTTCCCTTATTAGTATCACAGACAAGATGATTTGTGCTCACTCAGTTTCCTTCTCTTTAAAATGATCCTGTGATTTTCACAATCAACAGAGTTTTCTGCGATGGTGCCATGACCTTACTGTGATTTATGTAAATGTATCCTTTCCGTCACCTCGATACATAAAGTGGCAATGCTTTTGCAGAAAACCAGAAATAATGAAACTGTTTTGGTGAAGTAAAACAACACATCTCCTCCTAACACCGGATGCGTCCAGATGTTTGTTGAGTCATTTCAACACTTGACTTTGTCCTAAATGTGTTTGCAAACCTCCTCGGTCACATTATCACGTCTGTTTTCACTTGTGTTTTGGAACGTGACCTACATGATAAAACCTCTCAATCAGCAGTGGTTGGTTTCGTTCTCTCTAAACAAACTTAACTTTCATAGTCTTTATATGTAAACAATGAAAAGTTGATAAGTAATCTCACTTTCTGACCTGATCTGATTTTTATTCCCCTTAATATTTGTTTGTTCGGTCTTATTTCTTCACTTTGGGCAGTAACTGAATAACTCATCAATCCACTTAGACATGAGTTTTTTTTCCTTAACCAGGGTTTATTTCTAAAAGTCAAAAATCAAAGCTATGTTTGTAGCTCCACTCAACACCTCCCTTAAATCAATGTTGTGTTAATACAGGATAATCGGATAATACTGGGCATTTACTTAAGGGATAAAGGTTCATTAATGCAACTTTAATCTGTTTTTTTTTTACCCTCATAAAGTCAGATTCATTATGTAAGATCTCATGTAAAATTCTCAGCTATTGCCTTCAAGACCAAGGAAATCATGTTATTATGCGAGTGGATCTTTTCTTTCTCAGAGGCCACATGCAGAAAAAAAAATCCCTGCCCAGCTACATAACAGGGGTCTTTTTATGTCAAATGTTAGATAACCTTTCTGTGCTCCAGGGCCAGGCTGTCTGCAGTACAAGAGCAGTCACTGATACTGTCAGCCCCGTGACTGTGAAATGACCGGATACACACATTGAACAATTCACAACACTGAGAGGTTCTTAAATTATCAATGGGAATGTCAGATTGTGTGACTGTGCAGAAGTTTTGGTTTTCTTGTTCTTTGTACGTAAAACTCTACATATGTCCATTAAATGTGTCGGTTTCTTGATAACCTCAAACTCCTCTAATCTGTGGCACTCTACTTTTATTTTGAAGCTTTGGTCATACGTTTTGAGTGTTTCTAAACAACAGAGTGTCTATAGGTTTAAGTGCAAGCTTCTGTGTTCACTTCTACAAAAAGACTGTTACATGTCAAAGGTGATAATATGCACAAACTTTGATGATGCTTTGACTTTTATTGACTTCCATTAAAGGTGGGGTAGGCAGGATCTGAGGAAGTGCCAGTTTTTGGGAGAAATCTTGAATGTAAACTCTACCCCTTTCAACCAGTTTTCCCCTCAGCTCCTCCTCTCCCCTCCCTCTCTTCTCCAGCAAGCCCCGCCCACAAACAGACGCTCCTGCTCGCTCATATCGTTCCAATTAAATTCAGATATAATGCAGATAAATACTTAAGATAACTACAAATGGGGCCCAGTCAACGTGAAAGTAAAAAGCATTGGTGCTACTGCAGATGACAACAGACTACCATTAAACACAATGTTTGAAGGACTTCTACAACTAGCATAAAGTGACAATTTTAAAATGTTGACTACACAGACATAACAAAACACAGCGATATCGTTATATTACCAAAAGTCATCAATAACTCATAGCTATTGGCTGATATTAAAAGCTTTTTTTATATATACACCACAAAAAAAGATGCTTCTTTAACAGAATCTTGCCTACCCCACCTTTAAAAAGATAAACTGTCTAAAGGCTGAAGACCTCCGATACCAACCACATTCCCATCAGCCACAGCTGTATTTGCTGCCACTACTCAAATGTTTGCATGCCAACATGCTGAAACAACACAGTGAACTTAGTAAACAGGACTTTTTCCCTTCTCTCTGCATTGTAGTTATTAGCATGTTAGCTTGTTAATATTAGCATTTATCTCCAAGCATCACTTTGCCGAAGTACAGCTTCACAGCACTGCTGGCATGGCCGAACACTCTCTGTGTGAAGAGAATGTAATCCATGCAGACGGTGAATGGATTTGCATGATCATTGGAAGAAGAGGAAACCAAAACCAACAGACAGACCTGATCATTGTATCATCTTTACTTCTGCAGCTGGCTTGAATTAGCATACCCTCCTGATATGGTCATTTCCTGTGTGCAGCTTGTTCTCAGAGCAGAGCTGTCAGGATGTTTTTTGCACTGAGAAGTGATGCGCTGCCCACCTTGAACCAGGCTTTTAATTCTATTTTTGTTTTATTTGTTGTGTAGCTTTATGCCAGTATATAGAAGCTACTAAATTCAGAGATGGGGCCAGAGGAAATTTGGCAAAAGAAGGTAACCCACCGACCACACACACTCCTCCCCCTCTTAACCTGAGCTCAGCTTTAACCCTCCAGCCTTTAACCTAGCACACCTTGCCTTATTTTTTCATTCCAGCTCTCTTTTGTTACTTTATATTCTCAGTTTTCACAGTTATTTTCGGCACAGGTGTGGGGACCCGCCCTTTCTGTTTCTGTCGAGCACTCTGATTTCTCCCCTCCTGGTTTCTGTCTGCCTCTCCCCCTCCCCTGGCAGCGGCTCAACAATGAGCTGATGTTTGACAATCACCGCTTCTGTTTCTTTCTCTCACACACACACATGAATCAAGTGCTGCCTGCGGCTGCGCTGGCATTGCTTGGTCAATGTTTACTCTCCCCCCTTCACTCTGAATGACTTTTCAGTGCTGCCTTGGTGTGTGCATCACTTCTGCCTTACTCTGGGTTCAAATCAACTCGATTTACGCTTCCTCTGAATGATCAATTAATTTTGTGTGTTTCTTTGTATTGCCATTAAAGCTGTCAGGAAGCACTACCGCGCAAAAGTTGGACAGATTTCCTTCTTGATAACTGACCAAATCTTGGAGTGAAGCTGCTTGTTTGGATTTGTTATTAAGCTCGCTGTCTAAAATAAAGTGCACATGACAGCTTTATATGACGCAATACAATCTTCCTCTTCAAACAAACATGCTGACTTGCTTTTTTTCCTCCGAGGCTGTGCCTGGCATTTTAAACTTTTTTTCTTTTCAGACCATTATTTTTGCTCTTGTATCTTGACCTGAAACTGTGCTAACTGTCTCTCTCTTTTGTTTGTTTTTTTTGCTCTCTCCTCTGTTTGTTTTTTACTTCCAGGTGAGAATTTTGAGCAGAGTCCATTGCGGAGAACCTTTAAATCCAAAGTTCTAGCACATTTTCCAGACAATGTCGAGTGGAATCCATTTGACCAGGATGCAGTGGGCATGGTAGGATCTCCCTGCATGTGTTTAGTTTTATGATTTCTATTGTAAGAATATTGAACACATAAAGAGGTGGTAGCATCTCAAAATCACTGCGAATGTGAGTAATAATACAACATTTTAGTGCAGAATCACATGAATAAAGCAGATGTTTCATACAGTGATCCGTATGAAACAGAGTGTTTAGTTCTATGATGTCTATTCTAAGAATATTGAAAACATAAAGAGGTGGTAGCATCTCAAAATCACTGCGAATGTGAGTAATAATACAACATTTTAGTGCAGAATCACATGAATAAAGCAGATGTTTCATACAGTGACCTGTTAAGCAGTAGAGTATAAGTAGAAATGAAAGATATATTTGACTTGTTTTATTGGTTTGTCCAGATTCCTTGAAGGAATGGTTCAAGTATTTCTGATAATATGTTTTTTATTTCATAAGTCAGAGAGAAACAGGACAACACTGAGCTTTATTGAGCTGAAAATCAGGTGGGAAATAGCTTTACAAAAATATTAAGGGTAGAGGGCCTACAGCAAACGCAGCACTGTCCAAAGGTAAAAAATCTTCACTAACCGGATGCTCAAAAACCCTCCAAGTTCTTATTGTTTTTCTCTTATTACAAAATTTGGTCAGCTGTGCGGCTTCCTTTGTGGAAAGCCAGGCAAAGTTGTAGTAGCTCAATGCATTCCTCTTTGTCTTCAGTTTTCTTTAACTGTGTAAAAAATAACCATTTGGTGATGAAGAAAATACAAAGAGTTAGTTTGACATTTTGAGTGCTGATAGATGTCACTTTGAGTGTCTGTTCAAGTTCAGCTCAGTTTCCAAATGTTTATAATGAGTTTGACTAACCCCTGTAGATATTCAGAGCTACCACAGATATTCAAGTAGAGCTTATCTGTTTCTCAAACTCTTGTAAACGCTCTTCTAAACTCATGTAAAATATGAGCTGAGGTACATCTGTCCTTCCTACTTCTCTGATAACTCTTCTGCCTTTTCCCTCACAGCTCTGTATGCCAAAGGGTCTGTCCTTCAGGACGCAGGTGGACACCCGGGAGCCTCAGTTCCACTCCTTCATCATCACCAGAGAGGATGGCTCTCGGACCTACGGCTTTGCTCTCACCTTCTTCGAGGAGGTGACCAGTAAGCAGATCTGCAGTGCCATGCAGACTCTGTACCACATGCACAACGCAGAGCAGTACGACATCTTGCACACTCCAACCTCGCCAAAGGGGCCTGTGGACCAGCGACACCAACTCTCCTCCCAGCCCCGTCCCGTGCTCCATGCAGCGCCCGCCATCTCCCAACTGCAGCGCTTAAACTCCTACGACATCAGCCGTGACACGCTGTACGTGTCGAAATGCATCTGCCTGATAACACCCATGGCCTTCCCTCAGGCCTGCAGGAAGGTGCTGCAGCAGCTCCACCAGGCTGTTACCTCCCCCCAGCCCCCACCTCTTCCTCTGGAGAGCTACATCTTCAACATCCTCTATGAGGTACCCATGCCCCCCTCCGGACGTTCACTCAAGTTCTCAGGCGTCTATGGGCCCGTGGTTTGCCAGAGGCCGAGCACATCTGAGCTGCCTCTGTTTGACTTTGCCGTCAGTGAGATGTTTGAGCTGCTGGGGGTGGAGAACGTTCTCCAGCTGTTCACCTGCGCTCTGCTCGAGATGCAAATACTGCTCTACTCACAGCGTAAGTACTACTGCGTCTTTTAACCTTCTCATGTTACCTCAGCATCCTCTGCATTAGGAAACATTGATTACACATTGTACTGCGTCTCAGTAGGTCAGCTCATGCACTAAAGAGATTGATGAGGATGTGCTCATAATAATCATATACCCTACAAACCTGTACTTTTTTCAATTGAGCTAAAAGGAGAAAAAAACTATCATTAAAGCTTTTGTTAGGGAATTATAGGGTAACAGGATCCTGTTAGATATAGATTTTTCAAAATATACCGCTGGAGCCAGGAGACAGATCAGTTTCAAGACTAGAGATTGTCAGGGGATCTGGTTTTTATGTCTCCTGTTGTGGTTTAGGAGTTTTCAAAATCTTTCTTACATCCAGAAAATACACTTTATGATTGATACATAAGATATATTTGATCAAAACTATGCCACATGATCCAGATAGCAGGCATTTTCCAAGTGCTAGTGAATAATCTAATGATATCTCAATGAAGTAAAAAGGCTCCTTTATTATAACTTCACTCATCCATGAGAAAGATAAAACAGATACAGCCTTGAAAACATATCTATTGAAGATGAGTTTTCATTCATAAGTCATGGAGATAATTTGATTTCATTGGTACACAAAAGCATAAAAAAGCATCAACTGGGTAAATTCCCTAGTTTCTAATGCTCTTACATGCTGTGAGCGCACATGTTGTGATGCTGTTTCTCTCTCCCGTCATACTCCGACTCTGCGGCCAGCTTCGGATATTTTTGGATGGTTGTTGTAAGGGAACAAAAACCACCGCCGTGGGCTACGACACTTATTTAGTATGCATGGTGGAAGTATTATCCAGCAGATTACATAACCTGTTGAGTGTTTCCATCAAAGAGATACACTGTCTGTAACAGACAAAGTAAATGTCAGCTTCTCTCAGCCGTCACACGCAGCAGCAGTCGTGTGTGTTTTTGTATGTCATGTAGGCATATTTAAACCGCTTCTGTAAAAAAAAGCCTTTTTTTTTTGGTGACATGTATTAATTTTAATCATCTGGTGAATAATTTGTCTGAGCTTAACAGAAAAAAATCACAAATTGCAGAGATGCTTATATGATTTGATCATCGGTTGTAGCTGCTATAAAGATAAAGATGAACTGAATCCATCTCATCCTTCACCGAGCTGGATAGAAAAATAGAAAAGGTGGCCTCTGAGTCCTCTCGAGATGATTTGTGTGTATTTGTGTGTGTGAAGAGGAAAAAGGAAATCATTCAAGCCTCCAAGGTCTGGTGTGGTGATTGGATCCATTACACAGGCAAGAGAAGGCAAATGGTTTACAAAACTCCAGGGGAGGGTCTGGGGGGAGAAGCTCTTAAGGGGGAAAGCTGTGGTGTTGCCAGGCAACCTGGAGACAGGGAGGATAGCAGTGATGCAGGGCGATTATTATTGGTTGGAAGTGACATCATGCCACTTTTTTTTCTCTCCCCCCACATGAAGCTCATCACTGCAGAACGTGTGAAGAGTGTTGTGTTGTGTCGAGTTAAGCCCTGGCAATCTTCCACGGAGAAGAAACGAGGGATTGTTGGGAAGAAGATGCCATGCTCTTATTCACACACACTCACACAGAGGAGGGAAGCTCTTTAAATAAGTAGACCATGTATTTGCTATGTGACAGAAATAGCGCTGTAATACATTCCTCTGATAAAGATAAAAACAACACTGACTGCAGCTAGTCTCGACTCTACGAAGACATCAGAAGAAAAAAAAAGAGGTTTAAAATCTTTCCGCTGCTGCTGCTGCTTCCACTTTGTTCTAACAGGAAGAAGAAAATCATGTGCCAATCATGTGTCGGCCGTTGTGACATGCAGCTATTAAGCCATTCCTTGTTTTTGCTCATTCATAGGATTCCTCTGTCTGTACGTGATCGGTGACGGAAAAGATAAATATTTAAAGAAGAGGGCGATGAGTTTGGAGGAGAGATCTGAAGGATTTTAGAGTTACACAACACTCGATCGAGCCACAGTGATGCTTCTGATTCATCTAAAATTAGATCAAATAACACAAATTTGAGGGGAGATATCTGTCTGTGCTTTTTCCATATTTACAACAAAAAATTGGTGTCCATTTAAGATTTATTCAAATTTTTAAATTGCGAACCACAGATGTAGATGTAAACTGCTCAGAACGGTCCAGAACCGGGTAACGCTGCTCTGCTTTACTACTCTGTTGAGTAGAGAAGTACAAAACATCAAACTCTGTCCTCAGCTGTCCACGGAAAGTCTCCTTTTGGATTACTTTTACCAGGACACCGCATTTTTAACAGTCAGATGTACTTTTATAACCACAAAATGTGCCAGTTTATTTTAACCTTATAGTTTATGAGAGCTTCCTAACAACATCCTGTATTTTAGTGTTGGTAAACTTAATTATTTGTAACATATGAACTGATAAAATACATTGCATGTTAAATGGAGAGCCACTTGACTTGAAAATGGGTTTTTATTTTGCTAATGTCATTCTGATTCTTGCTGTATTAAATTATATCATCACTTATGAACTTTTTTATCACATTCTCAGATTTTATTCTCAGATAAATTTATTATTCTGATTCTGATTCTACTAAAAGTTGAGGTTTGTGTACCTTTCCTGAAAATTCCTGGCACAAATATACTTAGCCGAGCTGGATTTAGTTCTTCAAATGCCAGTTAATGGCACAAAAAGATAAGAGTGGCTTGTTGGGTAAAGAGTGTAAGAGTCAGCATGAGAATATTTAATGTTTGCTAACATGCTGTTGTGGGGTTTACATCAGAACCTTGAGCTTGCTTTCACTTTGTAACAGAAGTTATACCAGAAACAAATATCATAGAAGGTATTGTTGTATTTGAGGTGTCCAGAAGTGACAGTTTTCTGAGAATTTTTTTTCTTTTCCATCCTCATGAAGCACAAGACCTCTGTTTTTAAAAGTACCGTTCAAGTAGAGTTATTATTTTTTCAAATCCTGACAAAGGGGGTAGTAAAGACTGAAGTAAACACTGTCAAAGTCGAGCACATTTGATCTAAAAAGGTTAAAGATGGTCTCATTGAGTTTGATGATGCGTCAGTGGCACCACTGGTATTTAGTCCTCTTTGCATGTTAATGTCAACATGCCAGTGTTGGTTACACATCGCTCATGTCTGGATCAAAATACTGCAGAACTATGTCATGCTACGGGATACTATCTCCCATCTACACTTGTTTACATTTGGGTAGAGCGTCACAGGATAATTTCAGTAACTGGAGCCACAGTCCCAGCAGCCACGCTACAGCTTAGACACAACATATGATTGACATTTAGACCTACAGTAGGACAGATATCGATCATTCTATTCAGGGACCGCTAAATGAGGGTAACAACATTTGACTGGTTAGTTCACTAATCAATAAGCTAACATCACAAAGAGATTGTAGTTGGATTTTTAAAAAGTTGATTTTGAATCATTAATTTTTTTTTGTCTCATTTTAGATTATCTATCATGGATTTTTTTATGTATATATGTTGTTTTTATGCTGTTCAAACACATTTTATTAAACAAGCAGTGAAATCAGAATCATGCAGGACCTCCATATGTAGAAATGTTTCTCTGTGTGCGTCCACTTTAGTTTTCGGGCTACTGTGCTGCATATATTTGCCATCCAACTGTAAACTGAACAGTTCAAGCATCACTCCAACTCTGAACTGCATCCAGTTCTCAGTGTGGGCATGTACAAACTGTTCAAGCATTTGAGTATATATAGGCATCAGTACTTGACTGTTTGAGACTCGAGTTGAAGTGGTTTCTTGTTTCAGTGGCCCAGTTTAAGTGCAGACGGGTGATGTTAGTATTCCTGTCCCCGTCCTGGGAGAGGAAGAAGGGGGATGAAGGAGGGGGGAGGCAAAGGCAGAGGGTGAGAGTCTCTTCTCACGGGAGCAGCAGCATATAACCAAATGAAGGAATGGTATTTGTTTTGGCTCCATATCAGGAGAGGCAGAGCTGCTGTCTAATGTACAGTAGGTGTCAAAAGGATAGAGCAGGAATGCAGATGAAGAGGACTGGATACATATTTGCACTTATACACGTTGACTCAAGTGTGAACATAGAAGGAGTGGAGATGTGTGGAGTCATGACAAAGGAATTCCACATTAGCCAGAGGGAAGACTGACTGCAGCTGTGACAAAGTTCACGCAGTCTTCTTGTTTCTTCAAAAGATATCAGCCACAGAGGTCTTACTGAGGACTTCCTCTGTGGATCAGATGGACTCGCCTCAAAGGGATCAAATCAATACTGTGATGGTTGAGCATCAATATGATGTCTTTAAAAAAGGCGGTAAAATGTGCATACAGGTGAAGTTACAGCACTTATAAATCCATCAGTTCTGATTAGATCAAATATAGCTGAAGACTGTAAAAAGTCCTCTTGTCTTCTTTACAGGAAAGGTCAGATCAGCTTGTTGTTGCGTTTCCCTTCTTTTAATTCTGTGTTTACATTGAGACAAACACAACTTCGTTTCCTGGGCTGCTCTCAGGTTTTTAGAGGTGAAGTATGAACACAGGAGACACGGAAAGTGTGTCAAAGAGAGACTTGAGGGGAAAAAAATAAACAAAAATTAATGAGGTTTGCTGAGAATAGACAGAATCACAGGATCCTCTGTTGGTGAGTCAGTCTGTTGAGGCCTCGCACATTGACCTCCTCAGACATGTCTCAGATCACACAAACAGAAAGTGGTCCTTGCTATAATGCGAATAAGCTGTTCACTAAGGATCTGTTTGACACATGTAAACTTAAAGGTATGTTATCCCTCAGTTTTGACCCTCAGTCCCTAAGAGTTGGTCGCCGGTTCAACGCCTCCACTCCTACATTTACAAAACAACAACCAGAGCAACAAGTTAACATTGTTCCAGCAGGGTTTGGTGTTTTCTTTCGGCCTGTCAAGTTATTCCACTTTGTCTCTATCTGGCTTAGCTGTGCCTTAGGTTCAAATAAGGCACCTGACATTCATAATTTTGTTGTTGTTGTTGTTGGATAGTAGAACTCATATTCAGTTTCAGAAAAATGAGATACATGGACAGTTTGGTTTGATTCTTTGTTTTAACGTCTTTAATTTGTCTCGGTTATTTCTCAACATGCATTTGAAAAGAAAAGCTTCCTCATGACCAGCACAGCCTCTGAGTTTTGCTCTTTATGTTTCACTGCAGCAGCAAAACAAAATGCTGAGTCCTCCACTCTCGTCTCACTGCAACATTATAAATTCTATGAATTTGTTCCCCGTACTATTTCATGCCATTGTTGTGCTGACTACTTGTCTGTTGTCTTTAAACTTGTTCATTTTTTTAAAGATTGTTTGCTGGTGACAAACATATTTATATTTATATTATAACACCCCTGCAGAGAAGCCTCTTCAATTTCGTCATGTATTAACCTTCATAATGACAATAAAGTCTATTCTCAGTGATTCTACGCAAGTATGGAATAAATTTGATCAATTTCCAGGTCTTAAAAAGTGTGGAAAATAAAAAATAAAGTATGTAAAAATATTTGTTTCCAGACTATTACCACAGATCTGAAATGCTGTCTTCAAAAACAGAGAAAAGTAGGGTATGGAAAAGTATGGATATTCCAAAAGTGTAGGAACCCTGTATTCTATTTTATTCGGTTCTATTGTCCACTAAATATTGAATATAACACTGATTACATCATGACCTATCACATTAACAAGCAGAAAGTTGCCTGCATTGGTTTGATTACTGCTGAAAAACCATCAATAAAGAGAAAACAGCACATGTGATCACTCAATCATTAAAATCACTAAGATTTAAATGTGATTGTCCACTCAGAGAATATAAAGCCTGTATTTAGATTCTGCATGATCAGTTTTCGCCATGAGTGTTAACCCACTTTTTTTTTCTAATTGTGTGTGTGAAACAGATTACCAAAGGCTGATGACGGTGGCAGAGAGCATCACAGCCTTAATGTTCCCCTACCAGTGGCAGCATGTGTATGTTCCCATTCTACCCGCCTCCCTCCTCCACTTCCTGGATGCCCCTGTGCCGTACCTTATGGGCCTCCACTCCAACGGACAGGATGACCGCACCAAGTTAGAGCTGCCGCAAGAGGTACTGATGCAGAAATAGCAGCTTCTTATTATTAATATCATTATTAATAAACATGGATCTGTTTCAGTTGTTTTATTTTCTACAATAAAAAACATTTTTTGAAGAGGATAATTGTAGTGAATAAATTCCTGCCTGTCTTTGAATGTTTGGGCCTAACCACAATAACACCGGCTTAATCTCTGATAAGGTCTGTTTTTGTTATACTGCAGAGGTAAGACCTTTGCTGTCCTGTGAAACATGTCAGAGAGGATAGTTTTCCTCTTGTTACCCTCCTTGAAGCAGCTTCTTATTCTTGCTTATTTGTATTTACCTTATTACTCAGATGTGTTAACCTGCTCAGCCTCTTTACTGCACTGCTGTCTGTTTGTCATAAGGGGTTTTTGTTTCATTCAGGCATATTTTGTTTTCTTGTCCCTTGTCAAATCTAAGGCCAACTTGTGTTTTGTGGACATCGACAACCACTTCATCGAGCTGCCAGAGGAGCTGCCCCAGTTTCCAAACAAGCTGGAGTTTATTCAGGAGATCTCAGAGGTGCTCATGTCCTTTGGAGTGTCTCCAGAGGGAAATATCCACTCGAGCGACAGTCAGGCCAAGTACAGATTCAGATCTGTCGATGTGGTCTCTGATAAGCGAAACGGCAACCTGGCTTCTCCCCTCAACTCCTTCCTACTGAGGGAGAATGAAACTATCGCCAGACTGCAGGCGCTGGTTAAGAGGACAGGTGTCAGCCTGGAGAAGGTGAGAAACAAGGCGAAGGGGGCTGCATGAAAACTCAGCCTGATATTCATTTATGAGGATCAGCTATTGATGTTTTAAAGGCTCTTGAAGACCCACTCGGATGAAAATCATGTTTTTCTTGTTGTCTACATGTTCATATGGTATTTTTCTGATGCTACAGGACATATCATGAGAAAACTAAGTGTGAAATTGTATTTCTAAGTATCTCTACATTCAAATCGCTGTGAATCTCTGGCCGACCCAAACGTCAGGCTCAGATACAGTGAGATTTCCTATGTAGCAAATTCAAGCTCCACCCCCAGAGCTCCGCTATACAGGCCTGACTCAGAGAAATAGAGAGGACAATCGCAGAACAAGCGTGTGTGTTAGCGACTCGCAATGCTAGTAAGAAAGCTACCAACTTTCTTCATGCCCCCAAAGACGTTAGTGTCCAAAAGCTGAATAGCTCCTATGTTACCTGCCACTTCTGTGAAAATGACACAGGTAACGAGATTTTGGCTTAAAAATTCATAATCACAATTTAAAGACCATTGATAACACTTTAAGAAGTAAAAAAAAGGTCGGAGTGGGATTTTAAAAACTGGGATGATGGGATGATGAAGTTTTCCAAGAAAATAGGTCATGAATATTTGAATTAGTGATGAGTAAAGAGAATATTTTATATGATTAACATTTGACCCACATTGTTCCAGTAAACTTTTTTCAAGTTTTCTTAAAATTTTGAATATTTTTTGATAAGCTGCTTCAATGGAAAACAAATACATTTTCTGCTTAATGATTTCCTGTCAGTTCATGTAATCATATCATAACCTGGATTGTAAGCAGTTTTATATGACGTAAGCAGATGGAAGGATTAAAGCCAAAGTTCATCGTGTCCTGTTATGAAGTGACACACAGGCAGGAAAAGGAAGGGCAGGTCATCACTATCAACATAAGCTGATAAAACACACTCTTTGATTTGTATCAGTAGTTATCATCATGATAGTAGTACAAGACAACAAACAAAAGGGGGCGCACTTTCTATGCCACACATCTATCTGCATTGGTTGGATGTTTTGTCCGGTCTGAGAGAGAGCAGATGTCTTTGAGTAGAAAATGTGTTTTTATGAATTATTGAAGGAAAGGGCTTTTGATTAGAAAGCTGTGATTTTATATTTAAATCCTACATCTACCATATCTAGGTTTTACATATTTTATACATCAGAGATTTCTTCGTGACAGTCCTGTTTGTGATTCATTCGTGTTAATAGAGGCAGCAGATGATTCGCTGTATAAGATCAGATGAATTACTCTATCTGCCAGCTGATGTCTCACAGCCTCGATGACAGAAAACTCATACAGTCACTGATATCAGTGGGTGTCTTTACAGTCTCATTTACATTTGCCCAGAGTGCCTGACAAACCGTAGGGAATGTGTGATGGAAAAATTTGTCTTAAGACTGAAAGACGGATGAATTTGTGTCTAATTCGTGGAAGTCTTTGTGAATGCGGTCTAATCAGCTTATACACTAATTGGCTGTATTAACTCTTGAAGAGCGGATTAGCTTATTGTCGCCGTATAGTTTTCAGCTCTGAGGTTACACCTCACTTGCTGTTATTCTTATCTAGAGTCAAAGCTATTAGAGTTACAGCACATTCATCCAGCGGTAGGCCATGTTTGTTTTAAGTCCCCCCATCATGCTGGCATCTGTCCAGCTGACCTACTGATAAGCTAAAAATAGAAAGTGAGGTTTTGTTTGCTTTGGGTCGTAAATCACCCGGTGTCCTTGACTTCCTTTCTCACAACCTCACTGCTATATCAGCGGTCTGTGATAACCTTCATGTTAGGTCACGTGAAAATACCCACAGCTCTTTTTCTTTTCTTTTATCTCACAAGCGTTTCTTTTTTTTCCTCAATGTTCTTTGCTTTTTTAAAATTATGCTATAATAAACAACAGCTGGAGGTGAGAGAGGACGCCAGCAGCAACAAGGACTCTCGCTTTCATTGTGATGAGGAGGAGCTAAAGATGCACCAGCTCAACATCCAGGTGCGAGAGGTCTTCGCCAACCGCTTCACCCAGATGTTCGCCGATTACGAGGTGTTCGTCATCCAACCGAGCCAGGACAAAGAGTCTTGGTTTACAAACCGAGACCAGATGCAGAACTTTGACAAGGTGAAGAGCTTCAGAAAGTTTGTTCGTACGACTGGGATGGCGGGCATCTTTGCAACAGTAACATATGATGTTAAATCTGACTTTGTTTGTTCGTATGTGTGCAGGCCTCTTTCCTGTCAGACCAGCCAGAGCCTTACTTGCCCTTCCTATCGCGTTTCCTGGAGACGCAGATGTTTGCCTCCTTCATCGACAGTAAGATCCTCTGTCATGATGATGAGGAGAAGGAGCACACGCTGAGGGTGTTTGACTCCCGTGTGGATAAGATTCGCATGCTGAATGTCCGCACGCCCACACTGCGCACCTCCATGTACCAGAAATGTACAAACATTGAGGAAGCAGGTGAGTCTTTACGATTCGTCAATGATCAGATGATGACAGGAAGAGTTTTTACTAAATCTGGGGCTGCTTTAAAAGCATTTTACGTTGTATCTGTAACTATAAATGCCTCAGCTCTCCTCTTTTTTTAATCTCAGGTTTTTTGGTTGAAAACAAAAGTTCACAGCAGCTTTCTGAAACTCAAAAAAATTACCTTTTTGTGTCAAAAGTCACCCCGGGTAAATCCACGACATTTGCATTTCGATTCAGTTTAATTAAAGAAGCTGTGAAACAAATCCTTGAATTCAAAGTTCAGCCAAGGCGTGATTATAGCGTCTGAGTTTTTGAACCGACCTGAACGGCTGGTGATTGCTGTCTTCTTTGCAGACAACCTGGTTAAAAAGCGATATGAGAAAGCAGATTTTGAGGCTCCTGGACCTCATGTCATTGAGCTGGAGAACGACAGCGCTGATTCTCGTAATGAAATGTTTTTTTGCTCATTACCTGAAACTTCCCTGGGGGGCATTTCTCTGAATGTGTGTGCAATGCAACCTCTCACAGGGGATAGATGGACTAGAATGTAGAATATAATTTACGAGTATTTCACATTTCCAGTTCGGAGATGTGTTTTGAATCACGGCTGTTAAAGATAAAGTCCTGTAAGAGATCCTTAATGTATTGCATGCGTATCAGTTTCTACAGCTGCAGCTTGTGGAGCAGTTTTTCTGATCTGTGTATCGATGAACTGATAATTCGAGCCGCCTTCAGGTGAACGAGTAATGACTGAGTCTTTTCAGAAATCAATTCTGTTTTTTCCTGTGAATCACAGCTTTAGACAGGCTGATTGACTTTGAGTCCATTTGTAATTCTGCAGCACTTTTGTTCTAATTGTTTAATATTTTGCATATGTTACTTTTTAAAAAGTCTATTTGAATCTCCTCAAAATTCATAGATGCTGTTCATCAACCCACCCATGCGTGGGTTGATGAATAGGCGATGGAAAACTGTCTGAAGCTGCATTCATGAACGATTCTGAAGTGGTTTCTTAAAAATGAAAGAAACAAAGAGAATCTATTCTGAGGCTCGGTTTTCTGACACGTCTTTGGTTCTGTGGGTGTATGGGAGGATTTAAACTTCTTTCTTCAGTTGTCATTCATTCTCCATAGAAATCACGGGGCCTTTTCAATCATATTTTTCTTTTCTTAAAACAAGCGACAGAAAATACTTGTTTTTCATGACGGTTACGGGCTCTTTCACCTCCTCCTACTTGACCACCTGATCTCCGTAACTCCTGATATTGAGCTTTGCCCGAGCTCAAGTACAATTTGTTGTTCCTGAAATGCTCCTTTCTCTCGGTGAAAGCACAATTGGAACAAATGAATGAAATGGAAATGATGAGTGTATCCTGTCTCACCACCTCCCACGTCCTCTCTGCAGAGAAAGCCATTGAGATGAGAGTTTCAAAGATCGACCACACGGCCCTGCATCCCCACCTGCTGGACATGAAGATCGGTCAGGGCCGCTACGAGCAGGGCTTCTTCCCCCGACTGCAATCTGATGTGCTCGCAACTGGGCCAACCAGCAACAAGTGATTGGAACTATAACTTCTTCTCATGGGGGAAAAAGTCTTCATGGCTTATTTTTGGTTCCTTGGTCGGGTTCACTAAAGTTGAATCATTTTGTGTTTCAGGTGGACCAAGAGGAGCGCCCCTGCCCAGTGGAGGAGGCGAGATCGTCAGAAGCAGCATGCCGAGCACCTTTATTTAGACAATGACCAGAGAGAGGTACGAGGTCACTGCAGTCTCCTCTGAGCTCACACCTTTGAGCCTCGTCTGTTCTGCCTGATCTGTTGTCTGTTTGCTTTGTTCTGCTATTGTTGACACCATCTTCTTGTCTGCTTAACGCTCCTCCTCTTCATACTCCTGGTCACTTTGTGTCTTTTTCTTTTCTTTCTCCGCCTCTCTCGCACTCACGCTTGCACACTCTCAGCATGTAGAGTGTTTGTTTCCGGAGCTGCAGCTCCTGCTGTTTCTTGACTACTACTGGCTCTCACAGTCCTTCAAGCCCTGTCTAAAGTCGGTCTCTGTGGATGTGGTATGTGTTGGAAGTCTGTTAGGCATTAAGCCTGAACACCAGGACCACATGACCCGAACCCCCATGTGGTCCTGACACCCCTAGACTTTGTTCATCCCCACCAGTTGAGCTGTATCTTACTGGGTGCAACTCTTACAAATTCAACACATTTACACAATCTGCACTGTTGACATGTTTTGTTTAAGACCTGAATAATAATACTAATATTTGAACTGAGCACACTGTGATATATGTTCTCAGAACAGTTCTAGTCCTATGATCCCAAATTTGCACAGTCTGACCACTAAGGTCGAATGCATCACAGTGCAAGACATTTCCAGTTTATAAGTCCTGCACAGTGCCATGTTATTATGAACATTGTTGGCTGATCACACTTTGGAGTCAAAGTAAAGAAAATTGTGCCGCTATTTTCAAATCAGATGTAGGTTTTTATTCCATAAAACCAAGAATCTTCAGAGATAAACACGTTATTTTATGAGGGTAATTAGCCGAAGTACAAATGTTGTCATCTTAAATCATAAATCAAAGCTGCTGCAGCATATTGTCATGTCAGACTGCAGAACAATGTGGGACTTGACCCCTGTAGTTGTAGCTGTAGTTTTTCCTTCTCCCCTATTTGTTAACCTTTACCTGTGATGTGAGTCAACCAGTTTCAGTTGCTTCTGTTTGTTTTTAGAGGTCAGCTGACTCGGTTCTTTCTCTTTCTGTAACTAGAAGTACATCCAGGAGGCTAGAAACTTGGGCACAACCATCAGACAGCCCAAACTGTCCAACCTGTCACCTTCAGTCATCGCTCAGACTAACTGGAAGTTCGTTGAAGGGTTGCTGAAGGAGTGCAGGAACAAGGTTTGTGTACTACTTTTCTCTGGTAAATCAGTGTTGCTCTGTTTAAAGACGAGGAGTATCATCAACAGTGGACCTTAATCCAAACTGGACTACTACTATTAAAAGTCCAGATGTTGTCTTACAGTAATATATCTATTATAGAATAAAACTGCTAATGGTGTCAAAACTTGCATGAAAGTTATAGCTGTCTTGACAGATCAGGGTCTGTCAGCGCTTCATTCGAAGGCTGAGTACTAACAGCGCTGTTGTCTCTCTCTAGACTAAGCGTATGCTGGTGGAGAAGATGGGTCGGGAGGCTGTGGAGTTAGGTCACGGAGAGGTCAGCATCACTGGTGTCGAGGAGAACACTCTGATTGCAAGTTTATGTGATCTGCTGGAGAGGATCTGGAGTCACGGGCTGCAAGTTAAACAGGTGAAAATCAGACATGTTTGTTGTTGAATTTCATGATTGATCCTCAGAACAGTAATGTTCACGTACGTTTTCTCTCTCAGGGTAAATCTGCCTTGTGGTCCCACCTGCTGCACTATCAAGAGAACAAAGAGAAGAAGAATGCTACTCCGGGCAGTTTGGGACCTCCAGGTGAAATGCTGTAATCAGTATAACTATTTAACCAATCAGTGACTAAGGGTGACTAAGTCAATTAATACCGTTTTTTCTATTCCAGGTCTGATTCATGACACTGAGAGGCGCAAATCTGATGGTGGTGTTTCAGCCATGGCCCCCCTTAAAGTTTCCTTGATCCAGGACATGAGGTGAGGAGGGTTTAGGGTTACTTATACATCAGCTTTACAGAGGAATAAGTGACATAAATTTGCTTACATTAGGACAGAATAGGCCAAACAAGACGGGGTGACTGATATTGAAGCTGTTGATCAATAACAAAAGTCTGCTAAATAAGACTGCCCCCTTGTGGTAGACTTTTAAACAGCATTTACTATGAAGATATGTGCTCTCATGATCATCTATGGCCATTTTGTATGTATGAATATACAAGATCCTCAGTGAGTTAAAACATAAACTGAATTCATCTTTTAAATCACGAGTGAACTTTCCTGTCATGGATTACTTTCTTTCTTTCTCTATTCACGTAAAAAAGACATTTTAACAAGAATCAACGAGCAGAAATTAGTCTTTAGATGATCATAAATCCTTCAGGAACCAACAACACGACCAAAAGATTTGCTGTGATTTACATTGTACGTGCTCCATATCGTATGAAAAAAGATTTACAGTGATGTTCACATAAAGAAGTAAAAATAGAAAATATATAGAAAGAAAAATAATATCTGAATTTTTGAAAAGCCACAAAATAAAAACAAAATTCTGTAAACATAAATATATAAATTCCTTTTAAATTTCCATGCACTACATATTTAAATGTAAACCCATTTGTTTACACTTGCCTTTGTATAACCAGGACTTTGGCTACTAGTGTACTTTTAGTTGATGTCTGCAGTGACTTTGCTGACCTGAATTTTAGTCACTGTCTGGGTGCGGGAGTGAGGTGTTTTTGAAGCGCTTTTCGTGCAATCCAATTTCCAGCCCAAGGTTGTTGTTTAATTATATTTTTGCCATTTATTGATTAAATGGAAAACAAACAAAAAAGACAGATCTGTCCAAATTACGACGATGGTGTATGTACGTGCTGTCGGAGATCAGCGGTAAAAACTGTGTGCTCTACCTATTCCCCAGATCACTGCTTTACCTGTGTCCCTTTTGTAGCATTTACCTGCTCATTCACCCGAAGTGCCCCTTGTGGTGATTGTACAAGTAACAAAACAAAACCCAAAAAATAATATAGATAAAATGGCTCATACAATGTCTTTAGCTTATGTCTTGTTGTCTTACCCTTTTTCATTTGATGACTGTAAAGCACTTTATGACAAATGTTCTAGAAAGGTGCTGTACAGTTGTTGATAAAAATGATAATAATAATAATAATAGTTGTTGTTGTTATTATTATCATGCTTGAATAGAATACTTTCCCATAAGAATATGCAGTACACATACTCTTGTACATACCCAAAGACAGTCATATATGTCTGCACACAACTCCCTTACTATAAGCAGTGCCGTGGTTTGACATAAACTGGTGAGGCTACAGCCAACAAGATTGCCACCTCAGACCTTTAGGCCTACCCGGTGCTCCGTTAAGCTCAAGATTTGTTACCCTAATATGATCATTAGGACCACTACACTGAGCCTTTCTGTGACCCCATGAGTTATCTGCAGCACACCTGCACAGTGTAGCAACTGTGTGTTATGGCAGGCATCAACATAATCATGTGATCCATGCCTGTGTTTGAGGAGTCACACAGTGGGTCCGTGTAACTGCACGTTACTTCCAGCCTAATTATCAGACCCCCCGCCAGTCTGACTGAGAAGAGGGGAGGGGTCAGCTTGAGGCGCTCTAACTACACTGATAGATCAACCCCCCCTCCACATTTATGTAAACACATATGAAACAGCAGTGATCCCCAAGCCTCCAGGAATGTCTCTGAATTATTGATTTGATTATTAAATATTTTGCTGAATCTCTAAGTTTGAAGCTTGTTTACATTGATGGGGAGACTTCAAGCACTGTAAGTGTCAGGCTGTTTTCTGTGTTAGAAGGCTTCATACACTACGTTTCCTCTGTTGCCATGGTGATAACGAGCGGAAAAAACTGGGTTACTTGGTTTGAGTGAGTGTATAGGGCGGAGACAAGGAGGGGGATGGAAGGTGGAGTATGAGAGGCGTGCGGCTCTCAGCAGACGAGCTGCTGGCACAGGTGGAGTGGAAGGGAATGTGTCTGGACGGCGGAGGCATGATAGTGGCTTCGAGCGATGACATGGGACCCAGTCTGGGTTTGAAAATGCCACTACAGAGGCAGACTGAGCTGCTCCTGTGGCTGTGAGACTGACTCAGGGCAGGAAAGTCAGACTCATCGTGATACATTATACATCTACCAGACAGAGCTTTTCAACAACAACAACTACGGTGCTGAAATTATTTTTGAATGAGCCTTTGATGACATGTTTGTTATGTTTCATTTAGCATGTCAAACAGCAAATATCTGCAGAAAAACAAATGAATGTTTTCCTCTTTTCTATTCTACATACTGACTGACCAAACATGCAATTTTATTGAGTTGCTTTGGAGTCTTAAATCTGTAACTGTTAGTTTTGTTTTTTGTTTTTTTGGGTCACAGCCCAAATATTCTCACATCTGCACTCTTCAGTATCACACAAAACAAATGTATTCATCTGACCATGCTGTCTGTGCTAACAAGAGAGATAAAAGACCTGATCTGCATAATTGAAATTAGTCATTCATGTTTTGTGTCTGTGGTTCCAGACCTTTTTTGGCCCGGGGTCGCCTCTCAGCCCTGTCAGATGAATTCATGTTGTTGCTCACCAAAGACTGCTTGTTATGTTTCAAATAGACGACTGCAAAACCACTTGAGTGGATATCGTAACTTTTCATGCAAGTGACATGGCCGTACAAAGGTGGTGTGGTCACTGGTCAGTGAAGTGAGGAGTTCCAGCTGGTTATCCTTTATGTTTTGCAAACTTTTTTTTAACCCTTTAGTGCCTTTTGTATCATATTCGATACACACTTTTATATACTTCTATCAAATCAATATGATCAACAAATTACTAAAAAAACACCTGAATACAGTCAGATAAATGATAAAAATGTCCTCTTGTAGTTTATCAGTTTCCAAAAACATCTAATGTATCAAACGAGATAAATAAATATATTTGTTAAATTTTAAGGTCATTTGGATTTTTTTGGTTTTCAGTAGTAGGTGAAATAAACGTTTCAGCCCCCCAAAATTTGAATTTACTGGCCATAATTTGTGGTGTCAGGCATTAAAGGGCTACTCAGTTATTCAATATTTGTTTCTTTCTTTTTTTAAATCACTAACTGAGAAATTATAACCAAATCTCTCTGTTGTAAATTTTCATGCACTCTGAAGTGAGTGCACTCTTCAATTTTCATATGTAGACCTAATAACTTGTCTTATTAGATGAAACCTACAGTATATTCATATATAAATAATTCTTGCACATATATAAAGTCACTTGAGCCTCTGTCACCCTTAAACATCGTCACTATTATATCAGGACAAAATGAAAACATCCTTCCAGTGTAAAGACTCAGCACATACGGGGTCTAACAGGCTTATCAACACTTTTCACATTTAGTCTCAGAAGAATCCATCAACTTGATGAAAAATGATGTTTATGTATATGCCCCGAACTCTCTGTAATTCTCCTGTTGTCGGTTTTTTTTAAGACATATTCAGAACATCAGTGAAATCAAGACAGATGTGGGCAAAGCCAGAGCCTGGGTTCGTCTGTCTATGGAGAAGAAGCTGTTATCAAGACACCTGAAGCAGCTGCTTTCAGACCACGAGCTTACAAAGTGAGTGAGCGGAAAGAGAACAACACAAATCTAACTCTGCTGTCAGTCTGTGTGGTTTAAAATCAGCATTTTTTTTTCCTTACCTCATCCTGACCTCTCTTTTTTGTGGAGGAATGTCTGTCTCATATGAAATAAGGATGACGTGTGGTACACCCATTTATAATACATTAACTCATTTGAAATTGGAAAGCATCATACCTCAGTCTACTGCCAGATAAATAATTCAAAGCCTTCTCCATAATTGAAATATGAGTGTTGAATTGGGTCAGGGGGTTGTCTGTCTGCCTTTGTGACCTTGCCATCACTAGCTGTCCTTTTTTTTCTCCTCCTAGAAAACTGTACAAGCGATACGCCTTCCTCCGCTGTGATGATGAGAAGGAGCAGTTCCTCTACCACCTCCTGTCCTTTAATGCTGTTGATTACTTTTGTTTCACCAACGTCTTCACAACCATCAGTGAGTGATATTTCTTTATACCAAACAATTAAAAATTAGATAATTCAAGGAGTGATTGTGTTAATTGAAATTACCCTCATCTGTATCCCTCAGTGATCCCCTACCATGTGGTGGTGATTTCCAGTAAGAAGCTGGGGGGTTCAATGTTCACAGCCAACCCTTGGGTGTGTGTTTCTGGTGAGCTGGCAGAGACAGGAGTCCTGCAGGTCCCAAGAAACACTCTGGAGATCACTTTTGAGGTTGGTGTTAATTTTCTGATTAAAGATAGCCCCATTGTACAACAGCCTCTTCTTTATTTTTATAATTTAATTACAACTTAGTTATCATCTCAATTGTTTAAGGTCAAATAAATCTGTATCTCTCACTGGTTAAACTTGTACATCTCACAAAGAAAGAATTGGTGGCTTCATTGTTTAGTACAAATGAATATCGCGGTAAAGGGAAAATGAGAAAAGACCTATTCTGAAGAAAAGAAGAATAATTATTTATATAAAGTACAAAAAGGTTCAATAACAGATGAAGATTGCTGTACAACTGAACAATTTATCAAGAAATCACCCTAAAAAAGCGCAGAAATGAACAGAAAAAAGTACTAAGAATAAATCCAAGGATTAGAGATATCCTCGGATATCTCCTGTTGGATATATCCTTGGATCCAAGGATAGAGATAATAAAATGTCTGAGTCAAGGGTGAAGGTTTTATTTTCACCTTAAATAAGGCCAGACAAGGGGGGATATTTTGGCTGTAAGATCCAGCGGGACAAGACGTCCCAGTGGTTCAAGACGAGAACTTCTAAATCAGATCATCCATACCAACTTATCTAAAGGTATTAGACCTACTTTGTCTTTAATGATCCCTCTTTCCATGCATGCTAGGCCACCTTAAAGGTTGCCTGTAAATCAGCTGAGCTAATTTAAATGACTGCTTAAATGATAGTGTTACCATTTACCATGCTGTCTTCAAATGCATTATTGCCCTGACCGTGCCTCTCTCACTCTCTCAGTGTCAGAATCTGGGCAAGCTCACCACTGTACAGATGGGTCACGATAATTCAGGGCTCTACGCAAAGTGGCTGGTGGAGTCTGTTATGGTTCGCAATGAGATCACAGGCCACACTTACAAGTGAGTTTTTTTTTCTTTTGAGAGCAGTCTGACTGCTGTAATATGGGCGATATGTATCCTGAATATCAACCTTTATGCTTTTCGCAGGTTTCCGTGTGGACGGTGGTTGGGGAAGGGTGTGGATGATGGCAGTCTGGAGAGAATTCTGGTGGGTGAGCTGATGACCCCCACCACAGAGAATGATGAAAGAATGTGCCGGACTCCCCCCATGCAGCAGTCGCCTGGGATGATGAGGAGGTTTGTCACCATCTCGCCAAACAGCAAACCAAGTGAGTAACTAAATCTGATAAAACCAACTCCTCCTTGTTATATTGAAGCTGAAGGAAAAATATTCTGCAGGTCTAGGACAACTGTGTTTCCCTGTTTTTGCTAACTTGTGCTCTAGGTCTTGTTCTTAATGCCTTTGCTGCTAGAAGTTCAAATGCATGAATAAGAAAACACTGTGATAAATAGATAAAACCTGGTTAGGGGGTTTTCCTCCCTGTGTCTGCTCATATTATCTCACATCATCTCTGTTTGCCCTTTTCTTCTCCTGCAGAGTTAAACACAGGTCAGATCCAAGAGGGAGTCGGGGAGGCCATCAATGGGATTGTGAAGCACTTTCACAAACCGGAGAAGGAGGTGAGAGACCGCCGTCTAGACAGGCCCGAACATGTAGTTCTATTATTCATCACAGATGAAGAAAAGCAGCTTTCTGCTCTGGTGGTCTCAAAGCCTCTCAGTAACTGTGGGCTGTGTGGGATGATTCACATTGTTAGAGAGTAGTGAAGATGAGTTATGACTGTTGTAGACATAAAAAACTTTTCCTCATAGTGTTTTTGCACAGTGACACATTTCAATTCTTAGAGAACTAGTTAAAAAACACACTTTTTTAGATTTAAGCACATGGAGTTTCACCTACTGAAGAGGTGCATTATAAGTGAGCTGTTGATTACAGGTCCTGAGAGCCACGCACTGTGCACTTAGACTACAAAGAGTATCACTGGGAAATCCCCTTCCCTTCTGCTCCTCCTCTTCACAGTACTGACAGAATAATCTAGAGATTCTGCTTCAATCACTAATAGTCCCTCACTTCACTCACTGAAATATACTCTGTATTCTATTCTAAAGTGTGGTTTACTTATCACAGCAAAACGAATAAATGCTTTGACATCATGGTTCTTTTTCCTGCACAGAGAGGCAGCCTGACCCTTCTCCTCTGTGGGGAGTACGGACTAGTCTGGGCTCTGGAGCAAGTTTTCCAGCACGGCTTCAAATCGCCCAGACTCTTCAAGAATGTCTTCATTTGGGACTTCTTAGGTAAAGACTTGAAAACATTATTAGTCCTTCATATGACAGGAGCTGATAGTCATATTTCACCCAATACTTCTCCATATCTGAGGTTGATTTATACAGGTTATTGATAGATACTGCCACTCTAATATTTACCATAAACACTGCTACTCTTAGCTTTTGGCCTCCTTTGAGCTTTGATTACAGAAACAACACAAAAGTAGTGTATTCTTCGGTGTCCCTCATTTGTTGTTGACCGTTTACATCACGTGTTGTGTGAGAAAAAAAGGATTTGGTAGACAAAGGAGGACTGTATTTGTGCAGGGTTGGTTCAGGAAAAGGTATGAATTAAATGTTTGCATGAACTTAGATCCAGCCACAACATGAGAAAAACATACTTATCTCATGTGAAGGATATTTTGTTTGTAATTGGTTTTTAACTTCTCTTTCAATCTCTTTTTGCTTTAATAGAAAAGTCACAAGTGTACTTTGAAAGTGCGGAGCAGCGAGAGGTGGCCCCGGATGAAAATTGGCAAACCAGAGTGCGCCACTTCTGTCGCTTCATGCGTGCCATCAACAACACATCAAGAAATATTGGCAAGGACGGGAAGTTTCAGATGCTCGTCTGTCTGGGCGCAAGGTGAGCCCAAAAATCTCACAAACGACTGAGACATGTTTAGATAATAGGACACATATATTATATACATGCTATATGGAGAAAAAAACATTTTTTGGGTTCGTGAGATGAAACTTGATCAGTAAACACAAGATTTTAACTGCAGAAGGGTTCGAAAGATTTAGTAAATGTGTGTGGTGCTAGCTCCAGCTGTGTTTGGTCACTTTTTCTATGCTGTAACTTCCTGACACACGAGGATAAGAAATATAAACCAGTCCTTCCTACTGAAACAGTCCTTGATGCACTGCTCTGTTTCTGACCCTGCATCCTGACCTCCCATGTGTCAAGAGAAAAGGATCTTTCCTCTGAGGATTCTTGGAGTGTCATTTTCAGTATTTTAGCACAAAATAATGAATCAATAATTTAAAATATTACAGATTTATCCCTGTCATCAGCCCTTTAGTAGACTGATTCTCTAACTGCGCTGATATGTTGTTTTGAGTTAAAATTGGCTTTATACAGTATAGTTTGTATTGTAAAAGTGCAACATTCGCATTAATAACAATGTCTTCCTCTCTCAGGGACCATTTGCTGCATCACTGGATCGCTCTGCTTGCAGACTGTCCAATCACCACTCAGATGTACGAGGACATTGCACTGATTAAAGACCGCTCATTGGTAAACTCTCTGATCAGAGTCTTACAGACCCTGCAGGAGTTCAACATTACCCTGGAGGCTTCGCTTGTCAAAGGTGTTGGTATCTAAACTGAACCAATGAAGATCACTAGGGACCACTGAAGAGAATTAGAGAACCTTTTATATGCAGGAACCCACTTGAACAAAGGACATTTTCTGGCTTATATTAAAGCTACTGTTACATTTGCCATATATATTAAGTGCAATGAGCCTTTCAAGATATGTTGTTATTTTTATCCTCAATGATGTTGCCATTAGATGTTAAAAGTATGTTTTCTAATATGAACCATGATTTTCACATTAATGACAATGACCTATTTGTGCTATGTTTTATTGAAAGCTAAATATTTTCATTGTTATCGTGAACTGCTGACAATGGCTATATTTAAGGGAAAGTGAGGATCAAAACTGTTAATATATTTTCAGAGATAAACAGTATTATTTTGTTAAATCGGTCAAGTTGCTTGCTCTGTTGTCAACTCAGATTCCAATGTCATTACACAGAGCTTAAAGCAAATGATGCAGAAGTATGCTTTATAAGTATGTGTATGACAGAGGGGCTTGTAGTGTGAAGATGAGTCATCTATGTAGGTATAGAAAGGCTGTTGTATTTGGCCAGTTCCTTGAGAAATGTACCAAAATGCAGATCTTTTACATCGAGTACCCACAGAATGATCCTTTTTGCATGGTAATAAGACTGTGTGGCGAAAGCCTGTTATATTTTTCAGTTGGATAAGGAAGCATACGCCAGGTTCTCCAAAAGATGCTTGACACCGCTTTGCGCAAAGTGGATCAAACTGACAGCCTTCATGTAAATACCTCCAACCAAGTTTTTCTGCCTATCATCCCAGCCCTCACACTACATGTGTCCTCTTCTCTGAACAATGACAGTGTGGTGATCTGTGTCGGATTACCTCCTTTTACCCTGTGAGGAGGAAAAGGAGTCAGCTCATTTACCTATCCTGATTTTGTCATCATGGTTTCTTGCTATGCAATATCCACAAGGAAAATTCAACCCTCTCTGAACTCTATCCTGGGGTGTCTTGGATATTACCACACCCTCTTCTGTTACATGCATTGAACTGACTGTGCAGAGCAAGAGATCTGATATGTGAAGAACCTCTTTTCTGTGCCAATGTCTGGAATGACTGTGTTGTACTCGTCTGTGTACAACCTACACATGAGCATCTTGGGAGATATCTATTTTTGTTTTCCAATACTGTTGTACATTTATTGACATAGCTGTGTAATGTAGTGTTTACTAAGTGAGCAACAGTGTACAGTGTAAAAAAATATATTAAGAATAAAGCATCTGTAATGGGTTAACATGAATCTTACTGTTTTATTGGTTGACTAAGTTCAGAATCAATAATCAGTCGCTGACAATGAGAATATTCAGACTACTGATTTCATTTCATAGACCCAGAGCTTGCTGGGGGGATTGTACTGTATATCCCACTTGGCCTAGGCCCTGGTATCCCTGAGGTGGAGCTGGAAATGTTTCTGGGGCGAGGGATGCTGTCCCAATCTTGCAATGGTTGAATACTAGAATTAGTTCGCCGACGCTCCGTATCTACTCTCCACTTGATAGGGGAGAGTGGGGTAAGATGAGCCATTTTTCTTATTTCGGATCACTACATCAAGTTAATCATAGTTTTGTCTCTAACTAGTGTATCTGCAGATATTTCCAGATGTTGTGCATCCCTGCAAAACAACAGAATAAGTGTAAACATAACTGTCTTGATAATATAGCATGCCAAAAAAAGTGGTCTGCTATGGTCAACTTACCCAGTGTATGGGCTAAGTAAGTTGACCATAGGAGCGGGGTAAGTTGAGCCGTATCCCTACTACCACCCCACTCTCCACCCCAGCCCTCCCTCACCTTCTCTCTCTCTAAATAACAGTCACTTCTTCACATTCATGTGTAATTTTATCTATTATACGCTATTTAACTAGTACAATAATTCTGCTAAAAAGCTGTTTTGTAAAAAGTCATTTTCACATAAGAATGTCTTTAAGTGATTCAGAACATTCACAGCTGTAATTTTGAAAAGGAGAAGTAACACATTTCAACAATCTGAACTGAAACTCTGATCCTCTCATCAGAGTTCTTTACTTTCTCAGTTGACTCACTGGCTTAATTTACCCCAGAACTACTATTATGACTTTATTAGTCCTCTAAGATAAAATGGTGGACTTTTATGGTAGTAATATAAAATAAATGTCTAACTCCTTCGCCCATGAGCTTCTAACCTTCACAGACTCCATGAATTGATGCCCATCTCCTAAATATTTGGTAACATGATCAATTTCTTTGACCTTTTCCAAGTAACAGGGAGTGGCTCAACTTACCCCACTCTCCCCTACAGTCCTATATTTCATTTTCACTTTACACTTTTTAAAGCAAAACTGCCCCTTAACACTAGAAATGCACCAAATAAAGCATTTAATCAAAGTAAATTTGTGATGAATTATCATTTTTTGGAAAGGGACACAGCAATGGCTGAGTTGTTGAAGCCAATAACATACTCCTCATCAAATCGGTGTATTACTCTCAGCTGAGTAAATGTCAACAAACCCGTTCGCGCCAAGGCAAATGGCTGTTTATCTTTAAAGCTTCGGCCCCGGTGGTTTGTGGGATGTTGAGTTCAAAAAGAGAGCCGTTAAAACTGATGGCACTCACGTTTCCCGCTGGTTCACTACGCCACCCATCATTCGTGTCTCCGGAAGAAGGCGGGAGGCGAACGCCGATTGGACGAGCGCAGGTTCAAACCCAACCGCTGCACTCCTTATATGGTCATCGTACGCCAGTTCTTTCATTCCTGCTTCTATGCTAATGATATTGTAATATCCAGCTGTATGCGTTAGTAGTAAGAGCATGCGCAGTGCGTGGAAGGAACACGGCGAAGATTCAAAGTTTTTGTTCAGTAAGTGCACAGTTATTTGTCTTTTTCAAGAAATACCGCTACCAAATCGAAACATTTTGCTCTGTATTGATAGACGGGTTGCTTTTTGTTGTGGTTGTAAAGTGACGCATGTTTTTTCTGTTGTTTAAGTCAAATGCAGAGGGACTTACCGACTTGACAATAGGTTAACGTGGAAGTGAACGGGAGCGCGGCGTGGTGATGGTAGCTGAGTCGGTTAGCTAGCATGCTAAAGGCTAACAACAATGAACCATATTTGGCGCTCTAGCGGGCAAAAGTTTGAATTTAAAGGGAAGGATGTGCTCAATACAACTTTTCTGTTTTTCACTAAAAGTCTAACCATATACACGAATAACTCAGGGTCGGTAACCGCATGTTATATAACTTAGTGAGTCGGTTTCCACAGAGGTGAACGAAGAGCCCGGTAGCTTTTTGTTTCTTCACTTCAAAAAGAGATGCAGCTGCTGCCCGCTTTTTGTCTCCGCTCTCGGTGTAAACAAACCCATGACTGAGCAAACACCCTCATCCTCTGATTTAATATTATTATTCTTTTAATTGTGCAAAAGTTTGCGGTAGATTCTGAAGCGATGAAAAGTAAAATAATAAGTCAGCTAACGCCAGCAGCAGCGGTGTGTTGATATTGAAGCGTTTCTGTGATTTACCTCTTGATAGTTTGAGAGTTTGGTGTTTTTCAACGCTAACTGCGATACTAAATGTTATTTATCTAGACATTCACTTTTTCTTTTGACAATACATCAATTCTACCAGGTTAGGACATCCAAGTTGTGTCATATTTTTGGGTTATTTGTATGTTTTCGTGACATTGCATTAGTATTCAAGGTACTCGGAGTACTCGTAATGCTTTTAACTTAATTGTGCATTGGGAGTGAAACGCGTTCCTGCCTTAAACCAGTGTTTCATGCCTTTTATATTAAACATTTAGCGTGTAGAAAGACTTGGTTGTTTCTGTGCGTGTGTGCGTGCAGGGACCGCCCCCTTCTTAGTAGTAGAAAGCACAACTGTCTGCAGACACACACGGTGCTTTCCACGAGAACTGCGACCATTACCGACCTTTGTTTTCCTCTGTACAGGGTTTCTGCAACAACAAATAGACTATGTTCGGCTTTCACAAATCAAAGATATACCGGAGTAACGACGGCTGTTGCATCTGCAAGACCAAGTCCTCCAGTTCACGCTTTACAGACAGCAGCCGATATGAGGAGACATTCAGGATGTGTTTTGGGTAAAAAAAGCTCTCGTTTATTCACTTATTCTATCTGCAACGTGTTAATTCGACTACCAATCAGCCTTTCTTTGAGCAGAATAATGCAACGGCATGCTGAACATTGTGTTGTGTGTTTCATTCATTCATTCAGGCTCTCAGAGGATCGTGTTGGAGACATTTGTAATGCATGTGTGTTACTGGTTAAGAGGTGGAAGAAGCTACCGAACGGCTCCAAGAAAAACTGGAACCATGTAAGTGATGTCTGCTTCAAGCTTTGAGGAAATTAGTCTTGTTGTTGTTGTTTGGTTACAAGCTGATATTGAGTGTTTTTTTTTTCCAAATCTTGACCCAGGTGGTCGATGCCAGAGCTGGACCGGGCTTTAAGGTGACAAAACCCAAGAAGATTAAGAACAGCGATGGCAAGAAGAAAAGCAAGCTAAAGAAGCTCCACAAGTTAAAGAGACAAAGTAAGTTGTTAAAAAAATTTTTACACATAATTTGGACATGCAAAAAGCTTTTTGAAAACAATGTAATCTATACAACAAATAACTTTTTTTGGCTTATAGTGAAAGTGTTTATAGTAAAAGTCCTTGTCAGGCTGGTACAATAAGGTTTTACTATAACGTAGAAAGGTACATTAAAACATAACTTAAATAGTTTTCCTGAGGCTTGTATCAGCAAACAGAACTTGAGGTTTGCAAAGTAACCTTAAGTTCAAAACTGCTTTTTTGCCATGGTTACTCCTGCTCATATCTAGCCTGCTCAGGTAACATGCATAAAAGAAGGAGATAAAACACTGCCTGCTAACCCATCAGTCCCTTTGATCATGGAGCTTGTTTTGGGAATGGAGGGAACAGTGATGTTCAGCGTTTTTACAAAAAGCTATGGCTTGTATGTTGAGTCTGATTTTACTGTCCTGCTGCAGAGGATGATGGAAGATTGTACGTCCTGTTCCTAGGGTAGTTTAAACCTTGATTTTATTCTACATTTTACCTTTTGATATGTTGACCTGCTGCTTGTAGACTTTTCAATGTTAGCATTAGGTCATACACTGAAAACACATATTTTATGTAAACGCCTTTATATTTAAATTAGCAAACTTTAGGGGTCATAAGGCAACATGACAGCTCAGTGCATTCCCTGATGTTAGCCTAAGGGACGCTGTTTATCTCATTAATTTCCTGGGTATTCTTTACTTACTAAATCAACTAGGATTTCTTCTTATTGTTCAAACTCTTGTGATTCAATAAATCAGTGTTGCTAGGATTTAAGTATCCAACAAAATCTGTACTGTATGATGTCAGTGCTTAATTGTTTATTTCGATTTCCAAGCAGACTCAGATGCCCACAGTACAACCTCCAGTGTGTCCCCTGCTCAGTCCCCCAGTTACAGCAACCAATCAGATGACGGCTCAGACATCGAGTCAAAACAAAGGCGAACAACCCCCTCAATTTTCTCATTTTTGGACCGATCATACTGGAAAAGGCAAGTTTCTGCTCTTATATAAACCTTTTGTTGAATGAAACGATCAATTTATGTAACTTTTCTGTTTCTTTGTTATGATTAATGACCAAAAAATTATATGTTTTAGGCAAAAGGTGTGTTGCGGGATTGTCTACAAGGGTCGGTTTGGAGAAGTGATTATTGATCCTCGACTCTTCAAGCCCTGCTGCAGTTCCAAAAAACAGAAGACACTGGTGTCCACGCAAATGGCCACACTCCCTCCGCAGATCCCAGAAGACATGAAAGAAACCTGGTGATTGCTTTTGTAAATCCTTTTGCTGGGTTATCCATGGCAACCACCTGGATTTGTCTCCAGTGGTAGACCTCCCTAATATAAATCCCCCACTGAACCAGTTCGTAGTTTTCTTTGTGAAATTCTTTTTCATATGGGTATTTTTCAAACTTTTGTATAGAGTTCACTTTCTTTTTTTTTTACAAAAACAAAAATGAAAAAAAAAAAAAAAGATGGGCATTAGCGTTATTTATAGGATAAGGAATTTTTTTGACACTCCGTTTTTGATTCAAAGATTTTTTTTTTTTAATTTTGTAATAAGTGATTGATGTTTTGTAAATATTTTGCCACTTTTTTATACATATCAGGACTTTTAAACTATTTTTGTTATTATCTGTTTAATTGTCAGTGTGCATATGAAAGACACCAGCTATTTCTAATACCAGCTTTTTGTGTGTATGTTGTGTTGGGAGTGATCCTTCAACATGTCACTGCATCGCTGTCTTATCTGTTTGCTCCATATGTGCACATTTTCGGCCTGTAGGATTTTGTTTTTAACACAAATAGATTTTGATCACACCAGGGATAATTAGTACAACTGTTTTCTATGAATTAATGAGCTTTTATTGTGTGTCTGGATAAGAACACATAATCTGTCTGACATTTTCATAGCTTACGCACGCCTCAAGATTGAAACATTGCATGCATGCAGTACATTCCACTACTGTTTGGAATGACAAAAGTGATTTATTTATTTCTTTTGTACAGACTCCAATGAAATAACAATGCATGTTATAAAGCAAATGTTTTTAAAATGTTCTTTTGTAAATACACAATGTTATGGCTTGTGGTACATCCAAACCTTCTGAAATAACACAATGGTAAACCACCACTTTGGTTTAACAAATGTTTTTGTGAGTCTGTAAGATGCTAAAATTGTTTACCTTTCATGGAAAGTAGTTAAGCGTTTTCACGTCATGTCACGTTAGAATTAATCTCAACAGGCAGGTGAAGATCTAGCTTGTTCAGAGATATGTGTAAACTGCAGGGAAAGCCGAATGCTACATTGCAGCATCCTTATATTTGCATGCAATGGTCTGGAGCTGAGCATTCAGAAAACTTATGATGTGTTCTACAGTTATTATGTATGTTGAAAGAAATGTTTGTGACTGCCAGTGCTGTGATTTATCTTTACAAACTTTCAAAGCTCAAACTATGCAGACATTTTGAATGTGAGAAGTGCTCTTGAGCAATCATTTACGCCAGTAAATGCTAAGTGATTGATCCATTTTCAACCAAATTGACTATTGAAAAGCTTCCACTATTTCAGCAATAATCTTCCATTCTCCTCATCAAAATCCATCTTTGTGTTCAGATATTTCTTACATGTGTCATGTTGAAATAATACTTGGATTGCACAGTTTAAGCCATGCTGCATGGTGTCTTAAATCAACACTGCAGCACAACGGTTTTGTTTACTTTCTGATTTTTGTTACTGTAATATTTTTTAGACTTCATAAATTGACCCACTCTGTAAAGTTGCTTCATGTATAAACCTTTTCTGCGGCAGGGTAACTAAATGCTGAACATGTTTTATGATTTTTACTTAAAGGAGGAATGCTGCTCCCTTTTTTGAGCAGGGAAATAAGCTTGTTTTTTGTCCTTAGGGAGTTGCCATATTGTTTTTGCGAGGTACATTTTGGGATGCGAGATGTGCCTTAATGAATTACCTGACCTTTTCATTATGATTATCATGTAATTTATACTTATTTATTGCAAATTTTTAACAGAATTTTTGATACTTGGTTTAGAGCCTTTCAGAAAGACTGTTATTCATCTTGTGCACTTCCTTTGAACATGTCATGTAGATGTTTTTTTTTCAAATGCTTTTTTGTATACTGTACCACAAAGTAGAACTGTATTGTAATAAAATAAGAGAAAAAAGGAAAGTGTAACATTCATTTCCCCACCAGTAGGTGGTGCAAGATTGAGCTTCATGAAATATCTATAGGTTGGGCTGTAGAAGTTTGGTAATTATTAGTGTTGTAGTATTGCATTAGAAAAAGATAATTAAATCCTAGCCAGACACTTTGCAAATGCTTCACATATTTGTAAAACATTTCACTTAAAATGCTTTCAGTAAAAATGCACTGATAAATTTTAAAGGTGTGTAAAAGGACAGCTCTCGCATACATTGTGATACATTTATAAATTACTGGTATGTGACTCTACATCTTTTTGCTTAATAAGAGTGAAAATACTCACATTTTGAATCCAGTGACGAGAAGATACGCCTTCAGGAAGAGTGAAAAAAAAAAGCAAAAAAATATGGTGTATAGAAATGGACTTTATTGTAATTATATTTATAAAGCACCTTTGTAAAATGACTTATAGAAGCTATTTTGAAAAAAAGACCTCTTAATGGAAACTTCATCTGTTCATTTTAATACTTCAAGATCCATCTAACTGCATCTAACAATCACCAAAAATAACTTAAATAGGATTTGTAAGAAGGAAAACTTTGAAGCTACCTCAGGTGAGTATTTGGATGTATTTATTATTTTAATTTATAACTTTTTTTAACCTAAAGAAGCTTAAAGAAAATTAGTGTGAAACGGTTTTAGTATACTGACTATACTTTGGCCAAGTATCCCAAACAGGGGTGAATAATGACCATTTTCGTCACAGGGAGGCAGTGTTACCTCATCTCATTTATCCTGTGGCTCTGTATGAAGTTCAGTTTTACAGTGATTTCAAAGATACTCTCTGTATCTGTATCTGGGTAATTTCCTGAAGATTCTTTTTATCTAAAATAGTGAATAATTTGGATGTGGGTAAAAAAATGAATAACCAGTTTTAATGCTTTCTCACCATAGGTAGAGAGAGCTATTCTAAATTAACTTTGAAAAGAAAGTCAGATATATGTGAATATTTCAAAACCAGGAAACCAGACATATAACAGAACCAATCTGATTATTTGGTGGTAACAGGTTGTGTCTACCCTTTCAGTATAAAAGTTCATATACACTCATATAAGTCTCATCACAATCTCTTTAACAAAATAGTCCCAAGCCAGCCTGTCACTCATTATCTTCTTCTATATAAATATAACTGTTTTTATCATTATTATTATAATTGTAATTATCGTTATTATGGAATTTTCTTATGTGTAGGTCAACATGAGGCATAAGAATTAACTTGAATACGAACAGCTAAAAATTATATTAGATTCAACTTTATTGTCATTACACATTCAGAACAAAGCAATGAAATGCAGTTTAGCGTCTAACCAGAAGTGCAATAGCGCAAGTATCAGATAATATTTACAGCATAGATAAATATTAGGGGTATTTAGACGTCTTTAACCCCTGCTATGACCTGCAGGTCTTAGAGAAGCACCAGTAAACCCTGTTATTAATTAGAAAAAACACTAAAAAGAAGATAGGAAACAAATGAGCTCTGCTGAAGATTGGTCACATGACGTGAGCTGCTAGTTGGGGCCTTTTCAACAGAAAGACCATTTTTAAGACTTTATGTTGAGGTAATAGCTAACAATAATGAACTTAAAATTATATAACACAGCACACTTCTTCTGATTTGTGAGTGGCTTTTAAAACCAATTAGAGCGTTGCTTAGCAACCGGGTTGTTTAGAATACGTTAGTCTACTCTGGGGCTAGCCAGTGAGTGGCTGACTAAGTTAACCTGTCTAACATTCGTGAGTAACTTAGGCTATCAGTTCGTTGAAATACATGTGGATATTAGTTTTTATTTTTATTTTAAGAGTTTTAAAGTATCATTTGAGGTCTTCTGTGACAATACCAAATGTTTTCTATAGTATTTCCGGTTTATTGATTTCAAAATAAAAGCTCACTGTGCTCCGTTAGATTGTATTTGACACTAAGAATACGCGAGTTTCCGGTTTCTCTCTCTTTGTTTAACTAACTTGACTCAGCGCTGCTTCAAAAGGTTTTTTTTTTCTTCCATTCTCACGTGTACGCGCGCGCACACTCATTGCCACTCTCAAATACACACACACACACACACACAGACGAGAGCACACACACTCACTCACTTAGTCCTTTCTCTTTTCAAAAGGCCCTTGTGAAACAGATTGACAGGCTAGAATGAAAATGAGGCGGACGCTCGGTCACGACTTCAGTGCGTACGCGTCCTTTTGAGAAGACCTCTAAACTTGGATCATATCACCATGGGAGCTATTTGGGCTGCAAGGGACTTTTGTTTGTTTTTGCTCTTGTTAAATAGTCGCCAAAGCGCTGCTCTTCCAGAGATTCGAGGTGGGACTGTAGTAAGTGTGTGTATTCATGTGTGTGTCTGTGTGTGTTTTCTTCAAGTCATGGAGAGAGCTACTCCGAGCACAGTTTCAGCCGCTCTTGTTGTTACTCCACTTGTGACCTTTTAAATTTGATCACTTTCTTCATTTATGTCTTTAAAAGTGTGTGGGTTTGTTGAAAAGATTAATGAAGTTTCTCTTGGTAAAGTTTCTGGGCTAAATCAAGGTTTGTAATTAGACTGCATCAGTACTTACTGAGTTTCAGCTCACTTTGCACTAAATTGTTAGAATAACAGGTTGTAGTTTCCTTTTTATTAGAGAACTCTTTTTTTGGCGTTGGTTGGTTGGTTTAAGTATTCATGCTCATCCTCTTTAGTGTTTTCTTACAATATACACCAAAGTTGAGAGTGCATCTATGGTTAATGTCATGTTATCTCATGTATTACACTGTTTGGATTGGTTTCGGTGATATAGACCGTATGGATTTCTCATATGGCTCATTATTTCAGACAGGCCTACTCAGACTAACATTTGATGTTCTGCTGCAGGGTCCAGACTTATAACTTTTTATTTAATACTTTGTTGTGTTGATGTGCTTTTTATTGATTTTACTATTCTACTGATGTGTCTTTTAATTGCCCTGTAAGGTGTCCATGAGTTCCCTGAAAGGCGCCCACAAATAAAATGTATTATTATTATTATTATTTCAGCAGATCCGTGTGCAGAGGGAAGTGACGGCTGTCACATTGATGCTATTTGTCAGACTACTCAAGGCTCATACAAATGCACGTGTAAAGCAGGCTTTAAAGGAGATGGCAAACACTGCGAAGGTAAGTGTCTCCATTTCATCATCCTGTTTACTGCTCGTTTATTTGTGGTTTCAAAAAACTAACATTATGATGTTTATTATATACGAATCACAGCCTACCAATTTTCCTATTACACCCTCTTTGTAAAGTTGTAAAGTTAAGTTTTCTCATCACCAGATGGTTTTTTTACTCGTGTGTTGTTTACTTCTCAGACACTGATGAATGTGATTTGGAGTACAACGGTGGCTGTGTACATGAATGCAACAATATTCCTGGGAATTATCGCTGCACTTGTTATGATGGATTCAATTTGGCACACGACGGACACAACTGTCTTGGTAAGATCAGCTTTTGGAAAGAAAATAGATCAAATGTAGTCCCTGTATAAACAGTTTTGGTCTACATAATAATGTCTAAAGTGTTCAAGAAAGACAACAACTTTTTTTTATTTTCATAGGATTAAAGCTCAATAGAGGACATAACCCACATTTTTTTTTACAATTTTTGAATACAGTTAATCATTAAATCATTCCTCTGTGCTGTAGATGTGGATGAATGCAAGTTCAACAATGGAGGGTGCCAACACACTTGTGTCAACACCATGGGCAGCTATGAATGTCGCTGCAAAGAGGGTTTCTTCCTCAGTGACAACCAGCACACATGCATCCATCGATCTGTTGGTGAGTGAATAACATGCACACTTGTTTTATAAACCTGCAGCTTTAGCTTAAAGACATAGATTAACTGCATCTAAATTTGACTGTTCTGTTTTTTATTGTATTCCTATAGAGTTAAATTAGATGTAAAAGCGAAACTTCAAACAGTTGCTGGTTCATTTATAAAAGGATTACATTATTCATGTGCGCCTGTGTTTGCAGAGGTTTGTTAAGTGTATGAATCTGTGGAAAAAGGTGAATAATTATCAAGCAAATTCGCCCAATATTCATACACAAATCTAAGATTGAAGGGACAATGAGGCGTGACAGGTTCAAACTGGCTCCCGTCACTGAGCTTTTCTCTGCAGCAGCCTCATGCTGTGGGAAAAAGGATCACTGTGTCCCAGGGAACAAAATGAGTTAATAACTGCAACACTCACATCTCTGTGGTCTGTGTCACAGATTAGTCTGAAGTGCCTTTGTATTGTCTTCTCGACTGACTGAAGTCAACTAAATGCGAGCTCTTTCCACTCCATCGGGTCTTGACAACCCTTTTAAATCCCCCGGACCTGTCCACTCAGCTGTGACCCATCTTTATAAATTCCGCTTTACTTTACGGAGTATTTTTGAGGGCTGGTTTTCAGGGAACTTTGTAGGAAAGTTGGCCCTGTTCACTGAGTTTTTCCTCCCTCTCTCAAAAATAACACAGGTCGATGTCTTTTGATTGAGTAATGCAAGAGAACAATCAGTGTCTTTGAGGATGTCAGACTAATCTCTCAGTGTGTGTGCCTTTGTGTTCAGCTGGTCAGTCACTGTAGGAGAGTTTCATTGTGTACCTCTCTCCCTCTCTCAATCTCAGAGGGCCTCAACTGTATGAATAAGGAGCACGGCTGCGCCCACATCTGCAAAGAGACACCCAAAGGGGGTGTGGCTTGTGAATGCCGTCCAGGTTTTGAACTGGCCAGGAACCAGAGAGGCTGCATCTGTACGTGCTCGACAACATGACTTCACACAACACAACACGCCAACCAGGTCACACACACACACACTGACACTAATTCCTCTCCGATCAAATGTCTGATTGTTGCAATGCTTTTTTTGACCCTGCAGTAACCTGTAACCATGGCAATGGAGGCTGCCAGCACACCTGTGAGGACACAGAGAACGGCCCCATATGCAGGTGTCATGTCAGGTACACACTACAGCCTGACAAGAGGTCATGTGTAGGTAAGAGAAGAGTTAGTGGACACAGGTGTGGTTCTGTGCATGGAATGACAAGATGACAAGCATGTTAGATTGCCTCTTTGGTTTAAATATATATATATAAAATTAGGCACAAATCATCCTGACTGAACAGTCCCTCATTAAAGCTCCTGTGATGATCTTCATTTTGTGTGAGAAAATCGGTGCCCCTTATGGTGGTTAGTTTAGTTTATTTGTTTATTCGAACAGGTTAAAAGAAAATAGATAAATAAATACAATATACAATGTGCTTTGGCAGAAAAACAATTAAAGAGACAACTCTGTAGCAACATAGATAATCACACTTTGTTCGAAACGGTGTAGGATGAAGTTGATAAAACTTCAATCTAGTCCTACACCTTTATTGTTGTGTTACTGTAATTTAATCAGTCAGAGGATGTGTAGGAATAACAGCACAGAAGAAAGAAAATAAATCAGAAAAAAGCACGTTACTCATTGTTATAAATTCATGTTTCCATTTGTGAAAGCAGTCCTTGCTTATCTTGCCTTCTACATACTGAAGTGATGTCTTCTGGCAGGAGACTTCATTCTGACTTTTTGTGGTTAAACAAGTTATGTATTGTAAATGATTTAATTAGAAATTATAAAAAAAAGTATGGCAATCAAAATTGTCAATCCTGCTGCAAATAGTCTTGTCTGCTTTTTTTAAATCTTAAAAAGGCTTCAATATGAATTTGAGTAAAGTTCATGTAAAAAAAAATCATCACAGGAGCTTTAGATAGTCCTTAGTAGTACTTCGAGGCCTATGAAGCCATAACAACAACAACAACAACAACAACAACAACAACAGCAACAACCTTCCAGCTACTAAAGAAGAAAGAAACACAATCAGTAAAATTTAACATTGAACCTTGTTATTAATGTAGTTTTTCTAAAGTGTCTTTCTTCCTCATGAAAAAAGGACTACTCATTAGTTTTGGTTGTTTGTTGTTGAATTTTGTTGGAAATTTAACTAAAACTCAATCTCAGCTTAGAAAGCATAAATTCCACTGTCATCCGACAGTCAGTTGAACCTTGTGTCTTTAGTTTTGTGGGGGCTATCTTGATGAATAAATGAAAACACTGAGACTGGAAACCTCTTTCTCTGTCAGGTGGTGTACATTTTTCCTCACAATGGTTATGTAGGATAAAGATCTGACATTGTGTAATATCTCCCCCTCCAGCAGCAGTGTGTGTGAGGTCCAGGCCTATCACTATGATGTCTCCAGATTCATTTTATAATCTGGTGTGTTATCTGACGCACGCCAAGCTGCTACAAGCTGAATATCTCGAGTGTAAACATGCATCTTGTCACTGAAAAGTGATCTACACAAACACCCAGAGCTAATCTCAGCGGGAAAGTCGTGCTTGTGCATGTGCTGTTTTGTAAAATGTTGTGAATTAGTGTTTCACTTCTTTCTCCGACTGTGATTTGTTTTGATTGTCACAGAGCGAGACGAAGCCACGACTGAGTCTGTGGACCACAACGCTACATCCTTCACCGAGGTGGACAAAAGAGTCAAACGGAGGCTCTTAATGGGTAATAGTCATGCTCTCGGCTTGTGTTTTGTATGCATGTTGCATTTCTGAACCGCTCACGGATATTCAACAGGAGGGAGAAGTGATGTCCAGTAAACCGATGCATTCCTCAGACTTTTGAGCAAACTGTGAAAAGACTACATGCTTGCTGTCTTGCCCCCAGCTTCCCCCCTGAAAAATATGCATTTGTGACAGTGTGGTACATTTCACATTGTCCTTCCATTTGAGAAGGGGAGAGTATGAGTTTTTTTCTTCTTCTGCAGCCATTACTCATCAGGTGTGTTATTCTGGGCCATTTGATATGTTTAAACATTACCTCTCTGGCACTTTACCAAGTCGGTACATTAACGATCAGAGCTGCAAGTTCAAATATATCAAAGCTCTGATCACTGAGGGTCTTGTACTTGTCATTGAGGAATAATGTCCCCTTTAGATGGATTTACGATGTGTATTTTAATTCCAGAAACTTGTGCGGTAAACAACGGGGGGTGTGACTGCACTTGTAAAGACACATCCACGGGCGTGCGCTGCAGCTGCCCCATCGGCTTCACACTGCAGCCAGATGGAAAAACATGCAAAGGTCAGATATCAAGTGGACAAACATTATATCCACAGATACGTGAGATTGATTTAATTTTCTGGAAATGGTAAAAGAAGTCCTGATTCCCATTTGTTACAGATATTGATGAGTGTGAGCACCACAACGGTGGTTGCGAACACTTTTGCAGGAACACTATCGGCAGCTTTGAGTGCAACTGCAGAAAAGGCTTCAAGCTGCTGACTGATGAACGCTCCTGTCAAGGTAAAAACAAAAATGTCTGAACACTAACACAGTCCATAGCTTATATTTGCTTCTGTTTACTATGTTTAAAAACGGTCACCTGTAATTCATCAGATGAGGAATACTGAAACAGCATATATGTGTGTGTGTGTGTGTCAAATTTTACCTAGTTGGGGAATTCAAGATGAAACACAAACATCTGTCTGGGTGGGAAATCCCTCCTGATGAAGTTTGCGACTGACTGCCCTGCTATTATGTCATCTGCTCACTCTGATTACAGATATAGATGAGTGTTTTTTTGAGCGCACATGTGATCACACATGTGTGAACTCCCCTGGTGGTTTTCAGTGTCTGTGCAACAAAGGCTACACCATGTATGGACTGGCCCACTGTGGAGGTGAGTCTACGTTTAGAAGACTTCAGAATCTCTATCATAATATACAACATCTTAAGTTGGAGTGAACTGAGTAGAAGGACTTGTTTCTGGATTCTTCTTTTTAACAATTTTGATGAAAATAACATTGGTTTTCGCTCTTCTGTCAGATATAAATGAATGCAGTGTGAACAATGGCGGTTGTGAGCAAGGTTGTGAGAACACCCTGGGTGGATTTGAGTGTTTTTGCCATCCTGGTTACATCCTACACTGGAACAAAAAGGACTGCATTGGTAAGCCAGTGCCTCTTCCTATGTAAGAGGTGAATCTCTTGGGTGTTTGCTCATTTCCCACATTTAGGATCAAAATTTGGGGGAACAAAAACAGGAGATACTTTGAATTCTTCTCTTTTTTTCTCTTTGATTCTCTATCACTTGGTTTTCTTGTGCTTGAGTAAACCAGTCCAAAAAGCTATGATACTGCTGGCGCTCCCAGATGTTGGATTTGTGCCTATATTCCACACGTCCACTTCCGCTTTGTTGCAATCCAAAGTGTTCCTTTTCACCTTTGAGTTTTGTTGTGATTTTCATCTAGAGGCTGAGGGTTTACCGACTGCAAAACCCACCTCTAAACCTACCCTGAACTGTAGTAAACAGGAGGGAGGAGATCGCTGCTTCCTGACCTGCCAGTCCCAAGTTCATATCAGCAGTGGTGAGTTTGGTTGATGTGCCACAGTGGGCGCTAATATTTCTGTATTTTCCTTTAACAAATACTGACAAAGTGACTGTTTTTCACCTCACCTTAAAGGCTTTTGCATCGTTGAATCATATCACATGCACATCCTTCACACGAATCAAGACTGATCTGTAAAACGACTGCATACACTCGTATCAGTGTTACTTTAAAATAGCTCCTCTCAACACTTTTGTAGATATTTTAGAAGTTAGTCCATCTTTTACTTTTCATCACACACTCAAAAGTAAACTGTTTGCTGCCCTCTTCTGCTCCTGCCTGCTGCACTATTTACTTTAAAACCAACTTTGTCTAAAAGGTTAACCCTGGCTTATCATTGTGGCTTCCTTAACAACACCAGTTTAACTCCAGCAGTTACATCTTTGACATCCACATCTACTATCCAATCATATTTCACATTTTGACACACATCAGTCAAACTCACATTCATAATTTAGTCATACAACTCATTTTAACCCTAAAAGCAGTAAAACAATGTTTTTGTTTGGTCCTTATGGTTTGCCTTCACATGCCTAAACCCAGGGGTAGTGTCACAATATCTTAACCCCCTCAGGTGGTGCAAGCAGGTGGATGCTAGAGAGGTGGTGGATGGAAAAATTTAAGGGCAGCACCTAATATAGTGGCAAAAGCACAGCTGAGGCAGAGACCAGAAATCTTGCGGTTCGCATAGAGCGCCAAATTGTGAGGATTTGTTGTGTGATGAATGATGCATGTGAGAACTAAAATTAGCGCACTTTTCACTCCACTTTTTGGAAGATTAAAACCTGGGCGATAAACGATAACGATGTGTATCGAATATTAATTTCCCTCAATATCAATATAAAACATGGTCAATATGCTTTTCGAAAGTCGGCATTCTCCCATGTTTTGGTAGACTATACAAATCGCCAATGAAAAGGGGAGTTGCTCCAGGTCTGCTTTGCGCTGAACCAATGACGACATCGTCAACAACACTGGCACAAAAACGTTGGTGGTGTGGAGGTATTTTGTTTTTTTGAGGTTTAGACACGAAGCAGAGTAATGTGCACTGCAAATTATGTTGAGTACATGTTCCTTAAAGTCGGGGAATACCTCAAATCTTTTTCACCAACTGAAGCAGTGCCACGTGGCAGAACAAGCGCAACGCAAAAGTTTACAAACCCCGAGCGGAGGAAGGAGCCCATGGCGCCTGTGCAGCTAAAACAGCCGACCATTCAGTCCGCTTTCTCTAGGGCAACGCTTTACGACAAAAAGTCGAAGAGACACAAAGACCTCACAGATGTAGTAGCTTATTGTATTGCAAAAGACATGCTTCCAATAAGCACTGTTAGATTTCATTTTTTATATTGTGATATATATCGATATCGACTGATATGAAAAAATATATCATGATAAACTTTTACCCATATCGCCCAGCCCTAATAAGACCCATGATGAAGAAAAGGACAGGTATCACGTCATGAATTATATCAATAGAAACATAATCAGTCACTGAGTCCAGCTGTTCTGGATCTGGTGGTGTGTCAACATCAGTCTGCAGAGCGACTCTTCGTGTTCCTACATGCTGCCTGTTTGCTCTCCCCAACTTGGCTTTTGTGGCCTCAACTTTTGTCTGTGTTGGTCCGTGTGTCACGGCCCCTTGTGTTCGCAGGGACGGAGGATTCCTACACGGTGACCTGTGGAATGCCCCTGCCCTGCCTGGCTGAAGCACAAAAGAACAACAGCGGCTTGCATTGCTTAGGCAAGTACAAAACATCACAGATTAACATCAATCTTTCCGCTCTGCCACAGAAAACAGTAAATCAGAGACGGCTCAGGCTTTACTTGTTTTCAGTCGATAAATACCGGGAGTAGAGAAAAATGACAAGGTTTTTTTTTTGTTCCTCTTCCCACAGGTCCGATGGCAAATGTTCCACGCATTAAAACCACCGCCACTTTTAAGTCTGGCGCTGCAAAATGCAACTTAAAACGAAGTCAGGAGAAACTCAAGGAGAGCTTGAACTCGGCACACTCAGGTACAGAGGTTGCCAAACAACAACAAGCCGAACAACAAAGCCTCCAAAACACAAGATTTAGATCACACATAGGCAAGGATTACATTTACAGCTCCTTTATGTTGCTGGTTTAAAAACACTTTGGGTTTACCCAGAACTGCCAGCATTTGAAGCCACAATCTTTAGAAGATGAAGCAGACCTCAGAGTCAAAGTAAACCAAAAACCAAAGGCAAATGTGAAGAGATTTTGTGGGGAAAGTGATGTGGTTAGAGCGTCTTGAATATCTCAGAGCAGCACTTTGTCTCGCAGTGACAGGGGAGGATGTAATTAGCCATGGCGTGCCTTTCAGTTGGGTCTGACTTAGCCATCAATCAAACGGGTTTCCGATTGTAGGATTATTTCGCTTCTCCAAGGGGTTTGATGTGCTATTTCACGTTTCTCACACTCACTAAATAGAAAGTTTCATCTTTTTTGTCGTTATAATCTGTAAAACTGTCCAAGATTTTCTCTGACACTTGTGCAATTTTGTTTGTTAGATAGCAGGTTCCTCTTCACTGAAAATGTCCAGTTCAGCTACGTGAGCCTGCACTGCACCACGTCCGGACAGCGTACTCGCAGCCGCCACGGCAGGAAAGCCGCCGAGGAGGACGGCTCGTCGATAACAGCTGAGTTTGAGCTGGATGTGAACCTAGAGGAGGTAACAGGTTGGTCTCTGCGCTTTCTCTCTGCCTGCTCGGGACGTTTGCTTATCGTTCTCCATCCTTCTCTCTGTCCTCTGCTGCTGTCTGTTCATCACTAAACAAACAACACTGATAAAGTATCTCCTGTTTTGACTCGGCCTTGGTGGTGGGCTTTAGGATGGGACTGAGGGTCTTTTTGTTTGTGCTCTTCAGAAGTGGTGGCTTACATTGCTCTTCACCTGTATTTGTTTGAATGTTTAGCCAAGCATGTGAGCATCCAGGTGTTCAAGTACAATTTAAAGTAGGTGTGAAACATTTGTTGTGGAAACTGTTGTGGTATCAAGTGCCTCTCTCAGCAGAGAGCTGTGACCTGAACTGCGTGCGCAGACGCTCGGAGAAAAGGCTCAGGAAGACCATCAGGACCCTGAGGAAGTCCATCAATCGGGAGCAGTTCCACCTCCACTTTGCCGGGTCCGACTACGAGCTCAGCAAGACTCTGGGCCAGCCGGCCGAGCTGCCTGGACATTGTGTGGGAGGACAGGTGCTGGTGGGCAGGAAGTGTGGTGAGTTTGGTTTTCATGTTTGTGTGTTAATCAATACAGAAACCATCTTAAAGGTGAGGGGATTCAAAATGGGGATATTGGGGACTTAGCTCACAGATGTACAGTAGATCTAACCCGCTCTTTCGCAGCCACACCAACGCTCTGACAAGGCTCTACACAAACATTAGACTCTTAGTCATTTCTTTAAGCAACTGAAATGGTCCGTGCCAGTTAGATATATTTAGACAAGCCGGTTTAATGATTGGATTTGGAACAGGTGTTGGCCAGATGAATGCCATATTTGGTTTTCAGACATGCCGTAATGAGCTAGTCGGAGGGGAAAGCGAGCTCGCGTCGAAGAACAGAGACTCTGTTGTTGAGATCTTCCAGCATCTCTGGATCAGAGTGTAACATGAGGGCTGATGGCAGCTCTCCTGGTAGCTGTTGCCTCTCGCTTCGATTTTTATATACAACCTGCGATGGAGAAAATGTTCATTAAATAAGACCGCACACTGTCAGAGTTGTTGGAGGGCTGAAAGGCTGGCATGTGTTTTCTCTGGCTTTTGGGACCACGCGCCCCCTAATTTCAGGCCTCACAGTAAGTTTTGTGCCTGCTGTACGCCGTCTTAGTCTAAGCGAGAGCTACAGGCTGCTTTTTCTCGATTGAGATGTCTAAATATTTATCCAGAATAAATCTATGTGATTCAACATCTGAACATGTTTCCTGTAAATGTTTGAGATGTTTAATTAAGGCGCAGATGCAGATCTTCAAATGCACTGAAGGTTTTTGTTTGCCTCCTAGAAAAAGCGTAGGTCAGTGGTTGAAATCTGGCCTGAAGTACGACTTATCTGCGGCTCGTTGAGATAATGCAGCTTTCCGTTGCACGTATCTCCTTTTTCTTGGCCTCTGCTTTAGCATCAAACAGAGTCGTGCCGCTGAGCTGCGCTGACATGATTTAAACCCTGGCTCATACTCTTGGTTTCTCCTCTGTTTCAGTAACTCCGTTTCTAAGTGTGTTGATTTCTTAACTCCCCCGCTATGCTTTCAGGTCAACATTAAGCAGTCTATTGGCCATGGCAGGGGTGTAGACATGTAATTTGGGAGAGGAGTGGAGTGGAGGGGGGAGCTGAAAGGCATTCTTCTTAACCTCCAGCTCTTTAAAGGAGCTATATTTTTCCCCTCCTCCTCCCCCACCTCCCGCTCTGGCTTAGCTCGGAGTGCAGTTTAGTCCTATTCACTCTGCCCACTCCATTGAAAAGCCCATTTGGGGCTTGTTCTCGCTGCCTCAGATGGATGACAACACAGGCTCTTGTGCATTTGGAGAAAATATGCTTTCTGCTCAGAGCACTAGTACAAGCGTTTCTCCTCCAACTCTCATCTGTTCTTGAATCTTGCTTCGAAAGGTTGAAAGTCTAGGATGTTAATTTAATTTAATCAAAGTGTGTGGATTGTTAAGTACATAAGTAATGTAATTAGTTATAACGTCAATGTTTTTTTCTTGATACCGTCTTTATCTGTCCGCTTCAAACCCCATAATTGCATAGAAAGTAGAAACAGTCCAAACACGCAAACATCAACGATCCAAACCGCCGCTCAGTGCGCGTCTACGTCTGTTTGACCGCTGTAGCCGACTTGTTTGCGTGTTTGTTTTAACATTGAAGATGTTTAGGAAGTGCTGTTGATTCAAGCTGGCAGTTTGAGTGCTGTGTCCCCCCTGCCCCCCAGCTGGGGCCACTTTGCATGACCCCCAGCCACTAAACTGCTAAAGAGAATTGACTTCAGCCACACCATGGGAATCAATTAGCATCAGTTGTTTGGGCCTCGGCTTGATGGGCGCGAGCAGCGATTGGGCCAAGCAGAGTGGGGGGATTCAGAAACCTGACCCCTTTTATTGGGTTCAGCTCCTTACCACTGTGATACCGTGGTGTTTTCCTATGTCATCAAGTAGGCACAGACTGAGGACTTGAATAGAGGTGAAAGGTCTTTTAAACCTCTTTGGGGCCATCAATTCGAGGACTCTATAGAAGCGTTCTTTGCATTTGAAAGGCTTCAAGGTTTTTTCTCTCTTTCACTCTCACTCTCTCTTCTCGCACTGCTTCCCTCTGTCAAATAAAAGCTGTTAGAGGACAATGCAGTGATGGCTCCTCATGGTCTTTCAGAGTAAACAATGGGCTCCAAAAAATGAACTGCTCTTGAGAGAATTACATTTTCTTTCTGCGGAGGAAAATCGAACAATTTGCTGAGCCACGTATAAAGGATTGACATCAGAGCTTTTGTGTGTCGAGCTTTTAGAAACCGCGGTGTCTCTGCTTACAGACGGCTTAAGGGATACAACCGAGGCGCATTTTGTGCTAAAGGCCCAACATTTAATTGATTTATTCTTGTGCGAGATCAGCTCCAGTTTTCAAGGGAACTTCTAAAGACCATCAGACAGACGCAGTAATTCCCAAATTAATTACAGGCATCACTCTGTGTGGGAGGAACCGGAGCAAAACGGCGCTTTACTCCCTTTAATCAAGCCTTTGCACTTTTGTGAGATAAGAGGGAAATACTCTCTTTGATTTCCGTCTGTGTTTGCTTTTAAGAGAGGTGAGGGTGCTTTAAATGTTACCCCCAAATGCACAGTCATGATGTGGAAAGCATTAGGGACGTGTCAGATAAAGCTGCGAAAAGGAAACTTTGGAGAGAGTTTGTTAGAGGGATTTGGTTTGAAGAAACTCACGTGGGTTTTACTTTGTTGTGACTGGCCTTGCAGCATTTTTTTAATGTAGAAAATGTGATCAAGAAAGTCATTAAGATTATGATTAAGATTAAGTGATTTCTTGTCGTTATGAATGAAAAGGTTTATCTGTGGGGGGTAGTTTGGCCCAGTCTCCACAACATGTATACATGTATGTGAAGTGAATCACACACTCCATGTACTGAAGCTGGAGTCCTCAAATCGAGTAGGTAAGGTTCATTTCCAACCTGCAGCTCTTTACCCCGTGTCATTTCCCGCTTTCTGACCTTTGTCTTAATTTAGGCATATAAAGAGAACAGTTAAATCTATTAGTTATTCCAGCATTTCTGGGCTTAAAATGGCCTGTAACAGGTTTTAGGAATGATTCAACTCTTATTTTAAATACCCAGTCCTAGAAAAAAAGATTTGTGATTAATTTGACTTCATATAGTTTGTTCTTGATTTAATTTGCCGTAACCTTGACGATGAAGGTTTTCTTGATTTTGGTTTATGGTTACAGTGCCCAGCATAAGTCAGTACACCCCCCATTAAAAGTTATGTATTACTCAATATCTAGGTGAGCAAAAGTAGAATTTCCAAAGTTTTGACAAAGCTGAGTTTAACATAACATTTTATTTATTATCAGATGAAAATAAGGGTGATATGGTAACTAAAATTTAACTTTGCTTCCAGAACTTTGATTGGGGTGTACTTATTTTTGCATCCTGATTTTAAATTGAAAAAATACTCTTTTTGTCTGCAACTTAAAAGATCTTATTGCAATCAGTGGCCTTCATTTGGGGGAGTATTTTATTGTACAGTCTGACATAGAAAATGTTGATTTTGAAAGGAAACTAAAGGTTTTCTGACAACTCTGAAGGGGTGTACTCATTTATACTGAGCACTGTACATCAAAATACTAAAACAATAAGAAAAGTAGTTAATCCTTGTGATGTTTCAGCCCTAGTTACTTCTACGCTCCTCTTTAAGTTCATGACTGAGTTCATGTGTTTGAGATATGTAAAAGTTTCAACTACAAGTAAAGCTTTAAAATCTGTCATCAGATTGATAAATTGACTTGGTTAAACTGCCTTTAATGCGTCTTTGGAGATGCTCTTAACTGTGTTTATCCGTCTCAAGTGCGTACATGTTGTTTGATTACACTCAAAGAGGCGGCTGATGAAGTCTGGGTTACTTTGCTTTAATTGTCTTGTCGTGCAGCTGAACCACTGTCGGTGGGTGTAAATTTACAGTGTGGTTAGGACTGTTTGATTATGTGCAGCCACAGCCCACCCTGCTGCATTTGTTCACTGTGTTTGAATTTTATTTTGTGTGTCTCGATTCTGGTAGACATGGACATATAAATCAGATCTAGCTGCCAAATATAATTATACATTGTAAAGTTCAGATACACTAGTTTGTTTTTGGCAATTTCACGAAGTTTTCATGTTCAGTTGTGAGGGAAACTTTTATTTCTTCTTGTTTTCAAATGAGTTTATTAGGAAATGATGGTGTTTTGTTCGATATTAAGAGAACATAATTTTTTAGACTTTTCACAAAACTAAGAAAAACTATTCATTCTCACTAATGTGACAAACAACCACAAGCTTCACAGCTCCCCGTCAAACATCGCAGGCCCAAGTTTGAGTCTGCAGGAGTGCATTTGTGCGTTTCTCCAAGTCCTTCTTCAGGTTCAAATATTAACCCTCCATCCATCTTGTGTCTCTTTCCTTGTTGTCTGTCAGTGAGCTGCAGTGTCGGGACCTACTTCGACAGGGATCAGGGCAGGTGTGTTTTGTGTCCTGCTGGAACCTATCAGGATGAGGAGGGACAGATGTCCTGTGAGGTTTGTCCCGGACCTGAGGGAAGAGATGTCCCCAAGGTGGTTGGAGCTCGAAACATGTCTGAGTGTGGAGGTAGAGCAATCATTTCTATCGTCTGTTTGCATATTTAGACTTTTTGAACTATCCCTTTGCTTGTGGGATTTTCTTCATACACATTTTTATTAGATTATTCCTATGGGGGAGTCTGAAATTTAAGGATCTAATGAGCAAAATTTGCATAAAAAATGAGATAATGAACACAAAAACGCCTCTCGAAGGACAGTAACATATCCAGAAGAAAAACTTGTGAAGGGAAAATAAAAGAATTATTTGCTTTGTTTGCAACTTTCACACTATTTCTCTAAAAGTAGTAAAGGTCTTCTATTACGGTTTAATATTCAGTTAAAATATGCGTATTGTCAATTTTTCCATGTTGGATGAAGTAATAGTACGACCAAACTACGCAGCAGTCTAAAAAGCATTTATAGAAACAGCCAAATAAAAAAGACAAGGATGAACTATCCGAAGAGTAAAACAATGTGAAATCTGGAAAAATAAACAAAACACAAAGAAAAAGAAATGAGCACACAGAAACGATCAGTGGATATGAGCCACAAAGGAAGCGATGGTGCCTCGATAGAGATCTCTCTCCAGCAGATGTTCTGCTTTGTGTAAAGCCAAAGAAGCTTGAGTTTAGATGTTGAAGATATATTTGAATTCAAAAGGTGAACAAGCCTCTTTCAGGCTGGAATAAAAGGCTGAAGGAGCCAGCATGTTTTGGTCTCCTCCTGAGCTGTTATCACAGTCACTTTGTGGCTGAATCCCAAATCCCATCTCCTCTGTCAGACTAAACAACAGAAGCTATCTGAAAACTCCCACTTGCGCAGTTTGTATTAGCCGTGGGTGTGAGGGGTGGTGCGCGAAGAGATAAAAACAGTCATTCCATTGACTTGAACCCTATTCCGGGATGGTGGGGAGAGTATTTTATTCTACTTCAGCTGAAATGTAAAAAACTTTTCTAACTCAAGCTGTGAAGTGCTCCGAGGATTGTGGGACAAATAAACCGTTGCCGAGGCTAACAGACTAACGCTTGTGTGTGTGTGCAGGTCAGTGTTTCCCAGGTCAGTACTCCCATGACGGCTTCATCCCCTGCCTGCTCTGTCCTTTGGGAACGTACCAGCCAGAAGTGGGACGCACCTCCTGTTTCCCTTGTGGAGGGAACCTGGTGACTAAGCGCAGTGGTGCGGTTGCCTTTCAGGAGTGTGAGACCAAAGGTTCGAACTCCATGTTTACTGTGTTGTTACAGAGTTGAAAAACAGTCAACAAGTATTTTCAATCAGTCATTTTATTTCTCATTTTACACCGAGGGGAGAAAGTTTATAAAAACACGTCTAATATCTTCTATAAAGTGAATCCCTGTGGTGGTTTTTATTCTCCTCACACTTCTCGCACAACAAACATACATAGGTACGTGATTGTTGAGTCTATGGAGTGGCACTCTGCTGCCCTCTGGAGACACTTTACTGTCTGTGCGCCCAACTTCTTGGCTTGTTTTGAATCTATGCACCTCCTTGGCATCGGTCCACCAGTATCTGGGGCAGGAGGTTTATTTACCCTCATGAGCAGAAGGATGTATCCTGATCAGTCATCACATTATGACCACTGAAAACTGAAGTGAATAACACTGATGAATTCTGTCAGTTGGTGGGATAAATATGAAACATGGGCATCTTGCTCTCACGTTGATATTGTATGGACAAGGTTAAGGATCTGAGAGACTTGAACAAGAACCAAACTGTAATCTCTAGAGGGGGATGTGTTGGACAACAAATTCTGATCTAAAGAGGCCACAACTCACGGGACTTCGAGGATGTGCTGCTAACATCTTGGTGCCGGATACCACAGCACACCTTCAGAGGTCTAGATTTAGGGCTGTTTTGGTCCTGACCTGATTAGCAGGGAGCCAGCTGTTTATATGTTTTGCTTCAAATTAGTAGAATTTTAGAGGGAGTAGGATAAAATGATTTGTTTTTAAAGATGGGACAAGTGGGTATGTTCAGATTCTGTGTTTTGATATTCTTCATCTTTTGGTTATGCTCTGATGAAGTTACTCTGAAGCAAAAATTGTGATGCTTTCTCAGTTAATTTTCTGTTACTTGCAGATAGAAAGCAAATGATTGTCTTGTAAGCTCCTGATTACCTCCAGGAGTCCTCTTTAATGCTTAAATTTAGCTCAGGGAAAATACCAGCAGCATAATTCTCTTTTTCACACTCTTGTATCCTCTTGTTTTGCTCCTGCAGTCCAGTGTTCTCCAGGACATTACTACAACACCAGCACACACCGCTGCATCCGCTGCCCCACGGGCACATATCAGGGAGAGTTTGGACAAAACTACTGCGTCGCATGCCCTGGAAACACCACAACTGACTTTGACGGGTCCACTAACATCATGCAGTGCAAAAGTGAGTTTATCTGAAGCATAAACAGAGAGGGGGTGAGATACTATTGCATGATTTAACAATATGAACAAAACAACCTGTTCGACTCTCTGACCTGTGGTTTGTTACAGACCGACACTGTGGAGGAGAGCTGGGAGATTTCACCGGCTACATCGAGTCACCAAACTATCCAGGGAACTACCCGGCCAATGTTGAGTGTACTTGGACCATTAACCCACCGCCCAAACGCAGGATCCTTATCGTCGTCCCGGAGATTTACCTGCCTATTGAGGACGAGTGTGGAGATTATCTGGTGATGAGAAAAAGCTGTAAGTTTGAATATTATGTGCTTTGTTGTGAATTCCCCCTACGGTTCAGGGGACCGTATCTGTCCAGCTTGGATTGTAGCTGACAATAATCATTCATGTTGTCTTGTGTGTCCACAGCTCTATCCAACTCTGTGACAACCTACGAGACCTGTCAGACTTACGAACGTCCCATCGCTTTCACCTCCCGCTCTAAGAGGCTCTGGATACAGTTCAGGTCCAATGAGGGAAACAGTGGGAAAGGCTTCCAGGTCCCATACGTGACATATGATGGTAGGAGGAAAAAAAAGAGAAACATGCCTAAACTATCTATCTATCTATCTATCTATCTATCTATCTATCTATCTATCTATGCAGATTTGTTTTGAACTATGTAAGTAACAACTTTTTGTTTGTTTGTTTGTTTTTAGAGGACTACCAAGAACTGATAGAAGACATTGTCAGAGATGGAAGATTATATGCCTCAGAAAATCACCAAGAAATTCTCAAGGTATGTTTAAAAAAATGACTTACATGTCGCACTTTTCTTTCTCAGTTGTATCTATAAGCCATGGACTTTTTGGTTGATGAAACATCAGTACTGCTGAGGTTCCCAGACTTTTTTCTGCAGGGCTCCCCCTTTGGCATATGAAAAACTGGTGAAAGTCAATCAGGGACGGGGTATGAATTGTCATTTGAGACATTTGTTGTCTGCATTACTTTTACTTATTAGTACTTTAATAAAATTGGCCATGCTTTGCTCACAGTCCAGGACTGTTGATGTCATATTTATAAGCTGCCCTCCATCAACTAAACTCAACTCAACTTTATTGATAGAGCACTTTAAATACAACCAAAGCTGACACCAAGTGCTGTATATAATAACATAAAAACATAAAACAACAATAAATAGTAAAAAAAAAAAAAAAACAACAATAATAAAACAAATGCCATCTCATGCTGGGTCAACAGCCAAGGAATAAAATTGGGTTTTCAGACGGGTTTTGAAAAGGGACAGTGAGGGAGCTTGTCTAATGTGGAGAGGAAGGTCATTCCGCAACGTAGGAGCAGCAACAGAAAAAGCTCTGTCTCCTTTGAGCCTCCGCTTAGACCTTGGTACCTGCAGGAGCAGCTGGTGAGCTGACCTGAGGCATCGGGCAAGAGTGTAGGGGTGAAGCAGCTCAGAGAGGTATGATGGGGCCAGACCATTTAAGGTTTTAAAAACAAATTAAAGAATCTTAAAATGAACTCTAAAAAGCACAGGCAGCCAGTGGAGGGAGGCCAGATGCCAACTCTTGGTGCCACATGTCATCATGCCCCTTAGCGTGGGAATCACTGCAGCACATTTTTTATGTTATGTATCTGCCACCTGAATCACATTTTCACTCTCATTCATGCAGACTAAAGCCTGCCTTGGCTTGTCCATTTGTAGAATGTAGCGCCCTCTTTTGGAAACTTTTGGAAATACATCAGTGCATCATGCTGGCCTCTATATCTGTCAACTGCTTTCCATTAATGCAGTTCATTTTCTCATCAGGACAAGAAGCTCATGAAGGCGTTATTCGACGTGCTGGCTCACCCACAGAACTTCTTCAACTACACCGCACAAGAATCAAGAGAAATGTTCCCGAAATCCTTCATCCGCTTTCTGCGCTCTAAAGTCCTGAGATTCCTCCGCCCATAGGATGTCCCTGGCCTGGATATTTCATGAAAAGCTAGATCAGATACTGGCCAGAGTATCTGTTTATTCCCCTTTGAAATATGCTGTAGTTGTCTGTTTTTGCATGGAGTGATACTAGAGGGGACCAAAACTGACCCAGAGGAGAATTTGGACAAGTCAAGCAAGTGGACTTGAAACTGGAGCTTTAAGAGGGAGAGAAGGTTGGTGATAAAATGGTACAGGGTGCAGACAGGGACCTGGATCTCTTCTCTTTGTTTGGAAACATGAAACAGAAGAATAATAACGTCTTCATACCCTCCTTTAGATTTTAAGGTCACCATACGTGAGCTAAACAGACATATACTGCAGAATGTTGGAGAAACTGTACAAAGAGTGTATCTAATCCTAACATAGACTACTTTTACAGGTAGAGGTTAATCAACAGAAATACTGCTAAATGTCAGGAACAAATATAGCACAAATGTTTTCTTGTGAACATTAGCACTACTAAAGAAGTAGTGACACCACAAAAGCAATTATTCAGATTATTGTTTTGTATATGATGTAAAAAGCTTAGGGGAATGTTCATGGATTGTAGGATCTATGAACATTTTTTGACAGTATAGCATTGCTGTTACAGCTGGTGGCCATGTATTCAATGTTTAGGGTGTGTGAGTAACTGGTACTGCCCTGAGGGAACTTTTTCATTTTTCAGATAATTTACCGAGGCACCAGTACGTAACAACACATTGTGCATTTTGAACTAGCAACCAAAGACAACTGTTGGCCCTGCAAGCGGTGCAGAGAATAGGGAGACGTGTGACAGAAGAGATTAAAAATGTCAGACAACTGAACAATGTCCTGTAAAATAGAACTGAGCTATATGCCTGTCTTAGATGACATATGTATATTTTTTTATGGTTTTGTACATCTTATATGCTGTAAATAAAGATAGGACACTTATTTTGTTTTTATTCCCTTTCACAACTTTTATTTCTTCATTTTCTCTGTGGTAAGACAACATTTCTGCACTTTCTGAGCTGCATTTCATTCACATAATCAGATGCATCTTTGGCTTTACTTTCTCAGCTGCTTTAATAGACCAATAAAAGTCACAACACACCCGTTTGCACAGCAGCATTTAGAGATAAAAACATATCTCCATTAGCTACTTAATGTTTGAAAAGAAAAGCTACATCAATGAGCGAATGACATGATTTTACCAATGTCACAGGTGTTTTTTTTATTTTATTTTTGTTACCTGCCAGTTTATCTCTCAGCTTCATGACAGAAGTTTCTGTTGGATGCTCAGTGATAAGGTCACTACATGAAATCTTTCTGAAAGTGTTAATATGCTTCATTAAAAGAATAACAGAAACGCATGTGCCCTGTTTTGAAATGCTATTGTTTCTATTCCTTGTGAAGTCCTATTGGAATCATCTTGTTCATAATCTCAGCTAGAAGATAGGTTAGAGGTATGCGCTATTTTATCATCAGGAAAACAAAGCAACAAAGATGAACTTTTTGATAAATAAATACTTTAACTGCAATGATAAAAATGTCTTTTAAAAATATGCCAATTTGTATTAAATTCTATTTGATGAAATATCACATAAACCGAACACCAAAAGGCTGTAAAACCTTGAACATATTTGGCGTAATACAGTATTTTTGTCCGGTGTAACTACACAACCCCGGACATTTTATTTCATGTACTTGTCCTGTATGCACTGTTTATACATATGCTAATTAAATGACTTATGCTAATTGAAAAGGAATCCCAACAACAACATAAAATACATAATTGTCAGGAAAGGTCTTAAAGGGATATTCCGGCGTAAATTTAAATTATGGTCAAACACACCGTAACACCGAGTTAGACACCCCGTCGAGAGATGAATGTTGCCGACCGTTTGCTTCTCTAGTTATACCAACTTTAGTGATGACCGCAGAGAGCAATACAGAGAGCCACACGCTCAACCAAAACGCCACTCTATGGCCACAAATAATACTCAGAACAGTACCTAACTTCATCAACAGTACATTTAGGGTCCCAACCATAGCACTAGCCTCCAAACATCTTTTTAGCTTTGCCTAATTTCTTTAGTAAAGAGACTAAACACAACTCACCTTCTCTCTTCCTGCAGCCGTTTGCTTGTACGGAGACCTCCAGGCGAGTCCATTACGCACTGCAGCGGGGTGACGCAGCTCAAGGAAGAACATCCCTGTAAAGTTTAAAAAATATACATATTTTTATATTTGTATTGTTTTCGTAAACCTGTTATGAAGGTACAATAAAATAAAATAACACACGCACACACGCTGCGTCAGAGCCGTAGTTAATTCACAGTAATATCTTAGTAGGCGGCTCCTCTACCCCATCACTCCTCTTCCGGGAGTGTCTGGTGTGTAAATCGAGCGCTCCCCGCTGCTCTGTGTGCGGAAGCTGACTGCAATCTCCGGAAACGATAAGTCAGCTGCCCGACGGCTGATGGTGTTTATCCCTGAAACTAGCTTGATGGCGAACGTCGCTTGTTAGTGTGTTTTCTTCTTTATTATCGCTTTCATCCATTCTTAAAAAAAGGACTGGCTCGTTTTAATCTCAAACAGAGACTTGGTGTCGGACCGTAGAGATGAAGTGTGTGTTTGTTGTCGAGGCTCTCTCTCTGGTTTGTTTTGTCCTGCTGAGCCAGGTGTCAGCGAAGGTAAGGCTGTGTGTAATCTAGGTTAGCTGGGGCTACACACAAATGGTCATCTCAGTTAAATGCCCTTTTTTATAAACTCTCCAATAATAAAAAAAAAACCTGTGGATCGTTGTGACCGTTGGTACAGCACACACAAAGATAACGTTAAACCCTGATATCCTAAGGCTTTGGGGCTTTCTTATATGTCGATATGACAAAATGTAGATTTATTTAACTGTATTTAATCACATAATCTCCTGCTACATATCCACCTAGCACTGAAAATAAGAGTTTATGTAAGGCGAACAGCTCAGTTACCTAAAGAGCTGTCAGCTGACTGTTTACTGTCTGATCGAGGGAGCTTCACTTTAGCATTAGCTGCTCATCAGGCAAAATTAGCTTGGACGATGATATACATCGATTTAAGGCTGGAAATGATCATAATGGGAGTAGATGACATATAGGAGACACCAAGACTGTATTTTACACGTTAAATATGGTTTAATGGATCATGCCGTAGGCTATGCTTCACACAACAAATTGCAACAACACCCACCATGTGTAGTTTATAACCCAGTGCCTCACAACAAAAAAATGACATCATACAAAACAAAATCATAGAAAATCAGGGCTGTGATAAAAGTCTTATATAATTGCAACTGTAAAGAAAGTAATGGATAAAAAGTCTATTAACATTTAGCTTTAAAACCACTTTTACTGTTTGAAGGGAAATAAAATGTCAGAGCAATACTATATGGCCACTTTTTACTGTTCATATGGGCAAAGTTGTAATGATAATAATAATTTTAATTTATAACGCGCTTTTACAGGTGCTCAAAGAAGCCTTACAAAGAAAAAATAAAAATTTAAAATAATAAAAAGAGTAAAAATAAAAATATCATCTCAATGCACCAATATGTGAGAAAATTTTGAAAAATGGTTTAATACTCATGATTCCTCTATTACAGAATTCTGAGGACATCCGGTGCAAATGCATCTGTCCACCATACAGGGACATCGAAGGACAAATCTACAAACAAAATGTGTCCCTGAAAGACTGGTACGTTATGGGAACTATAACCACACCTTCCTAAATGATATGAGCCATCTATTTCACCTATGCATCTGCTTTTTCACTGAAGTGAACTTCTTTATTTTTCAGCAACTGTCTCCATGTAGTCGAACCCATGCCAGTCGATGGAAAAGATGTGGAGGCATATTGTTTACGCTGTGAGTGCAAGTATGAAGAGAGGAGCTCAGGGACCATCAAGGTAAATTGAGGGTAAAGCTTAGATGTCATAGAGTAAGGGATGGGTGATTACATTACATTTGTTTTGCTATCTGAAACCGTAGAGCTGAGCCTTTTAAATCTATGAGTACAATATATAGACAGGAATTTCCACTGTTGTTCATAATGGAACTGATTTGTGGACTCCTGGTATATTTTCTCTGCCTGTGTTGTAGACATGCGAAAGAAAACCATCTAATTGTTCTTTACATTTTTTAGGTCACAATTATAATGTACCTCTCTATTCTGGGCCTGCTGTTGCTCTACATGGTCTACCTGACTCTACTGGAGCCCATGCTGAAGAGGCGTCTGTTCGGACACTCACAGCTTATCCAAAGTGATGATGATGCCGGGGTATGTGTTACGATTATCAACTTAAAGAAAAGAAACGTTATGAAAATGATTGTTTGACAAGTATCATTCCAGACGCATTTGGGTACCACAAAGGCCTGAAATTTCAAAATAAAAGATTAATCACATTACATTTATCTGAAATAAATATGGAAATGTCCAAAATGGCGGTGCTTTAATAGCTCTCCAAACACAGAGATGAGTGTATGGTTTCTAAAAGTGCTGTCTCACTCTGAGTTCGATCCATTATTAACCTCAATCATGAGCAAAGAGCTGCAGCAGGGACATGATAAAGCCAGTCCAGTATGCAAACAGCTTTAGACACTTTAAACTGACATCCTACTGCATGCCCCTAGTATGGGAATTCTTAAGATCCTGTTCCTGGATAGAGCTGTAAATGGAAAAACAAGTAAATCCTGCTAGATTTCTATTGGCTGAACCTGTTATGTATTATGTAAATATGGATATGACAGAGAAAGTGAGGCAGGTGTAATGGTAAAGCAGACTTAGATTCATGTTATCTAGGACAGAGTTATTTAAAGTGTGTAACTGATTTTTTGATCAGGTGGACTAAAGTATCAAATAAGAAATAATAAGTTTTGAGATCTGATCAAGCAGAAGAGACGTCTTGCTCTCGGATCTTCTATAACTTCATCATTGTGTTATCAGTATTGTATTTTAGTATTAGCTGAACTAAGCTAAATAAGTTCCCCAAAAAGCTGTTGAAGTTGGTGAAAAAAAAAACTGATTACTGACCAGTTAATGTGAAACTGTGAGTCATCTCCAGAGTGCAGAGGAGACCAAAACATGGATCTCTGCCAATCTCTACCAGTAAACAAGTCTCTGATGAAGTCCTATCTCAGGAAATGGAAGGACAGTTAAGTTACTCTAGGCGTAAACAAAGAACAGTTAATCAGCGTGATATAAAAAAAGGTTTTGGTATCAATGAAAGAAAACAGAGACTGCCCTTGCCTGAAGGGAACTCCAGCCAACACTGAGCACTCGTGTGTTTTCACTGGCAGAGTCCAGGATGGAGGAATTGCTATATGAGAGGGTTTTCTAAAAAAAAAAACAGTTTTGCTTTTGAAATTTTCCTGAGCAGCAGCAGCAGCAGCAGCCCACACCAGATGTTTCATCTGAAGAGTGTGAAACCATCCAACTCTTGTCAAAAAGGACAGGAGACTGACAGCATTATCATCACCAGATAACTACAGAAATAATGTTTATGTAGAAAACCTTAATGTTCCTTTAACTGCATGAAAGTCACAGCGCTTGCTTCTTATTTGGAAATAAGCTTTGGGAAAGGCTCTGAAATGAAGAGCTGAAGTGGCTCACTGAAAGGAACAGGATATTGCCTCCATTAAAGCTTGAAGGGAGTGTCACACCAGCCTGTTCCATGAGTTTAAAGATAATCGTGCTTTTCTCTACCATGTGTTTCAGGACCAACAACCCTTCGCCAATGCTCACAACGTCCTCTCCCGCTCCCACTCTCGACCCAACATGTTGAACAAAGTGGAGCACGCTCAGCAGCGCTGGAGGAGGCAGGTCCAGGAACAGAGGAAGTCCGTGTTCGATCGCCATGTTGTTCTTAGTTAAACTACCATCTGCCCTGAGATCAAGAGTTACTGATGAAAAAAAAAAAAAGAAACAAAAAAAGAAACACTGTGACAGAGCCCTCGATTTATATATTGCTTCATTTTTCTTATTTGTACTTTGTATCTCCTATCTATGATGATCTGAGGTGATCAATATGAAGGATTTAGATCCAACGCAGGTGTAAAATCCCAGCTGGGGACCCACACATAGTCCACCCCGGCAGCACAAGAGATGACAGTGAGTCGTTTTTGCACAATATTGAATAAGCAGTCTTAAAAAGCATTCCTAGGAGCTGATTTGCCTCATCTCTGCCTGATGTCTGGTTTGCTGAAGTGCCAAGTCACCAGAGAATTTCAGACACAAACTAGCACACGAAGGCTTGGTGATTAAACGTGAGATGAAACGAGTAATTTCAAGTGAATATTTTCAAGCATCTTTTGACTCCTGACCTCAGTTTCAAATAAAGAAAATCCACTCAAAGCTGACAGTCTTTCATTATTATCAAACAAAATGGTGTCCAGATATCTGCCAGATTATCTGGATCCCTTGAACACATGGCTGGCTGGTATTTTCCACCCAAACTCTAAAACAACTTTGGACGACTGCTCTAATCACAGACAAACGTTTAAAAAGTAGATCTTTCAGCTTTCTTTGAGAGTGCATGTTTTATAACAAACCTTTTATAATTGTGTTTTCAATCCTCCATCTCTTCCATGATGTTTACTGTCTGGTGTTAATAATCATCATTTAATACATTCAATTTGATATCTGAACATTGTATCATTGAGCGTTGTCTCGGACAAATCGATGCAGTTTCTTGGTGATGTCCTAGTGAACATAGCTGTGATATTGATCCTCACCTTTTTTTCTGGAATTAGTGACCTCTCTTAAACTGTTAAAACAAATCTAATGAACAGTTATTGATTTTCTAACATCAGTTCCATTAGGACGCTCCTTGTTGTCCATCAGGCTTCATTAGAAAACAGTGTGGTGTTATTCAGAGTCATTTTTTGTGTATGATGGAGCTGTGAATGCAGAGTGGAAGGAGATAAATCACGATCAGCAGACCTTCGGAAGTGTTCTTAACTATTGTGTATGTGATACCTTTAACTTTGAAATAAACTGATGTAATATTTGTGATTCTTCTTCTTACATGTTTATATTTGTTCACGTTTCACATCAGCAACACTTTCTTTCAGTGTGAAGCACAAAAGCGTAACAGTTTGTGAAGCTGTATGTCCCTTTGAAATGAATAGGGGTTATAAATATGGATGATCTGGTCGCACTGAACACCTAAATTGAATCCAGACACACTCCCCCACCTCATTCTGACACACAGCCTCATATCACATTTGTTTTTGCTTTAAATCATTAATATGGACAATATTTTTAGAGATGCACTAGTTAAAAATTGTACAATTTTATGAATATGGACTCTGCACTGCTCTTAAGAGATCTAGCTATCAGGAGGTCTCTAGTGCAGTGATTCTCGACCCAAAAGTGGGTTGCGGACACGTTCTGGATGGGTCACGAACAGCTGGCCAAAAAAGTAAATATTTAATGCAATTTTTATTTGATATTTTCTGGAAAAGCAACTTCAGTAGTTGTTGTCCTTATGTTGTCCCTTTCATGTGTTCTGAAACGCACTTAAATCAATAAAACAAGTGGATTTATGTTAAAGATTAGAGGCTTTAAAGGTTTTTCTTTTAATAAAAAATAAATTTGCTTGGTTTGAATTCTATAAAAGTGGGCCGTGACTCAAGGACCATGGGAAAATGTGGGTCCTAGAGTGAGACCAGCTGAGAACCAATGCTCTAGTGGATTCAGGACATCAGTAAAAACAACTGCTCAGCCTTGTATTGGAAACACAAAAAGGCTGAACATGTAACAATGGTATCATATCTTCTGATGCATTCTTGTCGTTTTGTTGTCAGTATATCTTCTAATTCTCCTCCGGCTCTGAGCTCTGTACTGACTTGATAGTTTGCAGTGTCATTAAAATAACTCCACAGGCAAGTTCAGTTTGTCCCCAGCTCCCATTTACTACATTCACATTCTTTATTTAATCTGTTAACTCACTGAAGTCCGGGTTAAAACCAGTCAAACTTTCCATTAAATCCACTAAACTGACTTTTGACCACATTAGTTTGTTTTCTAACATCAGTATCACATTTTTTATACCAAGTTAAATGATTTCCATACAGCAGCGTCATCATTTCCTGCGGACTTTTCCTTTTTTTCCTCTCTCTCTCCTCTCATTTCATGCAGTTACACGGAGACTGTTTTTCCGCAGAAAAAAAAAAATCAGGCAGTTTTCAGGCTGCAGAGACAGAAAACGACACAGAGTCTGAGAGCAAAAGAATGGATCACTGAACTGAGATCTGCAACAACGAAGACACACAGGTAGGATCTTTGTTTTATCTTTTTACATGTTAAAGATGACAAACTACAACGAGATGTTACCTTTTTGGGAAACTTGTGGGATTTGAAGCATCTCTACAGATGATGAGAAGTTTTAAAACTATGTGTTTGAGGTGATCTCGCTTTGGAGAGTGGGCTTAAACTGTGAGTTTTTCATACACGCTGACTTTAGTCCATGTTGGTAAATCGTGAAAATCCTCTGTTTGATGTACAAAAGAAAAAGTAGTTCTTCTCATCTTTGGTGCTGCAATTGCATGAGTTAACCTACAGGGGGCGCCTCAGCCCTTGAATTTGCACTCATCCATATAATCAGCGTCTATGCACTCTTGACATTGTTGATGCTCTCACCTGTGTTTACTTTCCACTTTCATGCCTCCACAAGTTTCACATCAGTTATTCCTGATGTCTTTCTGAGACTTCTGCCACACCCACTCAACACACACACAGACACACAAACACACACTCACAGTACCAGCTCCAGTGAGTGACACTGACACATAACTCCGGTCCTCTACTTTTGCCTCCAAGGTTTCTCACTCTCTCTGCTGTCATGCCTGAGATAAGGAAATGTCCTTGTGCCTAAACGTTCTCCTCGCTGTTGGCAGGAGATGTTGTGAAACTGCAGCTGCTCTAAATCAGACTAAAATGGAGTTACTTATATTTGGGGTTCAGACACAACAGTTTCATACATATGGGTAGATTATTAATTGTTAAAATATGTAATCCGTGATTTTTCTATTGTGTATTTTTCTGCTGAGTGTCTCTGGGAATGATTTGTTGCTTACTTTAACATAAACAGAAGACTGTCAGGGGCTCGTTAAATAATTTAAATAAACAGTCTTGCTTTTACTCACATCTTACATCAAACTCCTTAAGGTTCCTCTGTGGGGGACTCTGTTAGTGTTAGTTTGGTGCCCCCTGTGGGCAAAGCAGTACCTTCATGACTGTTAAGTTTGTGCAAAAATCTCATCCTGCTTTATAATCACAGTGAAAATATTACTTTAAAACAAATTCTGCTATGGACAATAAAAGCAAAGACTCATTTGACTGCATACAGTTAATGTCATTGACCCCCACCCCCCAGTAGTAGTTTCACTAGATAGATAGATAGATAGATAGATAGATAGATAGATAGATAGATAGATAGATAGATAGATAGATAGATAGATAGATAGATAGATAGATAGATAGATAGATAGATAGATAGATAGATAGATAGATAGATAGATAGATAGATAGATAGATAAACTTTATTGAAATATATACAATAAATACAGATTAAATATACTAAACATCCTAAAAGAAAAAAGTGAGATATGAAAAACGTGGGCTATTGAAATGAGTAATAAATATGAAATGTGAAATATACAGTTGGGATGATAAATAAACAGACAATTTAAGGTGCTAAAGTAATACAATGTGGTAGGAGTTTTTTTTAAATGTACTGTACAGCAGACAGGTGTGAGTCCCTGTCTGACAGATGTGAGTTATTGAACAGTGAAATTGCTTGTGGAATACATGTCCATGCTAATGCTCCCCCTTTTATTTGTAATTTCAGTCTGTTTCATAACCTGTTAAAAGCTCATAATGGAGCTGATTTTTGCGTGAAACTTCAAACTATACCGTCTTAAGAAAGTCTGATTCTTTACTGAAAAATTATTCTCTTGATTTATGATTTATTAGAGGTAGTCCACTCTGTCAATCGTCATAGAAAAACATGATTAATGTGAGTAAGTGTCTCCCTGATTCTTCAAAATGACTTGTTTTGTCTACAACTAGATCTCTGACCTTTCATCAATTAATCATTGTAACTCTAAGCTTCAGCTAACATCGTGATAAATGTGTATTTAAGCAGAAGAACTGAATCGCACAAAACAGAAAATAAACTCAAGCATCTCAGATTTGTTGACTTGACTAAATGTTGCACCGGTGGATCCCTCACCAGTGTTCACTTTCACACAAGAGTTATTTTTTTAAGGTCTGGGCTGCAAAACTCATTATCATCTCACTAATCCAGAACATTCACCTCTGGTTATCCTCTTCAGTATTTGCAAATCAAGATGTTTTGCAAACATATATCACCCTGAAATAGCAGCAGTTACAATATATCATTCCAGTCTATCTGCTGGAGACATTTATAGCTATTTTCCTGCACGTTTTAAGAGGAGGGGGTGTCTTTACTTGTCTTTGCGTCTGTCAGAGCTGTCAGGCTGGAACTCAGGCCAATCATGACTTGTCAACTTAATCCTGGAGCTGCCTCAGGTCTGTTTCAGAAACCTGATACAGTGTTTCTTGTAGAAAATGTATTTCTCAATATAGCAGATAAACGGGGCAGCTATCTGCTCTTGAAAGGGTTAAATAAATCCATATTTTCTTCTTTTAAGCTCCTGGGAACATCCAGAAGCTAGAAAGAAAGAATCTGAGGTGAAATTTTGGTGTGTAGGTGGAAAAATCCCCACCGAGCTACAGAATAATCCCCATGAATGTTTTGGGATTTGGGATTCAGAGTGGATCCTTAAAAACACACACACGTAAGATTAAGGGATTATTTGAGAAAATAATCACTTACACTGTCTGTTTTTGGCAGGTGTGTAACCATGAGAGAAAAGACAAAAAAAAAATCAAACTAGCTGCAGTTTAAAGAAGGAACAGAAAGTTTCTCAGCTCAGTGAGATGGATGGGGTTTAATCAAATAAAAATGTGATTGTACACGTGGAGCAGCCACATGTGATGTTTTGATTTGAGCTTTCTTCAGCGCTTCCATGTTGTGCAAGAACAGGATGTGGCTTTTAATGAGAAATCCAGACAGCACTGCGATCAATAAAAAAAAAACTTCAGTGAGAGAGAAGCTTTAGTTCAGTCTGGTATAAAACGTCCCACAGACTGGACTCTTTTGTTGCTCGGACAGCGAGGAACTGCAGCGGTTTCAGGAAAGACACTCATTTTATGAGGCCTTGAAAGGTTTGCGGTGACTCTCTGAGAAAAGCTGCACGGTGGCACGGCTCTATAGGCCTCCTGCTGACTTGATGTTACACACTGTGATGACGGATGTCTGGCTTTTTGCGACTTCCTCTGTTCCCAGGTCTGTGGGATGATAAGACACCACAAGAGACTGAATGAACTGCAGCTTTTAGTGAAGGGAAGTGCTTTCAGGTTCTGAATAAAGATGTTACAGTGGAGAAGACAAGATGATCAATAGACAGGAGCTATTTTTGAGTCATTCTTTTTATCACTAGATAAAACCAACCTGTTTCTGAAATTTGTTTTATAAATTTGATTATCCTTCCTCCTGTTTTAGCTTTTACTACGCACCCATCATGTTAAGGGTCGGTTTTGACCCGTGTCTTAATTCAGCTGTAAATTACTCTAAAAATAATTCTCTTTGATCCAGTTTGGTTCTCATCTCTATGTTACCTTGTTAGGCTTCATTATCCATGAAAATATTGCTTATAATATTTTTTGTTGTGGGTCTCTGGGTCTTTCTTTGTCAGTATACCCCTCACACAGACATCTATACTGAACTGATCTCACATATCTAGACATGCCTGATGTTGTATTTTGTGCAGGAAAAACATGGAAAAATGAGAATTTCCTAAATCTCACATGATTGGAAGAGGATCTGACTGTCAGTGTGGTGCCTGACAGTGGACTTATGATTTCAGTTTTTGCTCCAATTATTAGATATTGATCTAACCGTGTCAACAGCGACCCTAACATGATAAGTGCCATAATTTTAATAAGAGCATTTTATAATTTAGTCTATTTAAATTTTTTTATTTCATTTTGTTGAAATAGAGGTTCCTAACCAAGTCAAAAAGTCAATCTATGTGGTTCTTTTAAACATTTAAAACATAAAACGGGTCGATGCAGACCCTAACCCAGGAGGAGGGTTAAGTCTCTGGTTAGGGTCTATGAACACGCTCGGTCTGGAGCTCTCTTTGTTGGTGGGACAGCTGAGCAGAGACAGGAAATGCTGGGAGTAGAGACAAGGGGGAAGACGTGCAGTAAAAGTTTGTGGCCGAGAGTCAAACCAGCGACTACTGCAATGACGACTATAGCTTCTGTACATAGAGTTCACATTTAAACCATCAGGCCAACGGGCGCCTCTGCTCTGGTCTACAACAGCCAATATCTTCGTTCAGTGGTCATGATTACAATTATAGCAGGCTCAGACTTACTGTTGCGTGTCTTTCCGGGTAAAGCAGTTGGCCGCAGTTTTGATCAGTTTTTAATCACTGACAAAACAAAACAAAAAAAAGTCATGATTAAGTTTTAAAGAAGGCTGAAACCCTAAGATATAGTGACTAATCATCGCTGTTTGTTTCATCCAGTTGAAAACATGACTCAGAATTTCATGGTGTTTGTCCTTTTTATCATGAAATATTTTGCCACTTATCTCTTCCTCCCCATGATATCTTAAAACACTATCTTAAGACTGAATTTTGTCTTTATAAACTTGATTGTTGTCATGGAGACAAGCCAAACCAAACTCTTGCTTTCATAGATAGTATTTGTTTGTTGTTACTACAAGGATGTCCATGCTCTGGCCAAATCAAGCTTGGTTTTATTTGGGGTTTAATATGATCTTTACTTAAATTCCACCGTAGGTCAAAGGTTGTTATTCTTGCCTCTTCGCTCTGCTGTTTTTTGACCATTACATCTTTTCCATTCTTGCAAACTACATATCACAGGAACTAGGTAGAAAGCAGACCTGAGGAAGCCACATGGAGGCTCCTCATCGGTTCTGTTATAGAAGAGCAAAGTGTCTCTGTTTATTTTATTGCGAAACACTTTGCAGCGTGGTCAAAAGAGGTGCTACATAAAATAAACTTTGTTTGCTTCCTTATATTTTAAGCAGATGAGTACATTTGTATGGCTGCTGCCCACTTTACCACTGAGAAACATACCACACGAGTTTGAAATTCATGTGGCTTTCTCATCCTGTTGTTGTCTGGTATTTGTAGAAATGTGACCAAAGAACATGCCCAGTCTGAAATGTTTTATGAGCTCACATTACAAAGACACTCTGTATTATTCTGTGAATCGTGCAGAGCTGCTGCAGGGAATGAGATAAGTGTTGTAATTTGGTTGGAGTTAACTCAAGCTTTTGGGGGGATTTTACATTTTGGGAGAATATTTTCATTTTTGCGGTCAGCTTAAGTTGGTGCATGTGGTTCAGCCATGTATGATTTCTTGAGGAGTATAAAACTTTGGGTCGTAACTACTCATATTGACTTTAATACTGTTTTAAGAGTAACTCCAGACAAGACGGAAAAGATCTCTTACCTTTCCTCTAATTGTTTGCACTTGCTGCACCTGTAGCCTCAATACGACTCACAGAAAAGTGAGATATTTAACCACAAGAGGTTAACAGTAACGAGACTTTCAGGAGATGTTCAGCCACATTTTAATTTTTGGTTTAACCATTTAATATTAATATGTAACCTGAACTTGACAGCATGTTTATGCCCACTTTTCTCATAGTAACAACTTGACAAAACATTTGATCATTTTTTAACTAACCTTTATAAAAGACTTACCTACCCTCTTAACAAGGTTCAACATCAACACAGACATGTTGTTTTTAAATGCATCCATAACCTGTACTTTTAATTATTAAAGCTGATACTGCAAGTGCACTTGATGGTTTTTAATGCACGATCAGTAATGTAATGTAACCAAGTACATTCAACTAAAGAGAAAAAGATCATCAGGGGGTAAAGCCGTCCATTATTTGATGTTTCTAATATTGTTGTCAAAGTAGTTAGCAACAATTAGCCAAACAGATTTCACAGAATATGATATTTGTAAGTGTGTTTGATCTGGTTAATAATCAGTATTTAATTTCGTCAATTTAAAATGGGACTTTTATACTGTATACACAGGAGCAGGTTACCCTCCACCATCTTGCACGGCCATGTTTTTATTGTAGCACAGAACTGACAAAGTAAAGCATACATGTGTTTTTGTATTTTTCAAGTGACTAAAATGCACTGGTGGGGAGTTTAAGAGGAGCGTGGTTGTTGTGCACAAAGGTTTTGTACTGATAGATGTTTTTGATTGTGAGATACTTTAAGAAATGGAGGCTGGTTATGCATCACAAGAACTTTTTGACTTTGAAGGCTGCTGCTGCTTCACTTCTTTAGCAAAGAGACTAAACAAAACTCACCTAGTTTCTACGGAGACCTCCGGGCGAGTCCATGGACTGCAGTGAGGTGACGCAGCTCAAGGACGAACATTTATGATCATTACTTTATCATTTCCTTGAAGACATAATCTCCAAATTAATCATTTTGCACTGCAGACATGGTAGTTCTTCTGCCTTAGCGTCTCGGTCTGATTGCATTTCCATGAAGTACTGATCATAAATGTTCTTCCTTGAGCTGCGTCACCCCGCTGTAGTCCGAAATGGACTCGCCTGGAGGTCTCCGTACAAACAAGCGGCTGCTGGAAGTGAGTGGGTGAGTTGTGTTTAGTCTCTTTGCTAAAGAAATTAGGCAAAGCTAAAAAGATGTTTGGTGGCAAGTAATATGGCTGAGACCCTATATGAACTGTTGATGAAGTTAGGTGCTGTTCTGAGCATTATTTGTGGCTATAGAGTGGCTTTTTGGTTGAGTGTGTGGCTCTCTGTATTGCTGTCTGCTGTTGTTACTAAAGTTGGTATAACTAGAGAAGCAAGCGGTCAGCAACATTTATCTCTTGAGGGGGAGTCTAACTCAGTGTTATGGTGTGTTTGACCCTAACTTAATTTTACACCGAATTAACAAAGGAGCCAAAATTAGCTTAATTTTCTTAATTACTGAAAAGAACAAAAAAGATTCTTGTAGGAGTATTTAGCCTGTGTCGCAAAACTCTGATCTACTACTTACTTTGTTTACTAAAGTTATTTGTATAAAACAGAATAAGATCTTGATATTTTCATTCAGAGTGATGTCTCTAAAATGTACGTGTTCATGTGGATAACTGAGATTCCACATGCTCTATAGGAAGCTGGGATCCACATGTGAAAGACATCATTGTGCAGACTGAAATGTATTCTCATTGAGTGGAGCTTCCAGCAGCCTGACAATGTCTGTATGCGGGGCTGGCAACATGCTCTCACCCCATCAGCAGCCTTCATCCCTTGAATATTCATCTAAACTCCTCACCCTGACGCTGACAATAAACAAGGGACAGAGAGCATGAATGCCTGGCTGAGGAGGAGGAAGAGGAGGAGGAGGGCAAGAGGGGCAAATCCTGAGGAAAGTGGGGGGCAAACAACCCGGTTCCATGGCAACAAGTCCTGCCCTCCACTCTGCAGCAGACTGAGAGTGGGAAGGCAGGAGGGTTTTATCTTTTTTTTCTCTTTTTTTGTCGGTTTTTGTTGGAAAGACATTAGTCGGAGTTCACCGTGGAGAGTAGGTAACCAGCCAAAGTTTTCCATCGCGGAGACGGAGTGGATTAACGCGTCGCTAAAAGGGATTATAATCCGAAAATGTCAGCAGCAGACATGGACGTGTGGAGTAACTCGAAGGTAAAAAAAAACCGTCTGATCCTTGAACCGTTATTGTCGAGCTAAAACAAGGGGATCAAACTTTAAACTGGCGCTGAGAGTAAAACATATAAAGAAAAGAAAACTTTGGAGTTGTGTGAAAAAGTCGCAGCGTGCGTAAAAATGTAGTCCTTATCTACACGTGACCATATTTGGTCATCGGCATGTTAAACGATGAAGCTCCGGCTAAAACACCGGACTGTTTTTCTTTCTGCTGACCCTTTGAATGAAGAAAAATGTCCCAGCGGATTCAAGCAGCGACTGTGTGGGCTGCAATTACTCCAAGTTGTCGCTCGGACATCCAACAAGTCACAACAGAAGCAGGACAGGACAACAGGATTCAGCAGTTTGTTGGATAGACTTTTCCAGGGGGGTTGGGGTTCAATTTAAGACTAGTTATGATTTCTTGCAGAGGAGCCTTCATATGGGCTTACTGCGTTAAATTTGCATTATAGATGGTTTTGCATTCAAAGGCAGGGTACAGACATACAGAACAACCATCATCTGAATGTGACTTACTGTACATGCAGTGAGCAGTTTTCTGTGCTAATCTGGAGTTGGTGTCTATCAGTATTGTAGCAACCCATACCCTATATGTAATTTTAGTTATGGGAGGTTATTAGCCAGTGTATTTTTTAATGTATGCTCATCTTCAGTTCCAGTTTTATTTAATTTAGGTGGTCATGCATGGGTGAAGCAAAATTTAATCCAGTAATTCTGTAATGATAATATTTAAAATTGAATTACAGTCCATTATTGAAAATTTTATCCACGTGTTACATCTTCCACTCATTTGGATGACAACATTTGGTTCATGCAAGACATGATTCTCTGTGTGAATTGGTGATCTAGTGTTAGAAAATGCATAAAGTATTTTAAAAGCAACAATAGACACTATCACTAAGTGCTTTGTCAACCAACTTGATAAGATTTGGTTCCTCTGGAAAATATAAACAAGTTTTCTTAACAGATTTAAACTGGTGTCCATATGATTTATTTTTCAGCGTTTAGTCCAAACTCCAGAGATGTGTCTGGTTTTCTCTAGCTCTCCTCTTCCCCCTTGAAACTCTTTCTATTGTGTAATCAAACAATGACCTTCCCCTCTCACTGGACAGGACTGTCAACACAAAGCTATTGAGGAAATTCTTCTCTGGTCTCTTTTCTGTTTAACAGCAGTGCGCCTGGCCTCTAATCACAGGCTTTTAAAGGGACCGCCGCTCGCTCAACATTACTCTGACAGTCTACCTCCGACCATCAATCTACCCTGATAGCAAGGATGTAATTTAGCAAGGATCTTAAAAGCTTTTTATTTAATACTTCTTTTACACAATGAACCATTGAACTGGTGGAAATCCACATCTTTGACAAATTAAGCCCTTGAGGAAATAGTCTGGACTGAATGAGAGACCAAACTGCCACATTTATAGATATTTTTGTTGAGCTTCACTAAATGTATGTGACATGAGACCTTATATAGTTAAGATGGTTTCAGTCACATTCAGTCAGTAATAGTCATGTAATGCATTGAAATATGAGTGGAGCGTCTGCCTCCTCGCTGGGTGAACAGCACCCTCTGGTGACGGGCTGCAGTATAGGTCATAAACCCCACCTACTCCAGCAATCCCTATGGAGTTGTAGACAAACTTTAGAAATTTATTACACAGAATATACATTTTCTCCCCCCTGCTTGTGATGTTGACATGTAGTTACTGTAAGACTGGTTTGTACTCAAGTCCTCTTTTTTCTGTGAAGCTCTGTTTTTAAAAGTTATTAGGGGGTTCATGTTTTCTATAATTGACACTTGATACAGCCTATGGGTGTACAAAGATTGTGTAGCTCACCGAGGGGATACGCTGTTTGAGCCGAGCGTCATCACAGTGATTCTTGGCGACTCTCCCGCCGAATGCGTACAATGCTACTGCGCAATGCTGATTTCAGGGAATGGAGAAAAAACGTAGAAATACTGAGAGCTTTTCGGCTTTAAATCCGTATACTGGCAGAAGGCAGAACCAAGTTGTCCATAGTGTGTACACTCTATGGAATGGACCAATAGAGATATTGACAAATCATTGAGCTTTTGAGTCAGTAGATGGCAAATATTTAATAGAGCTGAAAAGTCATGGATAGTTGATTCAAAAATATCTCACAGTGATATTTCGGGTAGTTGTAACCCCAGATGATACTACGTGATCATTTGAGATCATTTGAGCTCGTGTCATTATAGAGTTGACGTTAATTGAAGAGTCTTTTGTTATCTTGTTACACCTTTGTTAAGTTGAACTTGTCCTGCAGATGTTTGGATGGAGCGATCTATTTAGCTTTAGTGCCGTTATTACAGCAAGTTGAAGATTCAAGAAATGTCCACAGCTTTGGTGATAACAGTCTCCTGCAGTTAGTTGCAGGAATATGTTTGTTTTCTGGCGCTGAAAAGCTCTGAAGAAATGGTTTAGCTCAACGTCTTGCTGGAAAGAACTTAAGACAGCCAGTCAAAGTAGAGGGAGTACACTCAGAATTATTTCTTTTTAGCCGATTTCTCAATTAGATATCTTCTCCAGAGTTGTTCAGGTCCTAAGACTGTCCTCCCTAACTTCATCCCATCATCAGCTGAAGATACCAACCTCTGAGGGAGAACGCTTCTTCAGATAAGAGGACTCACTTCCAGTTTCTCCTAATCTCATGGTGCTTCTCTGCTGATGTTCAGTCATGTTATGGCTCTAAGTAACCATAGCTAGACATGCTTTGTTGTAGTGAAGTGTACTGTTAAATTGCAGAATAGTTGAGACCCATTAAAGTTATTTTTGAACGTCAGAGGCTGTCCTGCTGTCTGCCAGTACTAAATCAAACTCTTGTTTGAAGACACAGATTTATGATCCCAGCCCTACAGCTTCTGCTTTGCTTTTAAACTGGTTAGGTTCAGCTCTGTCATAGATTTACTGTGCACCGTTAGAAACAAAACCAACAGCCACATTTTTACTTGCCTATGTCATATTAAAACCCGCTCTTTATGCAGAATAAATTTACTGATGTTTGAAGTTTATAACTGCGTGCATACCGTGCTTCCTTACCATGACATCATTATGTCAGAGCGAATATGTCGGGAAATGTTCTGCCTTTATTTCTTCAGGATGTTAATCTCAAATACGCAAGCACTTAGCTGTCAGCTTTGAAGTCAGAACACAAACTATCAGCAGTGTTTGTGGAGCTTTCAGCCCTAAAAACACTCGTCTGAACCTGTTGGTGTGTGTTTTTTTTTTCTTAAAACGTGCAATTTGCTAATCCTTGTCATAAAGCAGACGGTTGATAACCCATGATGAATGGCTGGTGGGTTTATCTCGGAGCGTAATTCTTATAGTGCCATAAATCAGTGTACTAAGGTATGCCAACGAATTCCAGATCATTCAGGCCAAAGATGTGACGCTACTTTCTAACCAACCTTCCTCTAATTTGATTGCAATACATGCAGTGGTTTCTTTTGTAAAATCAACTCCAGTTTTCAAAATTTTCTAACCTTTTTTCGTTTGTGATTAAACTCTTTCTTTTAAAAAACATCCAGTCTTAGCAGAGCATTCTTACCTGCTTTAAGCTCATACACAAAACAAGCGTCAACACAGGTGATATATTCGTGGAAGTGTTTTTGTTTGCCTGTCTGATTTCTGACTCTGAGACCTAGCCAAACAAGCATCCATCTAACCGTATTCATGTCCTTGGAGATGTCAAACTGTGTGTGTCAAAGGTCAGCTCTGTGACACACACACTCACTCGCCCCCCTGCTGCAGCTCAGATGGATATAATCCCGTTTTCCACATGCCTGCCTCTGCAGCTGTGCATGCTCATATCTAGGTTACACAGACGTTTTTTTTTTTCTCTTTTCCACAAAGAGAAAATATGCCATGATCAGTCTGGAAAAAAAGAGCTGAACCAGCTCGAAAAGGAGATAAAAAAAAGATTCAGAGAATTGGTTCCACCTGGCCTACAGAGCTATACAGTGGCAGCATGCGGTGGAGTGTTGGGGTAATTATATAGGTATGGCTCTGTGCAACTGCCAGTAGCATCAACCTTGGTGGTTTTCTTTTATATGGAGACACATTAAGGCTGTCAGGCTTTGTTTGCTTTCAACAGACAGTAGGTTATTTTCAGATTTCGCATAATTCTGCAGTTTTTGAACGGAAATTGATTTTTTCCTTCCTGTTATGTTTGTTCAGTTCACATGTGGCTGCTACAGACTTTCTACTTCCTACTACAATGTTCAGTTCACTAAGATCCGTCTCATCTCAAGCCTCTTTGTCTTTACAGGACAAAACTGTTCTCACTGCAGATATTCAAACTATGGTGTGGATCAGTCAGTGTGTGGGCTCACGCCTGCCAGTGCGCTGTGACGTGTGGAAAAGGTTGAGACTTTGCAGAGATTTTACACCCTGCCTTTCCACCATAGCTTCTTGGCTGCCTGCGATGCTCTCTGCAGTTTTAAAAACCTTGAAGTCAGGTTGCTGATCTGCAGAAAATAATAAAGAACAGATCAGCAACCTGAAAAAGCAGAAGAACTCTCAACATGGAGGCTGCTTCGGGATGAACAAAGATCTTAGTTTGCCCGTCATGACGTCAATTAATCCTAGAATAAATAGTGAAAGCTCTTGTAGCTGGAATATCAAGTACCATGTGCTTTGAGAGCATATTTGTGGTCTTTACTGAATGAAAAGGAAGCCTATGGATGCAGGTGTCTCTGTGTGTGCTTTCTTTCACCTTCTGAAAACAGTCTTACATATTGTGAATGCAGCCGCAGACTGACGGATAGGGCAAATATTAGTACATTCCTCCATCTAGCAGAGTGAGCTGTGTATCAGACAATCTGTCAAATGTGACAGGGCCAAGGATGTGTGGATTTTGAAAGATATTTACTTAATAGACCTCCTCTCTGTCACATACACATGCACACACAGGCGGACAGCTGATAAAAGACTTACTTTTTAACTACATCTCCCTCTCAAGGACGCAGAGAACACAAAGAGCTCTTTGTTCAAGCCTAAATAGTCTAACGGAGACACTGTTGAAATCCCATTTCATGAATCCACTCTTGTTGCTGAGGAAAATATGCATCATTGATATGCGCCTTTTGTAATCTATTAGTAGGCCACTTTAAACGAACAAGACGTAGGCAGGTACAAACTCTGAACCTGGGCTATAAAGATGATGGTTTTTAGTACATGTTTGTTGCGTTCCTCTGTCTCTTCTCTGATAACCCTTTTACAACGGACTGCAAGAGTCTGCCAGAGAGCTGTCAATCATGGCGTTAAGCTGCCCCCTTTTTTACCGCGTCACATAACTAAATATGTAAACCAGCATAACCAGTACTGCATTTGGGCTTGGTCTCCCAGAATAACTGGGATCAGAGAATAAAGACCGATTATTGGTGAGGGCCGTGTGCTTTCATCCTCACAGAGTTCAATCTGTTCAAATGATGAGCTGGATAAAGAGGGAAATTCCTCTTCATTTTATTGTGGAGTTCAATCATGACAGATGTGACACAGATTTCACCATTTATAACCAGCTTCCTTCCAGAGTGAGCAAGCGAAAAGTTGCTTATTCAGAAGACGAAGAGAGCAACAGCCCCTGATAAAAATCAAAATATCAGTCAAATCTGGTCAATTCTAATCAACAGACTTTATCAAAGTAGGTCATCTTCAGGTGGATTTGTTCCCATAGTCAATGAAAAGTTTTGCTTATGAATACTCCGGTGCAATTACAAAAACTCTCCGCAAAGTGTAAAAGTTTTACTTTCCTGTCTTTAGCTGCCGGTTCTAGTTAGAGATCTGGGTGTATTTTCATTCCAAATAAATACATAACGCCTTCCTTCAGTGTTTTTAAACCCTGATGCACAGAGATGCTGTTTGCTCTGCAGTTTAAGATGTCTTTGCAATAGTTACATGGATGCAAAAGATATTCAGACTCTTACTGAGAACAAAAACACAAACAATTATACTCATCAGACAGGGAGAATTGTATTCAAGTCTGCCTCTGATACAAGCCTGCTTCATATAAAGGCCTGGGCTGATTTTTGAGGATTCAGGGTAACTATCATGAGAGAAGCCATGTTTCTGCACTCACTGACTTTCTCCATGGTTTGTAACACTCTCAGCTCCGTCTGAAGCACAGTTTGCTGAGCAGTTGGTGGTTCCCACTAGACTTGTTGGTGATGCATACCAATAATTTTGACTGTAATCTCAGTATTCTTATTTTTGTCAGAGTACATTTTTTCTTAATTTTATGGAATACAATTTTGTATCTGATGCAAACAGCAATGAACCACTACAAACTTAAAAAAAGGTCCTTATTGTCAAAGTTTTACTACATACATCCATGCCTTCAACGTCCTTCAACATGTCTCATCCCATCCAGTGCAACACCAAATACCTTTAATACCAATCAAGTCCATGTGCGTCATCAAGACTTCAAAAATATCCCCCACCGGTGTTTAGTCGATGGCGTTAGCTTCCCTTTGGTTCTGTAATCTCCAGAGAAAACTTGTCTGAAATCTGGCTGAATGCACTTTAAAGGTACTTAAGAGTTTTCTCAGCAGCGTTTGTTTACAGTCGATTATTTTGTGAAGGGAGATTTTATCAGACCTCAGGAAGTCAGTTGGCTAACGCCTCAGTGTTTACACTGGGAAGTCCATCTAGGGCATGTGTGACCCATTTCTTTGATGAAACTTTCCCTGAAATAGAAAGAGAAAAGTTTATACACACAGATTGCTCTTAGTTTTATGTAACTTAAGTGTTTGGAGCTTACATCATTGTAAATAAAAACAGTCCTGTTGTCTTTACTCTGAGCAGCGGACAGTGTTTCTGCTCTGGCTTGTATCTTTGATTGAAAATATAACAAATTCAGATAACACAAAAAAATAACATGTTTTTTAAATGGGAACTAGATATAATATGAGATTCCAGCTCCAAAAACAAACAGTATTATTTCTGCATGTATTATTCTAAAATAATATTTCACACAGCTGTAGGTTTTCTGTGTTTCATGTAAGCATGTGATGTTTTCTCGTGGTTTAATTTAGATTAATATGAAAGATAGTGTTTCTCAAGCTCTGCTTATTTTGGTCTCAATTAATTTCTTGTTGCAGCTTTCAAGAATGATTTGTTTTATTCAATCATGTTATTATGGATAAAAGATTTTGTTTCTGGTTATCTGGAAAGTCTGTTTTTACAGGACAACTCACAGGAGATTTACATAAACTATGTTCTGTCCCAATATATGAAGAAATGTTGATTTGTTGAACTCGTAGATAACTCACAGAGTCTAGACACTGGTTGATGAATGTCTTGACACACTTTTGCCTTCATCAGACTGTCTGGATCACAGAAAATAGAGCAGACAGATAAGAGATAAAATGATATTAGGACAGGACTTCATCATTCTCTGAGCCTGATGCAAAAATGATGCAGGTGGGTCCTCCTAGCACAGTCCACCGTCACAGGAAATAGCTGACAGCAGGAATGCTCTCCTCATCTGTCTCAATAAGACTGAACTCCACTACTGGTTGGCTGGCTTCTTCATACAACAACTTCCTGTAAACAAGCCAAGCTGCCAAGCACCCTCCCATCCTCCACCTCTGATCTCCAGAGATCTGCATCTGACCCCCTCATGCACCAGAACAATCACTTAGAGCCCTCTTTAAAGGGTCATTGCTGCAGTTTAGAAGTGATTTAAGAGGCCAATGACCATCAGTTTTAAGTGGATGGAAAGTGTAACTAATGCTGATCTGATTGCAGATTAAGGTCAGGAATTTTTCCGTCATAGCAGTTTTTGACAGGCGTGTTTTTATAATATTGTACACCACCGAAAAGAAGAGTTGTTGTAGAGAAAGTCTTTCATATCTAGAGAGAAAACAAGTCCCTTTCTAAAGGATATCTCAAGGTTACTGTGTTTTTTCAAGGAAGCCCAAAAAGAAGGTGGAAAGACGTCTTTTTAAGATTTCTTTTTACACATTTTCTTACCATTGTTGATCGGAAAGAGTGTCTGTCAATTAAAAATGTAATTTCAAATTTCTCCTGGGGACAATAAACTTACTTCCTCTAGCTAGATGTGGCTAGATTCTTTTTTCAACAAGTCAGATATATCAGAAAGTATAATCTATTCAGACATATGAATTTGGCAAAAGGTAATGTCTCTAATGTCAAAACACTGGTTAGATTTGATGGTGAGAGGAACAGAAATGCCAAACATACTTTTAATATGATTTAAGAAATTCTTCATCACATATTTTGTCCACCAGAGAGCACTGACATGTTTACTTTTTAACCACAAATTTCCACAGTGCATATTGGGGTCACAATAAAAGGATAATCCTCATTTTAAAAATTACATTTATACCAGGACAATTAATTGTAAAATATTAGACAAGGAGAAAAATGATGAAATATTGGTACAAGTCTCAAAAGAGTTCTCAATTGTTGTCAAGCTCACTAATGAGAATATTATTGATTTCTGTTTATCGCTGCTGTTTTGTTTCTCTTGGAGTAAATGATCTGTTAGGGGTCTTGCCCAACTAAAATCACTCTTTCAATTGAACAAATTGCGCTTATTTCCTGTGCTGGAAACACAATGATCGTTTTGGTGACCTACATTAGGTCATTGAAAACAAAACAAGGTAACTTCACAGTACCTGCAAAACCTGAAAGTCCCTGACACATCAAAATCTGACAAACAGCCGGTTATAAACTCTAAACTCTCTCACTTTATGCACCATCAGACCATCAACGAACCTGGATTGGTTTCATTTTCTGATTTATCCCGTGGCTTCGGTCCAAATCACTGTCATGACCTCATTTATGTTTTGTCAGCTTTCTTTTTTGGCAGTGATGTTGTTCGGTGTTGTTTGATGTGAAAGCAGAAATTTTGAAATGACGAAATATCTGTGACAGTTTCTCTGGAATAACTTTGTCTACATGCTGTGTTCGTTATTCCAACTGCACTGGGATTTTCCACATTCTGCTGTCGTGTTTACACTGAAAGCTCAACATGGCACCTGAAGTGAACTGGGACACTTGACAGGATCGTATCTTGTGTTAAATTGTGAAGTTCAATATCAAATATACTTTTCAGCTCTCGTAATCATGATTGACAGACAGAAAGGAGGCAGTTCTTTGAGCAGCCATGCAAGGCTTGCTTCAAAAGCTGGAGACTACAACAGGGCTCAAACAGGTAGTTTGTTTTTTCTTTGAAGTGGGGTTGTATGAGATACTTGTCATTGTTGTTTTAGCCACAGGTGAGGTGGGTTAGCCTCTTTGTTGGGAAATGGTCCGGAGAATTGGAATGTAGAGTAGGCTAAAAAAAACTCCAGCGCGTTACTTTGCTGTAGGGCTGGGTGATATGGCCTCAAATCAATATCACGATACATTGAGCAGTTCACCTCGATAACGTTAAATGGACGATAATTACTCCACTGGATGGAGTGGAGTCACGTCTCAGACATAGGACAGCGTCTTAAAGAGACATGAGACCATAGCCTACCTACACACATCCAAACGCAACTTTAATTTATCTATTTTTTCAACACTGATTATATGGATATGGGCAAAATGACGTTGGTTATTGTCGTAAATTTGGTTTATTGCCCAGCCCTACTTTGCTGTCAGAAAGCCCTATTTGTTCGCTCGACTCAAATGCACTCCTTTGCCTGCAGCCCACTGTTCAGCTAATCGATTTTGTGATTTACGATCCGCTGATGTATTTTGAAATTGAATTTTTTTCAATCTAAGTTTGACATGATATTAAGCACCAAAGGCCTGAGATTACCCAGCAGGCAGTAATAGCGGTAGAGTTTGTATTTCAGCTCGGTCCTCCTCGTAAACAGCTAACACAGTAAGTTCTTTTAAGGTGAACATATGTGACTCATGGGCTGTGCCTTTATGCAAAAGGCACAGTGAAAAAGATCTTAACACGCAGCGTTGAAGACACATTTCCATTTGGCTTTTCTGACTGAACTTGTGAGTGTTGAAGAAAACCTTTAAAAACCATCAGCGCTCAGTACAGCAGGTGGGACTCTGACTGGTGAGTGATGTAGACGACAGCCACATGTGATCATATCTGGTATCCTCTGATTCTCTGAAATACTGCTGTTATCAAGTCAAGCATTAAGGTTTTTAATGTGAAGCTCTGTTACAGTACATCTTTATGACAAGACGTTATGTTATTTTACTTTATTTTTTGATGTAAATTTCTAAACAGATCACTGACTGACAAACTCCAACATCTTTATAAAGAGCTCTTTTATGTTGATGTACTTTGGCTCGTTGTGATTTGTAACAACAGTTTCTTAAATGTGTCATGTATTCATGTATTTGTGTTCTTCCATCAGGTGAGTGGGTGGTTTGCAAACCAACATGACAGCCAACAAGAGTGCAAAGGCTGTGCCTCGCGCAGGAGGGAGTAAAGCTCCGCGGGACATCCCTGACAGGTCAGTGACTTCTGGGACAAGAAGAGTGAGCTGGATAATGAGCACATTCAGTCCCATAACACGGTGTACGAGCATCTATCCGACTGAACGCTTTGTTGTTCAGACTTGAAAGCAAATCGTCTCATCAGTTTAGTCGTTTCTTTTTTTTTCTTCTTTTACCTCTTTTGCTCATGGGAGGAATGATCATTGATTGTCAGTCAGGATAAGACGTGTGGAGGGATTTTGAAGACGATGGTCCCTCTCCGGCTCTGAGTTGTGAGTAGTGAGCTGAAGTTTGTCTTAGCGTGTTGAGAGCTGACAGTGTCCTGCTGAGAGAGAATAACAAACTTTGGGAGTGATATGTGATATCGTTCTTACTGTTCATTGTCCTGCACATTTTTATTAAGCTCTTAACTCTTCCCAAGGACAGGGCGACTGGTGAGACAGGGTTACACGTGATCTTTTAGATGTCAAAGCTGTGACGTTCAGTCTGTGTTCACACCTTGTGATGATCTTAAGGCCAATTTCTAAAAAGGTGAATGCTGATAAATCATTGTGCCGCTACAGCTGTGCGACCTCATGTCTGTGCTTTGAAGGAAGTGGTGCTAAAGACACACAGGACCATGTTTCTTACACCACAAAACATAAAGTAACGTTTGGCAGCCGCCCTCTGTAATTACTTGTGGCGTGTATTAGGCATTCGTGAAGTGGAAACCACACAACTGTCAATCCTAATTCTAATATTATGATGTAGATAACTTAATTTCCTAGTTCACCGCTGTCTACATGGGCTCACATTACCCATGATTCTTTGAGATCATTATTAAGCTTGTGAGGCTGATCCGTGTTTTCACAGTTTGAAAAAAATAAGCGGAACAGTGCGACACACTGCGCTCCAAAAGCCATGAAATAACCAACTGAATAGTTTTCAGATTATGTGTACAATTAACCCCACAGGCTTAAAACGCTTTGAAGATTTTCCAAGGTAATTGTTACACTTCTAAGAGTCGTGCTGCACCTTTAAAGATTACACACAACACTACAGTAAGGTGGTGCACACAAACAACTACAAAACATCCAGGGAGGTGTTGTAGCAACGCAAACATGCTGACAGGGCATAAAAAGAGAGTTTCAAACATCCTAAAAAGCAAATCCAGCAAAAATAAACGTGTTATCTGATATGTAAACAAATAAATGAAGCATGTACCGCATTAGAGTTTTATATGAATACATGAATACATAATTAGAAAGTGCTGCTGCTGACTGGTGAGAAAGTTCACATATGTTGAACTATAAAAGAAGAAGTGCTTTTAGTGTTAGCAGTGAGCTCCCTCCCTTATGGTCAGAAACAGGAAGTGGTCTGTGGCGAGCACTCCCCCGAACGCCTGAGTGAGAGCCTGAGGTTGGTTGTGACTGGCATGCAGCTCCTTGTACAGTAGTGTATGTGTGGCTGGACCAGTTGAAGCTGTCTAAACTGGGTGCATTTTTATAACAATCACAGAGACCACTGGGACCCCCTAAATAGCCCTCATCCTCCTAAATAGACAAAAATCCACTTTGTTTTTCTTTTCCTCTTCCAAAGACCCTCATTTAGCAGCTAATGTTTTATTTGAGAGCATGAGAAATGATCCTCGATAAATTAGGACATAATATTTCATGATCAGTTTAATTCGGGGGCTAATTTAAAGGTGCGTTCCAGAAACTTCGGAAGTCAGGTGTCGGAGCTGAAAATGACGTCACACCCAAGTTACCAGCGTTTCAGTTACCAAGTCGGGAAAAAGCAAAATCTGAGGCCTGAAACAAGATGGTTACATCTACGAAAGTTATTTTAGCACTTGCCTTATATTTGGACAAGGTAAGCGCTAAAATAACTTTCGTATCTTGTTTCAGGCCTCTAATTTGCTTTTTTCTGACTTGGTAACTAAAATGCTGGTAACTCAGGTGTGACGTCATTTTCAGCTCCGACTTCTGACTTCTGAGGTAACTCGAACACAGCAAAATTCTTGCTGTTGCCTAGCAACTGACAGCTAACTGACCAACTAGTTAACAAAGATAGTGTCATGAAACTTTATCATCACCATCACTTCGGTGACAACTTTCAGGTCTCCTTGCTTTTATTTCACAAATCTACTGCTTGTTTTTTCTTGACTTGAAACCACATACTAATATTTAACTATTGCTCTTAAATTTTATTGCTCGGCAACAAGTCTGTCATCTTGTCTGATTTGGCGTCCACAGATATGTCCTCAGATGCACCTGAGCATCCTTTTTAGCAGCATTTTCAAGAAATTGTTGAAATGAGACGGTCTCTAATGTGCTGCTGTTACAAAACCTCTCAATACAAACTGTGTATGGACTAAAAACGGCAAACAAACAAAAATGTGGAGAAAACAAAAGCTTGAAATTTGATTTAAAATCCCTCAGGTCCAAACACAAGCCAAAAACTTGAAGCTGTTGTAATTAATTTAATAAACTGCCGGGAAATTGGCATCACCGTGGCTCTACTGTGTGTTTTGGTCTTGTTGCTACAGAAACATTCTCACTGATATTAGCCCTCAGAGACACTGCTCCATTTCTGGCTTCCTGCATTAACCAAGCTCATTGGCAGGAGTTTAGTTAGGACTCAGGACCCAGAAAGTTTTACTCTGCCAGACGGGTTCTAATTGTTCCCCCCGCTGAACCACTGCAACATGTCATGTGGTCTGCTGCTGATGAATATCAGAATATGCCTACAGAGTATTTTTTTTTCCATTGCACTGATTATAAACATATCATGTGAAGCAGATGTTGAATAATCAAGTTAAAGTTCGCATAAATTTACATCGTCAATATGTGTGAGGTTAGAGCTTTATTATCTACAATATAGGGAAGATGGTGCAGTCAGTGAGAGCTGCAGCGCTGAACCTGATGTGGAGTATTTTGGAGTGTTGAAAACAGCAGACCGATTACTGAATATCTATATGGTAAGGTAAAGTGAGGTTGACTATTTCACCATCAGGACAAGAAGACTCATACAGACAACAAACAGCATGGAGACATCAGAGAAAGACAAACTCAATATCAGATACACAACAAACAGAGTAAAGGCCAGTGAAACATGATTTAAAAGTGGTCGATTAAAGATAAGGACATGATTAAATACAACAAAAGCCTGATAAAAATGAAGAAATATGAAAATAAGTCAGACCAAAACATAAACTATGAAAAAAATCTCACTGCTGCTGGAACAAAAGACTTTCTCAGTCGTTCAGTGGAGCACCGAGGCATCACAAGTCACTCACTACATGAACTTTCAAGACCTTTAATAGTGCAATGGATGATTTTGTAGCCCAGAATTAATTTCAATTTAGGGTTAGCGTTCTATATGTAAAATAATAAAATATACTGTTATTATCTATGGTAGATTCATATGCTGTTTGTCTTGTTATATAACCAAAAGACTCACGTTTACTGTTACAGGTAAATTCTATAACAGGAGAAGCTTTGTGTATTGATATCAGTGTTGACCAAAATGAGTTTAAATACACTAAAATATCCAACGCTGACAAAAATCCAACATTGTGCATCCCTATTGTTCACCAAATGCTGACTTAATCTGACTTTGAGACAGTCCAGCAAGAAGCAAAGAGGCAGACCTCTAGTGTCTTCAGTCAGTGTGCCACAAGCTTTTTAATTTATGAACTACATGCACAAACATTTCCTAAATGCAGGAACTGATGGAAATGAATATATGCCACCATTATGCTCCATAAGAGCTTTAGCATCATACCTGGTGATTTGTCTAAAAGTCTCTATAAAGTCTATTTATCATTGAAAAGCCTTGTGGGAATCCTTCAGGATACTTAAAACCAACAGCAAAAATCTGCAGACATGAGCAGTCTGTTCAAATGCTCATATTTCTTTAGTGGAAGGAAGATAAGAAGCATCCGTCATCCACTGCAGCTTGCAGGTCCTTAGCTGTTGTAAAAATATCCCCACCCTGGAGCAGGAGGAGTGAAACCAGGGAAGGGCAGAAAGGTGTGAAGGGAGATATGTCCTAACCTGCACTGTTGGATCATAGTCCTCAGCCCTCAGCTTCCTCCTCCCATAACGCTTGTTATTCTATCCATGGCGGTGACATCAGATCTCCCAAATGCCTCACTTTCGCAAGACATTACCAGAGTCCAAGTCATGACACGGTTTCTCAAGGACTATGAGTCGTAGATTGTCAGGGAACAATCTGGAAATCTTGTAGGATGCGAGAACCGTGAGATAGTTTGGCGGGATTGCAAAGTCAGCAGCCGGTGTGGGACCACTATAGCACCTATATTACTTATCTTCGGTGTGAGGCTTTAACAGGTAAGACCACTGGAATAAATCTTCTCTGGCATATTTCCTTCTGTGTGAGGTCCACAACGAATTTCCTTGAGTTATTATGATCATGTGGAAAAATCCACAGTGGCATTTTAATGTAGTCTTTGTTTCCCTTGGCTTTTCTTCTAATCCCATGCTGCCAAAGACAGAATATTTTCCTGTGGTTATTCTGAATAGGCAGATCAGGTTTTCAGCCCGTCTTTGATGTTGGGAATGAATTCAGAATCTTCAGCTGATTCTTTACACTTTTCCTCACATCTGTTCCACATCAGCTCACTCTTCATGCTGCAAGGTTGACTGGTTGTGTTGGCAGCTTTTCCAGAGTCAGCTCTTTTGGTTAATATCATTGGGATAATCGTTCTACTATAATGAACAACAGAAACACTGCCTACCATTCAACATTCACACAAACCATTAACATGTACATTAATTTAAAATGAGACTTAAATTGCAGTTTAACTTTAGTATAACTGTTTTTGGTGCTGATGAGGTCGATTTACTGATGTCCTCACATAGACTGTATATACTTTGGACAACAACTTGGCCAGTATCCAGAAGCCAAAAAGTTCTCGGTATTTCTGCGTTTTTTCTCCACTTCCTGAAACCAACATTGCGCAGTAGCATTGTACGCTTTCGGCAGGAGAGTCGCCGAGAGTCGCTGTGATGACAATCTACTCAAACAGCATGAGCTACGCATTCTTCTTATGCCCATAGGCTTTATCAAGTGTCAATCATAGAAAACATGAACCCCCTAATAACTTTTAAAAATGGAGCTGCACAGGAAAGAGAGGACTTGACTAGTCTTACAGTAACTACATGTCAACATCGCAAGCAGGGGGGAGAAAAATTTATATTCTGTGTGATAAATTTCCAAAGTTTATCCACAGCTCCATAGGGATTGCTGGAGGAGGCGGGATTTATGACCTATACTGCAGCCAGTCACCAGAGGGTGCTGTTCTAGCTGTAGCTTCACCCAGTGAGGAGGCAGACGGCGTCCATTCTATATACAGTCTATGTGTCCTCATTGATGACTGCCAGGATGCAATCATGTTGCAGTTTAGCTCATCTATTAGTCATAGACATTTTAAACATGCAGTCGTCAATCTGTCTCCAACATGTCTGTATGTCGGTATTGATCCATAAAAGCTTCAGTGGATTTATTGTTGCAAGTGGGGATCGTAAAACATATGGAAAATGTGTACACAGAATAACATCAACTATTTATGAGGGGCTGCCTCAGGTTTGACTGAAAGACATGCCCTGGATTGTATTTTCTATCAGAGGTGACCAGGAGATGAACTGGGAAGTACCAGAGTCTTGACAAACACTGCATTGTCATAGCTGTAAAATCTCAACCTAAGACTTACTCATAGGCTGAATCCTTTAAGAGCTAACCTCATTTCCCACGGAGAGAAGATGAATCAGGGACAGTACCTGAATGTAGTTATTAAGATGTTTAGGACATGTCAAGCTGTAGAGTGAGCAGAAAAATCACTAAAAGACTGGGTGAATAAAAATTATCCTCAACACTACAGCCTATCGTCCTCTCTGCAGGGAAATCCAACTACATTAGAAGTAATAACAGATGAAACGATTTTTTAAAGCAAATAAAGGCACAAAGGCGTTAAACAAGCTGATACGCTCATGCAAGGTGTGGTTTGTGTAAATATGACCCACAAATAAGTGCGGTTGTGGCTGTTGTTTGTGTTCCCATCACTCTGATCCTGCACAACTTTGAACTTTGATATCATTTGAATATATTTGCTTGTTCTGTTGCAGCTACATGCAGACCACGACATTTTTCTGTATAAGGTTATATCCATCTCTTAATTCGCTGTAAAGTTGGGTGTTTTAACGTAGGGTTTAACAGGGATTGGCTGGTTTTTTGCAGCCAACCTCAAATAGGGGACTGCAGTTTTTAGCACCGCTGTGGTAGCTGCTTTTTTTTTTGGTTGGGAGTCCATGTATTCAAACTTCTGATATTTACTTTTTCCATCTGTTTCAGGTGCCAGGCTACATCCGCGGGTCCTGTTCCCTCTACCAGTCAGGGGCAGAGCCAGCAGCCTATACTCAGTGACACTGAGACCTCCGGGAAGCAGAGTAGGTACGTCAGGACTGACGGGCGGTTCCTGGTACGTGCTGGCTGGAACAACAAGACCTCCAGTCTGTGCAGCGGCGCATCTCTCACAGGTGACACCGACTTCCAAGGCCGCCTCACCAAGTCCAAAAGCATCAGCTGTTTGGACAACAGGCTCTCCATCTATAAGCCCCCTTCTCAAACTAAGTCCTGTCAGGAGGGTCAGAAGGAGAAACAAGGGGATCTCTCTTCAGGAGATGGACTGAATGGTAGACCACTCAGTTGGAGCACTCTCTCATTAGGACCTTCTTCTAGTCAAAGCCACAAACGCACTCTCTCCCTCACCCGCACAGTACCAGGTGTTCCCCCCACCACAATCCGCAAGAAGATCTCAGAATGGGAGTGCAGGAGGGTGGCTCTGCCTAGGATGAGCTTGTGTTTGGATAAAAGAGGAGGAGAGCGCGTTGGAGGCAGTGAGGGCTGCCCCAGCCTGCTCTCTTCCCCCTGCAGCGAGAAAACGTTTGACTTTAAAGGGGTTCGCAGGATGAGCACGGCCTTCTCTGAATGTTCCTACACAGAGACGGAAGAGGAGGAAGGAGTTTCAGACAAAGGCCGCTTCCAGAAAAGGATAGGCAAGTCAGAGTCCTCGGGGGCATTTGTTCGTTCCCTGTCAACTCGGAAGGAGACTTCAGCGGTCCTGAACAGGATACAAAAGATAGAACAAGCCTTAAAGGAGAACCCAAGCCCTTCACCTCCTCGTTACCTGAGCAACTGCTATGCTCCAGACAAGACGAGGCAGAGATCTTTTGTAATAGGTGATGATTTGGACAGCACTTGTGCCAGTAAGCGCAGCAGCATTTGCTCAGTTGCCACTGAACCAGATACTGTCCTGGTGCCTGATAAGCTTTCCAAACTCCGGCAAAGGTTTAGCGTGAGCTCGACCAGGTCCGAGAGCCCAGAACCTCCCAGCCAGCAGACCACTGCGGGCACACCGGTCAACCCCTTACCGAAACCCAAACGCACTTTTGAGTACGACGCCAAACGGGACCAGAAAGGCCTGGTGTCAGCCAATGGACTACCTCCAGACAGAGCTTCTGAGTCTCCCCCGCCTCTGCCCTCCACCCCTGCACCCAGCGTGACGCTAACAAAGAGTGAGGGGAGCACACCAGTGAGGACTCAGGACAGGTGAGTCGCAGGAAACTTCTTGTTGAGCCTGGGTTTTGGATCGCACCATTCCATCATGGCATCAATACTGGCTTTATTCATGAGATCAGGATCTGATACAGACCAGCTTCTTGGTCGATTATTTTCAAATGAATTGGACTCAGTGAGGTTTTAATGACTGAGAATGGATATTAATGGTTCAGTGAAAGGTTAAGGTTTGTAAACATGGATTGTTGCACCCCTTTGGACACTAGCTGCCTCCGAGAGTTTTGATGTAAGGGTGTGAAAAGTTGATTAAGTATCAGATCCTTTGTTCCTGTGGCATATTTTGCTTTGGTGGCGTGTTGGTTTCTACATGACTGATTAATGTGTCTGGTTGTTTCCTTGAAATGGTCAATATTTGTCATTCTTACTTGATTTTTGTGCGCCCCTGTTGGGAAATTACGAGCTGAATCTTGTTTTCATTCTCTACATATAGCTCTCTGTATATCAGGCATCCCCACTTTCTTTCTGTCTTTCTTTTTGTGAGGGTGGGGCCTCTACAGATGGTCCCTATGTTTAATGGTAATGAAATCCTAAAACGTTCATCCCTTGGACTCTATGTTTAACATTCCTGCGGCCCGAGCAATTTCAGACCAAGTTTAAAGCCACAAGCTGTTGATGGTGCGACATGACCGTACTGTAGATTTCTGCACTGGTGTAGAAAAGTTCCTCTGCAGCGCTCTCTCATGTGACGTGCAGAGGAACACTGAGAAACAGTAAGATATCTGTCTACTTGTGACTTTTCTTGTGACTCTAGCACATGCTGATCCTGATTCCTGTTTTCTATTCTGCGTTTTGTTTTTAGTGGCTCCTGATTTCAGATCTGTAGGGAATAAGTTGATGCCTTTGACTCGTGTTTGTAGCCACCTGTTTGTCTGTTATAGTTGGCACATGGAGGAGAAGTAAAGCCGGCCATCTGGACTCTTTTTTTTTTTTTTTTTTTAACACCATCTGGACTTTGTCTGTTCACTCTTGTCTGTTTACTTCTTTAAAGGTAGAAACTCACTGTAACTGACTTTGTATCCTTTTAGTTTGCCGGCATGCAGCATCTTTTCCCGTTCTGCTCTGTTTGACTTTCTTTGTTTCTGCCCAGGGAGTCATGTGAGTCGGAGGACGCTACCAGCCTGCCATCTTCATATCCGTCTTCCCCTACAGAAAATGGCACTGTAACCGCAGACACGCGGAGTCGACCCAATTCTAAAAGCACTTTAGAGGAGAATGCCTATGAGGACATAGTTGGTAAGCATAGCCACACTTTGATTTCACTGTTTGCCGTCTCATTTTGATCTTGGATATAGTCTTAAGCTGATGAGATGATTATAACCATTCATATGAACAGCTGATCAATTATAATTATGCTTTTAAGGGAAACGTCCCATTTTAGGCTAAAAAAATCATCTTGTTTCAGGTTCTACAATATGGAATATTTGCTTGTTTTCCTGATCCTCTATCACAGTTGATTTAATGTGTTTTTTTATTTCATGGAAAAGTTAAACATGGAGATAAGTTGACCTGGACTTTTAGTTATCAATATAGTCATTTTTGGCCTTTTTAAAATTTTGTGGACCAAATCATTAAATGAAACATCTAGACAGTAATGGGCTTAGAGATCATTGATAATAATGATGATTTAAATCACTGACTGTCACAAAACTTCTGTTAAATGTTTTGTGCTGTAAGTGACAACAGTTGTCTTTAAAGATTAAGCTCCTCATGAACAGATGATGTTTGTTTTGATTATGTCCTGACATCTTTTTTTACATGTAGCAACATATTTGCCCTAAAAAGCACTGAAACCTGATCCACACCAAATATAAGTCCTCTACAGTATTAAATATTTTAAATATAACTTAATATAGTTATTATTTGTCTTCAGGTCCTTCCACGAAGAGTAAATATGCTAGGGCTGCAACTAACAACTATTTTAATAGTCGACTAATCACCGACTATTGAAGCGATTAGTCGACTAATCGGATAAAATTTTACCGAGGCCAGTCTAACGTGCCTTCTCCTCAAATGTTTGTGCATCACCGACGTGCTGCCATGATACGCAAGGTCTGCTTTGCAAACCTTGCAGGTTTTTTTCGCCTTTTCTAGGCTAAAGTGCTCGCAAACGTTGGAGGTTTTTAAGCACATACCCGTAGCTGCTGTATGGGACACCAGCGCCACCGTGTTTGAATACCCTCACGCTCTTCGTAAGATACTGTTGCGCATGTTTGACTCTAGGCAGAGATAGTAATAGAGTAAGATTCCTCACTCCACTGAAAAAAAAACCTGTCTGGCGACAATAGTTGACAATGGAATTCATTGTCGACTTTTTTCATTATCGATTTTTGTCGACGATGAATAATCGTTGTAGCCCTAAAATATGCATATTGTGAATGCATCAATAGCTTAAAACAGACATTGGTAAGATGTTTTTGTGAGAGCCATAGCACAATGCATTACGGTCTAATTCGAAAAGGTCACAAGAGAGTAGAGTAAGCTTTAGCAATGGAAGGAACCGATCAATCAAAAATCTGCCCGAAAATGGAAACATGGCTTTTTAATGGGACTCTGAGACGAGTTTGCTGTTAAAAATCGCATATGTTAACATTACTAACCCTCTTTATGATGTGTTGTTTATCCTACTTTAAACTGTCGAAGCTGAACATGTTGAAAAGCTAAATTCCTTTCCACTAACAAACGACCCCCAGGCTCGCTGCCCAGTGCAGTTCCTGGTTCTCCCAGTGTACAGTTAATGCAGTGGAAATGTGTGTCAGTGTGAGTGAAGTCTCATGATGAAACTTGAATTTCAGCTACAGTAAAAACTTCAAAATGACCAAACAAAAGCTTCTATGACTTGTATGATATATTTTTTTACAAGTAGCCCTGTTATTCTCAATCAGTGATCAGTGACGGGCTTATCAGCGTTTCATTTTGTAAGCTGTGGATGTGCAATAGCCACGGAGAGAGCTTTGGGGCAGGCCTGATTTTCATGTGAATCCTGACAAAGCCCCCATTGTTCATCCTGCACTGAGTGTTCAGTTTGCAGTTCAGAGTCATGCTTTTCTGCCAACCTATGTTTGCTCCTGAAAAAAGATGATGCCTCTGACTGTGTTGGAGATTGCTCCAACTATTTCGAACAAATCTACCAAACAGTGGAGAGCAATGATTTACAGGTCAGATGATCCATATGGGAGCGGCCAAAGCAGTAAATGAGCCATGTTTTGGTTCCTCTGAGCCCTTATTTTGACAAGCTGTTCATGCAGAGAACCATAAGTCTGTGCATGTTTCCTAAACTTTACGGAAGGTCTTGTCTTCCGAAGAAGTCTTTGTTGAGACAAATTTATATATTTTTTGTTTTTGATAGGAAAAGTGAAATGAGGAAATATAATGGGAGGAGGGTGGGGTAGACGTGTATCAAAGGTTTGCAGGTCAGAGTCAAACCTGTACTTGCTTCTCTACTGACTGAGCCAAACTGGCACTCCTTGGTTGATCACTTTCTGAATTTATCGGTGTTTATGCTCGATGCCAAATGTTTTCCTAAAGAGTGCAAGTCATTTTCCACCTATGGTATTGTATTAATACAATAGCATGATGGATTGTTTTGTTAGGCAACCGTTGGAAGTGCAGATGAGTGATCTGTTTGCTAGAAGATGACTCATGCCCTGTGACACCATGATTCAGCTGTCTGCACTATAGAGGCCTGGTCTTGTTCAAACTCAATTACTGACCTAGATTACTGAGCCGTTTTCCTCTTAAAGAAACCTTTGTGGATACACACGGAAGTCTTAATGATAAATACGCATTACAAAGCATTTAATCTTAAACAGTTACACATGTGATTATGTGATTCCTGGGTCCAAAACCTGCCAACTTTATACCACCATGACTCCTCTAAAAGCCGACTAGAATAGTTACCGTCATCTGTATCGATCACAGTACTAGACACATGTTACATGGGCTGTCCATGAATATATGCCAGTCAACTTCTTCCCAAGTAGAATCAACTGGTTCTGGGTAGGGATGCACGATAAACTACAAATATTTGCCATCTCACGATAAATGCGGTAAACACAAGTTGATAACGTAAGCGCCAGCAATGGACTCGCAGCCGTCACCCACACAGAGCAGAATAGCAAACAAACATGGCCGGAGGTGGTGAAGAAGACTTCTCTGAGCAGCTTGTTACTGAACAAGACTCCACATGAGGGATTCCCGTCATGATTGGGGCTTGGACGAGTGCAATCAGGTATGCCTGACGTCGGACAGTAGATCTGCTCACTCTGTGCAGTAAGAGTTTTAAACGAATGTTGAAAGTGTTTTCCCCTTTCACTCGTTTTCTCCCTAGTTCCAGGTAAATTATAATGTGCATTAAAAACAAACCCACCAAACATCGGACGTCGAAGAGACGTGCAGATCAAGTCAGTATTGGGTTGGTCCGTCAAAGACCACATCTAGACGTCAGTGCGACATGCAAAATAGGTTAGAAATTTCGATGTCCAAATTGGACCTTTTTTAGACGTCGCTCTGACGTTTAGAATTTGGATGTCATCTGAAGACATTATTGGACCTCTTTTAGACATTGAAATGACATCCACATTTGTACCTCATCGTCGAAAAAATACGTTAAATAGATGTCATTTCGACGTCGCATTGGACAGTGGGAATACCAACACTAGGATGACAGCAGGAATGGACGAACTTGGTTAAATGTCAGTTTTTAACTACAGTAGTATCAGAGGGGTATCATATTCAAGTCTAGGTATCAAGAAAGAAAAGCAGTGTTTGTAGGTCAGACTGTATGTTCTTACAGAGTTCTCTGCTATTTTGGATCCTTTGTATATTTCCTTTGACGACTGAGTCGGTCAGCAGGGCTGCTATATTGTAGCGTGTCAACTACATGGATTAAGCTGAAACTGACATCGTGGGTCTAGTTTGTTCTGTGCCTCGCCCTGCCCGCAGAGTCCATTGTGTTCACAGAAATGTACAATCACAGTGTGCAGTCGAGGTGTGTCCACTCCCTGCATAATACTCTGTGTCTGGGGGTGTGTTAGCAACAGATCTGGATGTTTGTAATCAAAGGAGTAGATTAGTACCCTCCAGTCCATAAGTGACTGTACAGACATATTATTTTCCCAGCAGGCTCTCATTACAGTATTGCCTCAGCTTAATGAAGTTGCAGCACAACGTGGGGTCAGACGCAGCCCTGTTATTCAGATCCTCAGCTTTAATGATGCACAGAAAATCTACTCCAGTAGACTAATTCACTGTGAGACACAACCCTGTGCTGTAAAGATCCCAGACAGTGTTCACTATGTGTATGCGCCTCATAGAGGTTCAAAAATTAACCTAAAAAAAGATAAGTGAATAAAGCTGTGCAAACACAGGTTAATCTTCCATGTTTTTGAAACACTCACTCATTGTTTGAGAGGCTGAGTTCATCATCCTTTCCTGTAACAAACTCAGGAAGAACAAACACGGCTACCAAGCAGACTTCTGATTCTCTTCCCTTTCTACTGACAGATAACACTGCTTTTCTTTCCTTTCAAAGTTCCCCTCATGCATTTTAGACGCCATCTGGCTCTGTTTTTATTCTTCGCTGTGGTTTCTTCACTTTCTCACAACCTTTTTCAGACCCTGCCAAAAAGCTATTCTCAGAGCGCATGTCTGAATAGACATGGACTGTGGCGTTACACAAGTTTTCTCTTTATTGAAGTTGGCCTTCTGCCAGGTGACATCAGTGGGAGCTGTGTACGGCTCGAAAATGTTCCTTTTTTTTACTTTTTTGCTATCATGAGTGAACTGGAATCATCTATTATAGAGAAGTAGTGAAGTTTGTACTTACTGAAACACTTGGAGACAGACTACATCCTTATACTTATCCTACATCTAGATTCTGGCTGGTACAGAATACCACTGTGATACTCTTTTAATATAGAAAGATACCTACGTTATTGGAGCAAATACACTGATCATAGACAGTTAGCTTTTTTTTTATTTGAGCAGAAATAAGGGAAAGTTTAGAGTGACGTTGGAGAGGACCTGCAGGTAACACTTTACAATAACCATAACTTAAAAATGGTAAATAGACCATTTATGTATGGTTAGCAGATCGTTTATTAATGTTTAATCATCATCTATAAATAGCAAATAGACAATTGAACTATTGACATATTTACAATTTTAAAACCTAACTCTAACTCCAACACTAACTTTACAATAACCATCTAAGTAATGTTTATAGATGGTTTATAAACTACTTATTAATCATTACCAAAGTGCTACTGACACACATTTTAATTTTGATGTTTTACAACCAATATTTTACCCCTATATAAACCTTTAATAAATAGTCCATTGATGATTAATAAACATTATTGATTATAATTTCATTGCTTGTTAATGGTACAGTAAGTATTAACTTACATAAATAAACTATCTATTTACCATTTATAATTGGTCTTTATGCTGTTTTTAAATGATGTTAAAACATTAATAAACCATCTATTTACCATTTGTAAATTATGGCTATTGTAAAGTGTTACTGACCTGCATGTTGGAATCAAATCTCAGCTGCCCACTTCAGGCGTTAATTCAGTATGTGCAGGCCTGCAGCACCCCTATTTTGTAAACTTTGCTGAGCACTTACTTTTTTCTAAAAACTGTAACCTTACTGACTTTATCTCATTTGCAGTTCCAAAATATGTTTTATGCTTCTGTGAAAAACTTGGTGTCTCTGTAATTCTGGCACAAACCTGCACACCTCATCTCTTCACTGACTTTGCACATGCGAATTGAGTGTTTTTTGATGAGGAATCCTGTCTTACTTTCCTTAAACAGTCTGCTTTTGTCGGTCTGGACTGACACCTACCCCGTAACAGTGGGGTTATTATTTGCACAAGTTAGTCTCAGTCAGAGTTTCAGTCTACGAGGATGAGCCTCCTCCTCCTCCTCAGCCCTCACAGCAGACACTGGCATGCCTGGACAGTGACTCATCTACACTGTTGTGTCCAGAGGTTTCGGCTGGGCCCAGTGGGGCCTGTGGGGCCCAGAGCCAACAGCAACTGTTTATAAAAGAGAGAGTTCACTTGAGCCAGCTGGTGGTGACCTTAGACCTACCTTTCACGAGTCATCTCAGACTTTTCAGACTAACCGTAAGGAGACCCTTTACTGCCCCTTGACACCCTTTACTGCCCCCTATTTACTCTTTTTGACCCCCTGACCTCATCTGTCTCCTGTCAGAAGAAGAACAAAATACACTCTCTGTCTAGTTTGTCCCGCTGACACTATGTTCAAACTTTACTGAAAATAACTTCATTCTTGCAGAGAAGGAGAACCCATATGAGGATGTTGACCTGAAACGGAGGAGTTTGGGTCGGAAATCTTGTCTGTCTGAGAGCAACAGATCCTGGACGAACATTGACAGGAAGCTGAACTCTCCACCTCAGGTAAGCCATAAGCCTGGTGGGATCAACAGCAGCACTGATGTGTTTTCCTGTTGTAAACAGTGCTGTGTCAGTGCTGAATCTGGAAAAGATCTCTGTAAGAATCCCATAACTCATTTTTGGCACCAGAGGAAACAGTTTGATATGTTTGGATCTGGTGATTCTCCAAAGATGGGCTTCTTAGCAGGTCTGGCTTCTACACAGACACTCCCCCCCATCTATAACAGAGGGAAGACCACTGACTACTGGTGGTACATATGCGTAATTCCTACTTATCACTGTCAATTAAAGGCACACCATGATCCTGTCTTGTTTTTCTGATAGAGTTTTGATGATTTCTTTCTGTCATGACATTATTTCCTCTGATATACTCTTTAAAAGCCTCCTTATTTCCTTCAGGTAAATGCTTGTAGAAGTTCAAAAGTTCAGTCTGCACAAGGGTTCTCAACGAATATTCTAAACTCTAATATATATTCGAATATTTGAAAAAAAAAAAGGAGTCTCGAATGTGAAAATAAATATTGGAATATTAAATAAACAGCGGGAAAAAACTGAGTGGGAAAAAAAAACTGTGGCTGCTTTGGCGAGTGAGCGCACTGTAACGATGGGTCAGGGACGGGTCACAGGAGCTCCGCCCGCAGTGAGACTTGACAAAAACCGTCCATGGCACACGGAGAGAGAGATGGCCGGAGGTTCGGAGCCAAGCTAACAGACATGTCTGGACTCCGATGAACTTTAGAAGCTCCGTTTGGAAATCAATCGGATTTTGGGCAGACACGGTAGACAGAAAAAATGCTGAGCGAGATAAAGTTATATGCAAGCTGTGTAAGCTAGATATTCGAATATGTTCGAACCTATGTGTTAATTTAAGAACAAATATTCAAACATCATTTTGGAGCAATTTTGACAGCCCTAATCTGCACTGGAAGTGACTTTAACACTGAGATAATTACTGTTAAAATCCCTACAGTTGGAATCTTATAGATTTATAGTCAAGGAAGTAACACTCGACAGTCTTTGATTGTTTTCCAGTCAAGTTAACAAATTGATTAAGCCACTGGATCACAGATAGAAGATACAAAATGTGGATGCAAAATGAGTTGTTAATTTGAAAAGAGATATCCTTGCGAGGGCTGATCCATAGATAGATCAATTAGAATTCTCATTGAGGCTCAAAAATCACACCTACATCTGCCTCTAATCTGACATAGGTGTAACCCACGTGGATGAAACTGACTACATTCAACAAAACCGTTCCTACTTTCTTCTCTTCTCTTTCTAGTTGCCGTCCAAACCAAGCAGCCAATCACTTCGCCTCACTGGTTCGAGTGACAGGAAGAGCCACCGGATGTCACAGTTGTCCAAACGTTACAGCCATGACGAGATGCTGCTTCTCCCCCAGATGGGTGTATCAACTTCACCTTGTGGCCTTATGGATGATAGCCTCCGTAGCACCAGCGATACCCTGGCCTCGCACAGGCACTGGAGGATCCCCAAGGTACACACTAGCAGATCCTACACAAACACCTGGATTAAGCTCTTGCAGAGCTCAGACTATGTTCTCTTTCCTGTCAGATAAGCTCAGCTTTCTGTAGAGAACAAGCCAGACATAGAGAAGAACTTGTCTTGAACCATTTTAGCTGTGTATTTGAGCAACTCTTAAGTATAGTACAGTATTACTCTTGGCCAGGTACACCCTCTCCTCTCTTCTATACTTAGGATCAAAAGAAACAAAGCTAAGATTCCCCAACAGAGAATTTCCTCTTTCTTCTGTTTACAGCTGGTCCAGAGGATCAACTCCATTTACTGCACTAAACGTGGGAAGAAGAGGCTGAAAAAGCTGTCCATGTCCAATGTTGAGACTGCTTCTCTGAGGGGTAAGAGCCCCCTTTATTCCCTTTATCCACAGGCAAGATAAGAGGGGTAAATATTTGTGTCTCAACCACCCACATAGAGTTCTCTCTGTGTTCCTCTCATGACATAAACACATGTTTGTGAAACAGAGCACCAACCTTTATAAAGAAAAATGTTTTCTGTCTCATGTCTGCTGCCAGATGACAACAGTGAGAGCGAGAGCGACTCTGACGACAGGTTCAAAGGTGAGTAACCTCTGCGTTCATTTGCAAATATGAGAATATAGCTGCTGTTTGAATATGAGAGTTGTGTGTCAAGATGAAATGACAGGAGGTATGGATGACATGTGATGTGAAGTAGCCAAAAGGTCGATTTTTAGAGGAATACGTGCTAGTGTTTGCTTTTCTCCACAGCTCACACTCAGAGGTTGTTGAAACTGCAATCTATCCTCCGTCGGGCTCCCAGCTATCGCACACTGGAGCTACAGCTGATCGAGTGGCAGGAGAGGGAACTCTTTGAGTATTTCGTGGTCGTCTCTTTGAAAAAGAAACCCAGCAAAAACTCCTACTCTCCAGAGGTCACCTACCAGTTCCCCAAGGTAAAAGTTATGACTGAATACTCCAGTCACACATCAGTGGAGACTATTTTCCAAAGCTTATGCTGAGTCCAAGCCATATTATCAGTGTTGTATAAAGAACTAAACAAATATACTTGAGTTGAAGTAAAGTTACCTTACCAGAAAATGACTCAAGTCAAAGTGAGAGTCTCCCATGAGAATTCTACTCGAGTTGAAGTCTTGAGGTAGGAATGAATCTGTTAAAGAAGCATCTTTTTTGTGGTGTATATACAAAAAAGCTTTTAAAATCAGTCAATAGCTATTAGTCATTGATAACATTTGGGAATATAACAATATCACTGTGTTCTGTTATGTCTGTGTAGTCAACATTTACAATTTTTTGAGCGGCCCGCTCTTTCTTACTGTAAACAAAGCCGTTCTCCACCTCCCCCAACCTGAGGCGGACATTGCTCCCTGGTGCTGATTGGCTGTGAGGCAGACGCTGCTTCCCCATGTCGTTCAGGAGCCCAAACAAAGTTAGCGTGCTACAATATCGGACAGTAGAAACAGACCAGAAAGTACGGAAAATTGTCTGAAACCTCCTTTAGCCACGACTGCCAACACAAGCTAGAAAACAAAGTAAATACCGGAGACTCTGGTGGAATAACAGACACCCTACCAACTGTCAAAGTAACAAAGTAAAAATAGTAGTAGCTAATATGCTTCTGTGAAAAGTGGTGGAGTAAAAGTACACTTTTATTTTTATAAATGAAGCCAAGTAAAATTAGAAGTTGCAGGCCCAAAAAAGTCCAGTAAAGTACAGATACGTCAATTATACTCAAGTACTGTACGTAAGTATTGCTACTTACTTACTATACAACACTGCATATTATAGTACAGTTAGATGCTGTTGACAGCAGGGATTTATTTTGAAGTCACTCACTGTGGTGAAGTCGACTGTTTGGAAATCTGCAGAAGAAGAAAAACGTGTTTAATAGTTTTAAAATCCTTGGCACGGTCTCTTTAATATCAACCCTTATTATAGTAATTAAAGCAATAATCCAATGAAATACCTCATGCATGTGGGTAGCAACACAGCTAAGAAACCAAATAAGTAATATACGTAGGTTATTCAGAGTTTAAAGGTTTTAAATTGTACATTAACACTTAAAAAATAAACAGGATCCATTTCTGCGGCGAGGAAGTGTTTTGGTCTTCCAGGAATATATTTTAAGGTTATTCAAGATTTGGTTCAGCAGATGTGTCCCCTGAGGGAGGTACATTTCTTCCAGCCAGGGGAGACACTCTCTGTTGTTGAGTTAATGAAGACTGGAGGGGGCAAAGGTTTTACCCTGGTATGGGAGAAATGTCAGTCTGGTCATTTATTGGTTACACTGACATCTATGGGGAAAGGAGGTCACTTTTTATCCAAGGGGAGAATGAACTGATGGTAACTCTACTTCCTCTCCTTTCCTCTCACAGCTAGAGAGACCCACCAAGCAGATGAGGGAGGCAGAGCAGAGACTCAAAGCCATTCCTCAGTTCTGTTTCCCTGACGCAAAAGACTGGAGTCCTGTGTTAGAGTACTCCAGGTATGGCTGAACAACAACAACCTCTTATTTCTGTGGAGTTAATCATTACTTACCCCACTGTTCAAAGGACTGCAGCTCAATTAGACAGGATTAATATTTAAACCTTTACCTGAATATTTTTAATTTGAGTGAACTTAACTCAATGTTTTACTCAGTGGCTTTTTATTGTTAAAGATTAATCATAGCTAAATGAGTTTTGGGTTTGCCAGGAAAAAAACACCAAAGATCTCCTGCCTTATGAGCAACAAACTCTAAACTTCACACACAGGTATCTTGCTTTAGAGAATTATTGTTGTCAGAATAAATGATTATCCAGATCTTTTTTTCTGACTTTTCTGAAGCATCTCTAGTCACTGAGAGCACATTTACAAAAACATGAACACACTGTCAATTGCACCTCTTGAAATGGGTTTCCCAGTATCAGCTGTTGCTTAATGTACACATACGAATTTAGGATGTATTTAAATTGTTGTAACCAAAGACTGTATACAGAATGGACGCCGTCCGCCCCCTCGCTGGGTGAGAACAGCATCCTCTGGTGACGGGCTGCAGTATAGGTCATAAATCCCGCCTCCTCCAGTAATCCCTATGGAGCTGTGGATAAACTTTAGAAATTTATTAAACAGAATATACATTTTTCTCCTCCCTGGTTGCGATGTAGAAATGTAGTTACTGTCAGACTGGTTTGTGCTCAAGTCCTCTTTTTTCTGTACAGCTCCGTTTTTTAAAAGTTATTAGGGGGTTCATGTTTTCTATGATTGACACTTCATACAGCCTATGTATCGTACAAAGATTGCGTAGCTCAAACAAGGAGAAAGGTTGTTTGTGTCGAGAGTCATCTCAGCAACTCTGGTCGATTCTCCCGCCAAATGCATACAATGCTACTGCGCAAGTGGTGTTTCCAGGAAGTGGACAAAATCCTGGAAATACTGAGAGAAATTCAGCTTCAAGTTCGTATAATGACGGAAGGCGAAACCAAGTTGTCGATACAGTCTATGGTTGTAGCGTATAACATAAAAAGGATGTGCTGCATATTTCAAAACAACGATTCTCTCTACAGATACTATCAATGAATGTTTTTTCAGCTGCTACACCATTTAGTAAATGTAAATGTCTGCAGTATGAGCTCTTGTGTCTCTGCGTTGCTTTTTATGGGCTTACATATTTGTTTCACCACAGTGAGACCTTCTCCTTCATGCTGACCGGAGAGGACGGCAGTAGGAGGTTTGGGTACTGCAGACGCCTGCTGGTAAGTTATGGCTCTCTGTTCACACCCCGCTGAGCCCTGTTTGTTGTGACAGACCATTTTTATGAGAACATGTGACAGGTTTTTCCTGTGTGGGCATTGATCTGTTTCATGACCATCATCTGTGGAAGCAGGAAAGAGGACGTGTACTGCAAAACAGACACATGAGAAAATGTGCTCATGACTCCAGAGCTGAACGAGCACGTAATCAGCATTCGCCAGCTCATTGTCGAGACTAATCAGCATTAGGATCATGAACTGGGACTTCCCTCGTTTCATTGTTTATGCTTGCTGTTACAAGCAGTGGTAAAAGCATCATCTGGATTCACAAACATTCAAGCCACATCAGTCTTAAAAACAACCACTTACTTTTGATATATGAATAGCCTTTAAAACTAAAACAGAGGAAGAGAGTCGCTGAGTAATATTTAAGCCGTGTAAATAATTTCAATTAAAGTCAAAAAGCGCTTGAAAGTATGATTAAAATATTATAATTACAGGTTAAATCCCAAGTCAGGATTGGCACGTTTGAATTTACGAGAGTTTCTCAGGACAAAGAGAAACCATGAAAAATCCTAACTTTGTCATTGTGGAGCATTTTTCTTCATAATGAGTCTGCAGAGAGCTTTGAAGTTTTCTGCCGAGCTTCACATTTAGCTTGTGGGTAGAGATCACAGCTGTGTGGGATTGTGTGACTGCGGTGGTAGTTTTTGTTTGCACTATGGTTTTTTTGAGCGTGTTTACAGTACTACAGTGTGTATGTTCTCAGAGGTTTGATGGGAGTGTCTTAACTTTTACTGCGTAAGTGTGTTTGAGCCAAGGAGCAGCAGGGAATTTGGGGAAATCTCTGACCAGACAAAAATGTTTTTTAAAGAGCTCTGATGTGCTCTGTTGATCTGAGATTCATCTTGATAGAATCAGATTTTAATGAAGGTACAAGAGGAGGTGAGCTGCTCCCCTCCAGTGACTTTGTTTCCTCCTCTCTCCTCTTCTTTTTCTCTCCTTCCTGCTGTCCAACCAGCCGTTGGCAGTAACCGTGCATTCCTGAGGCCTTGAATCAAGCTCCACATAGTTGATTTAATCATCCATTAGAAAAAGCGGAGGAGAAACAAGAGGGGGAAAATTGTATACCTAATATGGACAAGTGGATTGGTGTTTCTTGAGTGCTTGTGTTCATTTGTGTCTCCGTGTTTGAGCGTCTGCATCTCAAGCACATAATGGTCTGAGAGTGTACAGAGGAAGAAAGATACAATCAGCGGGAGCAGATAAACCACCTGTGTTTAGGAAGCTGGTATCCACATGAAAGACTTTCACTCTGAATCACTGCTGAGATTAACAGACTGTCAAAACAGCAGATCTAGATACTACAGTATCGTCATCATACAGTCAAACATTTGATCAAAAAAACTACGTCTTTCTGTTTTGCTCTGATAAGAGGCCAATTACAATTAACAGTTTTTTACTCTTGGACTCATTAAAAAACAAAAACAGTCATTTCAGACGTTTCTGCTGGAATTTCCAGTGCACTAATGTCAGTAAGAGAAAGCATATCTTGGGTGTTAACAGAGGTAAGATCAAGGTTCATGAATTACGTCACTGACTTCAAAATACACAACCATTTTGATATCTTGACTTGATCTAAGCTTCAGAAACCCAGATCTCACCAACAAGTCCAGATGTAAATTTTATTTTTTTTCATATAAGAAGCCAAAAAAAAAAAAGATGTAATTGATTGTAATGGGTAAAAATGGCTATATGTCATTCTCCCACTCTGCCCCCAGTTTTCCTTCAATCCACAGCCCCGTCCTCTAAACAAACACCCTAAAAAGCTCCAAAATCTCCCACTCTGAGGAACTGGTTGGACACAGTCGAGGAGATATACAACATGGAAAGACTCACATATATACTGAGACTCCAACAAATAAAATTCAACACTGAATGGGACAAATGGACAAAGTCTCACTGCAGAGACGCCATTGTAATACTACAACAAAATACATGTATCCTTATGACACTGCTATTTTTTTGTTATTTTTACTTAAAATTAAATAAAGAACGAGTTAAAAAAGTTTCCTGAATAGAAGTATTCTATCTGTTTTCTGGAAACTATCAAGAAATTTTACTCACTATCATCAGTTAAGGTCTTTTATTTTTTTTAATCAAGACTTGTAGGGCCAATGTGGTTTGAGTGTCATGTTACATATTGACTGGTTAGGTGAAAAATGCACACAGAGATTTGTGAGATTTGAGCTCTTCACAGCGCAGAGATTTGGATTCAGAGACTATGTGGATATAGATCTGCATCTACATAGATTTAGACCATTAATGACATGATGGGACTTTTCATGGAGAAAAAATATGTATTTTTATCCAAAGATATATGTTTTCACATATTAGGTTCAGTTCATTCGTCACTGGAAGTTATTATAAGCCTGTGAAAACATGTAAGAAAGTATCTTTAATAATACAGTGAGGGTGTTCTCAGCTTTGCCTAGTGGGCCTCACATTTTTGGAAGAAAGCCTGAACGTGTGATAGATTGAAGATGTGGTAATTGTAAAGGTGAACAGTGGATGGAGGCTCTGCCAAAAGTTACATTATGGTGAATACAGTCCATTTATTTCAAAGCTCACCCTGCACTAAACCTGAAACTGAAAGTTTTGATAAATCCGGTGTGTCAGAGCGTCTGTGAGTGTTTCTCTACATTAAATCTTGCTTTCCACTTACAGCCGACTGGGAAAGGACCTCGTCTTCCTGAGGTGTATTGTGTCATCAGCAGACTGGGCTGTTTTGGCTTATTCTCCACGGTGAGCTCAGCCATCTCCACGCATGTGCATGTGCATGTGCATGTGCACGTATACTCACACACGTACTGGACTCAGCCAGCTACAGTTTGATAGCTATCTGTGGTGTTGTAGCTGCGGTTAACCCGTCTCACAGCTGGAGTAAATGACTCTCAGCAGACCTTCTGCAGAGCGCCTGCTCATTGGTAACATTTCAAACCTTTCATTATTATTTTTTTTTACTTTTTGATTTTCCAGAGTGATTGTTTCCTCCACTTTTTGACTCAGCAATGTTAACACAGAGCAGAGCAATCACTCTGTCTGACTTTTTCAGCCTTATCTGATTATCTATTCGTTCATCATGAGGAAGTCCAGACTGTTTAAGTGGCTGCTTTCTGACATGAAGATATAAATCATGTTTAATATCAAAGACTTTGTAAAAGTAAGCACTGCACACGACAACCCAGCTGTAGTTATTGGCCAGGACTTTTATGTTGTTTATATTGAATTGAAGCCAAACAAGCTGGTGAGGGGGCCTTTTCTGCCACAAATATTTTATTGAAAAGACTTTTCATGTTTTGATCAAATTATTTGACTATTTAAAAGATGCAGGAGTAGAAAATTATTCATCAAAAGCCTCAATTTTGAGGACAAATCAGCAAACTTGAGATAAACCAGTGCTTTAAGTCTTGAGTTTATTTCAGCTGTAGTTGTGTGAAACAGATATACAGACAGAGAGAGACATACAGAAACATACAGAGCCAGACAAAGGCAGAGAGGTGAAATGATATGGCCCTCAAAACATCCCATCGTCCAATCAGCTTTCCAGAACAGAGGCAGCCTGAACCCAAACAGACAGAAAAGCACACTGGGTGGAATTTTCCAATCATGCAGGCATGGAAAGAAATTCATTTGCTATTTTTCAAAACAGAAAATGAATACTGAGTTCCAGACAATTGCTACTAGTCCAACACATAACAATATGTTTCCATAAATTGTCGCCATGATGACAGTGCACGTCTTTTTCATCCATTGTGGTTATTCTTTTAACCGTGGATTAAATCCTTCTACACTAAGGTTTTTCTCATACAAACACATTTGCAGTTTATGTCTGTTTTTAATGTCCGAACAGGATAAAATATGTTATTCTTATCTTTTTCCTGCCATGTTCAGATCCTGGACGAGGTGGAGCGGCGACGAGGCGTTTCAGCCGCCCTGGTTTATCCCTTCATGAGGAGTCTGATGGAGTCGCCCTTCCCTGCACCAGGGAAGATAATCAAAGTTAAGACCTTCCTGCCTGGAGCAGGAAACGAGGTCAGAACTCCTCAAACAGAAGAAAACATGAATTACAATTGACATCTCGAGATTATCTTTTCCAAAAACAGTTTTCAGTCGTTCAAATGGGAATTTTCCAGGTGAATGTAAACTTCGGGGAAGAATACGATGACTGTATTTTCTTGTCTCTCAGGTCATCGAGTTGAGGCGGCCCACAGACTCCAGGCTGGAGCACGTCGACTTTGACAGTCTGTTCAGCTGCTTGAGTGTGCGGCAGGTGATACGAGTCTTTGCCTCTCTGCTGTTGGAGCGCAGGGTCATCTTTGTGGCCGATAAACTCAGGTGAGGCTGGTTGAGTTGTCATCATACACAGTCTGAAGACCTTTCATTTTAACACAGCGTTTTGTTTTCCAAGCCTAGAAAATTAAGATATATTTTAATGCAAAAGGCTCTTCAAAGATTTCTGTGTCTTCAAATTTAAGCATTTGGGAAAATCCTGGCTGACGATGACATAGTTCATATATGTTTTAAAAATGGTATTGTTGTGCTTTTGATTTGAGGTTATCTGATTGAACTGTTAGGACTGTTATGTACTGATTAGTATCAAGTATAATATCAGTCAGTTAGTCATTTCACCAGTCAGTCTGATAGCAGAATAAAAAGTGGGTCACACAGTGAGAGTCACAGCCAGAGGAGGATTGGGTGGGGCTGATAAGGGTCTCCAGGGACTCGGTCTCCCAGTCTGCTTGGTTCCTACAGCAAAGAGAAAGGTACTTTTAGAGCTTTAGAGAGGCGAGGGTGGAGTGGGAGGGGATTTGAGCGGAGCAGTAATCTCTCCATGTATCAAAGCCAAGTTTAAACAAACATCAGTGGGGGCAGTGACTGTGAGGAGAAGGAATGTACTTCCTGTGTGCGCGACTCTGCCCTCTGTGATCTGTGGCTCAACTGTCACCGTTTGACTTATGATGCCACGTTCACTCCCTAAGTATGAACCATGGCACTCTCCCCGTCCCTGGAGAAAATGAGCCTAAGCTGCTCATTACCACCAGAGGTGACAACGTGAAGGAGTCATAGGGTGGGAATTATGAGGCAGCTCAACATATTATATCACCATGATATATTGATGGTTGATTCCAAGCATGTATTATCTGTGATCCTGGATAGATAACCATACTTCCAGAGGAGTGAAATAATGAAAAAGCAAGGTTCAGCCAAGAGGTTCATTCTTCTGGATGACGTTTGTACAAAAAAGTGCATTCACATGTTTTTAGGAGCAAAAATCCTGCTAACTTTGTAGTCTTACTAAGTTTGTATCTGTGGGTTTCTTATGGAACAAATTTTAATAAATGACCGAAATTCCTGCGTAGACAGTGATAAACTACAAAACGGGATTAGGGCCACAAGGAGAGACAAAAATGATTCCAGGAGGGAGATTTTTTAAATTTCCATTTCAAGATTAAAGTTGAAATTTAAAATAGTCAAAATGTCAACTTTATTCATGTCAACTTAAATCTTGGAATTCCGACTTTAATCTCAAAATTTTGACATTTATCTCCTTCCTGTAATAAATTTTGTTCTCCTCATGTGGCCCTAATCCTCTTTTGTAGATATACAGCCTCAGTTTTTCTGTATGTTTTCTATGAATAAGCACATGCTACCACACTAATATCTACTCAAATCAACATGCTAATCTTGACCTGCTAACCAACAGCAAATATGCACAGACTAACCAACAGACAGGTTAAGTTCTCCAAAGGTTTCAATGTTACAGAGTCAAGAAACATAGCTGTTAAGTATCCAGTTTTGGCCAGGAAACTACCGTATTTTACCCCTCTTTTCCGCCTTTTTTCGGTTTTAGTACTCTCCTGGAAATCTCCTGTATTATAGTATAAAAAAACATTATTCTGCCTCTCCAAACTTAACTCTGTGACTAGAGCGAAGTACCCACCAATTAGTAGTAGCGAGTTGTCATCTGCGATCACACAGACAATAAACTGACAGCCTACATTACTGATAAAACAATATAAAATAAGTATGGTATATTAAAAGAAATGCAACATATATTAATCTTAAATTTAATTATACCTACTTTATGATTAGCACTAATTGTGTGTATTGATTAGAATCAGTAGTTCAGCATGTTGCATACATACAAAGCGTTTGCTCTGTGGTTTGGTCTGAAACAGTGACAGGGCCTCACTGCAGCATTAATGACTTCACTGATAAGAGGGCTGCTCCCTCTGGGGCTCTGGTACAGAATCCATTCCCAAAATACCTCCCTAGCAGAACATGATGTATATTTTTCACTCGAAATGTATATCAAACACAAGCAGGAAGAGCCATGATCGGCATTTGTTCTCCGTGGGGTCTTTTGTGGTTTATTTCTTTTGTATGGTACACTTTCATAACGCTTATTTTCCTTCTCCTTTAAGTCGCACAGACAGTTTCCTCCTCGGCAGTGATCCCCTTAACTAAGCCTGTAATAACAAGTTTGATGCCTGATCAGATAAATTCATCATGAACTGTGTCACTCAGTAATTGCTTAACTCAATTGACCCGCAGATGCTCGCTGAGTTTCGTTAGATCTGCAGACTTGTGTAAACAGTCTTTGTCAGTCCTCAGGCTATAGATGCGGACGGTTACCAATTTGTGGTTGTGAGTCAGGATTGATCTCTTGGCACGGCGGTGAAATTCTCCTACAGTCAAAGTGTCTCTGCATATTGGATCTGAATGACTTTCCCTGATATGACTCCATCGAGATGATTGAATCTCACTATCTTTCCTGCTTTATTTGAAACAGAACTGCCACTCTCATATTGAAAGTATAAAATAATATTTTATTGCAAAGATGGTCTGATGTTTCATGTGCTGATCGGAGTAGCATAGAAGAGTAAAAGTGAGGGATGTGTATGTTTGACGGTTCGAGGGGAAAAGGAGTATTAAAAATGGATTCCTAAAATTGATCATGGCCGTGTTAGATTAATCCAGATCATGTAGAAGTTGTTTGGGTTTCTGGAAGTTCCTCCTTTGTCTGCTTTGCTTTTAATAGCAAAACTGGTGTGTTCACTTTTTTTAATAAATAGTAAAATATTAAGTGTCCCACGCATGTTTAGTTTTTGGGGTCACGTTTCAGGGTAAGAACAATCCAGCTGTCTGAAAACCAGTTTCAGGTATTTAGATTACCGAGACAGTTTGCAGCTGCAGTAATATGATCAATGGTGGCTGTAAACTGTGGACAGGTAGAGTTATTGCCAGAGCCCGTGGCATTTTTCTAATCAGTATGGTAGCACACTCATTTCATTAACTTCTCCGTTATTCTCAAACACTTTCTGTAACACACACCGCAGACTTGGCGCGCTGCCAAGACCGCTTTTAACAAGTTAACCAGCTTCTCATTTCATGTTTAACTCTGGACTAGATTTCAAACATGGGAAATATTTCTGTTTTTGACAAAGAGACGAGAACGAGTAGGTCATTAGCGGAGCCTGACCAGCTGATTTTCCCATCAGTGTCATTCTTGTGAATGTTTCAGCCCACATGTACGCTCACATTCACAAACACCTGCACACACATGTCTGCCCTCCAGAGAGCTCTGATCAGACTCAGACCTTATTGTGGTTTTAAAGGGAACTCGTGTCGAGTTTCCCTTAAAGAAGCCGTTCCTCAGTGTAAAATGGCTCCTGCTGTTGTCTTCAGTGAAGCAGGAGAGCTGAGAGATCCTCAAAGACAGGAAGTGAGGGAAAACCATTTGGGGACTTAGGAAGCACAGAACGTTCTGCTAGAGGACGAAAATAAACCATGCGCAGCTTTTCGTAAGGAATCCTATAGGTCCATACGCACTCACACTCACATTCATACTCGCTATATGTAATGTTAGGTTTTATTCTGAGCTTGGGAAGAGCTTCAAGATTGCTCTTGTCGAGCTTTGCAGCACAGCTGGTGTCTGACAGCTGTGTTCAGTTCCTCTTACTCGTCTCCTCTTTGTCCTCTGTCTGTGAAATGAGTCTTTGCCATGCCAGCACTGGAAGACACAGTGCAGTGCTTTAGTAGGGCTGTGAGGCATGCAGCAGAACAGGCTTTTGTCTCTTGCTCTCTTTCTCGGACACTAAAATTTCCCTCCTTCCCCCGGGCTTCTCGGGCTAAGCCTCTGGATCTTGTGTTTCCGGGAGTATCTGCCAGTTCAGCCTCACACACGCTGAACCGGTCCTGGCAGACCCACGAGAGCTAATATGTCAGGATTAGCTCCCAAACCTCAACACATAACAGCTCTGCGTAGACATCACAAACTCCTTTCTCTTTTCCTTTGGGTAGGATCATAAACTAATATGACTTTTGGGTTAGTAATCATATTGACAAAAATTCAATTAATCACTAGTACTTATTTTATGGTTATATGGTTTAATATGCACTGAATTTATGTGGTTAAACATGCAGATGGTCTGGTATAATAAAATTGCACAGGTTGTTGCTTGTAACCTTTTATGATATCTCCATGAGGGTAACAAATCTAGTCTATTGCATAAGAGATAAATGTTGTCATAAGAATGCTAACATGTGGACTTTGACAGAGCTAGCATGCTTGTTTATGATTTTTTTAAAAATCTTAGATATGTCTTTAAAAGATTCAAGATATAAACAGCTTTATTTATCCCAGAGGGGCAATTCAGTTTTGCAGCCTGCCCATAAAACAACAAACACAAACAGAGAGAGTCAGTGAACAGCAGCCCTCAGACATGGCAGTGATAACAGATCTGTTGTTGGGCAGCTGTGTCGTAAAGACAAAAATGTACAAATGTTGGCTGGACATGATCATTCATGAATTTGCACTAAAAATCTGAGGCTTGGAAGATTTTTCGAAGTTTTGCAGGTACTTTTGTGGCAGGTCATTCAAGGGTTACTTAAAGGGATATTCCGGTGTAAATTTCATATATGGTCAAACACACTGTAACATCGAGTTAGACAACCCCTCCAGAGATGAATGTTGCCGACTGCTTGCTTGACCGCACGATAGCAATACACAGCGGTCTACGTCTCCACGAGCAAACCTCAACCAAAACGCCACTCTATAGCCACAAATAATGCTCAGAACAGCACCTAACTTCATCAACAGTACATGTAGGGTCCCAGCCATAGTACTAGCCATCAAACATCTTTTTAGCTTCGCCTGATGTCTTTGGCAAAGAGACTAAACACAACTCACCTGCTCTCCTCCAGCAGACACTTGTTTGTGGGGGAGCCCTGATGAGTCGATCACTGAGTGCAGTGGATCATGTCCATGAAGCAATATCATCATAGTAATCATTTTGCACTGCAGACGCAGTAGTCCTTCTGCCGTAGCGTCTCGGTCTGATTGCATTTCCATGAAGTAATGATCAGAAATGTTCTTCCTTGAGCTGCGGAACTCCGCTGCACTCTGTTATTGACTCATGTACATATCTTTTTCTTAACTTTAGTTTCCCAGATGCTGTTAAGCTAAGCTCTGAGCTTTCAGTTGGCCTTCCCTGTAAGTTTCGTTTCTTATTTATCACCTGACATGCCGGCCAAACACTTATTTGTTCTTTGATTTTAAACCATGTGTTGTCTGCAGGTCTTGAATTTTAGTCCTGATCTAACAGGAACGCCCCGCTCTTTCTCCAGAGTTGAGTGGCAACCTCTGGTAGTGCGCCATGTTTTCATTGCAAGTTCATCTCCTCCCAGGAGTGTGCGGTTGGGGATTGAGTGTAATTGATCCTTTTGGTATTAGTGGTGTGCTGGACTGCGTGTAGCCCGTGGCAAAGGTTTTTTGAGATCTGTGCCCCATCGCTCCCTGTTGGAACTTGTCAAAAACCCTGGAGACGGGATCTGTTATGAATTATGAAGACCTCCTCAGGCAGATGGAAATCAGACTGGCTGAGGCAAAGCTACAAATGCTTTATGTTATGAGAAAACTGGAAAAGGCTTTATAAGACTGACTATTGCAACCTTTGGGTTTTACTTGTGTTCATCTTTTTAATGATGCACTTTTTAGACTTGGCGATTTGACTCATGGGAAGTTAAGATCGAAAAAAAAAAGGCAAACTTGGTTGGAAAAGTTTATGATTCGTCTCGGCACAACGATTTGGATGTCTGTTTTTGGTTTGTTACTCTTGGAGTGGTCAAAGCATCTCCCACTGACACTGAAAGAGGCCAAAGACAGAGCGACTCTTAATTACTATGAAGGTCTTTTGACATTACATAAAAAGTTCCTCTGTAAGAGTGCAAATACCTCAAGTTATGTGCGTTTGCATACCATATTTGATCCCTGGTCTTGTTCTTGATCCATACTGATCTAGAGTTGTGTCTGTGTGTGTGCAGCCATGGTTTATTTTCACTCTCTTTGTGTACATGGACTGGACAGTATGTAGAGGACAGAGGGAAGGAGGGGTCAGCCACTGTCAACAAGCGATGGATCGTGAGAAAGCAGGCTGCTATTTGTGATCTCTGTTTTATACCACAGCTGTTGAAGTTAAACCAAATTGGTGCTTTTTTGGTAGTGTGTCAACAACCCTCCAGCTTAACTATATCAACATGTCAGAGTCACGCAACCCATCAAGGCAAGATTAATGTCTGTGTGACGCTCTTTATTGGGCTCAAACGTCCTCTTTGTGGCTTGTAGTAGATGTGTAAAACCTGCAAGATGCGAAAGAGGAAGTGCAGTTGGAAAAAAATTCCACATGAAGTGTGCTTAACTGTGCTATTATATTTCTCACAGGAAGTATGAGATGAAGGAAAGGAGTGCTCACTTATCCTGGGGAAAGAGCTTAAGGATGAATATATCCCTCATGGCCCTGCGGTTTATAGTTCACCATATTTCACACTGTAACAACAGCTAATGGTAGCGTTCAGCTGTTGACTTTGTCACCATTAGATAAGTGGCTGTCTGCAGAGATTTTCTTTGTAAGGAGGAAAACATAAAGCCCTCATAGTTTTAACAACAAGATTAAATTATGCTGTTGTTGAATATTAGCTTATGGATGACCACATGTTGTTTTAATGAGGTCTACTGAGGTTAATTTTCTCTTGTATTATGATATTTTAAAAAAGCAGAGCTGTAATATCGTCTTTTTCTATCTAAAGTATTTGCTAAGATGCAGGTAAATGCTAACACTAGCTTATGTCTTTGTTTGGGTTTTTTTTAACGTGTAATATGAGCCAGTTCTCTCCCAGACTCGTACTGTTTATTGTTTTAAGCGTACATTGATACTGGAACATTAGTATAACATTTATTTGTTAAGCTGCTTTACAACTCATAACCTGGATCGTAGGGCTGGGCAATGCACCGAAAATTTACCGATACCGAAATTTACGACAATAACCAATGTCATTTTGCCCATGTCAGTTTATTCTGTGTCAAAAAAATCAATGAACAAAAGTTGATTTTGGATGTGTGTAGGCAGGCTATGGTCTCATGTCCCTTTAGGACGCTGTCCTATGTCAGAGACGGGACTCTACCCAATTCAGTCTGTAACAAAGAGGGAAAGACAGGTGAGGAGATGGAGGACGGTTCAAAAGTTGTAGCGGCTGAAGTAGACGAAGTTAATGTGGGAGGGTGTGAGCAGCTTGTGGAGTAGTTACTGTCCATTTATCGTTATCGAGGTGAACTGCTGTATATCGTGATATTGATTTGAGGCCATATCGCCCAGCCGTACTAGAACGTATCAACATGTTACCATCCTCTAAATTGTAAGAGGTAATATTTTTTTTTTTGAACAGTAGCTTCGGACTGATGCTTTTTAATCATGTCCGCTCCTTCTGTCTGAATTAAACTTATCTACCCAGTAAAATATTTGTCCAGTTCGGACTGTGTTTAGTTTTTCCTGTCGAGGCCTCTGCAGGGCTTTGCTGTTTCATTGAAAACAATGTTGATGACTGTCTTCTCTTGTGCTCTATTACCAGCACCTTGTCCAGCTGCATGCTTGCAGTGGTGGCCCTGCTCTACCCTTTCTCCTGGCAACACACCTTCATCCCTGTGCTACCCGCATCCATGTTGGATATCGTGTGCTGTCCCACTCCCTTCCTGGTGGGGCTGCTGTCCAGCTCTCTGCCAAAGCTAAAGGAGTTACCTGTAGAGGAGGTGAGGACACTGGATTTGTTTTTCTAGATTCTCGAGACCTTTAGATTCACTTTTATTTTACATTTAGGACCTCTGTCTCTACATGCCTCATGTTCTGAAAACTGAAGGAAACTGCTTTAAGATAGTCATTCTATTATTAACTCTTCTGCATCAAGTCTTCTTATACTGAGGGACAGGCAAGATGAATTCAGACATTGGCTTTGGGTGAATACTAATCTGAGACGTTGCAGGTATCAGGTTTGCATCTTGATTTCTTACAGGAACTGGCAAAGGGTAATTTTGTCTCAGCTTATGTCGAGAGTTAATTTACTTGAAAAGACGCACATAGTACATTTTTGTTCAGATTTCGTTGTGCTTAGAATAAATGCTTTTTTCACTTCATGTTGACTACAAAAATATACTTGTATAGGGTGACCATATTCTGAATCCGGAGTTGGCCTAGTCAATTTTGAGAGTTTTTGGGTCGGGCTTAAGGTGCTTCTAATTCAGAAAGTCCACACAACACAAACTCAAAACTGCCATACATAACCCCAAACATTTGTGGGATTTTATAAACTCCCTCGGACAAGGCCGGACAGCCCACCAAAAAGAGGACATGTCCAGGTAAAAGAGGACATATGGTCACCCTGTACTTGTAGGAAATACAGAAGAGAAATGAATGATATCTGAGGAGTGATTGGCTTATTTTCCTCTTTTCAGGCTCTAATGGTTGATCTGGGAACTGACAGATTCATCCGGCAGGTGAGTGCTTTAAGTCATCAATAAAGCATGGAAAAAAATTGAACATTATGATTATATAAAGTTTGCTGAGCTGTCGTTCCTGCAGCAACAACAGACATTGGTTAGATCTAGACACATGGAAAAACCCATTGACTTTCAGCATATTTTATTTGGCATTATCGGTAAAACTACTGAAATGTTGAAATACACGCACCAGTATCAAAGGCAAACAGCCAGAAAAATGTCACAATTTTGTTAGCTTCACTGAGAAAATAGGCGTTTAAAGTTAATTTAAAAGGCTGACATTCGCCAAAGCTTCTGTTATTTTAGATAAAGTAATATTGAAGAAGAAATTCAGTAAGGCTGAGTAAGTGTGTTTTCTTTTGCTGCTTGTGAAAACAATTTTCATTTGTAGGAGGAAGAGTTTCTCTTTCTCAAAGTTACCAGACCGTCCTTAAACAGGACTCTAAAACATGCAGTTTTCTGTTGTAGTTTTGTGCCTTTTAACTTTGTTGTCCAAACATTTCTGTTTATCACTTGTGATGGCAACGTTTCCCATGGTTTACAGATGGACGACGAGGCCTCACTGTTACCGCGGAAACTTCAGGCCGCTCTTGAGCAAGCTCTGGAGCAGAGGAATGACATCATCAATCAGGACTCTGACAGCGAGTCAGACGAAGGTGAATAAGTGACAAATCATCTCTCCCCACCTCAGAGACAGATGTTTTCCTAAATAATTAGAGCAACAGTTTCTGTAGAGAAACATGTTCAGTCTGAGTCTCTGTGAAACTGGTTCACGATGACGTCCCCCTCAGCACAGACTCTCATGGCTGCGAGTCATGAGGGGAGCCTAGGTCAGGTGAGATAATATTCCGTCAGTGATAATAGAGGTCACATGTCAAGCTACAGGTGCTTTTTTCAGCAAAAGGTTAATTAGAAGAATTAAGAATATGTTCAGAAAATTTTAAACTTTTCCAAAAAGCAGCAGTCCATCATACTTTGTTTCTCCTTTTTTGTTTTATGTTTTCCTGACATTGTGGTAGACATGATGTCTTGACAAAGTTATTTTGGACCATAGTCTCCTCTGTGTTTGCATGTATGTCCCATATGGTCAAGCAGTTAAAATTCCTGGTTTTCACCCAGGCGCCCCGGGTTCAAAAATTCATTTTCTCTAAGATGCACAAAAATGTGCTCCAGTTCCCGAAATGAGGGAATCAACGTAAATATATTTTAAAGACCCTCCGTCTCAGCTTTCCACATTCCTCTCCGAAATAAAACAGCTGACAGTTTGTGGTTTTGCTACATCTGCTGCATGTCACTCACAACCTGTTCTTGCTAATCGACAATCCAAAACAAGACTCAACAGCAACCAGCAGTCTGTCAGATTAAACGGATGTTTAAGCAGAACTTAAACCAAGAATAAAAGAGGCAATGTTTAAAATAGAGGGACACATTGTTGGAAACACATGTTCCTTGTGTTCCCTTATACTGTCATTAAAATTCGATTATATGTGGGTGACAAAAAAGCAAATTACAAAAGAGAAAGATTGACGACTATAAGACAATCACATATGCAATAAATGCTTTCATATTCATGTCCCATATGGTCTAGCGGTTAGGATTCCTGGTTTTCACCCAGGCGGCCCGGGTTCAACTCCCGGTGTGGGAATCTGGGTTTTTAAGGTGGTTTGTCTTCACTGCATAATAGGTAATAAATTTGTCAAGTATCTCTCAAAACTCTGGCTCCCGTGGCACAAATGTGAAGAGTAATAATGGTCACTTCATGCATAGACTTTCTGAGGAGCATAGAAAAGATCCTATTGGACACAAAACAGGTGTTGTGGTGCAGTCCAAATATCCAGACTTCCTTCTAGTTCTGGTCTAATTCACTGGAACTGTGTGAGTGCTGAGGTAGTCAAATACCAACACTCACTTAGTCAGTCTGTCTGCAAGAAGCTGCAGTTTTCTTAAGACTTCAAGACAAATTACTAACATGAACAGATCTTCCTAATTTTCATACCCAGTGTTAGTTTGAAAATTCCTGACTTTATTCAATAAGAAACTGGAAGAATTTCACATAAACATAGATGTGACTTCAATAATATACTGCTATCATGATACTGGACTCTGTTATGTTGCAGTAGCCATAAAGATAATCAAAAGGCATTTTATTGTTGTAGAGTTTAGAGTTTGAAGACTTTGGTAAATTCCTGTAAACAATCCCCAGGAGTCAAACAATTACTCCTTGAAGTCTGTTCAAATTTAGGTAAATGTCATTTTTAAAAGTAACAGACAAACACAAAAAGGTTTGTTACAGGAAATTTGGTTTTACTAAACCTGTTGTAACTTTCATGTTGTTAACAGAAAGGTTATGATTAAACTAATTCCAAAAGAATGAGTTCCTGACTTGAGAAACAGGGCTGTAAGTGATTGCAGCATCTGTTTTCCACATTTTTCTCAGAAATAAAACTTGCAGCTAACACTGTCTGTGGTTAAATTACATCTGCTGCATGTCAGTCATATCAGGGTCTTACTAATGTGCAAAACAAATCCAGACTCTTGTGCATAACTGTGCTGGGTTGATGGATGTTTAAACTTTATTTACATACCCCTGCACAGTATTCTCCAACACCGAGCCATGTCTGTGAAACAACTTTTAAAAAACTGTTGTAAAAACTTGAGGGAGGGCGACTGGAAGGACTGCATCACTGGGTCTGTTTTACTCTAAAATGTTGAGGAATCTTCTATTTAACAGAACATTATGTTCTTTTGTTGTTCTTGTGTGTTCTTTTCCCTCTTCTCTATCTGTTTAATATTGATGTTAGTTTTGTCGTGTGTGTCCACAGAGTATAACTCCTTGAACAGTCTGGTGTCAGAGGCCTTCATCCGCTTCTTTCTGGAGACCATCGGTCATTACTCCCTGTTTATCACTCAGAACGAGAGAGGAGAGCGCGTCTTCCAGAGAGAGGCCTTCCGCAAGTCTGTGGCATCGAAAAGTATTCGACGTTTCCTGGGTGTCTTCATGGAGTCTCAAATGTTTGCAGGTTTCATTCAGGATCGAGAGCTTAGAAAGACCAGGGCTAAAGGTAGATGGTCCTCCTCTTTGTCTTACTTTTGTTCTCTCGTGTCATTTTTTTTTTTTTACTCTCAAAAGTGTTGGAAAGTTTGGACTCTTCGTCTGTGTATTTCCAAATCTGTAATGAAGGTACTGCAGTAATACTGATCTCTAGTGGCTGAATGTTTACATCTACTCTGGTGTTGGGCAGACAGACAGAAGTAGCTTTAACTTCTGGGGAAGCTGAAATGATTTTATTTTTGATCGAATTTGCTCTCTTGTGTTTTTCTGTGTTGACAGGTTTGTTTGAGCAGAGGGTGGACCAATATTTGGAGGAACTGCCAGACACAGAGCAGAGTGGAGTCAACAAGTTTCTGAGAGGCCTTGGTGAGTCCTTCGGCAGACACAGAGTCAGATTCCAGGCGTTTAAAAAGGGTTGGTTTGATTTAGTTTAGTTTGTGCAAATTATTCATGGGAAGAAAAACATCATGAACTAGTCAGGAGATGATTTTCCCTTTTTTTATCTTAAAGAAAAAGTAGAGTACACAAAAATATAAAATCAGGCTCTATGTTAGAAAAAAGTGTACAGTCTTTGTTGAAACTTCTCACTACAAGACTCGATCTAAAACTCAGCTGTGTTGTTACTGGTTCTACTTGCCAGAGGGAGCTAGACACCAACATTTACAACCTCAAGTCATTGCTGTTCAGTCACTGTGTCCAGATCCCTACTCCAAATTATCACCATACCCCTGATAAGTGTATCAGTGATTAAGAAACAGGGTTAAATAGTTAACTGTGACAGATATTCAGATTTTTGTATACACTCTAGACCAGACCTGGGCATTTTACGGCCCGAGGGCCACGTCCGGCCCTTTGGATGTCCGTCAATCAAATCATCAACATGCTATAAAAGTGTGTCGCTTTTATTTTGAAAACCTAGCCATTGTTTTATTTCCATACATCCTAGATCTGCATTCGTGAACAGAGACAAGTTTAAACATCGGCAAAATATCCGTAGATGCCTTAGAGTTGCCAAGTCTGCATATTATAAAAGACTTTAAGCTTGTTTCTCTCAGAAGTGGCTTGTAAAACTCATGAGTTGGGATGCGTCTTTTTTGGGCTTGTTTTTAACAAGTAGTTTCTTATTTGGACTTGCTTTTCTGTATGTGTGAACCCCCCTGATTTGAAGTTAAAGTTATTGTTGGTTCGGCCCTCCAACACAGTTAAGGTTTCTCATGTGGCCCCATGTAAAAATTAATTGCCCACCTCTGCTCTAGACTAATAAATCAAGGCAAAAAAGGACTAAACCTTGAGTTTATACAAATACAAAACTGACTAAATGTTGCTCTCTGATATTTTGTGTTTTTGATTTATTTCCAGGAAGTAAAATGAAGTTCCTCCACAAAAAGAGCTAAGGTGAAGTCCTGCAGTCCTACAACAAAGTGAAGACCAGATGTCTCTTGTTTTTTCCCCCCTTTTTTGATTTATTTTTTTTTTTGTTTTTAATGTAAACATGTACATATTATTCCACTGTAAGCTGGCTGTGATACTCTTCAGTGTATGTTTATAGTGCCTTATGAGATAGCGATAGCAGGACGGTACACAGCGAGCGAGTCTCAGAGTAACCACTGATGTCCAAGTGTGACTGTGAAGAGTTATGCAGGTGTGTGTGGTGTGACGTGGGTGTAGATGTACAGTTCATATGTTATTATGTCTGTTAGTTTTCTTTTTCATTATTTCATCACAGTGTCGTCCTCTGTTTAAGGAGTGTATTACATGCATCAAGACAGTGAAGAGAAAAACTGTAACTCTTCGTTGAGTCTTTTGCAACCTTTTAATAAAAAAACGGATGTTAAAACACATGTTGAATATTTTTCTTTTGGATTTGGGTCAAAGGTGAAGCTGTACTTTTAACAGAACTGGCACCAATATGATCTAATTTATATTAAATATTTTTCTACAGCTGAAATAATAAGTAATTTTACTCAAACGTGTGTCATATTCGTGACAGCTTCCCTCAAAGCTGTACATAAGTAGAAGCTGGCAGGATCCCAGAAGGCACTGTTAGTCTAGCACCAGCTACCACATGCTGCTGGTAACCTTATTACGTCTGTACACATCACTCTGGTGGCTGTCACTGCCATGCTGTTATTAGCTTTCCTAACTGAGAGGCTCACTGTGGAGTCCAGCCGCCATATTACTTTCACTCTGCTTAGATCCTTTATAGCAATTAAGAGTGACATTTGATGTCAGATATAACAGGAGGTCTCCGCTCTGGATTGAGCTGCACAATCTTTTATAGTTTATTTTTTCAGGACAGCAAATTTTGAGGCTAGTACAACTTGAATGTTTTATGTATATAGTATTTAATTTACCGCTCCTTCATAACTCCTGAAAGTTGTTGCTCTAATCAAGAAAAAACACTAAGAACATAAACTGTGGTCCACACAAGTGCAGTGACACTTAACTACTTTCTTCTTTTTAAGGCTGGGTTATGATTAAGAGAAAATATGGAGGAACAATGTTGCCGCTTTACTCTACTCTGGTTTGTAACATGGTGATAAATGAAAACTTCACCAAGGACAATTGAAAGTCTGCTATTAAAAATATTTGACCTCACTGTGTGTCAAATACTTTTCATAGTCTGTTTTACAACAATATTGGAGTTTGAACTCAAGAAGACTGAGCTGTAGTTGGTGTACATTTACTACTATTTAATAATATTTAATACATTTAATAGTTAAAACGTTAAACTAACTCAACTTGAACATGCTCGTATGTCAATACAGCATTAGAAAGTCCAAAAATATGAAAAAAAAAAGAGATATCTGTAAACTTTTTGTGTTGAATAAAGGAGAAATATGCCCTGACATAAAATTGATCAGTGGTTAAAGTTAATATTTGGTAAAACTGATAAATACAGTCCACAGACATGACATGTACCCCTAATTATAGAATGACTCTATGTTTGAAAGGAAGGTGGAGCCTATTCTCAAGAACATGGATCAACCGCTTCATCAACACCTTGATGGACCAAAGGACCAGTGGTGGTGGACGGCTTCTCTCTTTTCGCTGCAGGACAGAAAGATTCAGAAGATCTTTTGTACCAACAGCCGCCAGACTTTTGTGTAAATAGTAGATAACTTTTAGAGACATATCAAGTGAGACAACAGACAATTGGGGGGATCAATAAAGTTCTTCTTAATCTTCTTATTCTTATGTTTGTTTGTTTTCAGTTCGCTTTTTGTGTTGCACGCACATGTAAGAAAAAAATAAATGAAAATGAAAATGAAGAAATTATTTTTCATGATAATAATAATACACATGTAATACACAAGCCAACAGACAAAAAGATGATTGTAAAAATTATGTCACCAGACACAATTATAGTTTGTTTTTGATGGTATGTACAAGGATTACATAACAAAACATTATATTAACAAAAGAAAGACAAGAAACTTGAGGAAAAAACACAAACGGTGTTGTATTTATAGGCTACGACCTGAAAATAATGAATTGTAAAAAGGCATGTTTGTTTATTTTTATTGTGTTTAGTTGATTTATATCTTATGAAAGAGGGGCAGACTCTAAAAGATTTTTCTTCTTTCTGCTCCTTTTCGTTCACATGTTTGAGATTTTTCCTTGTTTATATTGAACGTTTTAAATCTTAACGTAAAGTACAAAAATGAAAATGAAATGAAAATGAAACACGTCTAGAACAGTCCGTATAATCTCAGAGGTGCTTGTAAATTTACTGTACAAAAAGCTAAAAAAAGGTATGAAAAGGAGATGTGTCTCTTTAACTCTGGAATGATGCCAACATAAATCTAATAACATTTTAGCTATTTTTGAAGCTTATAAGTTCGATTAATTATCTGTTATTGTGGTTTCTTTGCTTTTCTGGAGGTTAAAAAGTTTACAGTACAGGATAGGCTTCTATAAGCAGTCTGCTTCTGCCTTTGTCTTTTCAGTCAATATACAACACATGATTCTTGATTTGGTGATTTACTGTGAAATGTCAATATTGTGTACAATATTTGGTGTTGTCATGACTGAATAAACGACTACTACAACAACTACTACTACTCGGTGAATACAGAGGATGAAACACTTCCTCCTTTGAGCGACAATAAAGTAACCATAACGCCATTTTAATGAACTTCCCATTAAAGTCTCATCAGTCTTCCTCTAAGTGTCACATTAAAGCTTTGAGAAACGTCAGAAGAACTGAATGAGGACGAATATAAAATCTCACGATTAACTGCGAGACTTGGTGCCTCCTAAATTTTGGCCGGTCTGAAGAAGAGCGACATCCGATGGGGGGATCGACTCTCTGAGATGCACGGGTCAAGGTAAAGATAGACACACACACTCGCTTTTGGACACACGCACAGATACGCACACATACACACTGAACATGACATGATTGACAGGTCGACAGAAGTTTATTTGCTCGGCTGACAGTCTCGTTTCCACTGGACTGAGAACAACACTCTGACATCCTCACACACACACACGCTCGTGTTTACCTGACAGGATGCTTTGCATGAGCTGCGCACTTAACGAGCCGAATTAATCTGTACGCATGAACGTGTTTTTGAGACGCAATGCTTAAGAAACTGTCCATGTGCTGACTAACTGTACGGACTGTCCTCACGTTGTGTTGTGGATTGCACCATGATGCCATGATAGGGGCGTAATCTCATGCGCACTTTGTAAAAAATAATACCACGCTCGGTGATGCGCTGGAGGTGAGGCTGCTGCTAATGCAGAGGCAGGCAGAGGATGGATGGATGGATGGATGGATGCGGGGGCAGCCTGCGCTCTACAGTTTGACTGACGTGCTCGCTGTTATTAAGAGGAGGCACGTTAATAAAGTGCTGTCAGACTGACACATTTATGAACAGATGGAACAGGTAGCCAAACGTGTAAGATGCCATAAGGAGAGTCACTGGAAACCCCAAAGTCCCACAGCTTTGCACAGTGAGGAACAAAAACACTTAACTGCTGTAGAGGTTTAGTCATACTTAATGGTAGTTTCCTGTGACTTCAGTCTGCTATTCTGAAGGGGATCTCTCTCTTATCCTGTTACTTATGAAATGCCAAACCAAAAATTATAAACTGTTTAAGACAAACCATGCTTTAACTAAAACTGTAGCTAGAATTACAACAAACTAACCTTACTCAGTCATATTTTCTTGTTTAATATGTCACTTGTTACCCCAGATTGCAGTCAGTCATTAAGTAAAGGAGTGGGGTAAGATGAGCCATTTTTCATATTTCAGATCACTACATCAAAGACAATCACAGTTTTGTCTCTAACTTGTGTATCTGCATATAATTCAAGATGTTGTGCATCCCTACAAACCAACAGAATGAGTGTAAACGTAACTGTCTTGATAATATAGCATGCCAAAAAAAGTGGTCTCCTATGGTCAACTTACCCCATAACTTACTCCATGTATGGGGTAAGTTGACCATAGGAGCGGGGTAAGTTGAGCCATATCCCTGCTACCCCTCCACTCTCCACCCCAGCCCTCCCTCACCTTCTCTCTCCCTAAATAACAGTCACTTCTTCACATTCATATGTATTTTTATCTATTATACACTATTCAACTGGTGCAATAATTCTCTTTATTATTATTGCATATAACTGTTAAAAAGCTGTTTTGTAAAAAGTCATTTTAACACGAGAATGTCTTTAAGTGATTCAGAACATTCACAGCTGTATTTTAGAAAAGAAAAAGTAAAACATTTCAACAATCTGAACTGAAACTCTGATCCTCTCATCAGACTCCTTTACTTTCTCAGTTCAGTCACTGGCTCATCTTACCTCCGAACTACTATTTATGACTTTAATAGTCATCTAAACTAAAATGGTGGACTTTTATGGTAGGTTTTTGACCTCATTTTGTAGCACATTGATACCACAATTGATGTATAAAACAAATTTAAAATGATCTTTTTGCGTCTGAACAAACTTTCAAGAGTGAAAACTGATTTTTTTTTCTTTTCTTTTTGTAAATAAATGTCTAACCCCTTCACCCATGGCCTTCTAACCTTCACAGACTCCATGAATTGATGCCCATCTTCTACAGATTTGGTCACATGGTCAATTTCTGTTACCATTTCCAAGTAACAGCGGGTGGCTTAACTTACCCTTTGGCTCAATTTACCCCACTCTCCCCCATACACTTAACAGCAGGTCTAGATCATAGACATAGACACACAGATGAAGAAAGACAGAAGTAAACATGAACTGTATCTGTGTCCGCTTTCTTGACCAGAGCTGGCGTAGGATCCCAAAGAAAAGACGCCTGATATTTGAGGACTTCATCTCCTGTTCTACTCTTAAAAACTTTGAGTCCAAGCAGGTCTGCACTCTGCAAGTGTGAGGTAATGGGACACTGTGGGTTCTTTAGATAGGGTTGTGCCTGACCAGTGTTGGTGTGAGTGGAAAGAGAGATAATACAGAAAATCTTTATTTGGGGGAAGTGATCACTTTGACTTGGCTGTGGCTGTACCTCCAATGTAATGTCACGTGGGTGAAAGGGAAGTGGAGCCTGAAGTAAAGTTCATATGGGAGTCATCTTGATAATGATAACTCCAGGACACTTGAGGCTGTGGCAATTCATCGAAGGCAGCTATTTCATGAGAGAACATAAGTAGGTATCAAGAGCCAAGCTCAACAACTTTAGCTTTGCCTTGAGTTTAGTTGCAGAATGTTGTTGGCCATTTTAGCAATTACTGGCTAAAAAGTTTAACTACCGGACTGGTTTCCTCTGGCACTGAAGAGTATCATTGGGTATAATCTGCATCACAATGAAAATCCATGTAGCCTTTGCTTATGCTATTATAAAGAGGAAGATTGGATATAATGAGGTGAACAGACCTGAACAGTGAGTCTTGTGGAACTTAATTACAAGCTTGTCAGTGATCGTTGTCGTGCAAAAACTAAAATGGATTTGAACGGATTCAACCAGAAATGATCAAGAATGTGTCTTTAAATTCCACTAAAGTTAGGAAATGCAGCTTGTTAGGAGAAACATTAAGATAACCCTGTAGTCTTCATTGCACAGCATTACAGTTGTTTTATAGGGGTAGGAGAAAAACATAGATACTGCATAGTATCACAATACTTTGTCTGGTGATACATCATATTGTCTCATTTACCAAGTATTGATTTTTCAAATTAATTGCTAAAATGAAGTCAAATCTATGATAATGGAAAAATAAAATCAACTGTTTGTCCAGTGAGGTTGGCAGAGGTGAGATCTTAGAGCAGGAAAAAGTTAGTACAACAAATATATGTAAATATAAGGTTTACAAGATGTGCTACATGAAAATAAAATACAGCATAAATAAGACAAACATAAAAGGAAAGACAAATGCTAAATTAGCTAAACAGTTGAAAAAATTGTATTAATCGCAATATACTGTATCGCAATACTCACTGTATCGCAAAATGCTAAAAATCGCAATAATATTGTATCATGGCCCAGGTATCATGATAATATCATATTGTGGGGCCACTAGTGATTCCCACCCCTATTGTATTATCTATTGCTTTACTTTTTCATAATGCATTTGAAATTGGATTAAACTTTAGTGTGCACAGTTTAAATCAATATACAGCCAAAGCATCCTATTCATGTATTCATTAGAGATGCACCTCTTCATTTTATTCCCGATCCAATCCAATACTAATACCAGGGCTGAGTGTATCGGCTGATATCCGATACCGATCCAATACTTCTGTTGAATGGATGAACTGTATACCTTACCCTGTGAGTGAAGGCATCAGGCTTGACATTAGCCTTGTTTAAAAAAAGTAACAAATTAACACAGATATAAATTTACTTGATATTATTTACAAATAGCACATTAGCACACAGCAAAAAGAAGTAAGACTTCTATGTATTAAAGAAAAATTAGTTAAAAGAAAAAAAAAAAGAGTGGATCGGAACTCTGGATCAGCATCATTCATCAGATATCTGATCCAGTTAATTTGTCAATATCGGAGCCAATACCCGATCCAAATATCGGATTGGTGCATCCCTAGTGTTCATGTCAATTAAATGCAGAAAAAGCTTTAAGGTACTGACTAAAACGACTACAAGTAATTTAAAAAGGGCATCCACAGAGAATTATGTACTACCTGAACCTTATAATGAGATGATTTTGACCTCTTTTATCAGGCATGTTCTGGATTAATAAACCTCTCTGTTGAAAATCACCTTATTCTAGCAGTGGGCAAGCTTTAATAAAGCCACTGTGTGCTGTTTACCCATATATCTCGGGCTCATGTGAGAAAGCCATTTGAAATACTGGTTTACAACAAGCAATTATACTGCACGTTAGAGCCATTTTACAACTCGAGACAAAAGTAAGCCATCACTGTGAACAGAAAGTGAAACTGCTGCTCGCCTGAAACCGTTTGACAGGAGGCAAATGTGTGATCAGTCTCATCAGATGCAGCGGTTCAACCACCTCAGGACAAACAGCTTCACAGAATGTGGCAAATGTATCTTAACAGTGTTACTCACCAAGCAGAGGAGAGAAACGGTTAGATGGCTCTATAATTAAGAACTGCTGGAATATAATCCTGCGTTCGTGTGTGATCTCATCTCTTTAGAGTTAATAGATGTTACATAGGGGGTGCTTTCAAGGGAGAGATTACCGCACAGGTTTCTATTATGGTGACATCTCTTGAGATGGCATGCATATGTAAAGCCAGCTTCACTTAGCAGGGCAGGGAAGCTGGTGGGAGGTTGCAGTTTGAGAGAATAACGCTGCGAGGGTGCAGAGAAGGCATGTGAACGGTTTGAGACGATGCTACAGAGCTGAGTGAACTGAGAGGCAGGGTGTTCTCCGACTGACTAATTGTGTTTCAAATTGGGTCTTTTAGCGCACAATGGGGAATGGGATTGCTCTGAGCTCCCCGCTGAAGCACCCAAGGATAAGAAAGTTGTCAGATTTGTAGGTCAGGCTGCATGGGGTTGTTGTTAGGCAGACTTGCTCACAGCTCCAGATGTGACCGTAGTTTGACGTTGAGCTCTTTAAGATTGCGTGTTTGGCTTTAAGTTTTGCTTTCTGGTCTTCATAAATGTTCCCTAATCGTGCTTTCACCAACTTTCTCAACTGTTTGCAGCTGCACTGGATATTGGGCTTCTTTATGTTTGAATTGTCTTCATCTTCATCCCCGTTTGTTCCTTTACTCCCCTCTTTCTGTGTTCATTATCTTTGACATGTTGAGCTAAAATCTTAATTGATTTCACAGAGTTAGAGGGAATTGCATGAGTGTATCCTGGTCCCATCTGGAGCTTATCAGAGCCTGACCTGGTTTTTGGTGAGCTACGCTAGCATGTAGCTCCTTGGGGACCTGTCCCCTCCTTGTGCTGACAAAGGGAAGAAGGCCACAGCCGGCCCACCTATCCCAGCCTGACATAGCCCGGCGTTACCTGAGTCTGATATCACCTACTTCTGTCTCAAACTGTGCCTGCACCAAGGACCCAAAAGTTGCTTACAGAACAGTTTCTCCCTCCTTACTCATTGTAGGTCACTTGGTCTTCCTCCCTCCATTTTGGAAAGAGCTTCCGGGGATATTTTGCCCTACAAAGAAATAATTGTCTTATCTCCCTAATTCCCAATTATTATGCACAGGCTTATTTAAGAAAAAGGATTAGATTCTCTCTCTTTTTTGGCGGCTGCACCAGTGAGCTGGGGATGAAATTTGAATGTGACACTCCTCTCCTCCACTGCAGTGAGGCTAGGGTCCTACACATGGATGAACTGGGGGAGGAGAGAGAACAGTGAGGCTGTCATGTAAGCCGTCTCCTCTGGGGCCACCTCTCGGTGTGCGCTGCTTCCTGCCTCAGGTAGAAGCCTCAGTGTTTCTGCTGCTGAGGCGTCAGGCTGCTCTCCTCTCCTCTACTCTCCCTCCCGCTGAGGAGGCAACGAGTCTACTCACAAAACCTCAAAATGGAGAAGGTAAGCTTTTTGTTTCATTATTGCTTTCTTGTTTATTTTACCGTTTTTTTCACACTTAGCTATAAGAGGTTGCTTATTTTATGCAGCAGTTTCTGAGTTTGCGTTGTTGATTCTATACTTGAATCCCTCCAGGGCACATGGGGCCTTTTCGTGCCGAGTTGGCATGCTCCTTATGTTTGTGTTGCTCTCCTCTACACAGAAAAATACATGTTGGATATTAGGAGTAGTCCTGGCATTGCCTTTCGGCTAGTAAGAGGGTTTGAAAACTGGATTTGGTCCCGAGGTGCTTATCACTGCTCCTCAATTGGCAGGAAGGGTGAAACGCAGAGGACAAATTTCCTCCCAGGGATTAATCAAGTATTAGTTTGATAAATAAAAAAAGCTGTGGAAGCTTTCATGCTGCTTGTTTTCAACGACTGTTCATCCTTGAAACGCAGACAAACGCAAACACAAGAGGCTTTAAACACTTAGATGATACATTCCCCAAATTTTATTAAATTTACTTTGATCATGTCTTTCTTATCTAACATTTCTCACCAAAATGTTAAAACACAGATATAATTAAATCGGTATTTTGATATTCTATCTTTAAAAGGTTAGGTGTCATGAGCGCAATTAACAACTTTTGGATGTGTGATGAAGAGAAGGAGCAACACTAACATAACAGACATATGCTCTAATTCTTACATGTGCCAGTGTGCATGTAAAAAATGAGTTTTAGATGACATATGGAGGATTTTTCTCGGTCTGTCTCTTTTCTAGAGCTGCTCAGAGTGCGCTGAGCCAACACTCGCACAAAGCCTGTGTACACTCTGCAACAAGTGGTTGTGTTACCAGTGCACAGATGTGCATCAGCATCAGAGATCCTCCTCCACCTCCCAGTACACAGACCTGCACCAACAACAGAGATCCAGTGCCCCACAATGTCCTGACATGCACCAGAGAGGCTCCAGCTCCCTGCCTCCCACTGGACAAGGCAAGACACTTAACATATTCGAAGACTTTGTTGCATCCAGCTCTAAACCAGTGCAATCAATGATGACTGGAGCTACAAAGTTTAATGTCTCTATCACCTCAAAGTTTGTTTTGACTTCTTTTTTACCCTCTGCTGCAGTGCACTGTTTGCTTGTTAATCATGTCTCAGTAGGAACCATTGCAATGAATGATTCATAACAGAGGCAATGGTTGATGATACTTCCTGGAGATCCCAGTGTTTTATTATACCTCTCGTTAACACATGTCCCAGATTCATAAGTGCTCCCATAATTTCATTTTTGCTAATATTAGCGTGTTGCTATTTAAAGACCCTCAAGTAAGCCTGCCAGCAGCTTTGTTGCCAGCTGTCTTTGCAGGTGTGCATTGCACAAGTTGTCAAATCATAACAAGCATGTCCTAAACACCCTCTTTGTGATGAGGGAGTGTTTCTGTTTGGTTTGTATACTTGTGAGAAAATGTGTGACTGCGCTGACAGACAGGATGTGGTCAGTGAATGTGCACAGGGTGATGCTCAGCGCTCTACCACAGAGATCAGTGATGATCTGCAGGCAGGAGGAGGGTTGGCTGAGGTAAGCCGGCCAGCAGAGAGCAGCAGGGCTGCGTTCATTTGCCTTATCCTGCTATTGTTAGATAGATGTATTGTGGGCCAACTGTTTCTACTGTGACCTATTTAGAAGTGTGTGAAGGATATTTCTGAGTGTGCATCAAAGACTATTTGGACAGGACTGAAAAACTGTTTGCTTATATCTTTTGTCACTCAACACACCGCAACTCAGTCTCAATGCAACCTCAAATAGGAACCAATTTCTCCCATTTATGTTATCATTTTGTGCAGACAGGCCAGTATTGATATTGCACACCAATTTTGCTCATCACAGTTTACTTTTAGCTCTAAGCTGCTTCATTGAAGCATCATTTGAAAGTTTCAGGGCCATAAAAAAGATTCGACAATGTTATCTCAGTGCAATCTGCAGCAGAATATAAAGCAGACAACTAATGAAATCATTGTTCTTGCATTCTTAGCAGTGTAACAACAGACCGAAGTCTGCAACTGTGCCGGAAATTCGTTGCATTGGTGTCATCATTAGCAAATTGTCCCGCCTTTCTGGCTTAGGCACATGACTACCAATGTGATGGGCGTTAGCTTCAACGTTTTTTCTTCAGGTGAAATGCGGTTATTTCTCTCAGCTTAGGAAGTGGTAAAGAAACTCTCTCATGTCCAGAAAATCAACATGAAGCAAGCTAAGAGCCTAGTTAGCTTAATCTGACACGAAGTGTGAAAACAAGAGGAAACAGAGTGTTGCAGAGTCTAAACCTTCATCTGCACCACCCATGTGTTACAAGTTCTCGCAAAATGTAAACAACAAAGAGAGGTTATAGAGGTTATAACAAAGAGAGGTTATAAATTAAATTCATTTTTCTTTTAGACAGAGTTAAAAAATAAATTGCAGTTTAGCAGGTTATCTGCTAGACTATTGTATCTTGGCTAATCCATAAACAGATGACATTGTTTATTTTATTTATTTCGGTCACTTATTTCAAAATATGAATACAATCAAAGACACTAAATGAAACCAGACCGAAAAGGTATAGGCTGAAGCATCACTTATTACACCTACCCTTTTCAACTTAGACCTTTGTAAAAGAGCAAACTGTCTTTTTTACAGTCAAACAAACAGGAAACTGACTTTTTCTATATTTAGACATGGTGTCCTCTTTAGCACCAGCACTTGTAGTGTACTAAAGTGACCTCTACTTTTGTAGTTTTGTGACTCAGTTTAAATCAACCTTGACTGGACAACTACTCTGGAGACACGTAACAGTTTGACTGCTTTAATAACCTTCATTTGTATCATCCTAATCACACAAACAAGACACAACTTTTTCCTGTTATGCTAATGTTGCATGGCTCTCAGACATCTACTAGGGACAGTTTAATCCACTGAAATCAAAACTTAATGAGTTCTTGTCATTGAGTTGTTGGCTCAGCTGCTCATTTGATAACTGGGTAAGTAAGAGTCACTAATAATTAGTGTGTTTGTTCTCATTTACAAACTAAACAAACATCCTGATGGCCCTCCTACTGTCAGGAAGTTAACTGCATCAGTGAATTTTGTTGATAATTCACCCCTCTCTTCTCCTCTCACCCCTCTCCTCTCACCTCCCCTCCGTCTGTCTTTTAGGCCCAGGGTCGTATCCTTGTCCCCTCCTCATGTGCCACTCTCACAGACAGGAGCCCTTGGAGCTGTTTTGTGAGTCATGTGACCTTCTGTGCTGTAGCAGCTGTCATCTGTCCTCCCACAAAACCCACAGGTCAGTCCTCAGAGGCAGCACAAGGACACTGCAGAGAAGGGCTAACCGCAGGTTAAAAACTTCCTCTGAGCTACGACTCCCTTTAACTGCCTTGTCACTTTTATCACGTGTATTTGCATACGCTATCCTTGGCCCGCCTAATACCTATTAAGTATTCATACGCTTTTGTTTTTGTGTGATGTTTCAGCACAGTAGCTGCCCCTTTAAGGTCACCTGCATAATGCCTCATCCCAGGGGAAAACAAATTTAATTCTGGTGCTCTTTCTGCCCAGAGAATAAATTAGTCAACTTTCTGTTTGGTGGCTGTTCTGATCTCTTGTATTGTTCAGGGTGGTGCAAATCGGGAAGGCCCTACAGGATCAGCAGTGGCTTCTCGAGAGACTGATGGTGCAGGTGGAGGAGAGGCGATCTGCAGTGGAGAACAATGCCAAACAGATAGAGGACAGGTTGGTTTAGACTCTCAGAGATGCAAAATCACTGCCCCAACTTCTTCAGTCAATAATTCAACTGCATGAAAGGCAGCATAAATTAATGTCTGCTTTCTTCTCCTACATTTGGGATTTTCTGCTGGGAAAAAATGCATTTATTTTCTCCACTCTGTCTCCGCAGACTTCATGGCGTAAAGATTGCACACAGGAAGGCAGAGAACCAGATTAAAATGGCAAAGATGATTATGATGAACGAGCTTAACAAACGAGCTAGCCTATTAATAGAGCAACTGGAGGTAATTACTCTCTTTTTCTCCTCTTCTTATCATTCAGCCAGCTGTGAATCTACATGCATAGAGTCAGTAACCCCAATGATATAATCAGTTTTGAAAGCAGGCAAACGAGAACCCATAATAATCTGTCAGAGCTGCTTAAGCTAACAACTATGGAGCTCGATCTGTCAAAAAAAAAAGGAGCCATCGATTTAGCCCTCTGCCCAGACATGCCTCTCTTTGAACTCTTACTTAGCTGTAATTGTTTCTTTCAAGAAAATCTCAGAGGACTTTCAGCAGCGTCTGGAGGACCAGCTGCAGGGGGCAATAGAGACGTGTGGCCAGCTGGACCATGTTCAGAAGTTCATCACCTGGGCGAAGACCCACCACTGCAGAGGCCCGGTGCTCTTCAGCAGGGCTCTGGTATGTCTCAGTGGAACACACAGAGATACACACACACACACACACACACACACACACACACACACACACACACACACACACACACACACACACACACACACACACACACACACACACACACACACAGTCGGTTAAGGAGGAAGTAAAATAAGTGATGAAACTGCCAGGTCAAACTCCGTCCCACTATTCTTGAAATCTCCTCGATTAAAGGGGTATTCCGGCGTAAATTTAAGTTAGGGTCAAACACACCCTAACACGGAGTTAGACACCCCCTTGAGAGATGAATGTTGCTGACTGCTTGCTTCTCTAGTAATACCAACTTCAGCAAAGACTGCACCATAGCAATACATAACAGTCTAAAAATATGTGTGGTGGCTATTACTATGGCTGGGACCCTACATGTACTGTTGATGAAGTTAGGTGCTGTTCTGAGTATTATTGGTGGCTTTTTGGTTGAGGTTTTCATGTGAAGACATAGACCGCTGTGTATCGCTATCATGCGGTTGTTACTAAAGTTGGTACAACTAGAGAAGCAAGCAGTCAGCAACATTCATCTCTCTAGGGATCGTCTAACTCGGTGTAATGGTGTGTTTGACCATAACTTAAATTTATCCCTTTAACTGTATATTCATGGGAAATTAAACTTAAACTCACTCGCTCCACAATCCCTTTAAAGAGATATTTCAAACTTACTACGCCCACGAATCAGTCTGCTCCATCAAAGACCTAAAGAGTTGTCACAGTCAGTTTCCCACAGGAAGGTTGTTGTCTTGTCAAATAAGTTCTTTCAGATTTAAATGTCAGGATATTTTATTGTGGGCTAATTTTTTTCTTCATTTAAATCTGGGAATTGGCGTCGAAATGTATTTTTGTGACATGCGTTTTGACGCCCTCTTTTTTTCAGCTTTCCCTTCAGATGCAGCATCTGGTTGAGCCGTCACTCCACTCAGACTCCTGGAGTCCTGTCAAGATTAAATTCAACTGGGATGCAAGTTACTGGACTAAGCAGATTTCTACTCTAGGTAAAACTTCTGTTAACAAACCAAGAGAGTTAATAAACAATCTCTAAAGTTCTCAGTTTAAAGTGAGAGCAATACTTTTGCCTGGTTTTTACAAGACATAATAAAAGTTTGGATTTTGTCAGTGATTTTATTTATTCTTATCTCATAAAAGAAAAACCCCTCTCTGTTGCTCTGCAGGCCAGCTGAATGTTGAAGGGGGAAGCTGCACTTATCCTCAGGGTCTGTCCTGCTCCAGTATCCTCAGGCCTCAGCCCCTCACCTGTATGACTCTGCCGTCTGTGTGTCACAGAGGACGAGAGTCTGGCTGCGGGTACCAGGCCTGCTGTGAGCCTCAGATGTGTTGCCTTCACGGCATCCCCTCTCAGCCAGATCTGTCCAGTCTGGACAAAAGCCAGTTGGAAGCCACTCTGTATAACCCCAGCTGTGTTCAACCTGCTCTTATCTCCTCCCTGCACCAGAGCCAGCAGCTCCAGAGATGCTGGGACCCAGACAGCTCAACGCAATGTCCTCCACCTTCATCACCTGTCCCAATCATGGGAAACATCCAGCTCAACTGCAGTCGATCTGCGTCCCAGCCACAATCTGCTGCCTCCCACTCTCAAACAAAGTCCTATCTCTATCACCAACACCAGAGAGAAATTCTCCAGGACAGCCAAAATCCGCAAAGTGCAGACCACAGCAGACCAGGCCAGTGTCAGAGGAGGCTGTCAACGAGCACCACTCTGCAGCCGGATCCCAGTCACACAGCTGCAGACAGAGATGTGACGAGTGAGGAGAACTGGGAGGATAGATGTAGGGTGGAGGAGGACGATGGAGGAACAGCTGGTGTTGAAAGCAGAGAGCTGCTGGATGAAGAGCTGCAGGGGGACAAGAGGGAGCAAAGTCCCATCCAGCAGCAGCAGCAGCTTCATGTTTATCCTGCAGCAGAGCAAAGAAAAGAGCAGCAGAGGAACCGGCCAGCACTGACGCTGAGAGACCACAGAGACGGCAGGGTGAGAGAAGTCAAGAATCCCTCTGATTACGTGTTCGAAAGCTTTGAAATAAGTTGATTCATATTCATACAGAAACTAAAGTCAAACTTGCTTGGCTTTGAACCAGGATGCAGAGTTGCAATGTGCCGCATTGAAGTTTTCAGTTTGCTCACAAAATTTGACCCTCCTCCACTCCAGTATCATGATTTGTGCTCCAGAGTCACAATGAATGTCGATAATGTAAATATATACTCGCTTCAATTAAATCCTGAAAGCTCAGAGGAGCATAAGCATCAACCAGTAAATCCTGTATAGACATTTTGCTCTTCCATTTAGCAAAGTCGAAGTTTCTCAGTCAAAACAACAGAAAAAAAATCTCTTTTTTCAAGACCTGCTCCAATATCAGCTGTGAGAACAAAACATGATGTAAAAGGTGATTATACAGAGGACTAAAAAAATCGTCTTGCTTGCTGACGTACTTTTTTCACTGCCAAATTTTTGAGTCAATGCTGAATGTCGACTCAGCTTTTTTCTCAGAAAATCTGATCAGAACACAAACACTAAAATCCAACATAAAGAAATAACTGATCTTGTGGCTGAAAATCTCATTTTATTTTGCAGGTTATGAAGAAGCATCAGTTTTATAGTGACAGACCTTTAAAATGTAAATTTCGCATTACACCCTCCTATTAAGGAATGACCCACTTTATGTATTGGTTATAATTTTAAGTCCCTTAATGGGGATTTGTATTAATAAATCGTGACTGAATTTAGTGACATATTCTGGCAGTAGAAGCGAAACAACATACAGTAGTTTCCGAGCAGAAGACGTCGAGGCTGGGAATTTCAGAGCTTGTTGTATTTGCAACCATGAGATCAAAGCAGGTTATGTGGTGTGAGAGCTGTGCAGCCCTGGTCTGTCGGTTTTTTCATTTCACACGTGGTTCTGCTGAGTTTCTAGATCATCGAACAATTTGAACCCAATGCACATGTCACGACATGGTTAACCACCCCGCACTGTTTTTTTTTGCACCTCTCTGAGACCACAACTTATTGGTCAGTGTTAGGCCTATTTCCTCTGCAACACAGGTGTTCAGAACAGTGGCTGAAAAACAAAGAAAAGAACAAATGCTTAACTCTTTAATTGAAGTCATGTTATATCAAAAATATAGTTGTACAATTAGATTTTACTGTATATGTCCAAAATGTCCTATATCAGACTGCAGGTAGTGTTTAATTTGTTCATTATTTTCAAAAAAACTAAAAATAAAGGAGGACTTTATTGTAATGCCAGAATGATCTCTTCCCACATTTGACAGCTCGCCTGAAAAACAGATGGTGCAACACAAATCTGCTCGAGCTCTTATGAAGAAAAGATGATAAAACAAAGAGATGCTTTGACAATTAAAGCTCTGAGCTGCTTCCCAAAACCAGGAGAGCACTGTTCCTCATAATCACGCCTAATGCTGGAGGTTTGAGCAGCCACATTATCACCGCTGCAAAATGTCTCAACGTGCACTCTCACAAGCACGAAGATGTATTGTATTTACACTTTCAAGTCACGGCATCTGAAAATGACATAAAACCACTTGGGTGCGTTCATTTATGTACTTAACCTGTCATTAATGAGTCACTGAGGGAATAGAGGGAGCTGCCAGTTTGACTTCAGTTCTGGTTCACACTTTGAGATAAATTCCTACACCCCCTCTCCGTCGTTCCAGAGAGAGGGATTATAGTCTATTTTCCCTCCACAGTCTGATCCTATGTAGCTCTCCCAAGGGGCATGGATCAGGTATGTGTTTTAATCGCATGATACATTAGAGGAAGTGCTCTGTGGTCTGAATATGGGCGGTGATTGCACTTAAAAAACGAAAGAGAAAAGGGAGAGGGAGAGGTGTTAAAAAGAAACTGGTTCAAAGTTATTTCTTCTTCTTTCATTTCCTGAGGAGACGGTTAAGTTTTGTAAAGGAGCTTTTTTGAGACACTTGTATTAGTTTAACTGTAATTCAAGAGAGGAGAGAGTTGTTCTAAACTAATTTGCTGGTCCAGTTTAATCCAGACACTCCCAGGTTCAAGGATGCTGTTGCCTAATTTGACTTTTAAAATATACCATGGCCCAGCCAAATGTTTGTTCACACAGGTTTATCGAAACTTGAAACTATAATGGGAAATTTCCTCATACTTTTATTGTCATCAGAAAAAAAATGTGAGGGTGGGTCTACAGCACAAATGATTAACCAGCTTTTATACACATAGATTTAAGGAGTGGTCAGGATAAAGGGGTCGCAACCCCCATGCCCCCAACCACCAGATGTCATCTGATTGGCCACCAAAGCTCGAAACTACAGATTGCGATTGGTCAGAGACTTATCTTAAAACCACTTCCTGTTTATTGCTTTTTTGCTTTTTTTGAATTTTGATCCTTTTTGGACTTCATACCTACTTTCATGAGTCCTTTGAAAATTAAGCTAAATAGATTTCAATAATGATGCTCTGTTTTGCTACTTGAAGAGGATAAAATCATGTAGGTATATCTAAAAACTTTTAGATACTGAAATGTTGGAAGTCAAGAGTTGAAACTATGTTGAATAATAGTGTTTGAACAGTTCCCAGCATAAGTCAGTACACCCCCTATTAATATCTAGATAAGCAAAAATACAATTTCCAAAGTTTTGACAAAGCTGAGTTTAACATAACATTTTACCATAAGATGAAAATAAGAGTGATATGGTAGCTAAAATTTAGCTTTGCTCCCTGAACTTTGATTGGGGTGTTCTCATTTTTGCATCCTGACTTTAAATTGAAAAAAAAAAAAAACCTTTTTTGTATGCAACTTAAAAATCTTTTTTTTTGCAATCAATTGCCGACATTTAGGGAATATTTTGTTGTAAAGTCTGACATAGAAAATGTTGGTTTTGAAAGGAAACTAAAGGTTTTCAGACAACTCTGAGTCGATGCCTCAGTTGGCCAACCAAGTCAAAAAAATCTGTCTTCCTCTCACCCCTGATTTATGTCACTGTTTAGCTATGAAATAAATATCAGCAGCAAACTATTATTAAATCAATCTGTCAAACTTTTTATGTGTTATGTATTTTTCTCGGGGCACTTCACAAAAGAAACCGGTCTTGACTGTTTTCTGTTATCATCCATGAACCAACGCTCCTGACAACATGTGGACACCTTGAACAAAACTAGTCTTGTAAGTGAACAGCCATATGCTGAGGCTGAACACTGTAATCCAGGAAACAGTCTTAATTACGTTTGAGTTGTAAATGACCCCTCATGGCCCACCTGCAGAAACATCAGCACCCTCACTTTGGGATTAATCAAAGGGGTTTCATTGCATGTACAACAGTGAATTTACATATGGTAATAGGTGTTGTAACAGACCCTTTTATCAATAACAGTAATTCATGCAGCTGTGTGTACCACTCTCTGCTTGTAAGGACTGACTCATTTGGAATAAATACTGAGTGCTCTGATTGATGTTCATTTAGTGTGTGCACCTGTACTTCAAGGTTGTCGCCACACTCATGAACACAGCCCGCTAATGACATGAACAGAGGCTTGAAACCATGCTTACTTTTGTATGTGTGTGTTCCCTAACAGAGATCCACGTCCCTGGAGGTGCCGGTGACAGCTCACGAGTGTGTATCTGACGTACAGATACAGAGCAGCAGACTCAGCCCTAGTTTGGTGTGCACGAGGAGAAAGAGACGCTCCCAGAGCATCCCGGCAGAACTGGCAGCTCCATCCGGCAGCCCTTACTCTGAGAGGCCCACAGGAAGCACTCACAGCCCAGAGGCAGGAGCTGCAAATAAGGTAACCCTGCATGTGAATGTAATCACACATGAAGGAAGTGGAGCTAAGCTGACTGACTGAATGGAGGTGAATCCTGTTGTATTTGGCTTTTCTCCTGTCTAATACCGTTTCCTTGAAAAATCATTATTATTTAGGGCTCTAACAGACATTTATTCACGTTTTAATTCATCTACTGACTGAATGTGTAGTTGCTTGCATACGCCATACACTAGTAAAAGAAAATGTCTTTTCTAATGTTATTTTCGAATCTTTGGATTGCTCATTTTGAGAAAAAAAGACTGAAACAAGCAAAAATTAAAGCATTAAATCCCCACCATTCAAAATCTAAATCAGATACTAATAATTATATGTATATTTAAAATCTACAGTCATTTGGTTAATCATAGAGCGGAGACATTTAAGGATTTTATGTCCATACCTAGGGGGAACAGTGGTATTTCTATGTTTTGAAACCCATTAAATGGTCAGTGCGATTACGACTGCATCTTGAAAAGTGCTGCCTTTAGTGTGTCCAGAGAGACCTGAGCAAAGTTTGATAAGACTGTTATGTACCTCAAAAACCTCCATTTGAGATTAAGACTCTTTTCTAAAGATTATCTTTGTGCTTTTATTGACTGAGGACAGGGAAGAGAGCAGAAAGTGACATGCAGGAAAAAACAAGGAGCTCTTATAACAGAGCCATACTGCCAAATAAAACTGGTCCTGGATGGAGTTAACTTTACCAATCAGGCTGCTTTCCATCTGTTGTAAAAAGAGTTTCATATGTTTGTGTATTTTCAGTATGCCAGTGTGGACCCCAAACAGAGGAGAGCTTCAGATGGGGTGCTCTGTGTCGTCAAGGAATCTTCATCCGAGATGCCTCCCTACAGACGCCACCGGTCTCCTCTGCTGTCCTACAAGACTGAGCCAGGTGCTGGATTATAGTCCGAAACCACACTGTTGACTATTATAGGAACCATAACATGCATACTATTATCTAAATGCATCATATTTTTCCATTTTCTCAGAGCAATTTTTCACATATGTAAATGAGGAGAGCGCTTTCGAGGCCAAGGAGAAGTGCAGGGCGTCGAGAAATAGCCACAGCAGGTGTGTAGGAGAGCTGTCAGTTTTAGGAATGTGTCCATATTGAAATGATGAAACAAGATTATCATTATTTTCCTGCTCTTTCATTTACAGTAACAGAGACCTTTCGAAGGACTCGGGGAGGTCGAAGGTCCCAGTCGTTTGCCTGGAGCGTCTCAAAATTCTCGTGTCTCAACTTCCCCCACATGGACGACGACAAAGTGACCCTTTACCTGCCAGTGGGACGGAGAAGAGTGACACTGTGTCACAGGACAGAACCTGGCACGATAGAGCTCCAGAGGTACGCAGTGAAGTAGTTATTATATTTGTAACAGGAATGACTGATTTGTCAACTTTTTGGGGTAAAGGTCAAGTTTTGAGCCTCAATACTTGTTTAAAACCAACTAAAGTGCCTGTATTGCAAGTTATTAAGAACTTTATTCGTGACTGCAGTATGTTGTTTGTTTGTTTTGGTAATAATGGACAGAAAGCCTTATTAATTATAGTTATACACAGTTGTTATTTCAGCAGATGTATTAAATATAATAATTTATTCTCTTTTCTCTCATCCTAACCAGATCAGTGCTCATCAGACCACCGATGACTTCGACAGAGGGCTCCTCAGCTCTCAGAAGACAACCACCCTGCCATCCACTGACTCCAAATATGTGGCGCAGAGTTACTCCCTCCTGGACCTGGACTCTGACTCCGACCCCAGATCCGTTTCAGAGGAAGCAGTGTTTTCTTGGGAAGACCCAGAACAGCAGCAAGACTCAGAACCATCACTGGAGTCTGACCAAAATGCAGAATCTTCCTCTGAGGGTGAGAAGTCTGCAGCTGAAGGGGGGATCGGGCTCTGCGGTGAAGCAGATATCGTCGGGGATTCAGAGCCAAGTTTGGAATATGAAGTGGATCCAGGATCAGAGGATGGACAACAGCTGGATGCTGATGCAGAATCAGGGGATGGTGGGACAGAGTCTGACATCCAGCCTGAATATGAACCTGTGTTCCAGGCAGAGACTGACTCTGAAGTAACATCTGACCATCCTCAAGATTCGCAGGGCTCTGTGGAGTCTGAGCTCGATTTAGACTCCGACCCTGAACTGACAACAGATGACCCTCAACCGCTCCGCTCGGACCTGGAAGAGGACTCGCACGTCGGTCCTAGTCAGAGGCCGCTTCTGATCGCAAACCCCTCTGCTCTAAGAGGCCCAGAGGACGACGAGCCTGACCAGGACAGTGCTGCGATGGAGAGTGAGGACTTCTGCGCCGTGTGTCTGATTGGGGGAGAACTGCTCTGCTGCGACCGCTGTCCTAAAGTCTTCCATCTGTCCTGCCACATCCCATCTCTTCTCAGCTTCCCCTCGTAAGCCTCTTATACTTTATACAGTCCATTCAACATTTTAGCCTGTCATTGTTCATAACCTGATGATCCTTCTCGCCTGGCTCAGCGGTGACTGGGTGTGCAGCCTGTGCAGAGATGTTATACAGCCAGAGGTGGAGTACGACTGTGAAAACTCAAGAACATCCGGGGAGCACACATCAGCACTCGGACTCTCCGAGTATGACCAGAGAGTAAGTCGTTTTAGATAATACGCATAAATGATGATGAGCGTCTTCTGCCTGTTTCTATGACTTTACAAAGTCTGTCATATATTTTTTTTTTACCCAAATGTAGAAATGTGAGCGTCTGACTCTCCTGATCCTCAGTAACATCCTCAGTGCTCCCTTCCATGAGCCTGTCAGTCCACTTGTGAGTGTCGTCCATTTTTAGCTGTCTTGTTACAGTTTCTGAGTATAGTTTAATCTTTGGAGAATTGAGGATTGTCTGATTTAGATGAACATAACTGTGTGCCCTGATTGTCACAGTGATTATATAGTTATAAAATCTGTGGATCATTGATGCGCTAAATTTCAAATACAGAGAGATTATATCTTCAGATCTGTATTTATAAGATGGTTGATTACATCTGTTTCATGCAGGCTCGTCATTACTACCAGATCATTAAAAGGCCCATGGACCTATCTGTGATCAGGGCCAAACTCAACAAGAGGAATACTCGACATTATCACTCAGTGGACGAGTTTGTTGCCGATGTCTATCTCATGTTCCGCAACTGTGCGAAGTTCAATTACGTAAGTTGGAAGTGTATAAACTGTGTACATTTTCGATATGAAGCCAACAATGACTGATCTGATAAAAAGGCTCTTTCTCTCTCTCTGACCCCAGCCTGACTCTGAGGTGGCTCAAGCAGGCCGCAGTCTCGAGTCATTCTTCACCTCCAAGCTGAAAGAAGTTTTCACAGACGGCGTTTTTCCTGGGGCAGAGGCGGAGTCTGACAGCGACGAGTACGATGAGGCCTACAGGACCGCCGATGGTGGTTTCCCCTGGCCAGAGAGGAGGGAGCAGTGCCACAGGAAGAGGAAGAGGAGACACTCTCTTAAAACAAGGAGACATAACTTCTAATCAGAGGTGAACAGAGTTCAGCCAGGAGCCTCACTTATGTTGTACTTGTGTGTAGCTATGCTGTTTATTGTTTAGCAGCCTGCAGGACTGTGTTTCCATGCTGTAATCTGACAATAGGCCTAATTTGTGGTTTGCAATAATATTACAAGGCTGCCATCTGATGGCAGCTTGACATATTGACAGAACAGTTCAGATATTTGATATGCTGTAGCAACGACTGTCCCTGCAGACTTTAACTGATAGGATGAGCAGAGTGTAAAGGAACAATGAACAGATTTTTAATCTCCTTAATGTTTTTTATGCGGACACAAATCTCTCTGAAAAATACTGGGGGACTTCTGCAGCCTTAAAGATGATGCTGCATCTGTATCTGCATCAAATCATGTTTTAAACACAGGTTATTTACTCTTTGTGCACTGGAAATTACCCTCTCTTTTTTAATTCAGGACTTGTTGCATTAGACACCTGCTGTTAAAGAATGCTGTAGTTGTATGTTCATTAGTCTCACTTTACTAGGACGAATACTTTACGTGATTAATGTTGCTCTGATATACACAGCACTTTGTAACTTTCAGATTGGTAAATTCTATATTTACCATGTTTGTAATTATATTATACATTTATTTTACTATATTTGCCATTTTACCTTCTAGATGTTTGCAGGCATTTATCATAGGTTTGATTATTGATATAATATGTGTCCAAGTAGCTTTTTTTTAGTGAAGAACTAATGAATTTATAGTCTTTGTCTTGCTGACGGGATGACTTAGAATGTGAGTCTAAGAGGGAAATATAACCATTGTGAGATTTAAAAAGGACATATGCTTTTAGATATTTGTAAAGGATTTAATAACCAGATCAAACAATACAGGAAAATATTACATTTAATTATCGATTAGGTTTGATTACTTGCTATATGCTTTCAGTATCACTTTAGTTTTAGCCAAATTTTGTACTCTTCTGTTTTCTCAATATCTCAGGCTTGATAAGAGTGTAAGCTACTGATAACATTAAATAATGATGATGATGATTATAAGCTGTAGGGTCACACTGAAGTATGTCATTTTATAATATCTGCTGTTGTAGAGCATTTTACTTCTTTTTTAATGTTCTTGACTTGCTTCCTGCAGCCTAAGGTAGATTTTAATCAACATTTAAAGTACTGCACAATATGATGATTGTCTGAGCACTCTCTGACCACGGTCAAGAGTGGTGGATCTACAGTATATGTAAAGATACTTCCTTTTAAATCAGTAGATGTAACAGTATTTCCTCTTCTATGAGAGAGCACTGACAGTTACTGTTATTGTTACTGTTACGGTTTTAGGCAAGCAGCCTTGTTCCTTTATCTTGTTTTTTACTGTAACCGTCAAACTTCACATGTATTCATATGAATAAAATACGTTGAGGAATAAGTTTTGTATTACTCTGTTTTTCCTTGTATTTTACAGGAAGAAGGTAGGAAAAATACAATTGTAATATCCTCATTTGTCATTGTTTATAACGCCACAGTTTTTAAAAATGTTTTTATTTACTTTTTCAGCGAAAAAAGTTGAATAGAAATTGCTGCCATCCATTACTTACTTGGGGCTTTTGAAAGTTTAACTCCCAGTTTCTACTTTAAATAAAAAGTTGCAGTATATATCTCACTTTTTTTGTACCATGGTATTGTCAATAGTTCAAATATTTAGATATTTAGATAGACTATGTCATTTTCGACAAATGATCCTATTATGAACAGAGTTGAGAGTGAGAGAGAGAGAGGCGTACTCTTTTCCTCAAAGGTTTGGATAAAACAAGGACTGTATCTCTAAACCATCTACCAGACAAACTTCTACAACTAACCAGCTCCTGAAAGACTTTCCTCGTGGGCAAAAAAAAAAAAAAAGTTTGCAATAAAATGAAAAGTTCCTTTAGTCATCAGCAGACCTTTAACGCCACATCCTCTGTTTTAAATCTCTACACTGGATACCTTTTGCTTTTCTTCTCATTTTTGGTATGCAATAAACTTGGAAACGTCAAAAATATCTCCTCACCACTTCCACTTCAGATGTTGCAAACATCCATCAAAGAAAGCTAAGATGCTGCCAAAATGCTGTCTATATCAGTATCCGGAGAGGATGAGAAGTAAAAATGCAGTTTGGCAAAGTCTGTCTTGGCTGTCTGGCTGTGAGCAGCAGGGGAGTTTTTTAAAGTATGCGATGATTCATCCAAGTAAACTTATATTGTGTCTTTTTTACTCAAATGTAGGGATGATTTTGATTGTCAATGAAGCACAGAACTCCATTTTGTTGGATTTTAGTATTTGAAAAGCTGTTTCAGAAAGAAAGAAAGAAAGAGAGCTCTACTTTGAGAGGTAACAGAAGAAGACACCATTCGGAATGTTTTTTTTTTTTTTCTCAGCTGAAATACGATAAAGAAAATATCAGGGTCCCTTCAGTAGAAATGTAGTACATGCAGCAGTCTGAATCAAGTTCAGTAAAAATGAACAAAAATGAAATCTTTATGAACAAACATAAAACTGTTGTTTCATTGAAACAAAAACAAAGAGCAATGAGTCAAAGGTTTTTTGGACAGGGGTAACTTTGCTGTTGCTTTACTCATAATAAGGTTTGTGACCTTTCAGTCAGGAGACTTGAAGTAAAATGTAAGATAATGATGAGACGCTTCTGTGACCTTTGGTGAACAATAAAAGAGCAGACAGGGCAGTTCTGAGAGAAAACAGAGGACTGACCAGCAGTCTGTGGAGTCTGGAGTGTCTTTGTGCATGTGGGAGGAGACGAGGGGAACTGAAGTTAACTGACATGTTACATTTTAACCCATCCTGACTTTTAATAATCTATAGGTTACACTCTGCAGCTGCGTTTATGAAGTATCCCACCCCTCCTCTCTGATGCCGAGGTCCCTTAAATCCAGCTCTTCAGTTATCATAAGTTTAGTTAGTAACTATTACCACTAATGTTTGACTGTGTCGAGTTGTGCAGCATGGAAACATACACATCTTAATAAAAGCTCTGAACTTTGCCACATTGATTTAGTCGTATTTATTATTCAGTGATTGTGTGACCGATCTGCACGTACCTTCTGAACTGACTCCCCCTTTTCCCCTGTAGAAATATACACAACTGTTGAGGAAGAGCCTCAGACAAATGGTTTTAACAGGAGGAGTGCATTCAGTGGCAGTAATTAAGTAAGTAAATTAAATAGGTATTGTTGTCATAAAGATCTCATATATTACTCTGGGGTTTTTACTAAGTTGTCCCTGGCACCAGACTAATGATATTATTCCTGTTTAAGGTGATTTAACAAAACCACCTCTTCAGTCTGCTTCATGGGTTTGAAATCAGTGGCGTGCACATTTTAACATCGCACTTAAACAATGTTTATCTGACAGGCTGGATGACTGTAATAGAATTACAGTTTGAAGAGCGGTATAAAATTTCAAACCTTTTAACTTCTGGCCTAAATTAATTAGCTTTTTGGCTCCTCTGAGCAATTATGCAGTGCAGTAATTACAGTAATCATTGTTCCATAGATTGACTTAACTGGCACCATGCTGAGTTCACTGTCTCTCAGACAGCTCCCTGCATTTTCATTTACTGTGTTGAGCTCTTCTCTTGTACTAATGCTACTCTGCTAACTTTTGATTCATAGTACACTTTATAAAGCAAATCTTCTTCCTCTCTTTCATTTGTATGTTTTGTCGGTAACCCTTTCTTTTACAGTACACTTATTACCAGGTAATTAACAGATAATTACCTAGTAACAACATGAAATTATCTGGTAATTACATGATAACTACTTAGTCAATACTGTCTAGCTACCAGGTAGGTAACCTATCATCATACAAATTTGAAGCAGAGTTGCTCTGGTATTTCCAGGATTTTCTCCACTTCCTGGAACCACCACTTGCGCAGTAGCATTGTACGCATTTGGCGGGTGAGTCGCTGTGATAATGCTCGGCTCAAACAGCGTATCGTTACGTAATCTTTGCACACCCATAGGCTGTATCAAGTGTCAATCATAGAAAATAAGAACCCCAAGTAGCTTTTGAAAATGGAGCTGCACAGAAAAAAGAAAAAAAAGAAAAACTAGACAGTATTGACTTAGTAGTTATCATGTAATTACCAGATAATTTCATGTTGTTACTAGTTAATTACCTGTTAATTACCTGGTAATAAGCGTACCGTAAAAGAAAGGGTTACCGTTTTGTCTCCTAAGGTATTAGCATTAAACAATTGCTATTTTTTTCTTTGGCTGCAAAACTCAAGGATTTTTTGTAATGTGGTCTTCTGCTGACTAAAAACTTTACTGGCCCTCTTTAGGCTTGATTTCTGTGCATCCTCTGAATCTGCTTCAAATATATCTGAACTTGGTATGTAAATGAAGAATAAAAACCTCATGTTCCAAAATATGCTGCCCACACATTATTTGGCGAAATTTGCCACTATAGCAGCCATAATAAAAGGGGAAAAGTTTGAACACACCACAAGGCAATGATGACTTTTTCAGAAGCGCACACAGTGTGAGAATTTAAGATATACTGTTAGAGAGACATGGCCTGACACTGAGACATTACATGAGGAAAGAGCTACCTTTGGGAAACACTAGAGATAAAAATAGAATAAAGATAAAAAAAATGTATTTGGTTGATATGCCGTTAAAAGGAGGAAAATGTAAATAACAGAGTATGCGCTCAACAATTTTTGAAAGATAATTTTCACAACTTTGGACTGTAAATGAAAGAATCCCCATTTATCAGTCAGATACATTATATTAATTTTCTCCACTAGATGGGGACCAAGGACTGAGGAACTCAGGGTACCACGGGGGGACTGTAATGGTTTTGCTTTTGGAGGCAGAGTGTGTGATTATAACAAACTGGAAATGCAGAGTTTATCTTCTCTCTTTATGTGTGTGAGGAGGTCTGCTTCATGTTGTTCAAAATCGCCACTAGGGGTGCTAGAAGACCCAGGAAAAAACAGAGTTGCCGTGCTCGTTCATAAGAATCTTGTCCGTCTTCGTCTGCCGTAGTCACACGCTGAGAAACTTTTGCCAAAGCTCCGACCAGAACACTCTGAAAATGATCCCAACTGAGAGGTAAAAAACTGATGTTAACTCTCAAACTACAGCTGAAACCTTCTGCGATGAAAGTTTACAAACGCTTTCTTTCTATAACCAGTTAAAGTCATGTTAGAAGAAACGGTGTACGGCTCAGTGTTCCGTTGCCATGACAACGTGTGAAACGTTCAATGCTGGTGGTTTAAAGTTGTTGACACTCTTGATGCTTTCCGGGCGGTTTGATGTTTTGACAGTATCAGCGTTAAGGTAGGTAAGATTTGTTATCACAAAATGATCGATAGTCAAATTAATTAACGCTCTCTATTTAATAAGCTAATCAGGAATATCTCTCGTGTATTAATTACCACAGCTGGGATAAGCTTGACTATGTGGCTTAAGAAATTAGTTTAAGTCATCCAAGAAAATGAAAGGCAAGGCACTTCAAATATAGAGGTTAGTCTTTGATAACTATAGGCTACTTAACATATTATGCTGTATATGATAGAGTATAAAAGAAGCCTACCTTCAGTAGGCCAAGTTAATAACTAGATAAAACTGTGCTCATCTTGAATAAGCGACAGTATCTAAACGTGTATAAGCACCTTTAAAGTTCTTACACTTACACCTGCTGTTATGTTAAGATAGTGTATTATAATTATTTCATCAGCCAATGTCTGGATATAATACAGAATTCAGCGAAGGTTATCCTAGGACTGGGCTATATATCTATATAAGAAATATATTGATATATGAGATATGGAATTGGACCATATCGCATGTCGATATATCGCATGTCGCATATCAGATGCTGTTGTTGACAGGCTGGTGTTTCTCAGTGTTTACTGAGTTCATAGTCTTGTGCATAAGCGTTTAATAACTAGAGGCTACTTAACACATGATGCTGTACATCTTTGAATGCAGAGTATAAAAGAAGCCTACCTTCACTCATTCATAGGCCAAGTTAACAACTAGATAAAACTGTGCTCATTCTTTTGCAGTGTTCGTTGTTTGCATCTGTGGATTTGTTAGAGAAAAGAAGAAAATCTGCAATTTGATTTTAATAGGCCATTTATAGTTGTCAAAATGTTGATGCTTTTCTTATATAAATACATTTGTTTCAGAAAAAAATTGCGTATTTTACCATATGGGCTATTTTTATTTAAGATATATTTTTTATTTAAATGTGCACCTTATGGAGCATCAATCAAAAAAAGGTACTAGTATTTATGTTTACCTTTTATTGTTCTTTGAACAGCTGAGCATAATGTCATCTGGCCAGTTTAAATAGAACTACTTGTGACATGTCATATTTGCCTTTGACTGTGACTAAACATTTGCTCTCACTTTGCTAAAAAAAAATATCAGAATATATTCAGCCTAAATATATCGAGACATGACTTTTGGTCCATCTCGCCCAGCCCTAGGTTGTCCTATTGTAAAATCTTACTGATGAATGAGGTTGACCTGTATCTTTAATTCAACACATTTTAAGTTGTGATTCTTCAGTTTAGTAGCACTGTAAGTGGACAGCAAATTACTGCAAGTGTTGACATCTTTGTACTGACTCTGCTGAGTTCTCTCCCGGTCGTCATTGAAATGAATTTGATTTGCTCTTGTTTCTGCTATAGCCTACATTTTTTTTTAGATGTCTGTCCTCCCAGCTTCCCAAGGCTGAGCCCAGCAAGGGCAGAGATTAGCCTTAACCAGGATTAAACCAATGAGAAAATTTGAATTTGTTGGCCCTTATCTCCCAGCAACATGTGGAGTGCTCTGAGCAAATGGCAGAATTTGATCTTTTGCTTCCTTTTGGCAAAGCATGTTTTCCTGCCAATAGACACTTATCAAACATGACCATTGGAGACAGAAGGAATTCTCAGAAGGAGCTTTACATGATTTGTTTACAGGGACATGACATACGTTACATGTTTTCTGAGAGTAGGAACAGAAATATAAAGCCTTGTCTTGTTGTCAGCACCGTAGCACATCAGCTGTCAGGTGTGGTATATTTGCACAGCTCTTTATTAGTATGCTTTAATAGCTTAATGTTGATGTGCTCCTGGCATATTACATTTAGACCACCAGCTTTGATAATCTCTCTGCATAATATCAGGATTCACCTCATAATGTAGTGAACTCGATGGGCTCTATATTTGCATTCTAAACATGCAATTTCTTGCCTCATCAGGTAATGTAATTCCACGCTTCATTAGGACTGTGAAGTTTATCATTTGTCATCAAAGCCAAGCTGTCAATAAATGATTAAGTTTCACATGAGGAAAATGTGATATTTAGGCCCCGGAAAAACTGATAGCAGTTTATATTTTAATTGCAGTAAGTAAGAGTCTGTTTTGTTTGATTCTTAGGCTGTATATAAGCGGCTGCTTGTTACAGCTAGAGGCAACGTCATTACAGAGCTGCTTAACTCTAATTTATTCCACTCGTTATGCCATTAAAGAAAGCAAACTTCAAAAGGCCCCCCAACAGTGATTGAAATGTGTGATATCTTGATGGTCTGGTTGAGATTCAAAACTGGTAACTGTTTTTTTTTCACAGCAGTTCCAACAGCGTATGGTATCTTTTGGTATGCTGCAGTAGAGTATGTCACTTAAAAAGGATGCGAGTGCCACAAATAAGAACCATTTTCATCATTTGCTGTATGGTTGTCTCACTGAAATGAACATATAGTGTTACCTATCTCAAAAAGAAAAAGTAAAGTTGTCTGTGATATCTTGCAGGACAAGATGATATTCACATCTTACTTAGCCAAATTCAAGAAAAAGAAACTTTGCTGCATTTTCAAAGATAGGATAACAACAATTAATTCAGATTTTCTTCTGTGCAAGTTATTTCTCATGACAACAGTGTAAGTAACACCGCATATAAACAAAAATCTGACACTGACGGACATCAGTATAACACAGTATGCCAATTAAAGTATAACTATGCGGTCGAAAGTAAATGGATTAAGTTGCAGTGATGAAGAGGGGTACTTTTGAGTTGGGGGACAGAGGACCTACTAGAGATTCAGCTCTCGACTGGGATATTAAGGATGGCAAAATGGATGCCAGTTGGTTTTATATAAAATAACTCATTTGTAAGACAAACTGCTTTAGGAGTGGAAGGTTGATATCTTGTTTTTCCTACTTTCAGATGGAGTCTATAATTAGTATTTCAGGAGGCATGCAATGTTCCAATAAGCATTCGTGTGCACTATAAGAATAACAGAAATCAAAGTGTTATAGTTTGGGATGAGAGGTCTATAAGGGCGAGTGGGTGCCTTGTTATAATTAGAGTAGAAATAGTTAACAGGCATACACTTAAGTTAATAAATATCTATATTTAAGAGGGCAAATTTACCCAGGATTAGTCATTAAGTGAAGGTCCATACTCTTGCTGTTGTTCCCATTGATTTTGTGTGCTTAGTCTTGAGTCAGTTCCCCCACACCCCCGTCCCGGTCATTAGACTATAGGTTGGTACATTCACTCAGCAGTGTAAATAAATAGGAACTGCTGTCTGACAGAATGATGGAGAGATGAGGCATGTATGGGCTTGACTTGTGATGAACTGTCAGCTCTAATTACTTCCTGCTGAAACTGGAGATGAGGTGAACTCCATGGAAAAGGTGGACTGTGTCTCCTTGAGGCAGGGGTGTGTACTAATGTGTCTGTGTGAGAACAAAGACTATTATATTTTGACATTGTTAATTAGTGCCGTCTGCTAGTATTACGGCATTACTTATTAAAAGCATTTTTTTAAATCACCATCTTTCACATGTTTTAAATGTTTCGAATGTTAGTGCCTCTGATGTTCAGGTTTCAGAATCTGAGGCATTCTGTTTTGAACACTCCATCCTCGTCCTGCTGAGAGGCTCAGAACCTCTGAGGGGGCAGAAAACGGGTCGCTTACTGATATTTTACAAGAGTTTAAAGTTAAGGTGCATTTTGGGTCTGAGTCTTATCATATCTAGATTAATTTTTTTCACCCAAGCCTTTCAAGTGCTCACACTAGGGTTAGTGATTGAGTGCAAGCTAGAGTGTGAATGTTTCTGTTTGAAATATAGAAGTAAGTTGTTGAGTTAACTTTTTAACTACAGTGTTTTCACAATACTAGAACCAATAATGCCTAGATTGCAGTATTGGGTATTACCCAGGATGCCGGTAAATGCACCGATTCAATACAGTAATTTAGTAGCCCCTCCCCCAGTGACATCTTTCTCCTTCTTCTTCCTCTTCTTCTTCTAAAAAGTAGCATACACTGCAATAAAATCTATTATAGCTGTGAGCACAGCCACTGTTAGAAAAGAAGAGCTGATTTCAGGTTAAGTATCATGTACACAGTAAACAACAACAGCATGTAATGAGGAGTAATGAAGACTAGCCAGTGGTTAGCAAGTGTCATGTATCCGTGCTTTCTTATAATTTGCAGTGCTAAATAATTATGAAGTTTAAAGTTAAGATTTTTCAAACAGGTAAAAACACTAAATCATAGGAAGCGGTGCAAGTCAAACTCCTTTGGTTCTTGGTGCTCCACTTGTTTTGAGGTTAGGATTCTGAGACAGCCAATACGACAATCAAATTTGTTTGGGATTAGTAATTTACAGCTTTTAAAATCAACTATATTAATCTGGAAAAAAAAGAGTCCTGGGTATGAGGTTTCAGCCCATACTGTTCAACAATTTCAAACTGTGACTCACAACATGTTCTGAAATTTTAGACCTCTAGCTCTCGAGACTGAAAATAATGACCCCAGGCTTAAAGTTAAGCCAGACCTGTCTGTTAGTGACTTTTTAAGGTCAGACTTCTCACCCATACCTGACCCCAGCGTATCCTGTTACCTTTGCATTCGACATCCAGGGTTAAGGACCAGACACCTGAGGTGCACAGGACCCCCTCTCCTCTAGTTACCTGAAGTCCCCAGTGATACACTCATCATACGCCTCTGTCTCTCACAAACGAGCTGTGATTGAGGTGATTGGAATTTCCAGACACTGTCACAATCGCTTTGATTGGAAAATAGACAGGAGATAATGGGAGAGACAGGCCTGTTATGAGAGCCCTGTCAGAGCTAAAATAATGCGTCAGAGTGAAGAGGTTAAAGACACTGCTTCCTTGTTAATAATTAATTGCTGTGCATGTGGTGGATCCACTTCAGCGCTCCCAGTCATCACTTGATAACTGCTTTACATTTAATTTGGCTTCAGAGACTGTTTTCCAAGAGGGGTAAATTGTGCTTAGTGCTTATATGGGCTCACATAGAGACAGCAGTTTGGTCATAAACAAGTGATTAAAAAGAATAGTTAAGCTAGTGGAATAAATGATCCAGTCATTCTATATACTTATTTATGTGCCAAGTTAAATTAAGAAAAGCTTGAGTGATAAAACTCGGTTAATTTCTTAAAGCCTTTAATCTTGGAGTATTTGAAGCTTGTGCAGCGGCATAATGTTGTTTTTTTCAAGTTGACAAATGTCAAAAAATTATTCTTTATAATACAATTTTGACAAGTTGGAAGTTTATTCATGATATGTTAAGTATTTTGCTCTATTTTAATACTTATTCATAATACTTCATCTTTAGGTGACACAGGGAGATGACAGTGAATAAAGAATGAACATGGTGTCCCTGAAGACCAATGGTAGCACACCGGAGAGGACGGTACCTGTAGTACGTCTGGAGGATGATGCAGATCTCAGGGTATGAAGAGCTTCTATACACGATTCTACTACAGTCCTGTTTTGTGCTATAGAAGAAATAACACAAACACTCTGATGTAAATCACCCGCAGCAGAAGGGGATCAAATTTCACTTTGCTTCTCTATAGCCCCCATTCAATGGGGAATTGGACTGCTCCCTTTGCCAAATCCGCAGCAGCCAGTGCTCACCCTTGCATGCACACAGATAATGATCAACTTAATTAGACCTGAGATTGAACGAACTGCAGCAGCAACTTAATCATTTGTAACTTGATTCAAAATACTATATTCCGCTGCTCCTGAGACCCTGAAAACGTGTTGTTTTTTCAACAAGCTTGCAATCAGGATGTGCTTCTGGATTAAGTTCTTGAACTAAGACATATCGTTTTTCACATCCAAAATGGTAAAACAAAAAATAACAAGCTCAAGGGAAATTGTCTGACTGACAGTGAGCAGATGTATAATTCAAGTGTATCAAGAATTGTCTTTCTTATCCTCACAGGAAATATATAAGTTTGGGAGGAAATTGGGTCAGGGTAGCTTTGGAGTTGTTTATGAAGCTATCCACATTGAGACGCAGACAAAATGGGCTATTAAAGAGGTTTGCAGGCCTGCGGTGAGTACATTTGGCTTCTCTCTAGGGAGCCTGTTTTTAATGTGATAGAAAGTTTCACTTGTTATAGAGTTTAATGTTTTGTGGAAAAGAATCATGCTGTGATTTGACTTTCTGTCACTTCAGCCAGGGAGTTCCAAAGTCGAGATGCTGGAGAATGAAATAAACATTCTCAAACAAGTGAATCACGATCACATTATACATCTCAAAGAAGTCTTCATCACACCTAAGGTGAGCATGTCTAAGAGAGCGGGCTTCATTAGTGTATATCATATGATAATACAAAGGATTCGTCATAATCTTTAGTTTGTACAACAATAAAGCTCTGTTTGCTTCCAGATGACTTATTTGGTCACTGAGCTGTGTGTTGGAGGAGATCTGAAACAGCTGTTGAAGCGGAAAAAGTTCTTTACAGAGGATGAGACGAGGCATATCATCCTCAGCTTAGCCGACGCTGTTGTCTACCTGCACAAAAGAGGTAATGTCTGTTACAGACCGACATTAAAAGTATGGAAATCATCAAAACGAGCTCAAAGTCTGTTGATTAACAGACATGAGAGGTGAAACAATGTGATTAAATTTGGTTTTTATATCATATTTTCATATAAAGTTCACATCAGCCCATTTTTACACTTTTTGGCCACATCTATATTCACATGTGCAAACTGCAGTGATGTGAGGTCAATTAAGACAATCCGGTCATTACAGAAGAGTGTGTGTAAGTGTGTGTGTGTGTGTGTGGGGACTTAAATTAAATTTTTGAGATAAAATCTATGTGTTTAATTTTAAAACTACCCCCTCCCCTTTTAATTGTGAATTTTGCAGGTAATTTAGGTCATAGCATGGCAACGAAGCACCATTACTAGTAGTTAATGAGTAATTTACAACCAGCTAGGGAGCAATACTGATTTACAGGTGCATTTTCACATGGAAAGTCCCTGAGTGCTGGTTTTCTGTGATCCTAGCTTGGCATCTGAAGCCTGTTAGAGAGCGATGATTCAGATAATCCCTCAGTTTAAATTTATTATGCTGTTCTCAGTTTATGAGCGTCTCCTGTCCTCTGTCAGATTTAGTTTCTGTTTGAGACATGAAGCAGAAGTCTTGGGCTTTCATACAAAAACATGGTTCATTTTGCATTCAAATACCATGCTGCTAATAAACTGAAGAGCCATCTGTTTTATGACCTACTATTGTGTCCAAAAGAGTTATCTTCTAATTTTAATTTAAAACAAGTAGTTTTATTCCAAATCAAATGTTTAATCACAGATAAAGACAGCTATGTCCGTGGAATCATGAGTCAAGCTCCTCATAAGCAGTTGAAAAATCTATTTAGTATTTATCATTGTTCCTATTATTCTTTTAGGGCATGAAATATCTTTGAATGACAAAGGAAAATAGGGCATTTTCATGTGTTTGTTTCGTGCACACCAGTTGGTCTAACTTTCCTTTCACACACACCATCAGCACTGTTGCGTTTTATAATTGGCTGCTTCAAACAGTGCGGGGAAAGGGACTGCCCAGGGCAAATTGTATTTTTCCTCCTGCCTTCTCTCACTCCACCAAGTTTTGTTAACGAGGCCCTTCAGCCTGGTCTGCTGTAAACAAGGTAAACAGATCGCTGTGTCGGTGCATGAAAAGCATTTATTATTATTCATTCTGCCGTCTGACATTAACATATCATTTTGCACTCTCCTCAGATCACAGGCGCAAAAAAAATGCTAAAAATAGAAAAAAAAATATTTCGTCAGATAAAGATGCCACTTTATGCATGATTTTGTGTTAAAAGTATTCTTAAACATGGACATATTTTACCGGACATTTCTCTAAACTGTCAAAGAAAAGCTGGTCTAATAATCCCAGCGGAAGACTCTTCCTACTCTTTATAGATTTTGACTACTTAACAGGCGCGAGCTGCCACGTTGCAGCCTTTTAAAAACGATTAATGAGGCCAAAGCTTGTTTCAATAACAAGAAAATAAAGCCGACTGCTGCAGTTCTGAAATAATACAAAATAAGCGCTCCAATTCAATGTGGTTTAAAATTATAACAGGGCGGCAGTCGCTCAGGAGGTCGAACAGTCGTCCAATAACTGGAAGGTTGGCGGTTCAATCCCCCTTATCCCTAGTCTGTCCGTTGTGTCCTTGGGGAAGACACTTTATCCCCCTTGCTCTCAGTGTGTGTCCTCCACTGGTGTATGATTGTGAGTGTTGTGTAGTAGTGGTTGGAGAGGCACAAACTGTCAACCACGTTTCTAACTAAGTTAACGACTAAGGTAGTTAACCACCACCTGGTTGTGACGGTGTGAGCGAATGAATCATGTATCCAATGTAAAGCGCTTTGAGGGTCTCTGATGAAGTGCTATAAAAAAATCTGATGCATTATTATTACTATAACGTACACAATGTCAGAGAAAATCTGATAGTTACAGGGTGTACATATATAGTTTGCTCATATCCTGGGAAAAACACATGGCTGTAATTTAACATGAAGTTTAAAAGACAAAAAAAAGTTAATTTATAGTTAAAACAGACAAAAAACAATGCCAGTGTCCACTAACTGCAACCGCCAAATATCTGGTTCTTTATTATGACCACCAGTTAGTTAAAAACTCTGTTCAACAGGAGATGAGTGCTTTTGTGCCATAGATTCATTAGATATTTCCACTCAAACGGCTGTATGATAGAGCTGCACACACAGCAGAAGAGAGCGGTTATTAAGATTTTAAAAAAACAAAGCCAGAGTTAAAAACTCAAAAGTAACAATCCTCAGTGATTTCATCACTTTTACAGACACATTTTCTTTCTTGTGTCTGACAGACATCGTACACCGGGACTTGAAACTTGGAAACATTCTTGTGAAAAATGCCCCTGATGAAGATGAAAATGGCAGGATTAATATCAAGGTGAGATTCTGATCAGTTCTCTTTCGGACATATGAATAATTGTCTCATGGGTGCTTTTTCCTCTTCCACTCTCTCCTCTGCGTTTAGTAAAGGCTTTAAAAAAAACACCTCATTATGACCGACTCCTCCTGATCTTTTTGCAAAGAGAGACTGGACTGTATCTTTAAAGAAATAACCAGCTGAGCACAGTATGTGGTGTACGTTGTCAAGAGCCAGCCAAAGCAGATACCTGGTGCGCAAGCTGTAACAAGTCTAGACTTGTTTGTCAGACCACCCTGTAAACGTCCCTATCTCTATGTAATTTTTTTCTCTTTGTCTTCCACTCGTATACAAAAGCACTCATGTATAGTGTATGTTGTTAGAGAGGACTTGTCACAGCAAACCACGGATGACTTTTATTCCCTGGAACTTAGCCTTCTTTGAGGGGTTTTTAGCTTTTGAAATAATGTAGATACAGCTTTAGTTTATGTTCTTGTTAATCACCAGGAACAATTATAATACTAAAGCCTGGCCTTGTTTTCCTAACAAAACACCCCGAATAAAGAATTTAATAAGGGTTTTGTAGCACACCTACATCCTGATAATTTACACCACATTTTTTCTTAAATGCTCTTCCCTACCTAGGTGACAGACTTTGGATTATCAGTGCAGACAGGTGGTGTCGGCATTGAGAACATAATGACAGAGGCCTGTGGGACTCTTATCTTTATGGGTGAGACACTGGTATCTCCTACAGCATGTTAGCAGGCCACACACATGACCACCGAGAGGGAGCTATAAGTTTGAATGAGTGCTGGAGCAGCATGACTACGCTATGCTATCTGTCACAATCCCTCTTTGGTTGTAAACAACAACTCCATAAAAAAAAAAGAAGGATAACAACAAAAAGAAAAGCAACAGCGATCCCTAGATAAAATGCTTATTAATGTGTCATGATTATTGCTATAAAGCATTATGATCATTTATGAGTGTTTATAACTATAGTCATACAATGCTATAACGTGATTATAACGCATTATACATGTATTTATAATGCGTTATACAGATAGGGCGTCAAGTAAAGTGTTACCCAGGTTTCATATTGATGTTAAAATTAGAGCTGTTTTGCTTTTTTTAATCACTAATATGCTGTTACACACTTGTTACATTTACTAGTGTGCTGCTACTGCATGACATGACCTATGTTCATCATGTGGCTCCTTCACTTCTGTGTGCTTCTGTGTGTCCTTGTGTGACTTTCAGCCCCTGAAATTATGAGAGGTCGGGGTTACACCCACTGGTGTGACGTATGGAGCATAGGAGTCGTTATGTATATGTTGTAAGTAGGCACAAGCACACGCAGACACACACACTGAACGTACACATACAAATACACACTGATGTAGATAATGTGACTTCATACTGTATGTCTGTGTTTTGTTTCCATGTAGGCTGTCCGGAGAGCCTCCTTTCGTGTCCAAGACCAAGACAGAACTATTTAGGAAAATCATGAACAAAGAAGTTGAATTTACACAAACTATCTGGGCCACAGTCAGTGATGCAGGTGACTCTGACATACATCTAATCCTGCAGAAAAGAGAGGTTATGTTGTGCCTATAAGTGAAGGGATATAACCATGACTGATAGGCAGTACAGGATGTTTCAGGTTCTTACTGATAACTCACCTTGTCTCTGTCTAAACAGCAAAAAATCTATTGACTTGCCTCCTGAAGGTGAACCCTGCCTATCGTATGTCTGCTAGCCAGCTCCTAGAAAACCCCTGGATAACTGTAAGGCACCTGTTGCTCAAGAGCTTTCATAAACTTTTCCAAATGAGTCACATGGGGAAGCTTTAATGTGGCGCTTTGTCCAACAGGGTGACACAAATGTGTCTGCGTTACCGACTAATGTCCTGGAGATGATGCGACACCACAGAGAGCAGCAAGAAAGTGAGACGATAATGAATATTTTCCTCAATAAAAATAACTTAATCAAAGGTGTTCACAAACACCACATAGTTGGTAGGAAATTGAAAACTAAAATAAGAATCACTAATAGTAATTCTGATTGTATGTTATCTAAAATCATACACAACAGGAACAGAGACTCATATGGACGTGTCCCCCGCATCTTCCGATGACACATCAGAGCCGTCCCCGGCCTCTTCAACCAAAATGCAGACCAACTGCAGAAGCCCAGCTAAGCCAAAGCCAAAGACAGTCAGAGAGAGGAGGCCCTGTACACCTTCCACATCAAAAAAGCAGGTCAGCAGAGTGACACCGCACACACATGTGTTTTTTTAAGCTGTTAGAAATTAGATCAAATTACAAATTAGGGTTTTCTAATCTAGGTTGTCCATCTAGTCATCATCCCATGGAGCTCACATGGGTATTAACAAAAGTTATTTGTAATCCAAACCAAAATAAACATATCTTTGTGTAATAATTTAATTAGTGTTGAGATTAACAGCTAACTGTCTCTTACTGACAGAAATGATCAATTCATGGATATTTATCAATCTTCCTTCTTTCCCTTTTGTTTATTTTTGTGTTTTGAAATACAGACTAAATATGGTTTTGGCAGCAGCTGGCATGACAAGCACACAAACGGCTCTGAAACCCCAGGACCACTTCAGCCGACCCCCTCACAGGTTTGTAGATGTAAATTACTCTTATATTTCTCAATCATTGTCTTGAAAGCACTTGACAAAACCATATTTTAGGCTACAGATTTGTCTCTAAGAAGTCTAACTGCATTTATTCTGCCAAGCATTACTTTATCTTCTATTCATGTTACCAGTCACCACTAGATGGTGCCAGATTCACCTATTACAGAAGATGGTGATGCATGTGTACCCATGCAGCTGTTTTTATACGAGTATGATTAATTCAGTTATGTAAGATGAACATGAATCTTGTCCCTGCAGTCTCATGCTGGTGTGAAACCCTCCACACAGCAGCCACGGACTCGGGACAAAAAGGACATGAGAGCAGGACAGAAATCAGCTCATGAAGAGAAAAGAGCTTCCTCCAGTAAAAGTAGGACCGTCCCTTGTAAGCCGGAGAGAGAATGCAACAAAGAAAAGCCAAACTAGAAGCGGGCTCGAATCTTAGCCTTAAAATGAACCGACTGTGAATGGCGTAACCTTCACTGTGATGATCAGAGACTAGTGTCAAAAAAACTGGGAATAATCTGCAGGTGTGAAGAAAAGCAGACTGAGACCTCTCAGCTGTCTGTTGTGCCAAAGAGGAGGCCCCTCTGTTGGAGGTGTAGTCTACGGGACGGGGTAAAACTGCAGGACAAACACTTACTGTGACACAGCCAAACTGAGAGCGTCAAGAGGCCAAGATACAGGTTCACACTTTGTGGAGTAAAGCAAACAAAGATTATTAAGAGAATAGTTTCACGGTTTAGTGAATATAGTGAACAAGAATGTTTTAGATTATGAATTGTCCCTAAAATATGATAATTACTTTCTTAAACATGGAATTACAATGTGAACCTGATGGATCTTTTAAAAAATAAGCTCTGTATATTTCTACTGTGTATTAATCTAAAGAAATAAGCTATGTTAGACTTGCATTGTGCCAAATAGAAAACCTCAACACCACCTTTAGGTATTCTTTTTCATGACATTCATGACACGTTTTTTTTAATTGTATGTTAAATAAAAACATCTCCTTTATAAAAAGTACAGCAGAATCTACTGGATACCGTTTCACTCCTCCACAAAAAATGAGGGGTTTTCTCTCTCCCGCTCTGACCTCTCAATTCTAAAATGCCCTATATGCACTGACTGCTCCCACTCAGTGTCAAAACAGAGAAACTGTCACACAGACTGGTTACGCTCTGTCTGAATGCAGAGGATTGGGACTGAGGGCAGCCACGGGTCTAATCTCGTTTGGAGGCCATTGAAAGCAGCAGGAGCTACTTTGAGGGCACTGCCATTCAAGCACAGGTTTTTCCGCTGTAGAGAGAATAATCCCCGGCATAGATACAACATTAAAGTAGCCAAGCATAACACACAGAGGCTGAATTTCAAATCCACCCATTTGCATCTTGAAGTGAATGAGTGCCAACAATTGGGCTCCGTGTTCCTGCACGGGCTCTGTGTTTTAGTGTGTATGTGTAAATGCAGTGTGCATTTGTTAAACGGTTTTCAGATGGTATTTCTACATTTCAGGGAGGGGGTAAGTGTCTTAAATTATGTACGCAATGTGTTAATCTCTGCTTGATGTTGAGTGAACACTCGTAACACACACAGTAGGAATGTAAAAACCTTTTTTTTAAGCTACTTTTTGATATATTTTTAAAAAAAGAAAAAAAAAGTTGAAATATTTTTGATTCAAGCTGTAGGCCAAAAAGACTGCAACACTATTGATGCACTGTATACCTTTGCTTTCCCTGGACAGCTCTAAACAGCAGATGGAGCTGTAGTAGGTTGCTGAATTTCTCTCCTGGACTTAATCTGACAGGAGAGTGCTATCACTAAAGCTCACTACCTAGTTTGGTGCATGATGATGTGTAATTAGAATTGATTGCTTGAGTCACTGCCTATTAAAACTGTGATGTCCATGTGATGTGTCACTAATTAATATGTTGTATGTCTTGACGGTCCATTAAAACAAAGTAAATTGTTGAACTGTGGGTGTCTTATTCACTAAAATTGGTCTTTATTGGGAGATGATGTAAATAATAATGATTCACGTATTCGTGTTAATTTTCTGTTTAGATGACCAAAGTCTTTATACAACCTCCTGTGTGTAATTCATGTCAGAAGAGGAGATGAGATTTCAGCATATGGTCCACATTGTCTTGATTAATTACAGAGAAAGAAAAAAAAAAGGAGGGAAAAAAAAATCTCCAAATTGACTTGTGCAAGCAGAATATGACCTGCAGCAAATCACAGGAGCGCTTGTTCCTAATCCCCTGGGGTGGAACAAATTTAAAGAGACTGAAACACATCTAGAGAGACACATCTGGAAGAATTGGTGTCTTCATGTATGCTGACAATAGGTTCATCTGCTGTTTAAAAAACTGTCAGCCTGTATTTGTGAGAGCCCAAAAGCCTCCAGTTCTACTTTTCCCTTTTTTTTTTTTTTCCGAAACAAGAAAAAGAAGAGGTGGGATGGGAGGGGAGACAGAGCGAGAGAGGCTGTATGGTGGGTAGGTTAGGGGCGTGAATTTGGGACAAAGCATGGAGGCAAAGGAAATTAGAAAATTCGTCGGGATGGAACAAGGGATGCGCCCCCTGCCTCCCAAAAATCCTCCCCCCCTTTTTTCCTCCAGCAGTGCTCCTGACAGATGGAAGTAAGGGTGGGTGGGTTGACGGGCTGGAGGGGATTAAAACTCCACAGCCTCATTTTGGAGCCTGAGGAGAGTGTCACCCCTGCAAAGCTAAGGTGGGGTGCAAAGAGGCACTTGTGGCGATAGTCAGGCGGCGTGTGAAGTGGGTGCACGCAGGGTAATGTCAAAGAGGCAAGGATGCTTCCCCCTACCTTAGCTCCCCCTCTGCTCCAATCACCTTTATCCAACAAATACCAGCGAGGGAGGGAAGAGGGTGCATCTCTATAACCCAAATAGAGCTCTCTTTAATTAATCAGCTCATCTGCAGAAGCTCGATACCTGAAGCTGGACCCCCACCACCCATCCACACCCACTGCAACTCCCCCCTCTCCATCCTCTCACCCCCAAACACAGCACCCTCACACTGATGCTGTGACATTGTGGTAATGAGGGAACACAGCAACAATGTCATGGAAATATTGTGGAGACGTTATCTGTTGGAGCTCATCACACATGCTGATGTTCCTGATCCCCTTCAATGTGTGTGTGGAGAAGCACATATGTGGCTGTTCGTGTGTTAGGTAGGCAGGTACAGCCCTTCCTTTAAAAAATAATTAAATAACAGATGCATATGGTGGGGTAACCATGATGCCTCTGTGACCAAAAGAGAGAGAGAGAGAGAGAGAGAGAGGAGGTTAAGATTTGAAACAGATGGCAGTTTTAAAGCAAGCCTCATCAATCTTTGTTGACTCCCCCCCTTCTTTTTAAAACTAGTCTTATTCGGGATATTTGCAATTATAATACATACTGTAAGCTCATTTGAATATCAAATTAATTACCGAACACACTGGAGTAAATACCCCTTTTATAACTCCTTGTTAAAAGTGAAAAGTTCTTGACTACGGTTGGATGGCGTGTTAATTTACAGTGATATCTAATCCCAAGTTACTCCACATAAAAGGCATTACTATACATATTTTAATGGGGAGGTGGTTGTTTTCCAAGCAATTTTCTGCTAGAGTACATTTTTAATTTATTCATATTTAATTTATTGGTTTCTGCATACACGCTCAGTAAAACTAATCAACACCATGTATGGGCCTCTTAAAGCCACATCTCTCCTTGGCAGGCAGAAAGGCAGGCAGGCAGGCAGCCTCTGCATTAGGATAAGCTCTCCTCTGTTGTGCACAGAGCTGGGTAAAATGCCCTGCATTCAGCCAAGCAGGAGGATACCACCTCAAAGGAAGGAGACTGTTCAGTTCTCACAAACAGCCTTTTAATCAGAGGGGAGAAAAAGGGAAGAAAATGAAAAATGTGCCCAGCCTTGAGTGATCCAAAACATTTCAATTTCAGTGGAAAGTGACCACCGTCGCTGCTGTCAGAATATCGTCCACTGGGGACAATGCCCCCCTCTGTCTCCCCTCTTTCTTTAACTCAAACTCCTCCGCTGCCCTTGAATTGGTTTTATGAAGCTTTGGCACTCATTTTGCTCACTATGACTGGAGTTCTTATCACCTGACTCCGCTATACTCTCCAAATATCTATTGACCCATTATTTACACACCTTAAGGAGAGATCTGCCAAACCTTACTCACGGAAATGATTTCAATTAATTACTATTCCTCCTTTGACGAGAGAGAGAGAGAGAGAGAGAGAGGAAGGGGGGAAACAAAGGGAGCCCAGACAACAGAAGCATTTCTCTTGTGTAATGTGCACCATGTGTAATGAGCAGCGGAAAGGTCATTTGACACATTTCTGCCAGAATGAATTCATTTATTTCAAGCACTTAATTTTGGAGTCACCTCATTGGTGCACTGAGAGGGTGCATTAACACAAGTGGAGGAGGCTTAGTTCCCTCCCAACAGCTAGTGCTGACCACAGGTCTGTGGGAACGCCAGGAGAGCAGGGAGATAGTGAAATGGAGTGTGGGAGATCCAATCACCCCCTTCTATCATAGGAAAATCACCTCCATCACCTTCAGCATAATTGGAGCATTCATTACAGCTGAGTAAAAATGCAGGTTGCCATTAGTTGGGCAATTTAAAAGTAGGCTCCTGGAGAATGAAAGACTTGAGGGGTCATGATACGGGGTCACAGTCAAGTAAATAATGGGAATTGGTCCCATGAGGGTTGGAAAACTACAAAGCTTGTGGTCACGCACCGAAATACAACTCAGCACAGAAGGGAGGCAGGAATTCAATCATCAGACAGAAAATAAAATGCCCCCTGTGCCCCTTCAACATCACAATAATTACAAATAGAAGACTTCCTGCACAGTCCCCTATTTACTCCGGCCTGATGAATGATGCCTGTGTGACAACTGGAAACTATGTTATTTTATTTAACTCACAGAAACTACAGAAACACAGCGCATGTTGCACTGAAAGAGATGCTTTGGCAGCAATAAAGAGTACTGCATGTATGTATGTACGGTGTGTTTCACATGGATTTGGACCCCTTGAACCTTGATAACTACACAGTAGGGCTGCATGATCAACTGATTTTAAATCGTAATTGGATTATTTGATTATGACGATGTTAAAGAAAATTAAAATCCTCAAATGGATTTTCTTCTCTATCATGTCTCGTGCCTCCAGGCCACCGTAGGTCCCCCCCTTCCTGTGAGAACCCTCCCAGTTTCCACACACACCAGTGTAAACAAACATGGCGTTTGCAAAAGCAGGCAATAATTTCGTGGCAAGTCAGTCTTGTGGAATTGGTACGGCTTCGCAGTTTTGGACGAAGAGCAAACCACTCCCCACTTCAAAGTCTGTCTGAAGGCGGTATCAACCCTTCCACATGAAATGAATTCAGGAGTAAACGCAAAAGTTTTTTGTCGTATCATTGTTTCGGGTGACTGTAAACTGTATTTTTTTAAAAACAGGTACGATAGCACGTGAATAAGTAAACGACTACCATTTCATCTCCGTGTGGATGTCCATCTGCATCCCTCTTGAAACGATTATGTCACACACACGTAACTCTTATATGGCGCCTTTGTGTGTCAGACAACCTTCATATGCATGCTCTGTACTCTTCTTCTGTCTTTTGTGCATTTCCTCAGCAGCATTACAGCGCCATTTACTGGCTTGGCATATGCACTTCAACATTTTCAGTGGTTTCGTTTTGAGAGATGATAGAAAAACTTATTTAAGTGAACTTTGGTGAAGTCACTGAATAAAAAATCATTATCAAAAATCAAGTTGTCAAAGAAAAAAATTGGGATTTTAAATCATGGAGGGCTACAATTTTTTTTCAGCACAGCAAGACTAAAGTAGAAGTGATTTTAATACTACTACAGTATTTGACTAATAGTCTCATCTTAACTCCAAAAAACCCTCATGCAAAAAGCCTTGGAGTCACATATGATAAAGGGCTGAATTTGACAAGCTGAAGTACTGAAAGTAAGTTTTATGCAGCCCTTCACCATCTCCAAACTCAGACCAATAAGTACTTCTGACTCGAGAAAAGTCATCCATGCATTCATATCATCTTGCCTCAATTATTCCAACTCTTTATACTTTGGTATTACTCAGTCTTGCTTATATCATCTTAAATAGCTCAAAATGCAGCAGCAAGAATGTTATCAAGGTCGAAAAGGAGGGCCCACATCCCTTCAATCATTGCCTCCCTATTCTAGCTTCCTGTTAGCGACAGGATTAATTTTAAAGTTCTGTTTTTGAGAGGGCAGCAGATGGTTTTGCCCCTTCCTATATCACATAAATCCTGTCCCTATAGCACACTATCAGAAACCAAGGATCATGTGACATAAACTCTTTGTCTGTATAGAGATGTAGGACTAGGTTTTATGGGGACAAGGCCTTATCTGTGCCCCCAAACTGTGGAACTCTCTTACCCCGACTATTCAGTTAAGATTTTAAAAATGATCATTTCTTTATCATTTCCTTTAAGTAATAATCACCATATTAATCATTTTGCACTGTAGGCACAGTAGTTCTTCTGCCTTAGCATCGCGTTCTGATTGCATTTCCATGAAGAAATGATCATAAATGTTCTTCCTTGAGCTGTGTCACCCCGCTGTGGTCCGTAATGGACTGGCCCGAGGTCTCGCTACAAACAAGCGGCTGCTGGAGGAGAGTGGGTGAGTTGTGTTTAGTCTTTTTGCTAAAGAAATCAGGCAAAGCTAAAAAAAAATGTTTGGTGGCTAGTACTATGACTGGGACCCTATATGTACTGTTGATGAAGTTAGGTGCTGTTCTGAGCATTATTTGTGGCTATAGAGTGGCGTTTTGGTTGAGGTTTGTTTATGGCTCCTCAGACTGCTGTGTATTGCTATCCTGCGGTCATTACTAAAGTTAGTATAACTAGAGAAGCAAGCGGTTGGCAACATTCATCTCTCGAGGGGGAGTCTAACTTAGTGTTACGGTGTGTTTGACTCTAAATTAATTTTACGCCGGAATATTCCCTTAAAACAATTTTTTACTCATTAGCTTTTAAACACCCTGAGCTAAACTCAGATGTTTCTTGAGAGGTCTTGTATAATGATAGTGACGGTAATAGAAAAGCTGATAATGTTAGTAATAATGATAGTGTTAGTGATAAGTGATGATGGTTTTTGTTCCCATTATTATTTCTAAACTGTGAAAATAGTGCGATTACTTTGCTCATTGTCAGTTTTATCTTATTGCTTTTACTCCGCTTTGACACTTTCTTCTTCATCTGTTTGCTTTTGTTTTTTGTTTCCCTCTGTGTATGCTGTAAAGCACTTTAGCTCGACTATAATGAGATGTGCTACAGTAATAATAAAGTTGACTTGATAGATAGATACTGTGCATTAATAAATATAGAGAAACAAGCATATGTAACCGTCTCCTGTCTATAAGTACACAGTGTTCTTGTTATTCCCGCTCATTAAAAAGTCTGAAGTTGATCATCACGTTCAAACCTCCTCTCCACACTCTTCACATCATGTTGATGTGTACTGAGGAGGATGTTGCCCTCAGCTGCCACTAGAGGCCTCAGTCTGGCTGAAAGTCAAACCACTTTGTTTTAAATTGTACTGTTTTGCTGCTTCTCCTGTTTTGTTGTGCTAAAACAGTTCTCTATAGGGAAACATTTTACTGTAAGCTAAACTAGAAACCCTTTTCAGATCAAAGGAAGCATATTTAATATGTTTAGGTTTGAAAACAGAGTTCTTACTTCTCCTCAAAAGGTTATTTTGTAAAACTTTGTTCTGAACAAAGAGAGCACAACAATAGCTCGTGTGCTGATGCGCCGTTGCTGCTTTGCTAACCACAAACACGCCTGGAGACACTGCTGATAATGTGATTTTAGATTCTCTTTGAGAGATTTAAACTCTCACAACAAATCTGCGTATTTATTTCTTTGTGAAGCTCGCGCTAATGACTGTTTTTGCAGGAGAAAATGTTTCTACATTAAATATGAATAAACACATCATGATGAAACAATTAGGCAATGGTCTTCTGAGGAGCAGGTTCGTGTGTTTGGATGCTTAAGAAACAGTGATAACGAAAACAAAGCTGCAGAGTGGTACGCACAAATTAGCTCCTCGTCTCATTGGAAAAGGAAGTAATTAGCAAGTTTTACATGGAGCAAGCTCACAATGAAATAAGATAATAATCAATAAGAAGTTTGATTATCTATTGGAGGGGAGGCTGAGAGGTTCATGGTGGGATGACACATGGCCTCAGAGTCAGGAGTTCTCACACAGCATACAGCCTGTTCTTCCCTCCAACCCTTTTACCACTCAGGAGGCAGATTGGACTTCTCACTCTCAGCTACTCCGCATTATTGTCCATTATCACACCGTGGTCCGTGTGTAAGGTGACAGTGGTGCTCTGATGGAGAGGCGACAGGGGGACCCAGACTGCAATAACATATTATTAGCTTTTTTTCACAGCTCCACTGGGCTGGATTTACACTGGATATCCAGAGACCTCCGAGGGCAGCCCACTGTCACAGCGGTGTCCACCAGCACAGCAATTGCCAGAGATACACCAGTGTGTGTGGACTGAATAGGCTCGCACCCACGCAGAGCACACATGGGGCATGTGTATACGTATACACAAACACACACACACACAGACACATTTCTGCACACAAAAACAGTGTGTCTGTAATCAGTGACAGGCCTTTTCCAATTAGCCCCATCGCACTGTCACTCTTGTGTGCTATTGTAGTGCTACATGCTCCCCTTTTGTTCTGTATACTGTAAACACAGCTCCTACTATGTGCCTGCCATCACTGTGCGTGTGTGTGCACGCGTGTATGTGTGTGTGTCAACGCATGAGCACGTAGATGGATGGATGGATGGATCTGAGGATCAGACCAAATTCAAATTCCATATGAGGGAGAGTGTGGCACATCTGCCGCTCCTGTTTAATGCAGGATGCTCTTCTTGTCCTTGGTAATGTTAACAGTCTCCCCTGTGACTGATGCCTCTTGTCCCAGCCCTGTTTATAAAACAGTCAGAACTTCGTTAGGGGACAATAACATCAGCCGAGCTCAATTATGGTGACATTTTGCTGACATGCAGATTGCCTCCCCTCCATCTTTTTTATGTAAAATACTGATGTGCCAGTCACATATGGATGGATGAACTTTGGGGGGGATCAATGGTATTGATGAATGATAGATCATACGAGTCAACAAGACTGGCACCAGGAGA